GCTCGTTTGTGGCTGTTCGTGTATGGCTGTGATGTCATTTGAGGCATGGCCTGCATGGATCATAGATCCGGCTTAATCCCTGTTCTCTCGTCACGCACGAATGCAAGCTTTGGATCCCCATTACGATTAGCATCGAATCTTGAAGATCACTTGACTTATTTTGAGCTTCAAGCCCGTCAGGTGCGCCACACGAGCCATGCTAAGGTTCATTCCGAAAGTGTGTCCTTTGAAACCCTGAGGTTGTTCGGTTTCCCGCCCCCTTTCTTCCACCGAAAGCCAATTCTCGGCATTTACAAGGTCTTCCAACTGTTTTGGATAGCGCAGTCCGCACTTGCCAGAGACTGATGTCAGCTCCTTTAACGAAAGTCGAAGTCCTGCTGACTGCGAAGGGAAGCCTTAGGTGAATCCAATGGTTGGAAGCGTTCCAAAGGTCTCACCTGTCTGAGAAGCCCGCTGCAAGTCTGCACTGTCTTCGCACAGATGTTTACATCGATGAGCATCCTCCGTCAACGGGCTGCGCAACACCGGTGACCCAAGTATTGTCCTCCGAGGCAAGATGGACAACCGTCTTTGCAATGTCGGTGGACCCATCGAGCCCGCGGAATGGGTGTAAATATATGATTCTGGCTCTCTGCTCATCCGCTAAGGCAGTTTCAACAGCTCATGATCGTCAGTCCTTTATTCAGAATAGAATTGATTCTTCGACAAAATAGGTGCAATTCTCACATACTTCCTGGGCAGACGGTGTTAACATGTGACGTGCGCAATCACGCAGCGCCTCTCGTGATTTTTAGGCACGTGTGCTTGGATGCAATATAGTCAGAGGTCATTGCAGCTCCTGGTAGGGCATAAATCCTTGCTATGTTGACGATCCAGCCTCGACCGCCACCAAGCCACGGCCCTGTTTGATTGTCTGTGCTGCACCCCAGTCACACGGCAGTTGCAAGCCAACCAAAACTTTTCCACAGCAAACAAGACTAGTTTTGGCGGTCCTCAGTTTTCGTCACTTGTGAATCATCGCGATGTCCGTCTTGGAGGCTATCTTTTTGCGCACTGACTCTTGCAGATGCGCACAAATGACCGTTGGCCCCCTCTTTTAACAGTTCAAGTGCCGTCACATGGTCCATTCCACTGGAAGAGCCGGTAACAATGACAATCCTTTCTCAAGACATGGCATTATAAAGGGTTAACGATCCAGCCAACTCGAGGTACAAGAAGATGTGAGTCAGCACACTACTGGTGGTTCAAGGCTACTCTTCCACGGTATAATTACCCAATGAGCGTCTCCTGTCCACGAAGAGCCTATGGTTTCTTCAGTATACACAATCCCATGGGAACCTCGCCCTGCTAGGTGAGTCTCCACTATGCCTGCCGTCTCGATACTGGCTTCGCAAGGCCACTTCCGAGTTCTAGGGAGAAACTTGCCCACTGAACACCGATTTACAACCTCTTTGATCCTCTATCATTCTTCAATATCTACTACCAACATGATCTTGTCACATTTCTTCTTCCTGTCTTAGAAACTATTCTCTAGCTGCGTGCTGCGTCGACCGTGTGGATTCTTGTTTTTGTTCAGCGATGCCGCAATCCAACTCTGATCGTCAATATTGCTCTCAGGAGTCCAGTAGGCTTTCCACCGTACCAAGTACAAAGTTTCATTACCATGTTCGAGCCTGTCGACGACACTGTACACGCGGGAATAGAGATTGCCCCAGCGTTCTGCCTGGCAATGTCGTGAGTGCGGTTCAAACTCGGAAGGACCGTTCTGGAGTTTTTGGAATAAGCTCTTCAACGTGGACTCAGCTTCTGGGATGTCATAGTCGCTAGGATGCATCCACCGATGAGCAGTCCTAAGAAGATGCTTAAATTCGCTACGGTTAAAGCAGAATCTCTGCTCATTGGCCACGTCGTGGTCCCCCAGGGTCGATCGGGAGGAAGTCCAACATTTTCGAGACTGATAGGAGGGCTCTCCTATACGCCAACGGCCACGTCGGATCTTCTTCTCCTCGGGGTACGATACTCGAGCTGCCGGTATGCGCCACCGCGGTAGAACTGGTCAGGCATTGGCAATGACAACAACAAAGGGTTCATTGCTGCGGAATTCGACTCAGATTGGGGGCTCGGCTAAGTCGTGAAGTTCATCAACGCCTTCTTCTCGGTAATAATTATCGCCCCTGTGTCTGAATAAGTTACGAACCTGTTACACTGAGGCTACAATTGGCCTAATCTTGCAACGGGCTACTACCGTGGACCCATGGTCGGCGGCCGTCACGATGAACTCCGAGCGCATTTGACGGCCTGGAGTAAGGCGATGAGCGTGACGAGTGATGGCCATGACCGGTAGCGACGATGGCACTGTGGAGACACAGTTGGAATGGTAAGAAGGAGACAGAGAGAACCAAGGGACGGACGTCCATATTTATACTTATGGACGCTCTTTGCCAAGTACATTGCCTCTGCCCTCATCTTCATTGCCAACAAGGGTGAGAATGGCAGGGACGCAAATGAAGCCAATCAACTTTTGGCTCATGCTCCTCTGCGACGTTCTCAGCTCGTCAGTGTCTAATCTTGCAATGCTAGCTGGCTAGCGCAATAGCAGAGCTCTGGGTAGGGAATCAGGACAACCCTGACGACATACCCCGGGTTTGTCCATTTGGCTCGAAGTCGGGAAACGGCTTCAGGGGTCGTCTAGCCGTAACCTTGCTCCTCCAATCCACTCTCCGCTTCTTCTTTGAGCCGCTTGCGTTCAGATAGTTATTGTCGAACAATTGATGGCCTATCGTTAGATAGATATATAGATAGGCTCAATGCCACCCTCTGACCGAGGGAAATCAGAGCATTCTTTCAATGAAGAGAAGTTTGACAGTTATCGTCCAGTCCTTTTTGTTCAGGCTAGAGACAAGGGGCTCCATCGTCTCCCTAGTGGTGATATATCCACTAGGAACGAGATATGCTGTTGAACACAATGTGTCGTAGTGACAAGGTGACTCGATAACGACCAGCCACGGTCGATATTGGAATATTGGATGTGTCAAGCTAGGGAGATCGGCATTATCAGTATGGCTACGTCGCCATATACAGAGTTCTGCCGGTAGAAAACAATGACAGCACTTACCAGGGAGGAAGACACAGCGGACATAACAAGGTACAGTACCACGTATGGCATGTCAGTCGGTGACCTGGAGACAGACGGGTCGGGTGATATGTGCCGTTTCCGCAGACACCATATGCAGAAAGGGTACATCTCTCTCGTCTTGTGATTGGCCTGGAGGGGGTAATGGCAGCGGTTACATTGCCCCTGGCTTTCGGCAAATTAGGCGAAAACTTGATAGTTTCACCAACAAACGTGGAAGCACGAATGTGGAAACGTGGAATCCATCCAATCCCATCACTGGGCACTTTCTCGAACCGTATACTGGTATGGCCATGAAGATCGCAGGATAATAACCGTGAGTCAGACATTCTCTCGGAGAATCTCACATCTCTCCTATTGTGGCCTTCTTCTATCTCAGTCTCTGATGGTGAGATTGTCTGGGTTTTCGAGCGTCATTCTCCAAACCAATCTCTATAAGCTCCGGGGGGATTCTGCCTGCTGGCCAACCACACTGATTAGATATTTGAAAGCAGTCGCCGGAGAGCACGTTAACGACTAGTCAGTAAGTAGAGAATAATCCTCATCGTCCACGGATCACGGTCAGATATGCCCTCACTATCTTCGCAAGCCACGATAGGTTGCAATTCCCAGTCAACAGAGCGTCTTTCAATATAGAATAGAGGCAGGACTGCTACCGGACTGTTACGCGTCTGCAAAACAGGCGCGAGAACAGGCACACAACCATGTCCCGCCATGTCTGACAGGTAGATACAGTGCAGCCGACCATCCGATCGACCGCCAGATTGATCTATATGTTGATGGCTAGATCACGGTACGTCCTCTCATGTCGACGCCCGGCAGGGGTCTTGATTTCATCGCCATGTGCAAGGCCTCTTCAGCGCAACTCGTGAGATTTCGAGCCCTGGGGTCGTGCTTGTGAAAGCCGGACCCTTGAGCGTATATCGGCCACTGTAAATTGAGATGTCATGACAGCCTTTATGGATTTTCTTTCTTCGTGCTTGCCACTCTGCCCGAGGTCGCCCCTTGATATTTGATCCCGTCAGGCCACCGATACAGTCTTGAAGGAATCGGTTTGCACTTTCGAGTTTGTCGTGGTCCGATGTTTCGTCGTCAATATTTTCCGCCAGTGTGACAAGCGAAGACGGCAGATTTGGAGCTTATCTGGGAGAATATGAGTATTGCTTGGGGTGCATGAGAGAACCAAGGTGCTCCTCTTTGAGACTCTCTCGAACACGCCGCTGTAGGATCTGAATTTCCTCGGAATTCCGTTTTGGGCGCATGGCTCTGGCGTCGTCTGGTGGATAGGGTGGTCTCTCTGTCTTTGGACAACGTCCCGCTCGTGAAGAATTATGACTGAGCTCGAGATCTGTCCGTCGCCAAGCCGAGGCCTTTCCATTCGCGAACGCCTGAAGGCTGGGCGGGGAGGACGTTGTGGAGATGTTAGTTCTAATCTGGAAGCCAGGAGATGATGCGCTCGAAATTGTGGGTAAAATGGTTGGGTGAGAAGGGGCCTTTGATAGCGTCTGATGCGGTCATACGGACATGATACGGGGAAGGAAGTCGTAACCATGGAGGGGGACGGAGAATGGAACATTATATATCGACCGCATTTGGTCTATTTATCATCATTGTTATAGAAGTCGTCCTCTCTTTGTTTTCTTTACCGGTTGTCTTGTGGGTCTAGATTTATCGAACGGCACATTTACTCGGGGGCACTGTTCACCCCTTCCCGGTCCGAAACATTGCCCTGGGGATCTCACGTTCTCGTCCATGGTCGTGAAGGCTGTGATGAATATAGTACATTTGGCGTCACCGAATGGAGTCCGTCGACTAGTTGTCTGCCATGCCCGCTTCCAACAGATTTGGCTGTCACAGAGAGTGACAATTAGTGTGATCTGTCCCTGTCCTCCCTTATCGACCGAGATTCGGCCACAGTATATTCCACCGTCTTCGTAATCCAGTCCCCGGGCTCCTCCACAGCCCCATCACTTCCCGCTGCGGTCTTCACACTCCCAGTCTGAAGAATATGCTTCTGGTCTTCGTCAACATTGTAGTCATCTTGTTCGTCCCGTCTTTTCATCTTTCCCATGTCTCCCATCACATACACGGCTGTTCCATGAGGCAGCTCGTCCTCAAAGCCCGTGCCCACGGTGCTACCAGGCGCAACACGGCGCCCAGATCGAAATGTGTGGCTGTGGCCGTAGCTCAGGCCTTTCGAATGCGTCGCTGAGGGAGTAGTGAGACCGGAGCGTACGCCCAACACACGCACCAGGAAGCGTTCGAAAGTGGCCTTGAGTGGAGGCAGAGAGGCAGCGAAAAGCCCCGCAGAGAGTTCGGCTCTGTGGACCGGTCAGAATGTACCAGGAGCCCGTCAATGGGAGGGATGGACTCACTTCACCCAGATCGTCAGGTTTACCGTGTCATCTATGGCTCGTCAGCATGGGATTGCGGAATGCAAGTGGGTTCCGGAATGCCCTACAGGTCGGGTCTTGCGTCTTTTGAATTGCCGGAAGCTCTGTCGCTTTCGCAATTGCACATGCAGTAGCCCTTGCTCACGGTCAGAAGATGCAGAAGTGGTGCACCGGGGGATCAAACTGACAGCAAACCTATCAAGAAGACGCCTCGCAACGCCCATTTGTTATATTTCGAGACTTTGACTCGGGACAGGTAAAACAGCGGCCCAAGAGTGAACAAGAGATCTGTGACAATGTTGCCAACTGAGAAATGATAAGCCCATGGTTTCCCTCATATCGGTTTTCCATCCTTACCCGTCTGGGTGTATGAGAATGCCAAACTGGCTTTTCGGGGCCAGCATGTTCCAGGCACGGCTCGATTCCAGATCTTTTCCATCGGACTGTGGTTCGGTATTAGTATTATTGGCAAATCCATCGGGGTCTCGCAGCATTATGATCCGTAAAAGAGGCTACTTTCCTGCATAATGCAAAGGTACCAAGAAAGACAGTCCCGTTGACGAGGACGCTGAGCACGATACAGATGGTCACAAGAATGTTGAATCTCTTGCTCAGTTGAAGTCGAATAAGCGAAAGACCAATTCCCAGCTTCATGGTTCCCATCGCGATACCATTGCAAAATATGGCAAATTGAGAATACTTGAGCACGGCAACGATGTCGGGCCCCTCGACCTTGGAGATCGTCAGGCCAAGTCCGTGGGAAACGCAGGTAATCGTCAAGCCCTCGCCAGCAATACTCGCTGCCTTCCGGGACGTCAGTTCTCACGATATTTGGCAATGGGGAAAGTATTGTCTCACGAGCGCCAGCAGAATGAACCCATCGTCCCAGCCGAATGTCTTGGATGAGAACAGCCTTGTATACAGGCGCGCAAGAACGAAGATAGCTGCGAAACCCGTCAGGAAGATTGAAACCCCGAGGAGTTCCTCTCTCCGATCAGGTCTATCCACCGCGGCATCAGCCATGCTTGACTGAGATGTTGATTGAAAGGGATCTCCAGGACTGGCAGGCAGGAGGCGGGTAGAGCTGGAGATCCAGGAACGAGACAGATAACTTACCCACGATGCCGGTTCCCGCTGTCTAGAAATTTGCTCGAAGTCCTCGAGGGCTAGTATTGTTACAATGCAACATTAGCCCATTGAAACTGTTGAGTTTGACTGGTTCAGAATCGGAAGCCCGGTTGTCTTTCCGTAGTTCATGACCGGTTGAGATGCGAAACGAGCTATGACCAGAGATATGCTGGGAAATGCATATATCCCGGAATGGCCAGGAAGCCGAGGCTCTCGATGCTCAAGCGATGGCCCAAACGGGCATCACTCCCAAGCGAGGCTAGAACGTCAGGATCCTTAGCCTCGCCTGTCTTGCTGAGAATTGGTTTCGCTTGTCAAAAAGGGGCAGCGATACTTCCCTCCCCAATCACCATCTCACTAGCCAGGGGCAACCTATTGATCTGGGCATCTCTGCTATTTCATCCCACCGGCACCTTCACCTATGTTCACGCAGACATGAGAAAGTTTCCACCCAAGACGAACCATCGTCCTTGTGGGACCAGCACGGTCTTAAACTTTTGATCTGTCGATCATGCCGTCAAATGGGAAAGGTTGACTCACCTCTAACCTGGGGCCTCTTTATTCTTTGCGCCACGGGCAGGCTTTCCGGGCAGCTTTGTCGCACAAATTGCGAAAACAACCCTCCGGAATGTCCCACTTGCGATTTTCTCCACTTTTCATGGAGAAAATTCTTTCTACACGACCAACAGAATGAGCCATTGTGTTGGGTGGATCTTTATGAAGTTTGCCGACCACTTTGAAAAGAATACTCTTTGCCGGACCTGGAAACGATAATGTCAAGGGTCAACCCTTCGGTCCTCCACCCTTTTTCTCTCTTCTACTCCTAAGTTGACCCCGTTAATATACTCCGTAACAATTTGGACGACAAATTTGACTCCACTGGAAACTTTACCGGGTGCCGGCTCTGAAATGGATTCTGTGCGTCGTGGATTGTGGCATCTACCGTGTATTCGAATCTTCAAAATCAATCTCGGTTGAGCAGCGTGGACATCTCGAGATCATGACAAGGGGGTACGCACGTGGCAGACTGATCTTGACTACCATGTTCCCTCAGTTCCCTGAAGTTGAATCGTTTTACCACTTCGACACTCGTCACGTTAAAACTTTTTGTCTTTCTTTTGCTCAGGGCAATCCATTCCATCTGACTTCTAGTCTCTCTTTCTGGAAACTGCCTTCACTCTCGTTTCGATGTCTTCTTTGTTTTTTTCGCGGCTCACTTCTTCATGGGCCGCGTTGCTCACTTACGGCACTCTTGCGGCCGCAGCTGTACTTCCACGAGAAGATTCCAACATTACCAGTGCGACAGATGGCGACCTCTCCACCCTAAGCAGCTCCGCGACATCCTACGATTACATTATCGTTGGGGGAGGCTTGACAGGCTTAGTTGCCGCCAACCGGCTGTCGGAAAATGCTCAAGGCAAGGCTCTTCCATGCCTGAGCAAGATCTGGTCACTGACTTTTGGCAGCTTCTGTCCTTGTCCTTGAATTTGGCCCATTTGACCGGAGCAATACGACCCTATGGCCGGTCAATGCGGCAAGCCTGAACACGGCGGATATGTTCAACATCACAAGCGGCCCCGAACCTGCTCTGGGAAACCGGACATACTCTGTGAGGGCCGGTTCGGTGCCCGGTGGTGGCAGCACGGTCAATGGGATGGAGCTCGACCGAGCATCCGCTGCCGACTACGATTCATGGGAACTCTTGGGAAATCCTGGATGGGGATGGAAGGGTCTTCTACCTTACTTCAAGAAGGCAAGCTCGGAGATGGATACACGGTAGTCTAGCTAATGAAGGCAGAGCACCCACTTCACACAGCCTCCAGCCGACATCCAGGCCCAGTACAATTATACGTGGGACGAGTCGGCTTATGGGAATGGGCCATTGCAGGCCAGTTTCCCCGACTTCCAATATCCAGACAACTGTAAGGATGTGGGAGTTCAACCGTTTCGACCGGTATTAACGCGGTCCAGATCCCTTCTTCGACGCCTTTGCCGAGCTTGACATCCCCTTTGTTCGCGAGCATGCGGCGGGCAATGCCGTGGGCTACTACTGGACTCCTGCCTCGTTGGACCCCAAGAAGAAAACCAGGTCTTCCTCGTTGAACGCGTACTACGATCCTGTCTCAAGCCGGCCCAAGTTGAGGATGTTGGTTGAGCATCAGGTCACGGAAATTTTGTTCAACGGCAACAAACTTGAAGCGGCGGGAGTCAAGGCCATTGACCGGACCACGGGCAAGGAGGTCCGGTTCAAAGCGAACAAGGAAGTGATCTTGGCCGCCGGTGCCGTCCACACTCCCCAGATCTTGCAGCTCAGCGGCATTGGCCCCAAGAATGTTCTCCAAGCCGCGGGTATCAAGGTCAAACTTGACTTTCCGGCTGTGGGAAGCAACTTCCAAGATCACCCAGTGGCCTATCTGAACTGGAATGGTACGCTAGACCTCACAGACAATGTGCGAGCCTCCTGCTAACCGGATTAAAGTGACGAACAGTTTTCCGTACCCAGGAATTCTGACTGTCAATGCGACCTTCTACGCCGAGGCTCTGGCTTTGTACCTCAACAACCTGACTGGCCCTTTCACAAAGGCTCAGGCCAGTAGCACCGGCTTCCTTTCGCTAGAGATGATCACCGACGAGGCTTCCTCTCTTCTTGAGGACCTCTCAGCTCAAGACGCGACCAGTTACCTCCCTTCGGTCTACAGTTCCAACCAGCAACTCCTCGCGGGCTTCCAAGCACAGCGCAAGATCCTGGTGGACCAACTCGGTGCTGGCTCTATTGCCGTGTTGGAACTTCCCTTCTCTGGCGCTGGTAGCATGCCCAACGCGCTTCAAAAGCCTCTCTCGCGTGGCACGGTGTATCTGAATGCCACCAACCCCAAGGGCGAGCCGGTCGTGACCCATCACGCATTCGAGAATCCCTTCGACAAATCTCAGCTTTACGCCATGGTACAATTCACCCGTAAGCTCATGTCCGCCGACGCTCTGGCGTCTCTCAGCCCTGTGGAAACGCTCCCCGGCCCACAGTACCAGACCCCAGACGAGATCTTCAACGTGCTTGCGTCCAGCCGCTCTTCCTTCGGCCCTCCCGCATTAGGACCGACGTTCGCGCACCCGAGCTCTTCCTGCCCGATGATGCCACGGAAGTATGGAGGAGTTGTTGGTCCTGACCTCCTGGTTTACGGCACTAAGAAGCTGAGTATCATTGACTCGTCAATACTCCCGATCATTCCGGCCGCTCACTTGCAAGCCTCTCTCTATGCCGTGGGCGAGAAGGCGGCAGACCTGATCAAGGGGCGAGCTTGAAACATGTGTCGCACGGAGAAAGTCGTGGGGATCGCTTCATGATTTTCCCTCTCTCGGGTCCAACCATAACTAGGTAACCCTATTCTCTGTCGTTATCGATTTCGAGTGTCATTGGCGATGCAAATCAGTCCAATCACATCACTCTTATTTAAGACTTAGTACTAGAAAATCGCGAATTACACACAATACACTAATCCAAATTGTCAGACTTTGACGATGAGCTGGCGCATTTTGGTTCGTAGGGTCATGCCAAAATGTGGCTTTTTACCTTCAAGGACAGCTATTGTCCCAACAAGGTAGCATCTGTGAGCTGGACTACTACATTTTTCCCGCAACAAGTATGGTGGCTGAAGGGTATGCTTGATGAATATGTCAATGTCAAATTGGGCATGCCAAGAGAATGTGTGTTGAATGCTCGGTCTATCTAGCGACTGGTCCTGCCAGTTTGCTGGTATTTTTGCACGACCCCTTTCTTCTTCTATCCTACCCCTATATCCTACTTGGGAGTGATCACCCCCTTTCCAGTAAAGGGGCCCTTGCTACTGTTCAACCGTTCAACAGTCAGATACTGTGATCAATTTTCGTTTTCCGCAAGGACCAGGGGCGATACTGTCCATACAGCTCAACGATTGGTCGCATCAGTGATGTGTGACTAGGGGCGTTTGGTCGGGATAAGTGTTGATGTCCGCGCTTTTTTCCCTTTTTTATTTCTCTTCCTAGCAAGCAAAGGAAAAGAATACAAGCAATCCATCGTTTCATTTCATTTGTCACCCTAGAGGCAAGAATCAAGATGATATCTCTCCGATTGCCACATACCATGGACCACATACCTCTTCCTTCACATGCGTGAAAGCTCTCCTTCTCTCTTCCCATTGTGCCCGAAAAGTGCTCTCTTTCAGGAGAGGACCTGGTTGCGGCACTACAGCACTTCCGCTCCATTTGTCACTTCTTCACATCCGCTGGATCTTCTGCGCAGTCCTCCCAAGCGGTCTCTTTTGATCTGGTCTCTGGAGGGGGGTTGCGGCAGTCAAGGCACTTTCCATCTATCTTGAGAATGGGACATCCGTGGGCGCCACACCAAAATTTGCACCCGCACCCGGTGTATTCGTCGCAGGCGTTAACAGGTTCGGCGAAGAGCTGTCCCAGCAGTGGCATGTGAATTAGTTGTTGTGCTTAATTGAACGGAGGAAGCGATGGATGAAAAGGAAAAGGAAGAAAGACAAAAGGAATTGTGCCGGAACAGAATGGGAGGGTCAAGGTCTCACGTTGTTCTCGACTGCCATGGTGACCTAGAAGTTCAAATGGATACCACTGTAGATTGAGATTCTCACTGGACTCTGGTTAGAAGGAGGTTGAAAGCTGCCGGTGTCGACACAGCAGCAAGGAAAGAAAGTCTGCTATATACAGTATATAAGCCCAGAGCAAGGGCAAGGGAGAGAGACCAGCTGCCAATATGGTTTGTATGCTAACTCGCTAGGCGGGAGCTGAAGTTGCAATTTCAACCGCAAAATACGCCTTGGGCGTCGATGTCAAAATAACGTGGCGTATTATGAGTAGGCGGATAGGGCGTCAATATGGCGTATCAGATACAGACCGTAGCCTGCCACTTGTCCAATGAGGCTCAGCGTGACGGATAGGGCATCCTATCGCGTGTCGCCGAGGTCAACTCGTGGTCGACTTCTACGGATCTGATCATCGATCATGGAATGGGATAACAGGGCAATGCTCGGCAAATAAACAAGGCAATATGATATTCATATTTAAATGGGGGGAACATCATCATTATCTGGAGAGTATTACTTTGGCTCGTGTTGCTTCAAGCTGCATCAATGCGGAGAGTATCATACTATGACCGCTAGTCCCCATTCAGTCGAGGAAAAACGTAATGGTCAACTTAAAGAGATCTACTACGTATGGTCATGTTTCCATTTCTCGGCCCGCTATACATACGCACCTGTATGAATGCGATTCGCGACTTTTCTACCAATCTTTATCAGACTTTTATTTAATACATCAGGAACGCACGGTCTTACTATTCCTCTGATAACAGACTTCGCTACGACTTATCCGGACCTTTTGCATCTAACTTCTCGCCATGACATCTATCAACCAAAATTCGAGTCCAGTGGATGTAGTCAAGGCTTTTATTTCCTGTGTCAAAACAAAAGACGTGGAATACATGCGCAAGATCATCCATCCGCAGGCGACCGCGTGTCTCATCCGAGAGAACGAGCCACGTTTTAAGACCCTTCGTGAGGCTATAGATACACTTGAGAAAGCAGAACAGGAACTTGTGGAAGTCAGTTGGGACGAAGTTGAGCACATAGATGGCGAATACGCAACGGTGTGGGCAAATTTTAGTATACATCGGGATGGAGAGGCGAGTAATCCTTTTGCTCGCAGTGGCGCGACATTTCCTGCTAATCCGTTCTGTAGCTTCATCAATTGGGCTCGAGCTCATACTCGTGTTGGAAAAGCCCTCTTTTGGGTTGGATCATCCTGACTATGTCAGATATTGCAAGAGTACCAAATGATACAGTTCGCGTGTGATTTGTTTCGTGAACGGGGTATCGCACTTTTGCTCTCCAGAAAGCACAACTTGGGAGCACATAACTTGAATGTACGGGGTATGAGTTCTTCGGTCCGGATCCGTGGGAAAAGCCCCGAGGTCGCCTCGATGGCGGATACTCACGAATTATCTGCTTTCGCATGACCGCTAATTTCCTCTCGGATGCTAAAAAAAATGACTAACTAAGGTGTCGTTACATCAGACGGATGCCAGACAAAGGCAGCGTGACTCACGCGACCATCATTCGATATCCTGGAAGGATTGGCATGGCTAAGCGGACGAACTTGCCTCATATCAGAACCAACTTTTGGCAACGATCTGTGCGTCCCAGGCCTCTCCAAACATAATGCTATAAACATAGGCATCACCCACAACCTCGAAAAAGTCTGCTCCATGCGGGCGGAGGATGAGCGGGACTTTTGCTCCCGCAACGAGTACAACGACATCGCCGGGACTTGCATCTTCCGGTAGATTTGCCAAACGACGATTCTTTATCCAACCCCATACGCCGACCTTGAGTGTGGAGCGTTAGGTCTCGAGAGCTCAGCTGCGTCCACCCGAGGTGCCATGGGATGGTCATCATGGCCATGAATCGACGAGCACCCGCGCGTAAGGGAGCATAGAGAAGCCAATCTGACCACGCCTAGCCACTGGTGTGTTGTCAATCAAGCACTATCTGGAAAAGAGGGGACATAAGAGAATCGGTGTTGACGACTCGACGCATGGTTGGGGACGTGGCCTTGCGACTTCACCAGGGGTGCATCACTACCGTGCAGCCTATGTGCTGTCCCAACCTGCTGTGTTGTTTGGTTCCTTGTTGGTCACAATCCCACGTCTCGGATGTCCATTCTCAGAGTTCTCCTTCTGTCTCCTTCTGCGGGCATGTCTCTTCTCCGCTACTTAAAGCCAATCCCCGATATTCATGGAACTCTTCATAATTTGGTTGTTAAATATCAGGACAAGGTCTGGGATGTGGGAACAGGAAGTGCAGACCGGATTGACGACCACGGCGATGACCTAAAATCAGCTATACGTATAACAACAAGGGCGACAACAAACATTACACAAGAACTCGTCTGAGTCCTCATAGGTCCTCAGCATCAGTAATAGCACGATGGCTATCCACACGACTTCCCAAGAATTGTGTGGAAGAGGCTGTCCGACTCAAGACGAGGCTCTCCTTCCTCATCCACCGATGTCGTTTACATAAGCACACAAAAAGCCGCAAAATTCGGGGCCACTCCAGCCATTTTTCCCGCACCATCAAGAGCTTTCAAAAGTGCGGCGTCTTCCGGAGAATGTTCAACCAGATTCGGTGGGAGCTTTGATAATTCACCATGCCAAAGCGAGTGACAAACGCTGAATATCGCTGCTTTGATAAATGAGCAAACTAACAAGCTGAGGCGGAACAGTAGAGGGTGATAATGAAGAGTGAGGCTCGCTCAGCTCAACAACCTTGACAAGGCCGTTAGTTGAAGATCAGTTACAAGTGTCGTGTGCCAATTGTTCGAGTACAGAAGGCATGGGTACCAAACACTAAGTACGTACAGTCGACGGTGCCCATCTCCCCACAGATTTCTGGAATATTATCCACTTTCGGGTGTCCGAGTCTTCGACCTGTTGAAGCAATATTCTTTATGAAGACCAACGGGATGAATGGTCCGCCGACAGTTCTGCATTGGAAAGGGAAGGGGAAAAAGGGCGGTAATCTGAAAGGATGGCTCACTCCATGTGGTCCCCAAATATATGCTCTGCCATCTAGCGGCTCTGTCCAAGTAAAGCTGAACCGCACGGAAGGAAAGAATTGTCTTAGCCTTAAGGGTACTCGATACTAGATTGCGGACCAGATTTCAGTGACACAGCTCCGTTATTCTCCGAAATGGGATCAAGGTCTGCCCAGTCGACTGTATAACCAAGAGTGAACATGTTAGTAGACATCGCCATATCCGGGATATCAGCATACGGGGTGAGGTTGTGCTTTCGCATTCGTGGATGACACAGCGAAAAGTGTACCGACCAGGTTGGCCATACATGTTGTGACAGTGTGGCTCAACAAGATATAAGAGTTGATATTTCGAGGTTGCGGCTGCCCCAAGGCTATTGATATTCTCGTTGACCAGAACGACAAGCCACCCAACTTTATAACCTTTCTGCGCTGGAGAGTACACAATAATATGAGGGTACTTGAGTTCCTCTGGAAGATCGTCAACGGTTGAGAAGGAAGAACGATACAAGCTCCGGGAAACGTCGGCAGGAAGTCGTCGGCTCAGAAAGAAGAAAATTCTTCTTTGACGGATCGATGTCGCGTTTCTAAATCTGTGTCTTATCGTGAGTAAGATGTCTTTGGCCGCCAAAAAGGAAAGATATGGGCAGGTTGCATGTGACTTGATGTTATGTTTCTTCTATCCCGGTTTACAAGTTGCTCATCGGAGATGCACTTCTTGGGTACCAGCTATGGCTCTGGAGAGTGGTCGGAAAGGTTGTTGATTCATGCGCAAGCCATAATACGCAACTGACTTTCATTCAAGATTCTTGAGACTTTGCGCCATGGTGTTTTCGGTTGCCTTGCAGGCGCGTGGTTGGGCATCGTCGTGAGGCGTATGCGTGGTGTGTGGACCTAAGTAAGTCGCAGGCGTCCACAAAATGTACTGGTGGTGACCACGTTAAGTTGTGAGTGTTGCGTCTAGTAACTGGCCATGAGATAAGGCGTATCCAATAAAGGTTTCCAGTTCTAGGCTCCTTCATCGGCTTGCCAAAAACCAGATCTCCTCTCTTGAAGATGTGCAACTGGTGTAAAATTGAGCAAAGGTCAGGGGGACGCCGAGGAGGGCCCATTTCAGTCTCTCAGTGCCAGTGTGAGGAGATCCAGAGGGAGTCTCCCTCCACGTCCTTGAGCCGCCATAGTCGAGGCTAGTGTGCTCGTGTGTGGTCAAAGGGCACCGTCCTTTTTGAGGAGTTGGGACAAATCCATTACTTCTTCAGAAGGGGAGCTCTTTCTGGTCCCTGGTGATGCCAGAGGTGGGATTTGGGGGTCAATGAGTCGCTGAACTTGGCGCCGCATTTCTAAGCGTTGGGACCCGGCCGGTTTCAAGGGGTCCTCTTGACCCCTAAACCAACTATTTTGAGTGCTTTCGTAGCGGTCGCTCAGCTAGAAAGTGCCTATGACATGCCTAGGGAGGCTGAACTAGCCAGTCCGGGGAACCCTAAATTCTGGGTTGCTAGCCCCCTTGAGTTCCAGGCGTTCACGCCCAGAAGATCACGTGTATAATCACGTGGTTTACTCAGGCGGAAGGAGCCAGATTAGGCTCCCAGACTTGGCTCAGGGAGTTGCTTAGGGAGTTGCTCAGGGCTGCTCTGGGCGCTCAGGCTGTCATCTAAACTAGGGGCCGCGGACAGGATATTCCACGGGGGATTAAAAGCGTAGCTTTCGTATTTTGGGGGCTAGCCCCCAAACCCCCAGGCCTCGCTGCGCTCGATATTGCCAAGCCCTTTGCATCACGTGATTGAGCAGGTCACATTGGTATTGGCAATTCTTGGCGGCGTACAAATGCGGACCCACGACGATTCACGTGATTAGCCGGTCCTTGATACTCCGGAAGGTCGATAATCCGAGTATTACGTAATCCCATGCTTTGATCGGCTGACCCATCGGATCCAATCCACGGCCCACTCAGGAATGGGTAGGGTGCCGCCGTCGTCCGGAAAATCTATAATCCGACACCTAATCACGTGCTCTAATTGGCTGACCTCCCAGGAATGGGTAGAATGCCGCCTTTGTCAGCCAGACCGCCCTGCCGTACGATATCCTCCATCGGATCCAGTCCATGGCCCATGAGCTAGACGACGGTATACCCAATTAGGAAAGCCGACGACGATATCGGCGATATATCTAGCAAATGCCGGTACATAGGGCTTAGATATCGGCGATGAGATCGGTATGTACTAGTTCGGAGCACTATCCACTATAACAACTGATTCGTTCTCCATATTGTCACGGGACCACGTGCCAAAGATTGCGTATTCAAAGGTTCTTCAGCACTTTCCGCGTAGCATTCTATCTTGACTCTCTTCGTGCTACGTCTTGTACCTAGAACTCGATGTTAGCTGGAATACATTGATTGTGTCCTTGACCCCGAACCCTCACATCACACTTGAGATGGTTCGTAACCGAGCGTTAACGAACGAGCCTCGATGTCGAGATCATCCATGGATTGGATCCGATGGGTCGTGGCTTTTCATCGGATCCAGTCTGCGGACCACCCCAGACAAGCCCCTACTGATGCTCTGTTTGCCGCGCGCTAGTCAAAAATTCGAAGAACATTTTGGCAAACGAGTCGGAGCTCCAATATCCAATACACCCACCAAAAATATGGTATTCAGGTGTAATGCTCACTATTTATCCATTTTCACTCTACCATAGCCCACAATACCGATTTTCTTAAGGATCGCCTTTGGCATAATAGCCTCAAAGTTATTTTCGTCGACATCGGCACCGGGTATACTGCTGAGAAGGTTTGCCCCCTCGATATTAGCCCAGTTGGCTAAACTAATACGAACAGCGATTGAGGTGGAAACGCGAAGTGGTCGTCCTTCCACTTAATATACTGTTGAGTCTCGATGGGAACAGGCTCATTAAGAGGAGTATACACTCGAAAACGATCTTTTGGATGACAGAGTGTGCAGCACCTAACCTCTTGAGGACGATAACGAGATGGTCCAGCTTCAAACGGCGCCCAGAGCGCTTTTCGAAGGCACTCTTGTTCGGCGAAGATTCTTCGAAATTCAGGCGATAACGCTTTCTCTTCTGCCTTTTTATATCGCTCCGCGTCGAGTCTAGTGTCTTGAAGAGTCTTTCGAACTTAGAGCTCGCGGATGATTGCTGTAAGTCTATGGATTCAGGGCTTTCGTCTAACTGACCACTAGTCACCTGAACCTCCTCTTCAGCCGTGATATCGAGTCGTTTCGAGGTCGGCATTAGGCTGGACGGTACGAACCACACGAAATGCGCCCGAAGCTTAGGATTACGCCCGGCTCGCCCGAGACGCTGTAATAAAATATCGATATCGTCCGGTAGGTTGACCTGCACGACAATCTCAATACAAGAAATATTGATGTCTATACCTACTGCATCCGTCGCAAGGAAGATCCGAATATTGGATGTCGATGCAGCTCTGCTTTGGAGTTCTTGGATCGCTGACTGTAGTAGGAATCAATCGTATCAAGGAATGCCAAGGAACGGAAGGGCAAGCGTGATTCAATAGGAAATTGATGGAATTGACAGTCCTATATGATATCGACTCGATCGCTCGAGGAGTCAACCGATGATGGGTTAGCCTGCGTCTCGCCCGGTATCTAGTGTCTTGGCAGGGGCCGCCCTGACAATGGTTGAGTGTCGGCCTAGTCAAAGCATTCGGTATAGGCTGCGAAATGCTTAAGTTTAGCTGAAAACTCGAGACAGCAAACTCAACTGGGGTCGCCGTTTTCGCAGATTTGATAGGGTGATACTAATCCACTACTAGTCAGCATAAAGCTTTAGAGTCGGGCGAATTTTTTCATGGGTCGGTCTTATTTAGAAATTATCGAAGTCATCGTCAAGATAGGCGTTTAATGGCATATCTTGATAACTACTGAATAGTGCGTTGTGTGGACACTAATGTTGTTGTGGAAAGTAGGAAAGAATGTACGTGTTTGCACTGACGCGAACGCGAAGGTCCGAATTTCAGCCAGAGAGTCACGTGTGAACCGGCGCGCCAGTGTTTATCATTCCTGAAATGTAAACACAGATGCCACCCTCATTAACCATAGCAAATTCATACATTGAAGACTCTGCAAACTGCGTCTGTGCTGTATATCAAGGGCCGGAATGATACAAGACGCCATAATCTGACGTAAACGGTATCCCACACTCTACTGGATATTTAGCGTCCACAAGGTGCAACCTACTCAATGGGAACTGAATTGCAAAATGGTACGCTCCTTCCCATGTGAATACGTTCGTGGCTCATTTAAAATAGGCAACCGTTCCTTCCGTCCCACGGCTCGCCCACCATTTTCACTTTCTAAATCTGAACCCAAAACAAAAACGTCCGCCACCACTCCCCGGCCCAAGAATACGAGTCTATCTCGAAGGTTGAGACGAGCTCACCCGTCAGGTTGCCCTTCACAATTCTCTGCAGACAAAATTAAGGAGACCGACCCGTATAGAATCAAACTGCTTTGGCGAGAAGTCATGGCGCCCAAGACCCCCTCATACGCACGCCAAACGAGATCCAGCAATTTAAAGAGTCGGACTCTCTCGAACACAACTGGTCAGCCAGAAAACTCTGCGGCAGATGAGCCTTCGAACACTTTCTCGACACCTCTCTCTACCAAAGCTTCTGGCAGAAGCCAGAGCGTCAAAACGGCCACGGTCCGCGACACTGACTTTGAAGAGACTCAATTAATTCCGCGTGGGGTTGAGATACACAGAGAGCAGGATCTACGTCTGGGCATCGTGACAGGAGCTCACGCCTATTTCGACTCTGGCACACCCCCGGAACCAGCTCAGTCACGCGAATTCTACCTATCCATCATTCAAACAGCCCTTGCAGGAAGAGCTGAACGGGACATAGACAATTCGATATTCCTGCCGACGGACGCCAACTTTATCAAGTCTCTGCACAGGGCGTATCACAGAATGGGAGTAGCACATGTCTCGGAATCTGAGTTCAAGGTATTTGCTTGGCAGAATCTGTTCATCGGGCAGCACGTTGTCTTAATGGATGATACTGAGAGACAGCTTTGCGCTGTACGACTGGTGGAAATATCGCTCAAGCCTCGCGACAGTGACCAACAACGTATGTGGCGTGCACCTCCACTCCTCTCCTCGAATCAACCTCCTCCCCAACCCTTTGTCTTCGACATTTCCTCCAACAGTCAATTCTGGCTTTCCGACAAGATTATAAATGCCAATTATCGAAGATATACCAAGTCAGCCGTGCATTGCAAGCCCTGGGGTACGTTTTGTCCCTATCTCTCGATCGAATTCGAAGCCACAACCGATGACCGGCGCGTCGTGAGGAACCAAATGGCTGCCGCTGGCCTGATTTCCTTGTTCAATCGATACCAGTTGAAGCTCGACGCCGCTCTTCAGCCCACTCCGGAGCAATTGAGACTGGTTCGCCATTACGGATTGACGATGGAGAAAGCAGTTTGGACAGTATGGGTCTTTGAACCCAAAATAGCCGATGGGGCTTGGGCCGGCTGCACAATACGACTGCTTGAATCTGGGACTTGTCTGGACGAAGGAGACATTGTGGGATTACTTCAATGGATCAACGAAATTCATCGGTGGGGCCTTTGTGAGTACGCTCTCGGATGTGAAGAAGATATCAAACAGATCCTGAGCAGAGGTGCTGCCAACCTCAGAATCTCCACAATAGGGTCCTGAGGCAGCGGGATCGATGACAGATGTCAAAGAGCAGATTTCCGGCGCACTGTATCGTCAGTGGTAGAACTCTACCAAAATATTTCACGTGTGAGTATCGATATGATTTACCACGCATGCTTTAATGCTTCCAGCAATGGCCACAGATTGTTCCTGGGAGCACCGGCCCCATTCCTCGGGACACAGGACGGAGAGGCGGCTGAGCGACGACGCCAAACAATTCGCCGGCACCCTAGTCATCTACCTGAATGAAAGTGGGATGCGGGGAAAAATGGGAGCATACTTGGAGCGATGTCAAAATGGCGGGCTGCTGCGGCTATAAATTATTGAAATAGGCCTTAAATAAAAAGCGGAAAAGGTTGTTCCGACTGGGCTGGCTTGAAATGGTGCAGGGGAGAAGTCTAGTCACATAGGATCTTATCGTTGAGGAATACCAATTTGGCCCACCGTGGCTTTTAACATCCCAAAATGCCTGCTGGTTCGTTTCGAGGGGAAATGCTGAACAGGAGACTATGTCGAACAGTATGTGGCAATATGTTCAGCTGGAATACTGGAATACTCAGCTAGACAAGGACCATCCAGTCCAGAAGGTAAGCTCTACAGACTCCTGATTCTCCAGTATGGATCCAACAGCATTATTTCCCTTTTCGGTGATTAGTAAGCGGACGCCGGTCCACTATCAACGGATTAACAATTTTCCGGTATAGCATCATCGGATTAGTCCCCGGGGCCTCCGTCGGATTAATAATTTTCCGGTACACCACTTTCGGACTAGGGGCCGCGGACAGGATATCCCCAAAGCCCCCAGGCTCGCTGCGCTCGAAAGACCACGTAATTGAGCCGGCCACCCTGGTCTTGGCGACTCTTGGCGGCGCACACATGCGGCCGTACGACGATTCACGTGATTGCGACCCCTCGGGATCCGGAAAATCTATAATCCGACGACTCTGGCGCCATCGGATCCAGTCCACGGGCCAACCGTCGGGCCCTCGTGTCACGTGATTAGCTAAGCCTCCAGAAAATCTATAATCCGTAATCCTGTGGTTGACCCATCGGATCCAATCCACGGCCCACCCAGGAATGGGTAGAGCGCGGCCGTAGCCCGGAAAATCTATAATCCGAGGGCCAATCACGTGCTCTAGTTGGCCAACCCCATCGGATCCAATCCACGGCCCACTCAGGAATGGGTAGAGTGCCGCCTTTGTCTGCCAGACCGCCCTGATCGGATCCAGTCTATGGACCACATGGGGACGATGTTAATCACGGTGTCCTGTGCTGTACGATATCGTCCATCGGATCCAGTCCATGACCTGTGAAGTAGACGACGGTATACCCAATTAGGAAAGCCGACAACGATATCGGCGATATATCTAGCAAATGCTGATAGATTGGGCTCAGATATCGGCGATGAGAATATACAGCTCGCGATTTCGACCCCATGTCATAATAACTGTGTTGTTCTAAAAGTATAGTCCAAGTCCCGTTCTTGGGGCGGAGATCATGCTCGACGACGCGATCCGAGGGCCGTAACACCAGTACATCTAGTTCCGCAGGCAGATTAGGCAGCATCTCTACAGTCTCGATCGTATTTTGCATAAAACTTACACTGTGTCCCGAGTAGTGGTACTGGTGGCCGCGGTAGTGACAGACCATCATTTGCGCATGTGACCGGGCGATGATGATCTCCTCGACTTGGGTCAGCGCGGGCGCAGCTCTCCCGGGTCGCGGGCCGGGGGGTTTGGAGTCTAGAAGAAGCTTCGCTAACGCTACGCTTTAATAAATTTTACCTTAATTTGATTTGAATTTATCTGGATACGATTTATCTATTTGTAAGCCTCCATCAAAGGGCTCTCTGGGAAATCCCGTTCACATCTCTCAATTATCCTTTTCCTTCCCAGAGAGCCGAATTTTCCTCGCAAAACCGCTTCATCACTGTCGACTGAAAGGTGACTTCGCCTTCCTGCCGTTCTGTGTTGGAGACGGGACATTTCTTTCCATGATAAGCTAAGGGGAATGCTCTCGATCATCCTGTCCGTTTAGATCTGCTTGGCGCCTGTACGAGACGAGGTTCTGCAGCCAAATTTCCCTCCTTATCCATATCCCACAACAAGATATGACGTGACCCGACAACAATAACAAAGTGTGCCTGCAGCTCCAGACTGTCTTTCTCCACCTTTTGCTGTATTTCAGTGCTCTTGATATAATCTCTTAGCTGCCGGGCCTCATTTGCCATAACCCATGATCCAATTGTTCCTTGATGGTGTATGTCCCAAGTGGCGAATTTAAGCTCAAGAATTTTAGAGAGGTCGTAGTTGCGCAGGATGTCTGCTTTAGCGAGAGTCGCATATCTGTCGACACCCTCTATATCTAGGAAGTTAATTCGATAGAACTTCCATTCGGTAACAATCAGTTGTCCGGGAACCTGGAGGATAAGATCGATACGACCGTTTGTTTTATTTGGCTTTATCACCTTGAATTCTGCGCGTGGAGCAAGAAAATGGTTTTGCAGCAGGCTGAAATAGAAGCTATCCCGATGAGCTGCTTCATTCGTTTGGGTAAGATCTTGGGTGGTGACGTCTCGTTGCATCATCAATTCTCGATAACAACCCAACGTTTGTTCAAGCTCTCCGTAGTCCACGAGATACCGAAGTGCTTCTGAGAGAGAGTTACACAGACCATACTTTCGGAGGACCGCGAGAGCGATACGATCTGCCGCAACCCTATTCGGTATCTTAAGGTGCGTTGTCGGCTTTTCTGGGTGAAACGTAAGGCCGCCAAAGTAGATAGTTAGTGAACGCCACGAAGAATAATCTTCATCCTCATTCTAAAAGAGATATAGGTTAGCAGAAACGGGAACTGAGGCTAAAGTATTAGCATACCAAGTCTCGAAGTGTAAATTCAGGTCTGAATCGGTCGTATTCGACGGGCATAAAGTTCCCTTTTCCGTCACATTCCAGTGCTTTTTCGAAGTCTCTTATCACTGGCGTCGAAGCAGCAAATCTATTAAGAAACTGTTCAGATACTTCAGAGTTTTCCGGGTCTCGAGTCTCTGGTGTGTCTCCGTCGATACGACACTGAAGATATGCTAAGCACGTCTCCGTGTTGTAAACAGTTTCGACCGTTTTATCTTTACAGAAATGATATCCGTTGAAAAATTTAGTCATTTCTGAAAGAAAACCGTTGTAGACTTCAGGATCTTCGTAGATTCCCTTTAGGGCGTCTTCCAAGTCCGAGTATGTTAAACCACAAAGCCCGGCCAGATTCTTATTGAATGACACATTTTTTGTCACATTGAACGCACTGCCCAGACTGGATAAGGAGAGCGGTGAGATCCCTGTGATGAAAATCCTTCGGATGTCCCCCCGTGCGCACAATCTCTTCATCATAGACCAGAAAGATTTGAAAGTACGTCCGACTTGTGTATCATCCCAATCGACCCCGGTTTCTCGGGCGGTCTTGGGTGGTTTGATGTAGTTGTTGGGAAAAGCATCGTACTCATCAACGAGCACGTAGATCCTTTCAATACCGGCAAGTCGGTCGTCCTGCTCAATCGCATTTCGAACTACCATGGCACAATTCTTAAGACTGGAGTTAGGGTTTTCACTGTCAATATGTTGACACAGATCAGTAAAGTTTCCGCCCAAGTATACAGCATATTGGTTATAGAAGTCCTTAATGGCCCCGTTTAAGGACGTCATGAGTGCTTTATTCGCCTCCGTAAGGTCTGGGCTGGCGTTGACTTCGGAAAAGTCGAATGTCAAGACGAAGTACTTTCCGGGGCTCACCTTTCTTTCATCGATATCTTTTTGCACATCGAGACCCTAGAATGATTGAAAAAGATGTAAGTTCTCACATCAAGGTAATTAAGGATACAGTTACGTACCTTGTACAGCCATCGATGTTCATCTGCATACTGAAGGCCGTGGAAATGTTCCAGCATCCTAATTGTTAGTGTTTTGCCGAACCGACGTGGGCGGCAGAAAAGTATGAACTCGTCGAGTTTGCCCAACTTGGAGATGTAGCCGGTACGATCGAAGTAAGCCTGGCCCTCTCTCTGTAGAAGATTGGGAAAATCCTTTGCTCCGGATCGGAAGTACTCTAGTTCGCCGTTGATTATTAGGCTACCATTGTCAACTCGGGTTCTCTTTGGCGAAGGAGCCATCTCGGGCGTATGCTTTCTCTTCCTCGTCTCGGGGCCTGCAATGAGATGGGAGATGGATTAGTGTAAAGAGAACGGTAAAGAGGCGTGGTCAGTGGACATACCAGTAGTCTTCCCTTTCGCGACCTCGCTCGCCAGCATCGCGAGACTCTTGCTAATCCCAACTGACAGCTCGCATTCATTTCTAAAGAACCCCATGTCGCCAGCAGAATTAACAAAGATATTCTTGTTGATATTTGCGGTTTTAAATCTCTCAAGACCTTCGCCTTTGAGCAGTCCCGGTCGCTCTTGGTCGATCCATTTGAGTAGGTCGTCTGCATCCCATTCGTTTATCTCGTCGATTGCGAGCTTGCTGTGGCTGGCTTGCTTGGGGTCGTCCATGGCGGTTGGTAGGACGGCGTATCAAGCGGAGTGAAACGAGCAGCCACAGACTTAGGAAGGAGGCGTAGAAGTGGAGGCAGAGAGACAAAAGGTTTAACGGCCAACAAATGGACGGTATTAGGGTCACGACTTCGAGGTGTGGAGAAACGTTTGTCGTTTTATCAAAGGGTGCAAGTTGCGACATTGCCAAGCCAATTCCCCACGTGACAATGCCAAGAAAATATCACGTGATATTACGTGATCACGCGAGGCATCGCTGTAATTTTACGGAGGACTTGTCCTCGTGTTAGATAGAACAACTAGGGGTCGCGGACAGGATATTCCGCGGGGGGTGAAAGCGTAGCTTTTGTCTTTTGGGGCAAGCCCCCAAAACCCCCATGCCTCGCTGCGCTCGAGTCGTCACGTGATTGAGCCGGCTACATTGGCCTTGGCAATTCTTGGCGGCGCACATATGCGGCCCTACAACGATTCACGTGATTCGCAAAGTCTCGGGGATCCGGAAAATATATAATCGGGCTACTGCCAAATCCTTTGCTCTGATTGGCCGACTCCGTTGGATCCAATCCATGGTCCACCCAGGAATGCCGCCCTGATCGGATCCAGTCTATGGATCACCTGTGGATGATTTCATACACCCTGCGCGGGCTAATTGCTACGCGCTACCTCTGTTATCCACCGGTTCATTTCCATGTGTCCGGCTCAATCCCTCGCCTTTATAAGACCGTTGCCCCTCCAACAACCAGGTCACCAAGAGCGCTTTCCTGAGTGTTACTGGTCATTCAGCGGTGCAGCAACAACCGGTGCTAGCTCTCGCTCTTTCCTTTAGGGCAGCCATCTCTCTCATGAATTCGTTTTGCAGTCGTCCGGTGGCTTTCACAAATTCAATCACTGCACGAATAACTTTCATGTTCGCCTTTCACTTGTCCCTTGGGCCGTCTAGCCTTTCGTTGAACCAACCCCCAAGAAGATAGGACACATCGCACCATCTTGTGGTTGCCGATTGAATGTGACGTCCATGCTCCACTGTCCATCGTGAGCACTCCACAAGAAAGTGTCGCACTGTTTCCGGTCGTCGGCACCATTCACATAGCTTCGTGTCTATCGTCCCAATGCTGTAAAGGGCACTGTTGAGACGACTTTTCCCCGTGCGTAGCTGTGCCACGATTTGAGCTTCTTCGCGTTCCAGCCCGTCATAGATTCGTCGTGTGTGCGTGCCTGGTAATTAAGGCGCGATCTAACTGTTTCGTATATTGGCCCTCGCGGCTGGTTTCGAACCGGGTTCTCTCGACGTTCAGAAGTGTATTCCCTTCTCGTAGAGCGGCCGACTTTACCGTAGTAGCTGGGGGGATATCTCGATCTAGTTCTGTCGCTTTCTGCGCGTGCTTGTGTGCCAATTCGCTGCCCAAAATGTCCGTATATTTAGGGACCCATCGCAACACGATTCGTGATGCCCATCGCTGAGAGAACCGCTGAAGCCGCAGTAAGATATCTCGACTATCGCTTGTCCACTCTGTTGTCGTGGTTTCGCCAGCACCCGGAGCGCTGACTGGATCACCTGTGGACGATGTTGATCACGGTGCCCTATGCCGTAATCCTTGGCACATGGTCCCGTGACACGTACGATATCCCCCATCGGATCCAGTCCATGGACTATATGTCGACGGCGTTGATCACGGTGTCCTGTGCCATACGATATCGGTATCTGCTAACAACTGATTCGTTCTCCATATATAGTCTAAGTCCCGGTCTTGGGACATAAGGTGGCCACCTCCGTGGGGAACAGGTCATTTGCAATCCGTATTCGTAAGAGTTCCCAACTGGAATCTGGTTGAGATATCATCCTCCCCTTGCTAGAGTTGGTTGACCCTTGGCAGCGTGGACCTGGGTTGGAGACCTGGAGAAGAGCGACTTCCCCCCCACGGGCGGAAGTTAGAAGAAGTCTCCACATAGTAAGACATTTAACCCCCCCGAAGGGCGTGTCGAAAGAGCCTGGCAAGATGGCTCGTAATCGATCGTCAATGAAAGAGAGCGTCTTGAGATCAATTATCGATAATTAGGAACCGACAGCGCGCAAAGGGCGTTTGTAGCGATTGCAGCATTGCTATCGATGTTCGCGTCGAAATGCGAATGGCAAACAGACCGTTCGTCGAAATTGCCGTCGATTCGCCCATGGACTCGTCGAGACGTGAAACCTCGCTCAGATAGATTCAATCAATCAATCCTCTCTCGGTCCTACAACCGGCGAATCGACGGCGCGCCGTGCGAACGGATTCTCTACTAAAACAGGTAACTCTTCTACTATGGTAGAGCAGTGTTCCGAATAGGCGGTCCAAATGGGCTGGGCCTGGACCGCCCGCCAAGACCAAAGTATGGGCACGGGCATCCCAGATCCATCATTTATCGATATGGGATTCGATTCTCACGATCTGTGTTGGCATGATTGCGACTCCGAATTGACAGTGGAGTCCAAGTCATGGCCCCTAATCTTTTCTTTTTTCGGAGTGGGGAAAAATTGGTCCATTCTCTTCCGTTGTCTGATCATAATCAGTCTTTCCGGAAGATGTGTGGGTGATTTCACGATGTGGCGGAAGTTGCCAGAAACAGCCTTCAGTCGAGGAGCGCGAGAGATTGCGCTCCTGGTGCGTGGTGGTAGGGCCTGAATTTTCCTGAGATTCAAAGATCCTCTTTTTGGGGGCTGAGTGAGCTCATCCCATTTGGAGTTCCGCTCGTCACGGAGTCGTTTTCGGGCTTCCGCCCTCGCTTCTAAACGATCATCATAAATATCAAACAGTGCACCGTCCTTCGGAGACCGAGACGGCCTTGTTAAGTTTGCATCAGGTGAAACTGCTGGATGACCGAAATACATGTCACTGATCGTGCGAGGGTGGGATGCATCACGACGTATAAGCTCCATGGTCTTGAGAAGACGATTCTCCTCTCTTTCCACTCGTTTCTGGAGTTGAACGTTGTCCTCGAGAAGTTGCTGCATTTCCACGGCTATGGGTGATCTGGTGACTTGTCCTTCCAATTGTTCAGCGCTCTGAATATCTTGAACTCGTGCAGTCTCGCCATCACTATTCTCGGAGGAGGGAGAGGCCTTGCCTTTCAAGGCGTCCGTCAGTCCGTCGAGACCGGTGATGGGAATATGATCAAGAGGAGATTTGCTTCCCAAAACGCCTGAACGATCTGGTCGTTGGGGCTGACGCGGGCGCTTCGGCAAATCACGGCCGAGTCGTCTGTTCCGAAGAAGAACGCCTTGGGCCCGGTCCTTATAATAGGGCAGACTTTGAATCAAACGAAATGTTCCGGGGGAAGCTTGCAGGAGCTTTAACTTGTTGGATCTGTCGCCCCCCGCCTCGAGTTGGCTCGACTTTATAAGGACGGTCGCCAGATATACCGTGGTGAGATATGTTGGCATTAGTTGGCTTTTGTTTTGCTTCTCGATAGTTTCACGGCGGAACACTTTGAGTAATTTATCGGATCCTGTGGCCAATTCTGTAGGGCTTGCCCACTTCCCACGGCGAAGAAGACGCCAGGGTGGAGCATTGGGCAACATCTTCTCTTCGAAGAGTTTAAAAGCCAGAATCCAATGATCTGCATCCTGAGATCGTGTCAACACTTGAAGATAGAAGTTCCAGTTCTTGCTGGTGAGTGCAAATCCCACTTTTTCGAGCATTTCGACGAGTTGAACTGCAGCATGGTGACGGTGCTGGTGATCCAGAGCTCTCAGATAGGCTGTGAGGGCCGCTTCGAGGATATATCTTTGCGAGAAAAGAATCTTCGGGTGTGGCTGATGAAGTGGAGAGTTCGACGGTACCGAAGTTGGAACTATGGAACCGAATGAGGACCCCTGGCCATTCTGAGAGAAATCCACGCCAACGCCCATGCCTGATTGAGGCTGGGCTGGCAAAGTATCTTGCACCTTGTCACCACGACGCTGTTTTCTCTTGGCCAAAGAGTAGGGTGTTGCGTGCTCAATTGCCTGTTCAATTATCTGTCTCCAAATGGCTTCGACATTTTCCCAATCCATTTTGATGGTTGATACCATCAAGCGAGTGGTCAAGAGCTCCATTGACTGTTTGACGTTTCGGTCTAGATCGAGATATGAAGATTGTGCTAAAGACTCGTATCGCTGGAGAAGCGTGTCAGCTTGCCTGATTTGCCCCTTCACCGTCAAGACTTTGGTGAGAAACTCCAAATAGATTGCAGGGAGGGCATCAATTGGTCGGCGTCGGTTGAACCCAGGCTGTGGTAGATTAGTCGCGCGATCTTCATTTGTGATTGCATGCAAAATCTCCGCCAGATAGTCGGCCGCAAAATGCGGTTTTTGATCACCTTCGAGACTTCGACGGCCCTGCAAATGAAGCATAGCCAAACGTGGACTGGCGCCTATCCTTGGAAATCTTTCAACCATTTCCTGGTAGATCACATTGGCCATATCACGATTGCCTTCCATCGCGTAGCCGTAGAGAGCAATCGCATAATGGAAGGAGGTGGCCGCCAGTTTTTGACTCAAACTTAGGGTTCTCAAGATGTGGACGGCCTCCTGAGTCTTGCCAATGACCACCAGTGTGGTCATCAAAGTCGAATAAGTCATATCGTCTGGCTGGACGCCCAGTGCTTGCATGCGACGTTGAAGTCGGAGCACGGAATCGGTGTCTCCCTTGAACGCGTAATACCTCAAGAGGTAATTCCATGGTTTGACAGCCTCCCCTTCGAAGTGGGTTTGAGCGGTGGTCTCTGCTATCCGTTCCGCCGTCTCTGCCTGATCGTTGAGACAATATGAATGGATCAAGCCGGCCATCATTTCGTGGGAACCTTTGATGTCGTGTTTCTGTGCGAGATCGATAATGTCGAGCACAGCGTTAGTATCACCGAGGTTTGAATGTATTCCCATAAGGTTGACAAAGGTGTAGACATTAGGGACTACCCCTTCAGCCTTCATTTGATCGAAAACATCCCAGGCTCGACAAGGGTCACCCGATCTTGCATGGGCATACAGAAGAATGTTCCAGCAATATAACGTCGGCTGAATTCCCCATTCTTTCAGTCTCCGGAATTCCCTTTCCGTTCCTTCAACATCGGCCAGACGAGCATGTACATACATGAGCGGCGTGTAGTAGGCGACATCTGTCGGTCTTGAATGGGTCTGGCAAAGTTCGATGAACACCTTTTGAACCCCGTCGACATCCCCTTGCTCGGCAAGAGCGGTCAGAACTCTCTGGTAGCTCATTTTGTCGGGAAGACCGTGGCTCTGGGCAAATTCGTGCAGGAAGTACATGTACACTTCAGCAGGGGCAGCTTCCTCATGATGTATCGACAAGAGAGAGCCGTAGACGCTCCTGAGGGGCTTATAATCGGGAAAATTCGACCGCAAATAGCGGTAGACGAGTGTAGACAATCCACCTTTGTCAGGTCTTTTGGCCGACTTCAGCAAGGTTTGGATTGAAGTGACCAGGATATATGGATTGATCTGCCTTAGATCCCGGAAAACATCAAGTATTCCAAGTAATCCTTTCGGGGTGATTAAACTCATCAGCCTGCCGCTCTTCAAAAGGAGATACACGAGTTCTTTACCAAGAGCAAGCAAGGTTCCCGCCTGACTCATGATGATGGGTTCCTTGGCCAGGAGCATGTCTCCCAGGTTTTTTATCGCTGACGGCATATTTTCGTGGTGGTCCACTTCCTTCAAAAGGGGATCAAAAAGGGAAGAAGCAGATAAAACCTTATCGGCCTCCGTCAGCGGCTTGAAAGACGTGATCCAAACCCGGGCGGCGGTCCTCCACAAGCGGTGGGAAGAGGTGTGCAATAATAAGAATGAGCTGCAACCATGATTCAACTTGCGGGTGGTTGCTTCTGTGTTGATGGAAAGAGCCACACGATAGTTTTCCTGTTTGAGGGCTACGCGAACGGCGCTTTCATAATCCCTGGAGGTCCGCTTCCGACGTGGAATGAGGTTGAAGGCGCCTAACGCGGCTTTCTGTCCCTTCCTGGAACCAGAGCCGGATAGAAAATGAAACACTCCTGTCGCGTACACCTGCTGATCGGGAAGTTGGTTGAACAAAGCCCAAGCGACATCAAATTTGTCGACTCCGGCGTTCTCTCCCGAAATATCATGTCCTTCTAGTATGAGTCGAAGCTTTTCCTCAGTCCCGGTTGCCTTCTTGGAGATATTCTCATTCGCCAATTGCTCGTACAAATCTTTCGAAGATGAAGATTCTATGTGCGGGGCGGTGTCTTCCGTGGGAATGGGCTTGCACACACTGTCGTCGCTGCCAACGGGGCCAGGATTTGGGCCAGTCGACGCTTTGCGGTGAGGCTTTGCAGTCCTGGTATATGTTCTTGATGATCTTGCGAGGGAAAGTGGTTTTCTTGTCAGGATTCGACGCCGGATTGGATGGCTTCTTTCATCCTGCTCCTTTGGCCAGCAGGTCCTACGACTTGTGGGCCCATTGTCGAGATAAATTCGACTTTGCGGCACACTCCCAACACTCTTGAGGTATGCCGGCCACCAGGGAGGTACTGTGAGTGTATCTCCTTCATTTTTCCAGAATGATGACCCCAGAGCCCGAAAGCTGCGAATCGGTGGCTCGAGACGCCGAAGAAAGAGGTGAGAAGCTGGTTCAACGCATGACGAGGTGCGTTCTAGCATTCAAACGGTTCAAATTTTCCTGTAAAGATAGCGGGGAGGTGTCGGGTGGATGGCGGTCGAAATATTATACAGATCATGCGATTCCAATCCACGGCGCACAGATGGAGGGAATGCACGGTAGCGAAGGGGTAAAAAAAAACTCATGTAGGAGGAAGAGAAACCATGAACATCAGCGATGAGGGGTCCAAGGAAGGAGAAGTGAAGTAATGACGATGAAAATATGCATGGACATGAATGAATGATTGACATTTTTTAAAAATATATCGGGGTCTTTGAATCCTGGTCGCCGACCTTTCCATCACCCACACAAAAAGTATTTCGCCCCTCTTCCTGTATCCATTTTCCACCCAACGGCCAGACTGGTCCCTATCAGCCACGACATGAATATCACTAGTTCAGTTGTTTCAGAGCGTGATCGGGCTTTATTGGGGGGAGATTATAATGCATACCATTCTCAGACCACCCGCAGAATTCATAATCTGCGCAGGCGACTGGGGGCCGCAAACCGTGGTCGAAAGTATACCCCGAAATCTCCAGTGACCGCAGAGAACGTTGCCAAAAACGCAGAGTGGGAGAACCGGTCTTTCAAACTCGACTGTAAGCTGATCTGTGTCTAGATGGGTGCCACTCTTGCTTGCCAGTGCCGAACGGGCATGGGCAAATGCGATGGCCATGAAAGCTGCTCAATCTGCCGAAAACACCCAGAGGCCTATGCCGGGATCAACGAAACGACAGATCGCTTCGAGACTCAGACGAGCTATCATCTACGCGGAAAATCTCGTCAACATCCTCCAAGACCGTACCATGACCGGAGCAACCGATCTAGATGACTTGGAGGCAAAATCATATCAGTCGATGCTGAGGGGGAGCCTGGATTTCGAAAAGGGACGATGGCAAGCTTGCATTGAAAACTATTCTGTTGCACAGGTTGTGTATTCGGCGCTGTCCCGAACTTCCAAAACCGACATCTACAAGGATCTATTGTCCGGAGTCGTGGAACCGAGCATTCGATATGCTGCCTATCAGTTGAAAATGCCTCGCACAAAGGCTATCACAGAGATCGCCATTGAAAATTTCCCCAAATCCGAAGCCGAACTGCGCAAAGAAGTGGAAAACATCAACCCGCAAGCGTTTTTATTAGGGACGGAGACCGCTCCAACCAAGGAAGGGCCGAAAGAGCTTCCATCTACGATCTCCTGGAGAGGCAGAAAAGTGAAGCTTGAAGATGCCAGTATTTCCCAAGCACTGGAGATCTCCCAGGAACGGGAAGAGGCCTTAGCCACAGCGTACAAATCTTTCCGACAAGGATCGTTGAGCGCCAGAGACCTCGCGACTGCATACGAGGAAGTAATCACAGCCCGTCAAGATGCTGCAGACGCAACCAAAACCGCCATTGACGAGCTCGTCGCCGAAGGTGTCGATCCTGGTGACGTTCGCATGCAATCTTTGCAAATCACTCGCACCGCCGTCAACTACGCCGTCGTCGAATGGAGAATCGGCCGCAACAGAGTCCTGTGTGGCTCCGAAGACGGTCTGGCCTTCGAATCCGAAAAACCGAAACAAATACTGAAGCCACGCAAAGATGGCAAGCCTCGTACGCCAAAGGAAGAGAGTTCTGGACGTAAACTATCTCGTCTCCGCGAGCGAGTAGCGCTGTACGATTCGATCCTACAGAATCTCGAAGCTGTCAAGGAACTACCAGGTGTGATGGCAGATAGTGCGTTTGTGGAAGAACTCGACGCAAAAAGGGCATATTTCCGCTCCTTGAAATGTTTGGCCATCGGTCGCTCGCACGCGATCAACGATAAGATTCCAAACGCACTGGCTCTCTACGCGCGAGCATCAGACCTGGCACGAACTGTACCGACTCAGTTAGGGGCTGAACCTGCTGCCAGCTCGTCTTCGTTGGACTCGCCGCCCAAACTCGATCTTTCATCACAGAACTTGCAACAGACAACCTCTACACTCGGCAAACTAGTCACGCAATACCGCGCCTTGGCAGAACTGAAAAAGCTCACTCAACAACAAACCCCCCCATCCGCCAACAAGGATGACCGACGCACCGATGCCACCACTATCAAACCTGCCCCGCTGATTGAACGACTCGACCGCAATGAGTACCTCGACAACATCGACTTGACGAATCTGGTGAATTACCCGCCCAAGCTACGGCCCGTGCCTGTGAAGCCGCTCTTCTTCGACCTCGCGTGGAATTACATCGTATATCCGGGCCAAAAACGTGGCGTGGAAGAGGAAGACATCAAGGCCGGAGCTGTGAATGGAAAGGTGGACGAGCGGGATACGGTGATGGAAGAAGCCCCGAAGCCGGCGAAGAGGGGCTGGTTTGGGTTTGGACGATGATAGCCTGTAGAGCCGAGAGCTCGGGCATGTGTTTTTCTGCTGGAGAAAAGTATAGAACCACACTTCGTCTCCCGGTCTGTGGGAGCGAAAAAGGTTCAAGAAAGGGCTGACCACGCAGCTCAGCACAATCCCACAGCACCCTATCCCGACTCAATCAAGTTTTCGCCCTAGAAACACCTAACACTCAATTCTATCACGCCGGCGAAGCTTCTATCTTTGCATACTTTTGTCTTGTGTTGCCCCGGGATCCCTTACAGATCAGCCTTGCCGTTCACGTCCTGCATATTGTTGTGCAAACTGACATATTCCGCGCGGGATGAAGTCGTGAGACGAATTTCCAGGGCAGATTGAATCCCTTCGTATTGTCTGCTGCCCGTACGCCATTCCTTCCCAAAAACCAGTGACTCGTGCTGCTGGGGGACTATCCGCCGAGTAAGATAGGTGGCAGAGCAAGCGCTTTAACCAAAATGTCTTTAGTGCGATATCTCCACCGCCATGAAGAAATAAATGGTATCACCACCCTGCGGGCATCCAATTTCGAGAACGATTCTTTCGAGAGTCTGATATATGGATTCAAACCTTCTCCTGGAAGATCATAGTTCTCCGCCGCCAAATGATACCCGCATCATGGTCATCACAGAAATGTTCCGTCTCGTCGTGCTTTGAATTGTCGTGTAATGGTCCGCTCTGGCCCTGAGCAAGTGGATATGAATGTCTTCTCCATGGAGCTTGCTGATCCTCGAAAACACAGCTGGACCTAACCTGCAGATCTCGAGGTTCCCCCACTACCTCCATCATCTGTTCCTTCTTTCCGTAAGCTGCCCGCTCTGCTCTTTCAACATCTGCCTTTGCCGCTAAAACCCCACTTGTCAAAAAAGGAGGTTTGAGGCATTCAATATCGGCAAAGGAATCCAGAAACTCAATAACGGGGGCTTGTTGGTATGGAATATTTGAGTTCTTGAGATGCAGATCTTGTTTTTCAAGGCTCTGCTTGTTGATGATTGAGTACGAAGTACAATTTTCTGTGTCGGAGGCCGGAGTTCGAAGACGAGACCGCCGAATGATAAGAAGAATGCAGACAATGAGGCAGGTACTGAGCGCATATGTTGCGTGAGATCCAAAGAAGTTTCCAAATACGAAACATCCGAAGGAACTGATGGTGTGCGCGGCCATGATGGGACACGAAAAGAGGTCAACTAAATCTTTGATCAGAGCATCTTTCACGCGACCATCTCCACGTGTGACAGGCGAGCAAGGTAGAAAAAGGAGCAACAAGACCTACCTCTCGGATATTTGGGAAATAGTGCCGGTTTTATGGTTGAGTCTCGGTGTGCGCCTTGGTTATGGGGCGATGTATAACATAGCATGGATGCGAGGTCGTCGGCCACATGGCCAATGGGGGAAGACGTCGGAAATGATTTTAGCGGGCAGATCTAGATCCCTGGCCTTGTCGCTGTAAGTGAAGTCAAGCTGGCACGAATCGCTAAGCATAGAAGCGAGTGCGACTCCCGCGTGGCTGGCTGGAAGTGGAAAGCAGCGAAGCCAAAGTCAAAGTTTCTCCGCAGGGTTGAACAAAAGGCAACAGGGCGATTCGAGGAGGAACATGTCCTGTGTGGCAAAATTGCGAGATCCGATCAACGAGAATGGACAAATTCAGCTGCATGAGATGACGGAATTGGAACTGACCGAATAGGCTCGTGAGGTGCGATGGTGAGAATGAACTCAGCTCAACAAGAGAGACGCCCTCAAATGGAGAAAGATGGTCTCTCGTTTTCAAATTTTGCCTGGCCGAGAACCGACGAGACCGGCTGCTTGTCAGGCTTTCAGCTGGTGTGGTTACGCCACAGCGGAGTCGAAGCTATAACTAGGCGAAGCCTATCCGACGGTCAAACCACCGGAGTCCCCATTCCCGTCGTGTTGACGTGATATTTCTAGGGGAAATCTTACGTGAATCAGAGGACGCCAGGGAAGGAGAAACGTCGAGGAAAGTGATGATGATGGTGGTTGTAGTTGATGAAAGGAGGGGAAGAAAGCAGAAGCGCAAAGGAGGTGGGTCAATTTGTAATGACAAGCTATTTGCCCGATTCGGACTTTATAGGATGTACCCCCATTGGCAGCCTCCTGTCAATATTCCCAAGGCTAGTACTGCCGTGGTTACTATTAGTTCTCTTCGCGTCACTATTGTTCGAAGACTTGTGCAACAAGCCAAGTTCCAATAGACGTTCAGGTGCGGGATCAGAAAAGCCACCGCAGTCCATATCAATGTGGCCGGGTAAATCAAAGAAAAAACCAACGTTCATTATTCATCATTCGCTTAATTAAACTTTACTTAGCATCTCGAACCGGAATTCTATGTACCTGCTACGATAAGCCTATCGCAACGGAGCTTCTTAAGCCCCGACGCCTCTCAGATACACACCTCCAGCAAAATAAAGAAAGAATCTAACAAGGAGGGTCAACAGCAAGCACGCAAGTCTGACTGTCGATCACAAGCGTGGCGAAGTCGACGATGCGAGTTCTTGTTCCTCCAGCCTGGCCGCTCCGGATTCAGTTGTCAGGATACAATGGATATACCTTCCAGTGCTCCAAACTTTGTGTCCTAAACTTCCAACTCAGCCAGCAACCTTCATAACCTTCTCTTCCACATTTGTGGCCTTGGGCCGCTCCATTTCACCACTATTTCTCCGAGACGTGCTCTCTACCAACTTCTTTAATGTCTCTGGAGCGTCTTCTTTGGTCATGATAACCTCAACGATGCACAGGCCTTTTCCTTGCTGCAGCTTTGGCTCGGCCAGGATTGCATTCAACTCGCCCCAAGTTTCAGCTCGTTTGGTGAAGACAGGATACTCAGGGTCGTCTTTGGGTGCGCCAAAGTAGTTTGGTGCCTCCAAATATCTCCATGGCTGGATATCATTGTAGCCCGCCTTCATGCCGTGGACCCATCTCTCGGTGGTGTATCCGTCATTGTTCATGACAAAAATGACCACATCAAGGCGGTTGCGGATAATGTCCGAAAATACTTGGGCTGTCATTTGCAGACTGCCGTCGCCCTCGAAGAGGATCGTTCGTCCTTGAGGTCGAGTCCCTTCGGCCATCATCTCGCGCTGGGCTAGAGCCGCGCCTGCGCAAGCCCCTAGCATATAGCCAATGGACGACCAGATTGAGGAGTTGATGAGGGTGGTGTTCGCGGGAAGCACAAGGTCTCGTCCACCAAGAGACGGAGTGCCCGTCTCCGTCAGGACAATGTCACCTGATCGGAGGAAGGTGGAGACTCGTTGCCAGAATGTAGCTTGTTCGATCATGTCATTCTGTCCAGGAGATGGAAGTGCTTTCAATTGGGCTCTGAGGTCACCCAAGTCCAGGTCAGGCTCGCATGTGGGAAGTTTGCTCTTATCAAGTCGAGAAAGGATCTTCCGCAACAATGACTTGACATGCAGATTGTGATACTTGGTCCCTTCAATTTCGACAAAATCCCGATCAAACGTGATGGCTGCTTTGGGATCGGGGATCGTACTGAATCCATATGTGTTGATATCACTGTTTAGTGGACCTAGTCTGAGAACTAGATCACATCGACGCGCCCAAGGCATATAGATTTGGTTGCCTGCGAGGCCGGCGTAGATGCCATGGAAATTAGGATAGGTTTCGTTGACAATACTCTTGCCAAATGGGGTGGTAGAGGTCGGGAATCCTGTCACCCGAACCAGTTCATCAGCTTCCTTGCTGATTCCATATCGTGATGTGAAGCCGTCGACAACGATGAAAGGCTGCTTTGAAGCATAGATCTTGCTCAGAATCAGTTCGACCTCGGTGTCCTCAAAGCCTTCATCATTAATTGGAATGGACAGGTCGATCGGTTTCTCGAGGTCTGCTGCTGAAACTCTTGCCTTGACCATATTGGTAGGCAGTTCAATGTAGACCGGTCGACTGTGCAAGACACATGCTTGAAGGCATCTATCAATTTCTGCCGTGGCGGTATTGGGATCTCTTAAGTTCGCTTGAGCCACCGTGACCTTTGCAGCCATTTCGGCAAACACTCGAAAGTTCCCATCTCCCAGGGAGTGATGCATGCAAAATCCTGCGTCCTGAATATTTGTCGGAGTCGTCCCCACAACGTGAATGATGGGAGCCATCTCCGAATATGCTCCAGCGATGGCATTAATTGCAGAGAGTTCACCCACGCCAAAAGCGGTGACCAGGGCGGAAGCTCCCTTGATCCTGCTGTAACCATCGGCAGCATATCCCGCATTGAGCTCGTTGGCATTGCCAACCCAGGCAAGGCCTGCTGGCTCGACATAGTCGAGGGCGGTCAAATTGTAGTCTCCCGGAACGCCATGAACGGCTCTGACTCCAATTTGATGAATCCTCCTGAAGAGGTATTCTGCAAGGTCGATATGACTGGCCATTTTGGTTCTTAAAAGTGTTGTTGCCCAAGAGTCTGATTTGGAATAGGAAAAGGAGATTAGAATCCTCGCCTGCCTCCCCAAAACCACGCTGACACTCGGGACTCTGGCTAGATATACAGGAAAGGGGATGATGGCCTTGTCTTACAACCTCGCAGCGGGGTTAGGAGGTCCTCGGCAGATAGAGGAGCATGACGGGAGGCCTTGAACGGAAATTATGCAGCCGGTGACAAATACATCAACGAATTGAATCCGTGAGGATCGATCGATACCTGCAATACACGTCAGTCGAGGCGAATGTGAGATGGGGTCGAGGAAACTGGGAATGGATAGAGATGGTTGAAGTCGCGGCCAGGTACGGCTGGTCTCGGTTTCCGACGGAAAGATAGCGGGAAGCCCATTCAAGCACAAGGCTCGATGGCCGAATCAAGGATGGAAAAAGACGTCGTGTTAGCAAATCAGTGGACGGGGGCCGGATGCCTCCCATCTCGATCATTTTTGTTCTCCGCGCTCTAGATACCGTTCGATGGCGCTCTCGGGTCAATGCCTTTTTTTTTTTTTTTTGGACGTTGATCCTTCTCCTTCTACTCCGGCCTTCACAGCCTTCACGCCCATCATGCCCTATAATTCGATCAACCTGCTACTCGGAAAAGCCCCACGAATTAAACAATCCAAGTCGATAATCAAGAGATGTATCACAAGAGACGTAGTTGCGTTTCCCGTGCAATTACTCTTCCCGTGCCCGCGCATCTTCAACTGCCTTTTGCCAGTCCGTTAATCGCATGTAGGCTGTCATTATGACGGAAGCACAACCCAACCCAGAACATGGTCCGATCCACATACCGCCCAAGCCCATCTGAGGCGGACCGAATGTCAAAGAAAATGATAACGGAAGGGCAAATAGGTAGTACACGCCAAGGTTCACCCAACCCCCAATTTTCTGTCTTCCAAGGCCACGCAAAAGACCGTTCGAGATGGCCAGAAGGGCGTCGAAAAACTGAGCCGCGGCCGCAATGGGGATGACGGTCGTGATGATCGCACGGACAGCGTCATCTTTTGTAAATATTGCGGCGATGATATGTCGACAGGAGGTCAATAAAATAACATCAAGGGTGCCAATGCATACAAAGATCAGGTAATGTGTTCTCCAAGCCGTTCGAGCCGCATCCAGAGCCCCATATCCGATAAGATTCCCAAACCGGGTCGAAGCCGCAATTGAGATGGGGAAGGGAATGTGATACATTGTCACCACAATGGTCATCAATACCGACTGAGCAGCGAGGGAGGATTCATTGAGATAGCCAGCCGCAATTGTGAGGATATCAAACGCCAGCCATTCAGAGAAGGTCATGAGAACCCCGGGAATGGCCAATCTGACCATCGGACCCCAATTTTGAAATGCTCGCCGAAGGTTTAGTCCCGGCCAGCATTGTAGATTTGACCGAGCAAAGAAGGTAACATAAAGGGCCAGGACCATCGGCTGCAGGTTGTTTGAAATGACAACAGCCCAAGCCGCACCTGCAAATCCCAGGTTCAAGCGGAAAACGAGGAGCCAGTTCCAGAGAATATTCAGAGGGGCACAGATCAATACCACCGCGAGTGACGCGGTAAAATCTCCTTGGGCCTGGCAAAGTCGTTTTCCAGCCTCGAAGATCGCCCAGCCTGGAGCTCCGATCAAGTATATCCTCATGAACGTTCCAGCCAAAACAGCCTCATCCCTTTCGGGAACGAGAGCTGACAAGATCCAAGGAGAGCAGATCCAGATGGTGCCGATAGGAATGGTGACCACGCAAACCAACATACTCATACGCTGGACGTGGAGACCCACAAGGTGCTTTTTCCCGTTCCCGAACGCTTGAGAGGTCAGGGTGTCGAGACTGGTTGCCAATCCTTCGTAGACACAAAGGCCTGTAATGTTGGCGGTCATGGTAGCCAAGGAGGCAGCCCCCAACTCTTTTGTGCCCAAGCGACCAGCCACGAAGACCGTTACAAGGGAAAAGGAGTACTGGAGGATGTAGGTCAATATCAATGGGCCAGAGTATCGAGCTAGCAGGAAGGTTTCAGCCTTCCATGTCGTTTCAAGGTCAGGATTCTTGATAAAAGATGATTCTTCCTCCCCACTGGTACCATAGAGTCTCTGATCAACTTGAACGATGGACTTTCGTACGTCGTCGATTCCATGCTCGTTGAGCAGAGCACTGGTCTCGGAGGCGCGACGGCCAGCCATGTTGTGCAACGTAGGGGGGTGGCTTTCCACGGCTTATCAGACGCCTCTAAGCTTTTCGTTCTCTCCTTCGACAATCAATCATACAAGGTATATCATCGTTGGACAGGGTATCCGTCCTAAAAGAACAGAAAATAATAATTTCTCGGACGATGGGAAGAAGAAACATCCGTTCGTTGAAAATCAGTTTTGGCGGTGTGGAGTTGAGCGAGGATAATCTGGGTGATTGATTAACGCCGGTAGATTCCTCTTGAGGCATAGCGGAGGACGGCGTACGTTGAATCGCGCCATCAGTGGTACAAGTGGTATTTCATCTTCATTGTGGGTCGTTGCAGGTCATTTCCCCGGGGGGAGGGGGGAGTACATCATAGATGTAGATACTGTAGTAGAAGCTCGAGCAAAGAGAGATGTTGATCACACAGAGAGGGATATTTTACATTTGTCTGTTGAAGAATAGCGGTCTTCCCGGATCCTTGTTCAGAACCCAAAGGCCAAAGAACAAGCGTGTTCGGTTCGCGTCAAAGCGACGCCTAATGATTGAAGGAGTGTCCCCGGCGGCGGGGCATGAATTCGGCAGCAGATGCTGCAAGTCAATGGCAAGCCACACTTTTAATTCGTGGCTGGCCTGCAACACCAAAACTTCTTGCCTCTCCATCCACAAGTTCAACGTATATGTTCGTTCAACACCAGCTCTAGAACGCGCTTCCCTGTCTTCTCCCCGTCCTACGGCGCCCTCCATAGTACCCTAACCGGAGCACACATCATGACCGCTACCTCCATCTCCCCCCACGAGGTCGCCAGCCGCAACCTTCTCCCATCTCCCGACCCATCGTCCATAAGATTGCCCGAGTCACCTGAAAAGATTAATCCCTCGAATTCATCTCTCCATGAGAAATCTCGTGGACTGCGCAAACTTCAATCTCACAACCAACTGTCCTCCACTAACAACATGGGCACCCAGTCCTCAAATTTGAGAAACCGCTCGGCAGTTTCTACGAAGCTGTCACGCGAGCAACTCAATAATCCACCACCTTCGTCCACGGCGATGTCAAACACCAACGTCAACAACGGGCCTCGAGTCCGTGCCAACAGCGATGCTCCTTTACCCTTCGCACCACGAACCTCTCGCAAACCAGGCCTCACTTCCCATTCAAATGCGTCCTCCAACAACATCGCTTCGCATACCCGCAAATCCAGCCTTGAAATGACCCTCCGTGACGGCCCTCCTCCAGGAACCACTCCTTCCATTGCTCTCTCTTTACTCCGCCACTCGATCTTGACCAGCGGTGTCACCGCGACGAAAGAAGGTATGTCCGATTATCGGATATATCTGTGGTTGACACTCTTAAACATTGCTCCTCTATCAACGGACACATACTTGAATCTCATCCATCGCAGTCGCAGTCCAGCATATGAAAAGATCTCCAATGATGTGTTCCGCACTCTGGCGACCGATACATTATTCAAGCGGCGTGTTACGGATGCGAGTCTCACGAGACTATTGAACGCAACAGCTTGGCGGATCCATGATGAGCAGTCATCAGAGCCTCTTTCCGAATTTGCGCAAAAGTACCCTCAAGCAACGTACCTTCAAGGCATCAACGTCCTCTCAGCCCCATTGTTGTATGCTTCACGCTCCGAATCCCAAGCCTACGCCATCCTTAACTGCCTTCTGACCGAACACATCCCCACGTATCTCTCCCCGACGATGTCGGGCGTCCACAGAGGTTTGGACCTCATCGACCGAATCCTGTCCTACATCAATCCAACACTCTCGTCTTTTCTGCTGAGCAAATCTCTGCCGGCCAAAATCTACGCTTTCCCGTCGGTTCTGACCCTATGCGCATGTACGCCTCCACTTCCTGAGGTTCTAAAGTTGTGGGACTTCCTGTTCGCATTTGGTGTACATTTGAATGTGATTTGTGTGGTTGCACAACTGTTATTGCTCAAGGACAAACTCCTCGGAGAACCAAGCCCGGCGAAGATATTGAGGAGTTTCCCGAATTTGAATGCTGACGAAGTGATCAAAATGACGGTTCTGATCGTAAGGGAATTACCGGAGAAAGTTTACCGCGACGTCGTGGCTCATGGAAGGGAAGTTTCGTGATGAAATCATGGAAGTGGGAACTGATTCGGCCACGGACTTGAAACTGGTGCTGCAACCAGAGGAAACACTCAATCCAATATCAACATCATACCAACGTCGGAGTCTTTAGGCGGAAGGTGATTCTAAATCTCACATACCGGCACAATCATCCAGTCGACACCACCTCACTGAATCCTAAAGAAATAGAAAGCGACCTTCTTTTCCACCTGCTTTCCAATCCACAACGACAGCCACTGTCCTCTTGTACTTTCACATTCACGAGACACGGATGGGATTGCTTACTCTGAAACTCACGGATGAGGCCTTATATGACTTTACGAGTGACGAAACGCAATGACGACGCCGATCGGATTGATGCCCGATCTTCCTTCCTGCGGGAATTTACAATCCACCTACTTTACCGCCAATCCCATATCCCCACTGACCATGCCAACCCAGAGTGTTATCAGGCCTTCTCGAAATGGCACGTGTATCCAGGCATTTGGCTCTAGCCCATGGATGCGCTGCGTGGGTTACAGGTGAGCCCGCCCGAATTCCCTTACACTGTTTCAAGTATACCAAGACAAGACCGCTTTTCGAATGTATGTATCACTCGGTAACAACGGAGGAGCTCTTAGAAATGGCGGCGAGAGATGCGGAAACAAGAAGGAGAAGGCAGAGGGGAAACGTTTATAATCACGACTGTACGTGTAATTGGGAAAAGCAAGCATCCAGTGTAAATTCAAGCATCATCACATTTTCAGCATGCCTTGTTCTAGTGCATTCACCACAGTCTGTTCCCATCCATCTGTCTGTCTCCGTGAGGTGGGCAAAAGAGAAATGAGGCTGTTGTGGCTCCCAACTTCTAAATAACGCCTTTTCAGAGGCTATCGCACGCCTCCAAATGCGCCTTTGCACGACTCGGTGTGCTGAGATACAGTGTCAAGATTTAGTTCTATTTCAACATCTCCTTTCTTCTCTTAGCCCCTCGTAACCATCATATGAGTTTCTCCAATTCTGTTTTCATGGCTTCAAATCCAAATCCCCATTTAAATCACCATTGATAACACCCAGACCACCCGTATTTGTACGGTGTCTCCTCTTGCCCCAGACCTCATACCCCCATTCCGTGAGCTGGAATAGCCAGCCTCCCCCGACGAGGACGCCAGAAATGACATTGACAATACGCACGAGCAAGGCCAAAAAGCTGGGGCGCTGCTCGCTGACAATCAAAAGAATAGGCTCGATGTCATATTTGAAGAATATCCCCGGAACTGTGTTGGCGGGAACTTCGCGCGACTGCGACGTTGCAGCGTACTGGTTTGTGAATATGGATTTGGGGTCGGCGCCGGAGCGTGGGTTAGGGACGTGCCGGACGACGCCGTCCTTGTCGCGGTGTGTGTTGGGCGTCATGTCGAGCGTGGGTGGTTGGGGGATCGCCGCGGGATCCAGACTACCTGACTTCGTCGACACGCGACGTTTCGTGAAGATCGTCGGCACAATGCTCAGGTAGTATTGATATCGCATGAAATGGGCCTCGGTGGTGTCGCTGGTCTTGTCGAGCGGGTTGAGCAGATTCGGATAGTGAGGGCCGAAGGAAAGTTCGTTGATGTGGTGCGAGAAGTTGAACGACGCGTGGTCCAGGTGCTGTTGCATGCCGAATTCTATGTATCCGTGCCCCCGAGCGGTGATGTGGAAGTCTCCTTGGACCTTGTTACCCTCGAGAGACCCGTAGATGCGACAGGAATCGATCTTCATCTGGCGCTGGAGACGAGGGGATTTTTGGAATTTCCTGCCTTTATTCTCGCGCATGTGACCCAGAACATGACCGACGTGTGAATCTTCCTCTTCGGCCTTCTTGCGCGCCCTATCTGCCGCGTTGAGCCCTTGGTAGATTGCCCTCTTCTGTTTGCGCAGGCGCAGGAACTTGCGCGGATCTGTCCAGATTTCGAAGTTGGTGTCTTCCTTCTTGAGCAGGTCGCCGGCCATGATGCGGTCCATTGCCGCATCCTGAACGTTGACGTGGAGATCTCGACACGGCATTGCAACCACGATGTCGAGGTTCAGTTGGAGCTCATGGCCGACGCCGCGTTCGACGGAGAAATGATGTGTTTCTGTCCCAGCGTACCATGTTCGTAGTTCGCTGAATGTTAGACATGTACAGAGGATGATGATCGCCAAGGTCCATTGTCCACCGCGGGCGGTGGCAGAGGTATAGCTCGGTTTGGTTTTGGCTGCGGGTTAAAAAAAGGGATGTCAGTATTTGTTCCACTGTTCAATGTGCAGCGCGCAATGTTGCAGTGGTAAAGGGAGCAAAGAAGGGGAGCACATCGTGCGTGTCAATCACTGAGGATGCAAGGAAATGTTGCAGAAGCGCTCACGAAATGCATCAAATGTCCTCAGCCCCGAGAGGCCCTTGTCACCAAAAGCGGCTTCATCGAGGCCATGCTTTTCAAACGAATTCATCTCGATCTAGGAGAGCCTTGACAGCTCTGTTCTAGATCTCCGCGACATGTATAATGGAGGAACCGCCAAACAGCTGATTTCGATACGTGGCAGTTGATGGGAAGTGTTTGTTGTCGACATTGAAAGGCAACACCCACAAAAAGTTCACAGTTCAGGCCAGATCTTATTTTCATGCAGGGCTCAGCCTTTTTTGGCCGGGGGCCCCCAATGTTAGCGCAAAGTGCCCGACGAGGCTGCGAGACACTCGACACATGTCAAAACCATTTACTCATGTTACGTAGTCTTTCATCAATGCATATGCTCCTGTAGCTATGACTGGTGACTGTGTTAAAATACAACTGCCCTTGGGGTATCTCTGCTGGACCAGTGCCTCCCCGATACGCAGAATTCTCATCATCATATGCACTCTCGTGCGGACGATTTCCCATACTTGACTCCATACCCAGATTTTAAGTCATGTCCTGTCTGCCTTTGTTAAGTCCTTGGTAAGGAAAAAACAATATGAATGATCGAGTGAATGTTCCGAATCATTCTTCAATCGGTTCCAAAGAAAAGTCTGCCCGCCTTTCCGCTCCACATACAGACCATCTCTTTCTTTCTTTGTTGCTTCTTAAGTTACTGCCTCGAATTTCCATAGAACTTCGTCTTCGCAAATCTCCCGCCTCACCATCTTCGCCCTTGGGCTTGGCCTCCTCTTCTTCCAGCCGTGCTGCCTCCTCTGCATCGGGGGTGTCCTCAATAGTCTCAAGAGAGCTAATCGAAGGCGATCGAGATCGCAGAGATGTGGGAGTGCTCGGTATACTGGATGCAGAGCTGAAAGAATACATGGGGTAGGGTTCGTACGTGTATTTCTGTGGTGCGAGCGCTGGCGATGGAGATGTCCTCCCAGACATGCTAGGGCTCATGGCTCTTGCATGAAGGGAGGGAGCACTGGCACTTTGATGTAGAGGACTAGACGTTCGTCGACGGGACCGCGGAAACGTGTTGGAAAAGGAGGAAATAGGAGATGGGTTCGACGGATCAATCTCGGCGGAGAGTTGGAGTTCTGCATTTTCTGGAATGTTTGGCTCAATACTGAGCCCACTCCACGATGGAGCGCCGGGGTAAGTCTCTTCCATAGTCGATCGGAGAGGACTCCTCCTTCTTCCCGAATTTAGTGGTGAAGATGGTCGGCGGGGAGCCCCATAGGCCGTGATATAGCGGCCTGAAGAATCAACCCCAGGAGAAGAATGGGCTCGCTGCATAGGAGGCATGCTAGGAATTCCACCAGCAGAAAGGGGTGTCGTCCGTCTTGGAGGCGATTGGGCTCGGGATCTTGAAGGAGTCGTGTACTGCGAGAGATATTGATTGCGATGTGAGAAGGTGTCGAAACCGTTCGGAAGGGAGGAAATGGCCGGGGGAGAGGATGGGATCTCGGGCTCCTCTTCATCTTGAGGAGAAGGAGGTAATTCAATGTCTTCAGCCGGAATTGGAGGAGAGGGTGTCGAAGGTAAGGCCGAGGATTGTTGGTCGGAGGTAGTGGAGTGATTGAAGAGAGGGTTTGTCAGCGGCGACATGGTGGTGAATATGTCAAGTGGTCGGATGTAGTGAGGATGTTACGAGCTCCAGCCGAGTGAAAGAGTATAAGGCGGCATCGTTTAATCGTCAGTTGGTGTATCGTTGGTTTATGCCACAAGAGGGATGCATTCCCGGCCGGCTTCAGGCAGTGAAGACCAACAGGAAAAATCTAGCGCCGTGCAAAGTCGACACGTCGATTTAGGCCCGAGACCAGCAACACCCGAGGCGTAAAGGCCTCTGAGGTTGCTGGTGGTGTTAGATCCTAGAGGGGAGATCTAGGGGTTGTGGGGGTGCGGCTGAGGTAGTTGTGATTGTGTTTGGAAAAAGAATATGGCGAGAGAACTCTGAAGTTAACTAGTAGCCGAGACGAGGAGGCCGGCGGTTGCAGGCTTATGGTTGGTTGAAATGTAGTCAGTGTAGAGGGCGGCGATAAAGACTCCAGGCGCGGAAATAAGTGACAGCTGCCCCGAAGATATCAACTCCGCGTCACATGCGACTATCCTCGTTCTCTCCCTTCTTACTCTATATTTCTCGCCCAGCTTTGATCCCAATCAATGAGCCGTTCAGTGTACTCGCAGCTTTTGCCCGGCGCGGCCGTCTCTGCTGTCGCCTTTCTCCCGGCTCTCGCTCTTCTCTAACCGACCATGCGTTCAATAAACCACGGTTTCTCTACCGAACGGAGGTCTACCTCTGTTCTGACTATTCTCATCATAGCTGTTTTTGCCGATTTCCTTCGTCAATATTCCATATCCTTGGGCCTTCTCCGTGGAAGCTTGTGAATTATAGGACAACGGCCTTCGTATCTCAAGAGTATGGATGATATATTCTTGAAATATTGAAACCTGGTCCTCACTACCAGTGCTCTTTGGCACGGGGAGCCTCACCACCGGATACCTTATTAGTGCAAATCTCGGCCTGGACCATGGCATATTTCGTATCATATACGTCTAAAAAACCCCCTGTCTTGTTAGTGGCATCATTCTGCCCTATTGGCTTACATTCTCATGCGTCAGACTTCTTCCCATAATTGTCTCAACGTCTCTTGTACCCGTCGGTACGTTTATCGCGAAACTAATGGGCCGATTCAGCATACAGTGATACAACAATATTGGATCAAAGATCCTTCCGCCGGTCTGGCTACATGTCGGCTGGATTCTGCCTCAAAGCAAATCAAAAGTCCACAGTCTGGCCGAACTTTGTCGCACAATCTCGTCCAATTTGTCGAGCACAATTTTTCGGTCTGACTGCTTTTCCTTACTAGGATTCCGTGTTCTGTGTGGAGTTCTCACTCATCTATTGACTTCGGGATTTGTCTTCATCGACCACTGCATCTTTCACTCTGGTGGATGTAGGGAGGACGCGCAGCATGTCTGGTACATGCTGACAACTAAGTAAATAAACTTGGGAGTCAATCATATTACCCTTCGTCACTCCTAATTCTTTGAACCTATCTCTGCGTCCTTAAAGATCAACCGCTGGTAGGTTTGGGAAGTATTGATTGAGTCGATATTACTTACTGCACCACCTTCACGACATCGTATGACGGAAAAGACCGTCACTCCCTTTCTGGACGGACTCAAAACTCGGCCCATTCCCATTAACGTGTTCCATTTTGACCCATTCTAGATGAAAATCCTTCCAGAAGTGCCATTTCCAATTCGACAACGACAACTTCTCAGAGCTCTTGGATACATGAAGCGTTGAAAGAGCGAGGCATGAAGCTCTGTGTGTGGATCAATCCGTACGTGGCACAAACATCGCCATTATTCGTCGACGGAAAGAAGAACGGGTGCTTTATTATGCGAGCCGATACACCACGGCCGTGCGTCTGGCAATGGGATAACTGGCAAGCAGGCATGGCGATTGTTGACTTCACAAATCCAGCAGCCAGGAATTGGTACAGTGCTCAGCTCACGAACCCCGGCATCGACAGCTTCAAGACGGATTTTGGAGAACGTATACATTTCTTCCTCCATCAAGTCCAATACTACGATAAAAATGACGCGGCGCACATGCACATTTTCTGCACCTACCTCCACATCAAGACCGTGTACGAGATGACGGCATCTCGTGAGTGGGAAGCATGTCTTTTCGCCCGCTCTACCACGCTGGATCGCAGCAGTACTCAGTATATTGGTTGTTGGGTTTCCACTCTCACCTGCACGACAGCAGCTACCATGCACCATGGATCTACGACTCCAAGACCTTCCCTGGCAAAGATGAGGCATGCAGCACCATCTTTAGGCAGATCGTCGAGCACGAAATGACTCTCACACCGTGTTTACTATGCACGCCGCTCGAGGCACGGCACACCGGTCGTGAAAGCCATGTTCCTTGAATTCGCTAACGACCCCCAACGGCTGGTCTGCCGACACACAATACATGCTGGGCTCAGAGATTCTGGTATCTCGCGTCTTCTCCAAGAAGGTGAAGTTAGTGTCTACGTCTCCTTCTCCGAATCTGAATCGAAAAATCCAGCAGCAACATAACGCAGCTACTTCGACTATGAAATGGTATACGGAGAGGAGGGATGGTACACCGAGACGCGCGGCTTCTGGACTGTACCTATCTCCTGCGCCCGGGGCTGTGGTCCCGATTAATCCAGGCGTCCAGGTGCTAAACGGAGATTTGTTGAACGGCCTGTAAGTGCTGGTGAATGGGTTATTGGCTGAGGCTAAAGGGTGTGAAGATGATGGGAAATTGACCGTCAAGAGAGCTGGGTTAGAAGGGTGTTGAGTTTGTAGATTTGTTTGCTATCGAGTTCAGAGACAATCATAGATGGTATGATTGATGGGAAGGGTAGAATGAAATAAGTTATCTAAAGCTTCTTGCTTGCCTAGGAAGAAATGGAGATGGTTCACTCAGAAGGTTCAAAATAGAACATTTGTCCATCGTCTCCTCCTGCAGCGAAAAGTCGGGGAACCAATTGACCACCAATAACTCCTGGGCAATAGCCGGACCAGACGCAAATTCATGCGGGTTTCTTCGCGGTGATCAAAATTGCGATCCAATCCCACTTGATCTCCGAATTCCTATATTTCTGCTCCATATACTTCTCCACCGCGACTTTTGCGCGCTCGTTGTATTTCTCCTGCTGCTCCTTAGACCAGATACGGGACATCAGCATGGCGACAACCCCGGTGACCAAGGTCATGAGCTCAGTGACGCCGTCGAGGAGGCTGGTATGCGGCACAGATTGGACGCGCACGTCTTCGAAACCCGCTTGCGTCACGGTATCGCGGGCCCAGGCGGGCTCGTTCCATTTGCCGCCCGGGGATAGGAGGGCGGCGACCTCCTCGTCAGATGGCATTGGCGGAAGCTCGGGGTCAGTGGCAAATGCGGCGCGTACGTCGGGGGACCAGCCGATTTTCTCCCATGAGGACATGGCGATGATGCCGCCTGGCCGCAGCATGCGTGAGATCTCGCTGAGGCCGGCTTTGTGGTCGGGGAACACCATGGGTCCAAAGTTCAAGAAGATGTGCGTGTACTGTGAACTGGGCAGTTTGGTGTCGCATCCATCCGACTGGATGGCTTTGGCGTTCTTCCAGCCCGCAGATTGGATGCGTTTGCCGACGTAGTCGACCATTGGATCGGCGAAGTCTGCGCAGGTCAAGTCGAGATTCTCTTTCGCCTTGTCGCTGAGCGTCTCCATCAGTTTGACCGAGACGATTCCGGTCCCACAGGCTTCGTCGAGGATGACCAGTTCCTCAGCGTCGGAGACTTGGTTTAATTTGGCTTCCTCGACAAGCATTTGCGCGAATGTCCCTGTCAGTTTCTCTGCTGATCCATACACTTTGGCGAACTCTTCTGAGTCCCACACCAAATTTTCCTTTTTCTCGGAAGAAGCCATGGTTGATATTGAGCCTTGAAAAACAGAAACACTGTAGCGAGACTTTGTGTGAGATGGCTCGTAAAATGGTTAGCTGCCCTACGGTCGCTTCATGCGTCCTATGCTAGTAGGGCTTCGTGATTCACTTCGCATGAAACATGGAAAAGAAGATCGTCGGAAGAAAATTCAGAGGGCACAACGAATTAATTCTTTGGATTTCGCTTCGGTATGTTTAATACGTATGAGTCCGCCTGGTCGGAGACATACCTAATCAAAATGTCTCCGGTGGCCTACTTTAGGTGGCCTGAATCATGCTCGGTAAAGCTTCAGGCCTTAGAATTGTGCAACAAATCCTGAATTAATGCATAAACGAATTTCGAACAGGCCCAGCGCAGATTCGGGATGAGGTGAAGGTATGGTTTAATGCCTCTGCGGAGAGGTTGTACGTTGCCCTAGCCAATCGGAGGCTTCTGCGTCCGCCTCGGCTTACCTGCCTTGCTAGAAGTGCGTTTTGACATTCCGCTCCAGGTTTGTTGGCGGAGGTTCATGTTGTGAGAATATGAGGATTAGGCATTTAATAGCAGAAGGCAGGTGACTCTCACCTTTCAACCATGCCTGATGCCCATCCCCATCAGGACCCAGCCGCCCTCTAAAGCGAATAAGGCTGGAGATGGAACCCCAGATCTTCCAATCCCACAACCGACAAACCAGACAAGGCTGACCAGAATGCCCGCCACGTCAGCTCTTCAGTCAACCACAAAGCCTATTCCGCCGGGGCAAGATAATGTTCCTCGTCCTGGTCTCCCGAGACCTGTCAGCGCCAATGCTTCGTCTGTGACAAGTCATACCAGAAGTCACTCTACAACAAGCGCTCGCAAAGCTCCCAGCAGTTCCGCGACGTCCGTTGCGCCCTTAACGTCGCAACTGCCTTCCAAGAACGTCGACAGCAGCTCAGCACCCAAATCACATAGTCGGACATTGAGCGCATCGACACAGCCGACCAACACACAGAGCCGAGGTCTGCATGGAGCGATTCCAAATCCTACGCGCCCAGTGTTCAAAGCATCAATTACTTCAAGCTCGTCTGATAAGGCGACATTAAGAAAGCCAGATTTCAACACGTATAATCAACACTACAGTCCTAAGAAAACAAAACCAGTCGCGCCACCGAACAACGACAAAACCCCCCGGGTAACTCAGCTCACAGTGTCTCATTACGGAACCACGGGTACTTGCAGTGTCGGGGCAACGCCGGACATTGTTCGCTTGCAGGACGAATTGCTTCAATTGTCCCTGGTGCAGGAGACTTCGGCAACTACGCTTCACGCGTATGAGGATAGCGTCAGGTCACAGTTGAAAGCGGCGACTGAGGATTTGAAAAATCAATCCAGCGCCCTCACAGCCTTGGAGGGCTATCGGCAGGGTAAACTCAACGCCCACGCTGTGACGAGCTGGCTGCAGGGGAATGAAAATGCTGCTCGTACGACGTCCGACCGACTACTTCTACTGGCACACTGTGTCGGGGAACTCTACGAGGTCACCAAAGACGATGGGCCCCTGGACACTCTCATGAGGGAATTCGATAAGTGGCACTCATATGCTTCTTCTAGAAGCCCGAATCGCGCAAATCATGGAAATCGGGCTTTGGAGGATTTTCTTACCCCTCTAGACCCTCAATGGTCAGCCTCAGCGGTATCTCTGCGAGACAGGATCAAGGCTTGTGCAGCGTCATTAGACCATCTAAACAAGCCCATCGCCTCATCATCGATTGGTTTGCTGATCAGAATGCACTCCATGCTTGCCGAAGGAATTCTGCAAGAAATCGAAGTGTGCAGGGACTTGGAAAGCCTGATATTGCTACAAGAGCAAGCCTGGATAGAAGCTTCGACTACAAGGGCTCTTTCTGAGACAGAGAAGCATTATGGCGCACAGGTCAGCCAGGTTACCAACCGGAAAGGCATCTGGGACACGCGGAAAGCCGGTTAACCACCCAGCCCAAAAGGCTTGAAGAGGGCGAACAGCAATCGACATGGTTTCCAGCACGGATCCAGATGCATGAGCTCTTGCAAACCCCCACCTGTCAGACCGCGCCGACTAAAGGATGGCGCGACAACTTCGTGTACCCAAAATTGACCAACATCCTCCACGGTGCCCGGATCGGTGTCTTGCAACTGGTTCTCTGTGTGAAAATGCAGATGAGGGAAATAATGCAGTGTATTAAGGATGAAACTTCTCATCAAAAGAAAGCATCAGATCTGGTAAGTGGACATGTGGAGAAGGAAAGCCTGATGAATGACGGCCGGGAGACCAACAACAAGTGGAGAACTTTAGGAGTACAGCTCCAGGATCCTGCTTCAAGGGGAATATTAGGTGAAAAGAAAAAAAAAAAAAAAAGGGTTTGGATTAATCATCACACATCCTCGTGTTTCTGTTCTCGACAGCCCGGAGCACGGCGGATTAGTGGATCTGAGTCAACAGTGGATCCATTTGACAGTGCGCAAAAACTGCCAAATCACGGGGCAAGCTCAAGGCCAAGGAATGCACAATGACGCTCTTGAGCTGGCAGCATTCGGACAAATTCCATGCTGGAACGGTTGACTGGCCTGCCGAAATCCCCAGGATCAAAAAGTTGAAAGTGGAACCTTCCTGGAAGGGCCAACGTAAAGCTGGAGTCATACGGAATATCGTCGGGATTTCCTAGAGCATATGAATAATACGATCTGAGTTTTGCCGTCGTGCGCATGACTGGGAGAAAATTGTGCAATAAAACAAATCTTGTAGTGTCTGTGGTCCAGGCCGGATGTTGTACTCGCCTCTCACGGAGACTCCAGCACAAACTTTCAAGACCCTGAAAGCCTGGCGGGCTTCTCCTGCTTGGTCATCCTGTCCTGGGCAAGGATCTTATCGATCCGGCCCTTGTTCTGGAAGTATATTTTGTATATCCAGTTTCAGCGCCACGTACGCGTAACGCAGGTGGTTTTTCCGGGGCTTGTAATTTTCTAACAGGAAGCAGATGGTATGAAGAGACTGGCTGGTGGATTGAGGTATAAGATATGAACTGGCCTTGACTCGGTTTGCCGATCTCTGCTGAATAGTCTCCAGCGGGGGGAGCATTCGGGACAATCACTGGCGTAGCACTTTGTAGCTGAGTGGCCCATTGTGAAGGAAGGAATAAGTCAGTCGTCTGCAGTCAGCCAGCCCTTGTCAAGTCACTGCGACTTGTCTTCATACCGGGGAGAGCATACCCAGGGGAGTTTGTTGGCTTCGGCCTCGGCTATTGGTGAGGAGAGCAATTACCTGGGAGGACTCAAAATAGTTACGGAGGAATACGATGGGTATCCAGAGAGCAGCAAGGTCGGCAATGATAGTAGATTAGCTAGGGCAAGTTTAGCACCACGTGGTGTACTTGGTCCAAGTCTGGCGAGCCAGGGAGACGAATCCAAAGCCCATTAGGCATTCGATCTTGTTCAGGCTTTTGTGCTGGCCACTTCATCGTACGAGCCCAGTTAGGCTTAGCTGTGCATATCATGAAACCTGAAGCGTAGTTGGTTGGCTCCGCAGTGGAAGTTGAATGAATGCTTGCAGCCCGGTGGACACTACCGGATTATCATCAGTAAAGGCGGGCGGGTTGAGGAGACCATGACATGCTACTAAAGGCATCTGCAAGCGTTCTGCGATTCGTCCACCCGGCCGTAATGGCGTTGGAGGGCCAATTGGGGGGGCTACGATACGAGAATCGGGGTACGCCGGTCGCAATCAAAGTTGGGATATTCTTGGCAATCTGGTTATGTAATAATTGTCACAGCAATTTGGTTTTTGGGTGGTTTCCAGTGCTTGCCCATCTACCATCAAAGCCAAATCCATATCCATTCCCCGACAACTACTCTCCTCTGCTAGGCTTCGTGCCCCTCGCATAAAACTCTTCGGACTATCAATTGTTCCTCCTGGTCTTTTCTCCGGATCTTGGTTTCTGGTGAAATCTCTCTGTCCTCTCGTCTTCGTCTCCTTGCCTCCCTACCACCGTACCACCTCACCATCTTCAGCTCCCTACCTCACTTATATCCCGAATGAACTGACGATATCCTACCCAGTTCAACTCCTCCGATAGGTGAACTGTATCCCCACACCCGTGAACTCAGTACCCGACGTCGCCTCCGTTGAAGGAAGGGGGTAACCCGAAAGAGGAAACATCAAACATAGACACAATGGAGGACACCATCACGCAAAAAAAAAAAAATACCGTGACTGACTCGAAACTCATACAACCTGTCGTGGCATTTGGGAGAGAAAGACAGTGGCTGCATGATGATTGGAGCTGGGTCTGCCCACTGCCCATCTCCCAGTCCAGATGAGGCTGTCCGTTGCAGTTGCTAGCTAAACCCCATCCATGTAATCTCTGACTATAACTGGTCTCCCTCTCCGACCAGCTTTGATCTTCTGCCCGCTGACATCGCCCATGCAACCCTCTTCTGAGTTTGGCTTGATTTGCTCCCTCAGTATTCGCGAGTCCTAAATCAACTCTTTTTTTCACCCTTCCCAATCCTTCTCGATCTCTCTCTTTCCCTCTCTAGATGCTTCTCCCGTGTCCAATCTACGATCGTCTTCCGCACCTGCCCGTTCTCCACTGGCCGTACTCGTAACTGATTCCTCGAGACGCACCTCCCCCAGCTTAGGTATGCTCTCTCACTGGCTTTTGTCGCACCCTGTGAGCATGCTCTATTCCCAATTCGCCCCTTGCGCCCGCACTTTACAATAAATCAAAATCGAGGGATTGAGAGAAGCGAAAGAGAAAAAAAAAATTAATTTCGCCTCTTCTTTGGCCTGCCACGCGCGTCTTGCTCCCGTCCACTATTACCTCAAATGTTGCCTTGCAGACTCCACCTCCCTTCAAAAAGGACTCGAAGCTGGTGGGAGATCAGAGGAGGTGATGGACAGTGGTACCCATACTCCAGATGATCCAGATGATGTGAAGTTACGACCGCCCATGGCTTCCGGGCTCTTACTCTCACGTGTAACCAGTGCGCCTGAGCCCAGACGACCGGATGATCGTTTTCTTCCGCCTTTCGACCATACACCGCGCAAACGCGAATCCCCCATGGACCGCCCCTACCAGCGATCTGTCACCGAGCTTTCGTCGCCTTCGACCAAACACTTTTGGCCCTCCGGAGGTTCCAGCCCCCGAGGCGAGGTGGAAGATGCACCGGACAAGCGTATCCGCTTAGATAATATACCCGAAAAGACGGAAGCTGGAGAGGACTCGTCAAAGAGAAGGATGGATTCTTACGTATGTGCAAGATCTGGTCCCTGTTATAACCTGCGGAAGTGTTCCCAACTGACCGTCTCCATTGCCGCCAGACAAGTCATTATGTTTACCCGCCCGAGCGTCGCCCGCCCATTCAACCTCCAGATGGCGGTGCCACGTATCGGTCGTTTTTTGGATCGTGTGGTAATTGCTCAGATACTGAATCCATGGCGTTGGAACTGGTTAGATGCTTTTTGGAGCTTCAATCTGAGATCGCCCAAACTCTATCCGTACCGACCGGCCACAAAAGTCCTTTGGAGGTAAGCCACGGTTCGCCCCGTTGAAATGGCATATGCTGACAGGACAAAAGTCAATCGGGATCCAAGTGACTAAACTAGGCCTCAAACAATCTCTCACATGGACCATTGATGAAATACGAAATACCACTCGCCTAGTTCAGGGTAATGCAGCCACCAAGCCGGGTTTACCCCCTTTGTCCGATGTCGTCCCGCCGCCGTTCGTAAACGACATACGCCGTCTCTCCATACAGGGCCAGGCCTCAGCTCCCCCCCATATAAGTGACCTCCGGAGGCTACCCCTCTCCCAAGATCATCCTACTCGAACTGATGATTTCCACCGAAGAGCCACCGACCATCCTTCTGACCAGATGCCTCGACCATTTGAGCAAACACTCCCGTCCATTCCACAGGGAGAAGAAATGAAGCGGAATCTTCCCTATGAGCAGATGCCGCCAGGCACGGGGCAGTCGCCGCATCCCTCATCATCCAGCTCTGTCTTTGGTTCTATTCAATCACCGATGCAGTCTCAACCATCCAGTCGCACTCTACCGTCCCCCCCGGGGGCCCAATTCCCCAGGACAGGCGGTTCAGGCTCAGCACAATACTCGCCGACAACGACGCAATCCGCCCACAATTCTCACCTCCAGGACCTTCAACATCAGATATCAACCAAGACATTGGCACTACAAACCCTACAACGTGAACATGATCAACTCCTGGCGGCATTTTCCCGATCACAAATCCGATGTACCGCTCTGGACAAAAAGTCACAAGTGTCAGATCACGAAATTAGCACATTGACTGAAGAGAAAATTCGCCTCCAGCAGCAGGTGGAAAGTTTGGAAGCCCAGGTCCAGGATCTGATCAAGTCACGCGATGAAGTACATCAGCAATCCACAGCGGATGGGGCACAGTGGAGGCAAATTATGGCAATGTCATCACAACTACAACTTAAAGGGGCTGACGAAGCGCGGCGGTTTAAGTTAGAACGCGAATCCTGGGAGCACGAACGTATATCGCTGCACAGACGAATTGAAGAACTCGAGTCTGGTAAGGAAATCCTTCCCGAGACGAAAAAGGCGGTGTCTGGCTCCACGACCCCTGTGGCAAACGATTCCATTCTGACTTCCGATTCCATCGAGGTTCTTAGAGAAGAAATAACCAGGCTCAGGCGCCACTGCGCCGAATTGGAACTAATGCTGCAAGAACTTGCGGGAGAGACTGAACAAATTGATAGTGCCATCAGCGCGATGGAGAATGTTCGGAGGACCCTTGCAAGCAAGAAACGTCGTTCAGATGATAGCTAGGTGAGGCGACTTCCAGATTGAGATAGAATACTGAGGACTCGGTGGGAGGTTTCAGCATATTGTAAGACCTTGCATCCCTTTCTTTTTTTTCCCACCCAGTACCTCGGAGCCTCAATGGGTCTTTTCGCACCGCATTCGTCCAAAGGCGCGGGACCTACCTAGTGATCCGGCCTTCCCTGGCGAGTGGGTCTCTACGACTTGAATGATGGTCCATGTGGGATTATCTTTGCCTTGTGGGCCGAGGTACATTGAGAGAAGAGTATCGAGATCAGGATAAGGCTGGAAGCCGAAATTTCTGATACACATCCAATGGGGATGCAGCAGAACTTCTAAAAGAGTTATGCATGGGGTAATGGCAAGCAAACCTTACGTGTGACATACTGTACGGACTGCCCGCCGCGTGAAGCGGCTACCGTTTGTACGTATCTGTTGCAGATACTGGAAAGGGTACGGGATACGATACAGTCACTAGGCAAGGGAGTGGGAGGGGATGTAATACCACCACCAATAGGAGAGTAGACCGGACTCCGGACATCGGGCCTCGGGGCACTACGTTGTTGTCAAGGATGTGTTGTGTTGAGAAGCTGACTGAGATATGGAGAGCGCCGTAGCAACGGGGAATGCGTCGTAGTAATACCTCGATCACTCTGGTAAATTTCGTCACTCAGCAAACACCCCGGCGAATAGAGTGCAAATGGAAAAAGAAAATTTGCACGTCAAGAGGTTCTTTCGTACCGATAGAAGACTTCTGACCGATCTTCTCAAGTAAGGAGGTGTGGCAGTGGAAAGCGGCTGATCCAGCCGATGATGGAGTAGAGTTCGAGGAAGTGGCCACTGAGCACTGGACCCAGTAGCAGTCGATAATACATACCACGCTGTACCTAGCGACGACGGCGAGGATGATAACGAACAATTCTGATGTCTGTCAGCGAGAGACCGATGGCAAGAGGAATATTTACTTTTACAATCCTGGTGAGTCGGCGCAGGATATTGCAGTTGTGACTAGCCCAAGACTAGCAAGAGCCCCTCCATCGAGAAGCATCTCGCATCATTTCATAAAATATTAACCATTCACATACATTTCACTTCTCACCCAGTGGCACCCTCTGGCCAACGCCTCAATCTTGATTTGCCACGTCCGGAGGGTGCTTGCATCCTCGGAACTTGCCAACCAGCTAATTTCATATGCCACAAGCCGTGTCGGATCTTTGGTATCCGCCAGCCCAGCTCCAGGCCAAACCTCATCTCACTGCCACGTCAAGCCGAGGTCAGCACTCCTTCCTACCCCAAGGTTGAATCTGTTGCATGCGTCGATCCCTATATCCTTTCCGACTCCCGGTTAGCTCGCCATGGGCGATAATTTCGATGTGAGACTGTTGAAACGGGCCTTGGGGGCGACGAGGACAAACCGGTCCATCAAAACCCTGTACGGCGATAAAGCGTGGGTGGAGGATCTCGATATCATCAATGAGTTGGGAGCACATACTGGCTGTGTCAACGCTCTGAGGTCTGTCCTCCTCCTTCTTTTTCCCTTGCGGACGTAACATCCTCTTGCTGACTCTGGCAGTTGGTCAGCCGGTGGCAATCTGCTCGCCTCTGGTTCCGACGACACGTATCTCAACATCTGGGATTACAACCCCACTGGCATCGCAAAGCCCTTCTCCTTGAACACGAGTGTGAATACCGGCCACCATGCCAACATCTTTTCGGTCAAGTTCATGCCCCACTCGAACGACCGCACCGTCGTGACCTGCGCCGGAGACTCTGAGGTCCGTGTCTTCGATCTGGAATATGGTGGCGCTACCCAAAGCGGCTCAACCGACTCGAGCTTTGCTGCAAGCACAAGAAGCCGGAGGTTCAATAACTTCTTCCGCAATGCCAGGTGGCTAAATGAAAGTAACACCAATGCCCGTGTATACCGAAGCCATGCAGACCGGGCCAAAAGAATTGTCACGGAGTCGAGCCCGTATCTGTTCTTGACCTGTTCCGAAGATGGAGAGGTACGCCAGTGGGATCTCAGACAACCATCGTCCGCATATCCTTCGCCGCGAGATGGACGAGGCTTCGGGAGATTTCGTGGGAACTCAGACCCTGACGCTGGAGACACGCCTCCACCGCTGATTTCATACAAGAGGTATGCACTGGATTTGAACAGCATCTCCTGTGCAGCCAGTCAACCACAGTACATTGCTCTGGGTGGAGCTCATCTTCATTGCTTCCTGCACGACCGACGGATGCTTGGTCGAGACCTTGACATCGAGAAGGGTCGCCCGACGAGCCGCAGACCCACCGTGGGGACTTACGAAGATGAGGCCATGGCTGAAGCCACTCGGTGCGTGCGAAGATTTGCGCCCAACAACAAACGGAAAATGGGCCCTGGTGATCACGGTCACATCACGGCTTGCAAAATCAGCGATGCCAATCCGAATGACATGGTGGCCTCCTGGTCTGGGGATCACATCTACAGCTTTGATATTGTGAAATCCCCAGATGCCAGAGAGGCCGATGCCCGAGAGGATGCGGCGTTTCAAGCCGCTCGCCTCAGAAATCGATCCGATCGGAAGAGAAAAAGAGTCAAGGCAAATGCCTCTTCTAGCAGTCTGGGAGAATCGGCCAATCCTACTAGACGCCTGCGAAGGGTCCCAGATGATCAAGCAGAGCATGGTCACACCGCTCTACTGGCAAGTTTCCACGACGGGGAGTCAGAACTATTCCCGTTGCACTCCGTCGGTTCTAGTCCCATCCCCGGGCTCCCCATTTCCCATGAAACATTTCTTTCAGAAACCCAAAGGTCGAGTGAGCGAGTGGCAAGGTCACTAGTCCAACTTCGAAAGACCTTGTTCGATTTTTCTGCTTCGTTGAGGGAAGAAACGGCGGCTTCTATGGAGAATTCTGCGGAGCTGACCTCTCATGGAGCGACCTTTACAACGGCACTCGGTCAATGTGCTTCTCTACTTCCCCAGATGGACGAGATCATTCGCACTTGGTCGTATCCAATAAATCCGAGCGAAGAAGATGTTGCGCTGCAGAATACTCTGCGGAGAAATCGGCAGGCTAGCTGGCGATTCGTCCAAGCTTCTGGCTGCCTATCAAGGTGCCTTGGCGGACGTTTACAAAGTTTGAGTTCGGCTCCGGACGTCAGACTAGCTTATTTTGACCAGATTAAGCCTGCAGCGCACGAAGGGAAGAATATCCGCAGGGAGTCGAGATTTTGTTACGACTTCTTGAAAGCAATTCTCCTCTGGCTTGATGGAGGTCAAGAAGCTGTTTTGCAAGGATTCAAGAGACCACCCAATGTGAGTGGCGAAAGCCCGCGCTTCCCACTCGATCAAGATGATAGCGTACAGAGCTTGGTCCCAAAGCTGCAAACGTATCTCTTGGATCTCGCAGATGACGACGTCCCGGTGGTTGACTTGGACGCAAACCGATTTGAGCGAGACGAGACTCGGATGGTCTTCCCCAGCCAAAAATCAGCCGTTCACGCATTTACAAGGGCGGTTGCTGAGATCAAACTCGAAGCGAGACAAGGGATGTCCGAAACCCAGGTAGACCTGTCGAGTCCAAGCACCACAGTACGCGTCATGGACAAAGGAGCAGCAGCAAGACTCTGGGGGGTCAAGGTAGGCCGCTCTCTTCTCATGCGTGCTGCAGAAGGAGTCACGTTCGATTACGTCAACCGAGCGTTTGGAGGCTTGAGCTTGCATGGCCTTTTCGAATCCGAAGACATCGAGCGATCTCAAGAAGACATTGACCCGGACGAAGAGGAACGTGTGGTGGAAGCAATTGACCTAGCGACGACCACGGGCGCCTCAGACGTTCGGGCAGAAGTGTCTGTTCACAACACGCGTCAGTTCGGATCTTCTCCGGAATCACCACCGACTACTCGTGACACCACCCGAGGGTCCACTCATTCTGATGTTGAAATGAGCACTCCACCTACTGTCCATGTTGAGGACGCGGATGCTGATGAAGACGAGGGAGATGGTGTGGATGATGCCGAGGATGACGAAGATGACAATGAAAACGTCGAATCCGACTCTGAGCCATCTGATTCTGATGATGACGAAGACGATGGTGCTCAGCGTATTCTCTTTCGTCCGCGGTCTGGGTTTGCACGAAGGCGTGAACGTGTGTCGGTGAATCTAGACGTGCCATACTCATCTCATACCAAAGTCTACAAAGGCCACTGCAACACACGGACGGTGAAAGACGTCAATTACTATGGCTTGAATGACGAGTACGTGGTGAGCGGATCCGACGATGGTAATTTCTTCATCTGGGATCGCAAAACGTCCAAGATCCTCAACATTTTGGAAGGAGACGGTGAGGTCGTGAATGTGGTCCAAGGTCACCCCTACGAGCCGGTGATTGCCTGTAGCGGCATTGACAGCACCGTCAAGATCTTTGGACCGGGAGGCGAGAGCCGGGAGCGTGAGAAGGCAGAGAGAGGGGTGGATCTGGCCAATCCACCAGGTAGTTTGCATAGCTCGTTACGATTCGGGGGCCGAAGAAGTGCTAGACAAACGCGACACGGCGAGGACGACGATAGTGATGATGCTGAAGAGAATGGAACATCGTCCGGGGGACTTAAAAGCCGTCGTGCCATGCACCGGAGTTATGAAATTACCAGTCAAAACGATGTGGAACGCCGACGCAGCGCAGGAGAGACATTTCTCACGGTAGGTTCCATGGAAGAACTGTTGGCACGGGCGTGGATCATGTCCAGCCTGCATATGATTTGACGTGAATTGCAACCATGGGTGCTGACATCGTTGGTGTCATGCAGGAGGGGATGCTCGCCAGATTTGCCATAGCATTGCAACGAGGCCAGATAGAAGCGATTGGAGGTCAAGGATTTGGAGGTCAAGGCGGTACTATCGTCGTGGATGACAACTGTTCGGTAAGAATGGAGCTTTTTTTTTTTTTCTGTCGCTTTTGTCGTCTTCTTGTCACGGCTGACTAAATTCCCCCTGCGTTAGGTCATGTGATATCATCCTGGCTTTCCGCGCGCGGCCGAGATTACTGGCTAGCGTCCCAGTACTACCATCTATCCGGCTTGCTGACTGGTGAAGAAGACCACTGCCTCATTTGGCTGGCCGACAAGGAGTTAGGGGACAGGAACGACGAGAAGTTTCCTGGCCTCGCAGAAGAAGAATACATTGCCGGTCACCGCGGAATATTGGCTGGAATGGTCAATGAGGGATGACAGGGGTAAACTCATTCAGAAATATGCGTCTTTCTTTTTCAGGTATACGGTGAATTGACAGCAACCTGGGGGGAACTGGGGAGGGACCCGCAAAATGACAACACGAATACACCAGTTGTAACTACGACTTTGGCGTTCTCTATACCAAATATACCAAAAACCCCATTCTCGATTCTTTAGCTTCTCTTCAGGGTCAGCGTGGTCTGATGGCGTTACAACAAGTGGTACTTCGTATTCAGAATACGGGAATGCTTCCAGCCGAAAGGACAATGTAGAGTGCCAGAAGGAGATGGCCCGTATTGGGAGTAGTAGGAGGTTTCCGGACTGCTGCTTGAGGAATTCATGTGTACAACATGGAGTTGATGCTTATACATATGTACCAGTGCTAGAGACATGGTACTTGTACGTTGTATGCCAAGGCTACACCCAAAGACCCCGGAGGGAAAGGGGCCTCTTCCACCCATCCCACCATTGATCTCTCCTCATACCTCTACCCGATTTCGCCAGGATCAGTCGCTATGGACCACCATGGTGATACGGCTGACCTGTCCCAGTTGCCACCCTATCTGCAAGCGACCATACATCAGCTCGGAAAGGACCTCGGCCAAGTTCCACTCCATCTTCCCTACGGACCACCCCTACGAGAGATCAAGTTGTTATGCGATCCCCAACAACAGTACACACATCTCCTGTTGGCTCGTCACAGATTGACTGAGCAGCTGTCCAACTGTCCAGGCCTATCTCCAGAGCTTATCCTACGGCGAGCCGCCGTGTACGAGGCTTTAGGATACAACGAGCTCGCCCTGGCAGACGCTTACGTGTCGTACACCCTCTGCGAAATTGTCTTGGAAGGCACAGATATCTCGGATCTCGAGCCCACGGGATTGAACGGCAACCCATGGCCGCCGTTGGGTGACAACGCCGTCGCCCTGGCTCACAAGTATCGGTCTTTGATCCTGCTGTGTCGATCCGCTCTCATCCTGGGCTGTCAACATCAAGCTAAGCTTTGGATCGACGACTTGCTTGATCTGACAGACGCCTCACAGACGACCGGCGAGAAAAACTTAGACGCAGAGCAAGATGCCGTGGTGGCAGACTTTTGTGATTTCTTTGCTATCTACAGGGAGGATGGCAGCTTTCAACAGAGCGTCTCGGAACTCAGACGGAATCCCAAGCCGACTCTCTTTGGCCAGAGTCAGCGGCAAGTGTATCCCTGGAACGAACATGAACCTAATAGGATGTCTCGAGGAGCTCTGGAAGAGATCAACACAAAGCTTCGGGAGGTTGCCGATGGCCTCGAGGTGGAAATATCGGTTTTGCCGAATTTGACCTCATCGAGCAGTCCTCCGAATGAGACGGAGAGGCCATCGCATCCTGACAGAAGAACGTCTGGTTCTACGCCGTCTGAGAATTCTTCTCAGTTGGGCCTCTTTGCCAAAAGAGATTTGTCACCAGGGTCGACGATCCTGGAAGAAAGATCGGTATTGACTGCTATTCGACCGCATGGAGAAGCTCTTTGTGATGCCTGTGCCGCTAATATGGAGAGTATCCATCCAGAGGATCGATTCTACTGCACGGGATGCAACATCCCCTTCTGCTCTGAAGCTTGCTACTTGGCTGCAAAGCGCAAATATCACACGTCTAACGACGAAGATGATGAGACAGATGAAGGTTACCCGCCGGCTAACAGCCCCTTTTGCCCTGGAACCCATGGAAATGAAGATATACACATTCTTGGTCGTGCAGAAGGTTCTACGACTCCCGAATGGGATTTGTATTTCCTACTACTGTCACGGACAATGCAGATGGCCGAGACTCAGAAAGTTCATCCCCTTGATCTGTTTGAGATCAAATATCTCTGGGGGGACTTCTCTCCCGTGCCCGAACTCGGCAATCGGCCTGCGCAAAGTGGGCCTAAAACATTGCCGTACTGTGTCCGTCATCATGTCGAGCTCCCTCTCCAGTGGTTTGAGGTTCTCATGCACTCACGAGAGGAATGTAGGCCGTATAGTGCGCACTGGCTGAAGAAGTACGACTGGTGGATCATCCAGACTCTCTTTGCCAAATTTCGAGGAGTGGCCGACGCACAACAATCAACCTGGACCGGTAAGCCGGAAGTGGCTGCGGTACATCCTCTTTGGTGCCTAGCAAATCATAGTTGTAACCCCAATGTTACCTGGAAACCCTCTGGGGTGAGAAGCCTGACGGTGGTGAAAGAGAGGATATGGCAACCTGGCGGATCTGAGAACAACGTCGAATGGACAGGTATCAAAGCGGGAGAGGAAATCTGGAATCACTACACTGATATCCATGAAAAGGACTTTCGGCGGCGAAGGGACAGATTACAAGCAGTGCTGGGGGGAGACTGTCGATGTGAGAGATGCACCGTCGAAGCCAGCCTGGCGGAGTGGCACCACGACGAAAACGCGGCCGTTCACATCGCACCGGATCCACGGTGGCTGGAATGAAATCGTGTCTTCGAAAGAGCTGTGGCATGACATCAGTCGACCATCGATTCAGCAATGTACCTGAAAAAGCTATTGGCTGATTTATTTTTGCGTTGCCGCCAATGACGCCAATTGTCCAAGAAGGTGGCTTTCCATGGGATTTCGACCATTTAGGCGTTTGGGCAAATCCCTCGCCTAGCCCCGAGTGCCATCCGGCTTGTCCCTTCCAGTTGTTTCAAAGCCTCACGCGACCCAAGAACAGGAACAGACGATTCGCAAGACCCCGAATTCCCCTTGTTTTCTAGTCTCGGGGCAAAATCTAAACGCTCATTGTGGCTGAGCGAATGAATTCTTCTCGGCGGTGTCGTCAATCATGTTTGACAACCAACAGTAGGTGCGACTCGATCCGTTCTTCAAGGAATTCGTCTGCTGTTCTGTGAAACTTCACATACCTCCAGGCGCGTAAATGAACTGCGACGACCGCGAATATTCCGCCGCATATTCCCATTACATTCCTTCATCTCATTCACATATCGAAAGCAATGGACCACTATCAGAAGCCGCAGGACCTCGATGAACGACCTTCTTCCCGCTTTGCAGCAATGAGACCTGACAGAAAGACACTTCCGCGTCTATTTCGCAATCTAAAATATTTCTTCCTCGACTCCTGGTTCGACATTATATGCATACTCATCATCGCGGGCATTGCAGGAGCTGTACGTCGACATTATCGCCCCTTCTCACGCACCAATGCCACTAGCGACTGACCGACAGCACAGGTCTGGATAATCCAAGCCCACCCGTCCCTACTCTTCCCCCTCCTCGCGCCCGACGGTACGACATATAATCCTTCAATATCCTACCCTTACCGAGAACCGATTTTTTCTTCCCTGGCTGCCGGTTTAATTTGTGGATTCATTCCGGCCGCCATCATCCTCTTCGCGCAATTCTGGGTTCGCTCTTTCGCGGACTGTTCTTCCGCCATCTTGGGTCTGCTATACTCCCTATCCTCAGGGACGTGTTTCCAGGTCATCCTGAAGAAGTCCATCGGCGGGTTGCGCCCACATTTTTTGACCGTCTGTGAGCCCGTCATTCCTGAAGGCGTCGTGGGCCAAGGATTCAATGGTATCATGTACAGCGTTGGGCAAGTGTGTACGGGTAATCAATCAGACGTTAACAATGCGCTGCAAAGTTTTCCATCAGGACATACTGAGGTCGCTTTCGCCGGGCTCGGGTATTTGACCATCTACCTCTTTACGCATTTGAGGATTGGAGATCGCGATAGAAGCGTCAAGGCAGGCTTCTGGCGCATGGTGGCTGTTCTCGCCCCTATTCTACTCGCGACGTACATTTCTTGCACACTGGTTCTTGGGTACCATCACCATGCATATGACTGTTTCTTCGGCGCGGCCATTGGATCCTTGACGGCCCTCTTGGGATACCGCACCGCGTTCCGCAGCATTACTGACTCGAGAACGAATTGGAAGCCGAGAGTTGGTCGGAGATTGAAGAGAGCATTGGAGAGCGATGCCACAGAGTCGGATGAGCATGGACATAGAGATCTTGAAGAGGGATTGACTGGTGGTGTCGGTGGTGGTGTTCACGTCAACGGTAATGCCAATGGCGGGGAAGGGGACAGGGCCAGGGGAATCCAGCTCGTCAACGGCGACAGACGTGCCCCGTTCAGACGGGGTGTGAGAGAGTCTCTGAGTGACGGTGATACGGAGAACGAGAACGAAGCACGTAATTGAGGATCACATCGTTAGAAAGCGAGGACCACAGGACTTATGTTAAGTTTGGGTAGTCCCATTATTGATAGACACTAATACCGGTATAATTGACATGCCTGACTCTGGTATAGAGTTCAGACATTTGATGGACCTATATTTCTTGCATTTCTTGTCGTCGTCTTTCTCGTCTTGTTCCTTGCACAATTCGATCCATTCGTTCAATACCGAGCATTAGCACATACTCAGCTCACGATCGGTTCCGGCAATAGAAGATCGATGGGGCCGTGGTCGAGGCCCAGACGTTGAAATGATCAGGTCAAATCATCATATCGAAACATCAAAAGGAGCCCCAGGAAGCACCGTAGGCATAAGCATAAGCATTGCCTTCAATATATTCGTTGACTCATCGTATCCCGCTAAATTCTTGTGCCTCTCTACCTAGTGGACTAACACGATCATCGCTCAAATTTCAAATCGGCGCGGGTTCACGCTGCGGGTTTCGATAGAGGCGATTCATTCGGCGATGGAGGACGATTACTCGTGCCTCCTGCATCTGTTTCATCCCTATCTCTATCTCTTTCCTTCGTTTTTTCCTTCTCTTTTTCTCTCTTCTCCTTCGCAGCTTCTCTCTCACGCCTGCGTCGGCGGCGTTCTTCCCTCTCATCCTCACCACTCGCATTAGCACTAGTACTAGCACTCACGCTCGCACTCGCGGGACATGCTGAAGTCAGCGGGCTCAAGCCGATACCTAGCCCTTGTCCTCCTGAGGCCGGAGTCCCTTCTCTGTCCTTGCGGTCGCGCGTCTTTCGCCTGACACTGGCCGTGGAGCTGACGCTGCTTCCGCGCCGGACGCGCTCGGGGAGAGGGCGCTCCACGCTGCCGTCGAGGTCGAGATGAGGCGTCGAAGACCGCGATGATTGTCCGCTTCGACTGTGCGTTGAGTCCGTATCGGGACCTGTCCTGCGTCGAGTTCCGGTCCCCCCCGCACCGCGGGCGTGGCCGTCTTTTTCGGAAAGTGAGGCATGTCGAGACGAGTGGCCATGTGCATGATGACCGTGGGGATGTTTCTCGAGATCATGATGGCGTCGGGAATGGCGTTGGGATGTCAATCGCCAGGCTCCCGTCCACCACTTCCAGCCACCGACTTCTTTCGCTCTGGCACGGCGTTGGAGGTTGAGTTTCCTCCGCAGTCCGGCGCGCCGCTCGTTTTCCTTTTCCCAATACTCAGTCCGGTATTCTTCCCAGTTCTCACGGAACTCGGGGCTGAAGGATTTCGGGAGCAGGAGGAGCATGATCCCGTCACCGCCTTGGGCTAAGTCTTCTTCCACAATGACGCCCGTCTCGTGCTCTACCAGGTGCCAATCTGATCCGCCCGCTTCACGCCACAGGCCAAAAGGCAGAAGGAAAGCTAAGTGGCCGAGCATTTCTCGCCAGAATTTACCGCGGATGACCACCACGCGGAGATTGAAAGGTCGAAGGCCACGGTTCGTGGTCCCCAGCCATTTGCGCGGCCAACGGATACCTCTTTCCCATTGTCCGGTGCCCCAGACCAATAAAACCGTAACTGCGCCGCACATGAGGGCTAGTTTTTCTAAAGTTTCCACGACCCAGTAGACCGAACCACCGAGACCCATCCCGTCTTCTCGTGGGCGGAGGAAGAGGGCGTAGAAGAAGAATCCATTCCAGAATGCGAGGATAAGGAGGAAGAAAGTGTTCAGACGTCGTCGAGAGACGAGGTGGAGGTACTGTGCTCGAAGAGAAGACTCGAGGATTAATAGGTTTAGATAGATCTGAGGAGGAGAAGATGGAAGAGTGGAAAGGTGAGGGTCGAGCATATATTTCTCGGATTGAGAGGACTTTCCCAGAGCAGGGAGGGGTGTTGCTGGAGGGGTCTTGATGTCAGTCGTAGACGCTCCTTTGACGATTTGATTTAGTCGCGATTCAGAAGCCATGGCAGGGAAGGCGACCAAGGCCGATGCGGCTGTGGTAGGAACTTCAGCGTGAATCACCTGGGTGCCATGGATGAAGGTCAGAGGTGGATGTCTCTCTTGAGACTCTGTTCGGGTCATTCACCAGAGAGTGCCGGAATGCAACAGAGGCGTTACTCGGCCCTACTACTCTTTCATGAATCCAACTCTTTCGTGTCCCCCCAAGGCATGCTCGCGCTCAACCGAAGGTCAGAAGGGCTAGGATGGGGGAAGAGGACGGAATCAATGCTAGTTCGACACAGGAGTCTCGGTTTCGAAACGAACTGCAAAATAAGAGGGTTATACACGCCAGATCCGACCAAAACCTCGTGTTGACCGGGTGCACAGCATGGGAGTATGCTGCGCAAAGACGGACGAGATGGAAAAACCCGTGTCTAAAGTCCGGTCGCTTCCTCCGGCCGAATGCTTGTCCGTCCCCCCTCCGTATTGTTCTCTCCATACCATTCTCGTATCCCTTGCAATCTACCGCAACCATGGTGACGACTTCTGAAAAGACTCCTTGCCTCGTACGTCAATGGTGCTGCCTCTAGGACCCATCCATCCCTCCATTCATTCTGGCATTAATTGCGCTGCCTGATTTTCTCTCTCGCCTTTGAAGAATCTAGAGTACAACTCCTAATTTAATCGAGCTTCACCTCGCTCCCACAGTTCGTGTATGAGACGAACTCTACCTTCTTCTCTCCTAGAGGCAGCTCCCAAGACTACAGGCACCTATTCGCACCACAATCGTTCCTTACGATTCCAATCTACCGCAAGTGTCACTGAAGAGGAAAATTTCCCTCCAACATCTCACCGTCCACCCCTTATGTCGGCCGACGCAGCTGAGTCCGATACCGGACTTCAGACTCGTCCCCAACAGAGTCCCCTGGCCTCGAGACGCAGCCAGGCAGAAAATCCACGGAGGAGGAGGCTCGAGGGTCTCTTCCCTCTCAGCTACAAGCAAGGATTCAGTCAGTGGTGGACGGCATTACCTGCGGCCCAAGCTGAACATAAAGTCCTTTCTTTTGTCCCTTACCTGCGAACGCCTCCGACACATACACAAATTGGTTCTGAACCTCCCTCTGCGAATGCTTCAACACTCTCAGTCAACTCTTCCCCCTCCGCGGAAGCCACGTCTGTGACGACAAGTTCCATCACCGACCCATACGGCCCTCGAACATGGTATTCGCGAATGGTGCCACTTGGTGGGAAGAACAGAGCATTGAATGAATTCTCCGTCGAACGGACCGGCGAGACCGCCGATCATAATCTCGTCATATTGCATGGTTATGGCGCTGGGTTGGGATTCTTTTACAAGAATTTTGACGCCCTATCGCGAGCACCAGGATGGCAACTCTATGCCTTGGACATGTTGGGAATGGGCCGTTCAACTCGACCACCATTCAGAATAAAAGCAAAGACGCGGGAGCAACAGATTACCGAAGCGGAGGATTGGTTCATCGACTCCCTAGAAGAATGGCGTGTGAAGAAAAAGATTGACAAGATGACCCTGGTCGGCCACAGTATGGGCGGATATATGGCTGTATGCTATGCGTTGAAATATCCAGGACGACTGAACAAGTTGATCCTCGCCTCACCGGTTGGAATTCCCGAGGACCCTTACGCCACCCATGCTGCAATGCCCGAGCCTCCGGAATCAACCCTTCAAAACGAATTCACCCAAGATCAAGCGAGTGAGACGGTGGTGATGACAGACAACAATAATTTCCTAAACGCAGGAAAGAAAGCAGAAGAGGCACGGCAGAAAGCTAATCCCAACCGCATCCCCGTTGACGGAGATGACGAGCTACCCGCCCCAAGACGTCCGTTACCCAAATGGCTGACGTATCTTTGGGATGCAAATATCTCACCATTCAGCTTTGTTCGCTGGTCAGGTCCTCTGGGCCCACGATTAGTATCAGGCTGGACGAGTCAAAGATTTTCACATCTTCCCGTTGAAGAAGCTCGTGCGCTACATGACTACAGCTACAGTCTATTCCGATTGAGAGGGAGTGGTGAGTATGCGCTGGCTTATATCCTCGCACCCGGTGCGTTTGCCCGAAATCCGTTAATTCGACGAATTCATATGATTGGTCGTCGGCAATTGACCCCTGACTCGTCCAACCCTGCATCAGAACCGCAACGGGAAAATGGCATCCCTGTTGTCCTCATGTACGGTGAGAATGATTGGATGGATGTCAAGGGTGGTTACGCTGCAAAAAAGAAAATTGATGCCGAGCGCGCACGTGCATTGAAGGGCAAGTCCGCGGCTGAAATTGCAGAGGACCAAGGAGGTGCCAAAGTCGTCATCATCAAGAACGCCGGCCATCACGTTTATCTGGATAGTCCAGATGAGTTTAACGAGGTCATGCTCGCGGAGATGGAAGATGTGCGGAAACGAAGTGAAGGAAGAAAGAAAGGTGGAATGAAGGGAGTTCGGCTTGTTGAGAGAAAGAGTGACAAAGCACCTTGAGCCAATGAACCACTTTTGGAAACACCTTCAACATCCCGGAATGACCTGCACTGTACAAGGAGAAAGGGGTACGATCCGACAGCATGAATTCCCCCCTATTTCAGCGCATAGTCACTGAGTTATCAACGGCAACAACGTGCTGAACTCTGCCAGATGCCTGTAATGTTGCGCAAGAATCCGACACCCTTCACGAGCTGGCCCCTTTTCCAGGGAGTCAGATCAAGGACTTCAACATCCATTGGCCGACTTATCAAGCTGTATCATTCTCCCTCCCACCCTACAACCCTTTTTCATCTCAAATCTGGCACACTTCTGCCACGCCAAGTCATGCCCCTGGATTTCAGAATAACCGAACGATGATACAACCCTTGTCGACTGCGCAGTCCGGTTGTGGTTTCATCAGGATAAAGCCGAATATACATTTTCCAAGAGGATTCAGGGCGTAACGAAAGCAGGTCGTTTTTGGTTGGGCCAAGCATGTTCTGATTTTTTTGAGCTCTTTGATCATTTTCAATAGAGTGATGCATCGAATTCTCTCCGGGCTGTACTCTCTGATCGAGAGTTGACGTTTGATGTGTCTTGTCTATCATGACGCATTAGAAAACAAGCAATAGAGATTTTGCATTGGCTGTGGGGTGTCATAGACCGAGGTTCAATGGAAAAGAAAACCCCAGGGTATAGAACAATTTCTGGTAGCAGAATGTTTGCAAAATGGATGGAGATTCCTTTAATTAAACTAGAGCAGACGCTTTGGATCTTGCTGTACTCCAAAAGTGCGTAAGGATACTCGCAGTCGTCAAATATCAAGGGAGGGAGCTATAAGGCTGTGAGCCAAAAGGGGAAGATGGGGTGCGCTAAACTGCCTCCTCATATAGACGGGGGTTCTAGAATGGAGAATTTGGTTGGATAGAACAGAACTCGAGATCGTGTTCGTGAGCCCGGGCTTCGTAGTGCTTAAGATGGTCAAATTTACAATGCCGATTCAAGGGCAATAGAATGGACACGAGGTCCGGAAATGATTTGATTGGCAACGTTCAGAGAACACACGGAACAGAACAGCAGTGTCGATAACGAAAAGAGAGAGCAGCGTTGAGATTGTCTTGATGTTGAAAACCCGACTACAATTCACCCGCGGGACACTCTGTTTCTTCCAGCGCAGGAACTTTCTCCTTCGACATCTTATCTCAGTAGCCATGCCCAAGGTCCGGAGCCTCTGATCATCCTCGATCACTGCTCGCTGTTCGCTGTTCCAAGAACGACTTACCACAAGCAGGCGGGCCAGCCGTAATGCCTTCCTCGGATGATCTCACGGGGTCTCATCAACCAAATACACTAGCTTCTCCCCGGAGACCTTCTCCGTTTTCAGATCCTCCAGCCCCTTCAGTACGCCCTCCAATCCACCCTTGCCGACTTTCTCCTTATGCGGCTTCAACTTGCCCTCCGCCAACAGCTTCTCTGTCATCGACATAAACATCTTCGCAAACTCGTAATCCGCTGAGATCGCAGGAATCGTGTTGGGACCCATCTTAAATTCCTCCCCGAAGATACTGTACATGATTGTCACCGTGCTTTTGACGTCGTCGCGGGGACATTTCATCGGCACAATTGCCCCGTATAGACAATCTTTGGAATCTGACGACAAGGCGTCGGCGCAAAACTGTGCGGATTCTTTCACACTGATCGTGTCCCAGGCGAGAGTTAGGGTGTTGGATGTATACGAGCGGATGGTGGCCGGAGCGGAGGCATCGTGATAGTCGAAAACCGCGTCAGCGCCGAGACTTTTGACGTACTCGAAGTTCCGGGGTGAGCAGGTGGAGAGCACAGCGTAGCCTGATCTACACCCAGGGAGGAAACGAGGATGTTAGTTTAGATCTTCGGTTCTGCATGCTGTGGTTAAAAAAGAAGGGGGGAAGGGAAGGACGACAGAAAGTATGTTTCATTTTCTTGACGCGAAAAGAGCGAGAAGGGAATGTTTGGTATATACTTACAACTTTGCATACTGCACGCCCAAAGCACCGGTAGCGGAACTTCCACCGTAGATAAGAACATAATTTTTAGATTTCACCGGATCCGTAGGCAAATTGAGCTTGAGAGCCTGCTGATACAAGCCCTGTCCCACAGTCGCGGCACCCAAAGAGATCGTAGCGGCTTGTTCAAAGCTCATGCCATCGGGGATTTTCATCTGCACATCACCCTTCGCGACAATGTATTCGGCAAAAGCACCATCTTCGGGCTGCACGAAATTACCGCCATGCGCAACGCCGCAGATTCGGTCTCCCTTGCTCCAGGCCTTGGTTACTGCGGGCCCGACTTGTTCGACGATGCCGGAAAAATCGCAGCCAAGCAGACCGTCGGGGGCTGCGAAACCGAAGGCAACGTGCTTCCAGTCTGCGGGGTTGAGAGCCACGGCAACGGTTTTGACCAGGACGTAGTCGTCGCGTAGTTTGGGAAGGGGCCGGTCCTTTTCGACAACGGCTTCGTTGCCGTGCATGGCGATGGCTTTCATGTTTGGATTTTGGATTGGGTACTGTGAAGACGAGAGACAGGGAGAGGCTGTAGGTCAGATATAAGGGGAGTATCAGTCAATGCAAATGCTGCTGGAGTCCTCGACACCTCACAGGTGGTGGAGGGTTAAGAATATCAATGACAGAACGAAAACGTTGATCAGTAGAAGAAATGGGAGCAGTGTAGAGGACGAACATAGAAATATAAATGATGTTGAAATGATATCATTGTTGGAGTTGGAAGTGTTTCACACCATAAATGACCTCAGTAAATACCTGGGAAATGCCACGGCCAAAATTGGATCGAAGTGAAATTTGGATGGGATAGGAGGAGAAATGCCGGCTAACCGTTAAGACAAGACAGATGGATCGGTAATAATGTGTGCATATGCGTTCACTGTTCATTCTGAAAATGAAAAATAAGCCGGAAGTGCAGTAGATCCAGGGAAGGAAAAGGCTGTTAGGTGGAATCATTGCTTTGGCCGCGTTCCACTTGAGCAAGTGGCTAGCAAATCTGGCTTACTTGCTCTGTTCGAACCTGACATGGATGAAAGACCGTCCGTGGGGTTCCTGAAAAGAATCGCAAACAGTTTGTCGAGGGTATTCCGTCGGCAGCTGGGAGGTAAAACTTTTAGATCCAAAATGGAAAGTCCATAATTTATTGTGATGGTTCATGTAATTCCTGTTGAATGCGTGGGGCCTGCTTGTGGTTTGAGGGTAGCCTCAGGCAGCCGACAGTTCTGTGTGCTTGGTTCCGTCAAGATAGCTCCAAGTTAAGATGTATTTTTGATCTTTCTTCAAGTCGCAGCTGACCATACACGCACAAGCCATTCTTGAAACCCCTCAGGTCTGAAAGACACCAACTGATTGAGGTTTGTATTGACAAAATCATAGCGTCCTTCCGCTGTAGCAATCAAATGATGGACTCGAGTTTCTCGAGCACGGTCACCTACTGCTCGAGCATAGGTCAAGGAATCTTGTAAGGAGCTTCTCGTGTAACCTGATATTTCAAAGGATCGTCCTAAACCGGTCAGTACCGTCTCCATCCAAATCGAGCGACTATCTGATTGCAGATTCGTACCTTGAACCTGTTCGGCGATGGCAACCACATCTTGAACACTCATTCGTTCTCCTCGTAATCTGAATTCTCGTGGCCATGAGGGAAGATCCAATGCTGCAACAACAAACCTGGCCACGTCCCTTGCAGAGGTCATACAAATTGTGGCGGGCTGTCCAGCAGAGTTGAGATAAGGAATTTGTGCTCTTCTTTGTCGGAAGTCCATCAGGTAATCACCTTCCTGCCCAATGTGACTTCGCAATCCAATTTGTGAGGCTGCCATACCCCCCGGAGCAAATCGCTCGTAGAGAACACCACAGGTGAAGACTGTGAACCTCATGCCTGACGCCTCGTGTTGGTGAAGTCGGAGGATGGCTGCACGACGACCATTATCGAGAAGATCGTTTTGAGGGCGTAAAGAAGGAGGTCCACCGAATTCTGAAGGTACAAAACGTCGAACGTGAGCTGCTGCTGCGGCGTCAACCAGGGCCAATTGAGCGTTGCCGCCAATGGTAGATATGACGGTGTCGACGCCAGCAAGCTTGAATCGGAGGTCCGAAGGGTTGGAATAATCTACCTGGTTGATGATTCAGTTAGTTGTAATGATTGGGCAGGTCCGCAGGCAGTGTTATGAGGTTCTGGTCATCGGGGATCCAGATTCGAGTGTTCCTTCCCCCACCACGGTGCCGGCAAGATACAGAATCGATAGAAAAGTGAAATAAAACATGACTCACCTGGAGTACTTGCCAACCTCTAGCGGTCAGGCCGGGACTAGGCTTGATTCATTAGTGATTGTATATCGGAGAGGTCGATCAAACGTACCCTTCTGGATAAGATGACGAACTGATGTGACGTTTGAGTAGCGAGGCTATTCGCAATGTACTGGGCTAACCCGTTGGTACCGACAACAGCGACTTTGATCATGATTGCGCTTTGATCAGAGGAATTTCGGACGGCGTCGTACATTTGGAAATGTATTTGATCGAAAACAGCATTGTGACAAGGCAACCTTGTGTTGTGTCAAGTGAGTCAAATAAATCGCAGCAACACCGTCAGTATGTAGACAAGCGAGTAAATGCAGTCTAACATTTGTGCATCACTGCCTGCGCAGGACTATGTATAACTGGATAGTAGGTCAATTAAAGAGGTCTTCTCACATACGATAGGGTCCAAGGAAGTATTTAGGCGTGAGTAGTGGACCCAGACTATGGAAAGAAACCACCAATAGGGACTAGCCCGGGGGGAGGGAATAGGAGAGAGACGCAACACGAGGCGGAAAAGGACAGGAGTTTTCCAAGCAATCATTGCCAATGATAATGATCATCCTTCGAGTCATTCTAGGCAGAACAGGCATCGAAGCGATTCCCTTGAGTATGAGTCGTACTAGAAGCCAGGCGGTGGTGATAGATTACTCCATATAATACATCAGCGTGTTCATGATTGGAAGAATGGCAAAACCGGTGTCGATGATGCAGTTGAATCTGGAAGGAGCCCGAACCGTCTCGGGAGATTGACGGCGTGAGTGTTAAAGGGGATGGAGAACTTGTCGCGCGTCGGACATGAGAATAAGTCATGACTCGTCTAGGGGGGGGCATTGTAGCGGTCCTTCTGCAGAACTTTGCGAAAATACAGCTTGGTGCAGTTCGAAGCCTTAAATTCTTCAAGGGACTTGTCCAGTGGCACGAACTGGTTGTCGAAAGGCTAGTGGTATTGCTGGAGCCAAAGTACCAAGAAGAGTGGGTTGCTTGGTTTGTGGTAGCGGTCAGCCCTATCAGGCGCGCTATGGGAATGAATATGGCGCAATGCAAGGGCTAGAAAGACCATGTGGCCAATCCGACTTGCTGACTCGTATTTGTTAGCCCGCCCATGTAGGCAATGAAACTTTGTTGCCTTGCTCTGTGGAGTCTTGTCTACCGGGGTCTTTTACTCTGGTAGGATCAAACGAACTTGGTTGGAAGTTTCAAAGAAATTTGAGTAGGCGAGAAGAATTCTCCCCCGGGGAGGAGAGAAGAGGGCGGGGGCCGGGTTTGGATCCGTTTGTTCGGAGAGGACGCGCATCGGGTGGTTATTGGAACCCCGGAAGGACAAGACTTGGAAGCGGTCTTGATCCTCATGCGGAGCGGCTGAGATCATTGTGACATTCGTCAGGCGAGCCGGCAAATGGGAAATACTAGTACCGAGCGTTGAGGCTCGACTCGGACATCGAGCTGAATGTCAGCATCCTACAGCAAAAAGCCGCAATTGCTTGGGATGTTCCTCGATGTCAGTCACGTGTTGTCGCGATTCGATCGCGATTCGGGATGCCAGTGGTCGATCAACAGTCATCGATAATATGCAGCCGATAAAGGTGAAGAAGGTCCATGCGAAGAAAAAACACCCAAGTGATTGACGATCATTTGGAATTTCCAGAGGCAAACCATCATGTCCATTGAGTTCAATGTGAATGGAAGAGGCGGAAGCTCCTCTATGCGATCACATGATATCAACACGCGTCACGTGTATCTCGGCCGCAGGGTCGGTGATGCAGCATGCTGACACTTTCTGTGTCTTACTCACAATTGCAATTATCTTGTTAAAATCCGAGTACGTACTGTCTTGATGCAACTGGCCAACCGGGCTGAACTCACAAGCGCTGTCGGTGATTGTGGTGCCAGTGCCGTGGTGCGAATTGGGCCAAGCCCAAATGGCGTGAATGATACGACGCGACTCTCTCACTGTACCGCGTCGCTGCAACGACGCAAACGACATGACCCTCGTTTTCTCTCTTTCTCCACTTCACCTTGTTCATACGCGGTCATAACCACTCTTCCCTCCTTCACAACAATGGAAGAATGTTCAGACGATAAGGCCGAGTCTGGTCATGACCCAGACCTTAAGCCTCAATATGCATTTCAAGTCCATCGTCACTCTTCCATATCGTCCACCACTCCCGCCGCGAAGGTCAAGGCCAAGAGAAGAAGAACAAGGTCGGGAATCTCAACTATTTAACAACCTCGAACTGTCCTATCTGACTGTCTCTAGTCCCCAAGATCATGCCATCCTTGAAGCCGCATATGTCAAGAATTCCAAACCAGATAAAGCTGAGAGAGCACTGATTGTCCGTCAAGTTGACTTGGGTGAGAAAGAAGTTCAGGTGCGCGCAGACAATGTCCCTGCCCTGAGCATTCCTAAAAGCTGACCTTGTTGGAGATTTGGTTCCAGAATCGTCGCCAGAATGATCGTCGAAGGTCAAAACCATTGCAGCCTCATGAACTCGTTGCACATTTCCGCAATAGTCCTGTCGGTCCTCTTCCGCTTCACATGACTTCGCCTCCCATTCCAGAAGATACGGTTGCATCGAATACACGTCCAAATCTTTCTCCTGCATCCGAAACAATCAACCGACCAGCCTCCAGGGCTTCTGGCATTCATGATCTCCTCCACCCCACCTCTTCGCCCGAAGCCAGTCCCGATCAAGACGCCGCTCAAGGTGGCACACAAAACACAGCAGCCCAGTCCACACCGCTGTCCGGCCGTGAAAACACGACAAATGAAGCGACACCAGAGAAGCAGGGGATCAAGGTTGGAGAGAGTGATACGAAAGAACAGGAGGGCAGTGGCGAGACAGGAAGCGGGAGAAAGAGAGATCACGACGAGATGACCGGAGCAAAGACTGGGCCATCGTCCTCCAATGAGGCCGAGACGCCTTCTCGAGTTAGGGAATCTCTTCCAAGAAGTTCGAGTATGGTCCGATTGGCCATGACTGTGGATGGAGCGGTGAAGATTCGAATCAACAATGAACCCACACCGTCACCAGAGAAACCATGCGCTGCACCGCCAGCTTCACAAGAAAAGGCCAAGGGTGGACTCGCCCGAAGCAAGAGTGCTATGGGCGTCGATACCCTTCGAGAATCCGGACAAGGACCACGATGCGAGGCTATCGGAGCTGGTTTCGGTCGGTCGCGTGATGCCAGAACTTGGGAATTTTTCTGTGACAGTAACAGCAACGATGCCTTGGCGACACAAGCAGAAGCTGAAACCGCCGGTTCCGCAGTCAGTGCTATCAACCTCATCAGATCAAACAGTTTCAAATCACGTTCGCAAGCTCTCAGTCCGTCATTGACACAAGGCCGTACCCGTTCAACAACAGCCTTGAGAGAGGGCAAGCCGAAATTATCCCGTGCCAAGTCATCGCTGGGTCGTTTGCAAGGATTTGACGGTGTGACAGAATCGTCCGGCCACAAACCCAAACATTCCGGCCATGTTCGGTCGCCATCTGGGGATTCGGACAAGGAGAACTGGGCACCAGGCACACGAATGTCGGAACATGCCTTACGCAGAACCCAACCTAGTGGGTGTCAGCGACCGATCCTTCAAGAGAATAAAGACATGACATTTCCAGATCCCGGTTCTTCACGGAAGCGACGCGGTGAGAGAACGGGTGGTCAACCGTCTCCCAGTAAAGAGAAGGCCAAAGGTGAAGAGCTGGATTGTGTTCAAGGCTTGCTTTCATTGAGTCAAGGAGCATGGAGATGAAGCATTTTGTGATTCGTGATGATGGATGAAGTTTGGCATAGGAAATGGATAATCTTGCTTGATTAGGATGATAAGAGCAGCTTGCTTGACATGGAGCAATGCTCGAGGTGATTTGTATTTTAGACAAGGCAGCTTATCCAGTCCAGTCTTCTCGCTGTTCGCAGTCTATCGAAAACCAGAGAAACTAAAAGCAATAATCAAATGTTGATTGATTCAAATGCAATGTTTGTAACTTGGTCGTATGGCAGAGGGAGCAGACGAGAGGCACGTGGACGCCGACAATAATATTCAATCGACACGGCCAATCCACTCCGTTCCTTAACTCCGTAAGGCATCAATATTTTCAATTTAACATCAGAGCGATACCCTTTAGACGGACGTGTATCCCAAAAACCTTCTTCCGCTGCCTTTCCCTCCCTCCTCCTACACAAGACCACCAAAGTATATTCAATCCATCCCCCACGCTTTCGGGTACACGACGTTGACAACCTCCCATCTCATTCGCCGAAGAATACAACCTACATCCCTGTCTCACCCACCCTTGGTTGAGTTGAGCATTCATCTTTAATTGAATGTCTCGAATAACCCAGGACCTAGCCAGCAGTCCACACAATAGCCATGCGAATGTAAACGGCCTGCCCGCTTTCGCAGTCTCTTCCGCCATGCACGCTCTTTCCCACGCCAGGACGCGGGCATCATCATCAACAAGTAAAATCCCACACGTCGCCGTTGTCGGGGCCGGTATCTCAGGACTCCGGTGCTCAGATGTCCTCTCCCGCAGCGGCGTCAAGGTAACACTGTTCGAAGCCCGCAATCGCATCGGCGGACGCGTCCACCAAGCCTCATCCGGCGGCTACCTCATGGACATGGGCCCGAACTGGATCCACGGCACGAAGGGCAATCCGATCATGAATCTCGCCTCGAAGACTGGGACGACTGTCATGGAACCCGAGGAAGAAGGTGCCCTCTTCGACCGTCACGGCAGACGACGACCGGACCCCGAAGCCATCGAGCTCTCGAGTAAGATCTGGGAAATGGTGGTCGATGCGTTCAAGCATAGCGACGAACGTTCTTCCAGCATCGATCCCGGGACCAGTCTGTTCCAGTATTTCCAAGCCCAACTTTCAAGGGCCGGGATCGATGGACCGAAACGTGATGACCTTCTTCATGAAGCGCAGATGTGGGGTCCCTTCGTCGGCGACTCGGTCGAGAAACAGAGTCTCAAGTTCTTCTTTCTGGAAGAATGTATCGAGGGCGAAAACGTCTTTGTCGCCAGCACGTACAGCGCTATCCTACGCGAGATCGGTCGCACGGTGACAGAGTCTAACAAAATCGATTTACTTTTGGAAACAGAGATTGTCCATTGCAATTTCGAAACCTCTCCCGACGGCGAAAACGAGGCGATTACGCATACGGTGACACTCACAACTTCAACAGGCCACACTTGCACCTTTGACGAAGTCGTCATCACCTGTCCGCTAGGCTGGTTGAAACGCTACCACACCAGCGCATTCACACCGAAATTGCCCTCCAGACTATCCTCCGCCATCGAACACATCAACTACGGACGTCTAGAAAAACTATATGTGACGTTTCCCGAGGCGTTCTGGCTCTCTCCGTTCCAAGACGCCGAGACCGACAGCACTCACATTCACGCGCACACTCGCGGTAGAGATACGTCCAGCCACCCTATCTTCACCCACTTCCACGACCCGTCCTATATCCCTCACCCCGAGACCGAAAAATGGAACCAATCCGTCGTCTCCCTCGCGCATCTGCCCTCTCCCCACGCCCATCCTACACTGTTGTTCTACATCTACGGACCCTGCGCCACACACGTTGTCCAATCAATCCAATCCCTTCCACCGCACTCGCCTCAATATAACGAGACCCTACGTTTGTTCGCGGAACCATTCTACGCTCTCCTGCCTGGCTATCATCCCAACGACCCCATCTGTACGCCGACTTCATTCCTCATGACGCAATGGCAAGCAGACCCCTTCGCGGGCCATGGTTCATACTGTAATTTCCAAGTCGGCCTAGAACGAGGGGACGAGGATATCGAAGTCATGAGGTCCGCGGGAGGATTGAACGAGCAGGGTCTCTGGTTGGCAGGCGAGCACACGGCGCCGTTTATTGCGCTGGGGACCACGACAGGGGCATGGTGGAGTGGCGAAGGTGTCGCGAGACGGATTTGTGACAAGTACGGGATTAAGATCGAGGTTGCTGACGATGATGGTGCGGATGATGGTGCGGGTGGAATGAAGAAGATGCTGGATGGAGACCGAAGTAAAGCGGATGCGGCGAATTTGAATGGATTGGCGATATAATTCATTGATTTAATACAAGTCAGGATAGAAACGAAAAGATCCAAGGGGAAAAGAACGGAAAAGAAATGCTGAGTGTTAGAGAGTCTATCCATAGACCTAAGAACTTACTCATACGTGTGGTTGACCGATTATCCAATGTTGAATTTGTTTTCTCAACGAGGCCCATCACCCAGCAATTTCGACTGGTTGTGATTCTCTTTCTTGCATACCACCATCTCAACCGCAAGCACATTCTCATTTCCAATCTGAAAACTACAAGTCACCGACTCTCATCCGCATAGAAATCCAAGGGAAGCAGATGCCCTTCTAGAATCCCTCGAACGCTAATGTCGCACGCAATGAGTTCGTACCAGACTTAGAGCGGACAAGGTAGAAGGAAAAGGGGAAATCACCCACCCCCGGCACGGGGAAAGTTACTTACTTGGTTTGGACCCGCAAATAAGTATGTCCCACCATCTGACCGGCGACCTTTAGCGTCCTGTAGGTTCCAGATTTGTTGGAGAAGTGTGGACGCGTCTGGTGATCATGCCGTACCCGGACTTTTGGTACCAGCATCCAAGATATTCTTCCACAAACTGGCGTGAGTACCCGTCGTTGGACTCAGATCCGGCAAGGGTGACTGGGATCAATAATCGCCTCTGCAGCGTTGACATTGATCTGCAACATCGGACATTGCCCAAGGTCCGCCGCGAGAGAGTTGTAATTTCAGGGGATTGTAGAGGTTTGCTTGATCTGTCCCACTTGAAGACTCGAGAGATGTAAAATATCAGTGAGTACTTCTGAACGTTGGCCACGTTACAAAAATTTGTGATGGTCTCCAATCGCATCTTCGTTGTCTGCAGTCGGAGAATACTGCTGTTATAGATTGCTCGAGCTCTGGGGCTTTTTCCATGCTGGGCGTAAGATGGTCCTTGATTGCAGCTTTTGCCTTTCTCTCCGGGAAGTCGAACGAGATCCACCAGGTTGAAGAAAGGCTGTTTAGGTACTCCGGAGAGAATAAGTATATTCCAAGAATCGTCGCCATAGCTAGGAGAAAGAAGATCATAATAGGACTTGGGGAAGATGGCGCAGCTGCAATTCCACCCACCCATGGCGCATTAGCCGTTCTGAGTTCGAATATCCGCCTATATTATGCGAACTAGAAGGACATTGCAACTTGTACTCGCAACTGAGGTGCGGTCAGGATGATTGATGCGCCTTCCGAGGGTTTTAATTCTCTGATAAAAGTCTAACGGTTGTCTGCTCCAGGGGCCGACGGCAGAGATGAGGCTCTGGCCATGAACCATTTATCAGCCACGAAAAAAAGTCGTGAGCTTCATGACAGAGGATGCATCTCCAATGAGAACAAAATCCAACATAGTGTCTGGCATAGATACTCTTACCGCACCTCAGGCCACGTGAAATGTAGGGCCAGAAAGAAGGGCTTCAGAATGGTTTGTAACTCGCGACTTGACCTGCAATGTCATCATCGTCCAAGGTATTGTCATGCGGGCTAAATGCTGGATAGAGACAGCTAGCCATAGCATGAAGAAGATACGTTTTGTCATCTTATAGTGCTTTGTGGTTAGGTCAGACATGGCTGTACCTCCACAAGTTCAATGAGTCCATACGGCCGATGAAGCTCGCGGAGATCCAAATGCCTTCAGATCTTCGCCTCTTACCGGACGCAGTCCGTCATGTTTCAAGCAAGGACAGAAGGAGAACAGGGGATGAAATTTATGACGTTCAGTTTAGTGTGAAATATGCCAAGGCGCTAGTAACTGAGAATAAAAGCGGCCTTCGACACGCCCTCACTTAGTAAGATACCAATACAATTCCACTCGTTATTTACATTAGCGTGTTCACTATGCAGGTTGCCTTGTGGCGCCAATGAGATTTAGTCGCCATGCTCCTACGATACATCCCCTAGGAAAGCAAGTGTGGCGAGAGAGCGAGATGCAATGCCCGGTGAGGATAACCATCCTTGCTGCTTTCTCCTTAACTAAACGGAGATACCTATCTTCCAAGGCACGCGTAATGTGGACTACGCCGACCAGGGTGCCGAGCATGCATGAGGTATATCACCAAGAGCACGCTGTCCAGTCTCCTCTCAGCCAATGCAGCAGGATTGAAATCACTTGGCCATTGGCTACATCGCGTCCTGCAGAGGGCGTTTTAAATGTAAGTAAGCCTTTCGATGCTCCATCCTCTGATTGAAGGGGTATTACCAATTGAGAGGACACCATATTTGCTGGAAACGGCAGAACCTATGAAGAAGCTCAAGGGATTGCATCGCGTGGTGTTTGGTCACTTTGTGAATCGCCACTCGTCAAAGAGCGCGAACCTCATACAGCCTAGGCTCATACTCGTCCGAAGCTTGCATGATCGATCATCGACGGAGCAGCGCGTCCTGGTAACCGTCCATCGAGCTTGAATTTCCCACGGAAAGGAGAATCCTTCCAGGAAAAGCGAGAAAGGTGGAGCTTCGGCTTGTGATAGGACAGTTCCTCGGGCACTTCCTGTTGAAGAGAACCAAAGAGATGCGTGCGCACTCTGATGAAAAGGCCCGAGTTGATCTATCCGCTTGCCTGCACACGGGCCCAGTCCTTTACATCAAGAGCTATAATTGAAAGCACGAGATGACGCACAGTTCGATCCTCCTTCCGATCAGTTGGAATTTCTTTTGTGTCTTGTTGTGGAAAGGGGTAAAAAGATCGGACGGACTCATCCCATCTTTATTCCCTCGAATGATCCGCAAGGGTGGCAAGACCGTGTCTTCGACGTGAACACGTCTAACCATCCCCCTGTAATGACCGACTTGAAGAATGAAATGTACCAACTTCTGCGCGGAGATATATGATTCCGTTCGTCGATTTCCAAATTCGCAACGGTGAGTAAGGCTATGGTGCAGCCAACGTCTTCCAAACATTACATATGATATGTACACACCATTTCCCAGGTACGCTTCTTTCTCCTTCTAACTATTCTAAACTTTACGGATATGATGATCCGTGACTTCGTCGCGGAGCCTCGTGCTCGCATCTAGTGTCTAATAGCCACGACAGAGAGCAACTCTCCGTTAGGTTGACCGTGTTCAAGCCCGCTATCCACGTGGCCCTGTCTAAATACAGTGTTCCCTATGCGCTGAATTGTCTCCGTGCCTCTGGGAATGAGCTCCCGACAGTGAAGACAGCCACCATCTAAGTCATGAGAAATCCTCTAAAGAGACGTGGCGAGTCTTATGTTCAGGTCTGCCAGGCACATACATGCAAAGACATTCGTTTTCACAAGGGACCGTACGAAAGGGAGCCTTATATGCTTTCATTTTCAATCATTTCAGCGGTTCATATAGCCAAAAACATGAACTTCGGCATTCTAGCCCTCCTTGCTCTTTTTGAGACAACTGCCCTATCCACAGCGCCACCGGCGCTCAAAACAACGAATACGTCGACTCAGCATCTCAAGTCTGGCGCGTCATGAACTTTGTCTCTATGCCAACACGACAGCAGGACCATCAAGCCGTGTCTTTCGCGATCAGAACAGAAGAAATCACCGGCGTCAACGCAAATGTCGACTTCATCTTGCGGTGCCCGCGGCACTGGTAAGATGATCATCGATGATGAATCCAGGGACGGAAAGATTTACGCTTGCAACAACATCTCGTCATGATCTTTTGCTTACCACGAAGCCGCATTCCTCTGAACTTGGATTGTAAATGGTGAAGAGACTGGGTTTTGGTCAGGAAACATCCATCGCTCCCAAACCGGTCTGTTGCCATGTAGTTTTTGCGGACAACGGTATAAGTTGCTTGGCTTTTAACTCGAAGAACGGTTCCGTACATGTGATATACCCCGGTTCAAACCCGAGAACTTGACTCCCTTGTCAAAATGGCGGCTAGTTTTCTCCCCAGGATGACACATCGTGAAATACAAGATGTAGTGGCGGCGGACGTTGGATTGGGGGCCACTTTCTGGGCTGCTTTGCTTGTACTCGGCAGATTGTATACTCTTGTTAAGTCCGTTTTGATACACAGAACTACGCCCCTTTGTTTAATTTATTGTCATAACTTCGTCGTATGTTTCGCGTTGCCGTCGGGCCTTTCAAACATGCCACAGGCTTTGGCGATCTGTGATTGGTCAGCCTGATGGTCACCAGGAACGGCAAAGAAAGCTTAAGTCCGAAAAGAGACCCGATGCAAGGTACGTATTGAAACATGACTGTCATCTTTCGCTCTCGCGACAGCGCTGCCGGGCGACGGAACGCCATAAGATGTGAGAAGCCATGCCTCCAAAACCCTCGGTCCGAGGAGAGTACATTGAAACTGTATGATCAATATCACTTTCCCATTCTCGTTTCTGGACATAGCATCCGTTCCCTTTATTCCCCCATATTGTTGACAGTTTTTGTCATAGGAAACTGGCAACAAAATCAGTCGACGCGCCAGCGTCCTCGGACCCCGCCACATCATCCTCGCCGGCAAATGCGTGATCCAACAGGACGTCGTGATCCACGGCGACCTCGTGCGTCCACCGCAGCCCAAACCCGCCGCCCAGAGCGCGAGCGATCAGAAATCCTCTTCGGCATCCCAGGACCAAACCTCCATCCACCTCGGCCGCTACGTCTTCATCAGCCCTGGCTGTACGCTTCACCCTCCCTCGCGCCTCACGACCGTTACCGGCGCCAACGGCGAGCCCCAACAGATCATGACATACTTCATGCTCCGCATTTCGGACTACGTGTACGTCGGACCGAACACGCATATTCGCGCCGCCGAGATACGGAGTAACGTGTACATTGGCGCGAATTGCACGATTGGGAATATGGTGATGATTAAAGATAATGTGAAGATTCTGGACGGGACGGTCTTGCCGCCAAACACGGTCTGGGCGGGCGGGACGATTGTCGCGGGCAGGCCGGGTAGAGTGGTGGGAGAGATCGGGGAGGGTTGGGCGGCTGGAGGGACGAGCGGGTCGACGGTGGACGAGGGCGTGGGAGTCAGGAGTAGAGAGAGATGGGCGGCTGTTGGGAATAAGAGGTGAAAGGAACGTTTTACAACGGGAAACTACACAAAACACGGCACGCAATGACCACGATATGAGGAGCTTCCGGCGCGGCGGAAGTGTCAATCAATATGGCCTTGCATGAATCCCTAAAGACGAAATGAGCATCGCGAACAGGAAACATTTTGGAAGCTGACTCCTCCATTGAGAGGCCGAACAGCATCTCGAGAGTCACACGCAATAGCCAATTCATGGAATGAGTATCTTTGTTCCGAATCCATGTTGAAAGGGGAAAAAGGACATGGGGTCTCGTTTTCCGACAACAAGATTCTTATCTTAGACCACGTTGACTCTCTCGGTCATCCTTGATATTAGCACTTTTGTTTTGAGAGAAGTTCGACCTAGAAGACCTGGCGGCCAAACTTGGATGTCCTGATGGAATCAAATGGAGGAATACTGGTGTGTGGCTTGCTATCAACGTTTTCCCTTTGCACGTTCTTGATGGCGTTAGCGCCCGCAAAGTCGTCGAATCGCAAGCAAACCGAAACGAAATAGAAAACAAGGGGCGAGTTAGTCGTTGCTGTTGCCCCTAGGATCCATAACCTGGAGCGCCTCGTCAAGCAGGCTGAACCAAACTATCGCAACGGCGACCTACTTCAGTGGGCAGTCACGTGTCAGGCTCTGAGGGCATAGAATTACCAAGAGATGGGCTCTAGTATGCACGTCATTTCTGAGCTCGTTATCAACCATGATCCAAAATGCGAAGGCACCAAACCGTGCCATGATGTTGTGATGCAAAGAGGCGGCTTGAAGCATACGTGGCCCGTCCCCTTCGTCGCAAGTGTGATCGAGCTCCCTGCATGGGACCACTTCGAAGCCAGTCATCTTTGTAGGACCTATATCTACATGACCGGTCGACAGTTCAAAATCATACACAAGGATAGCCAGTCGCTTGCTCCCAAACTCTAGAGATATCCGAAGATTCTCGATCGCAAATGGCTGCGAATCACCAGGCATCACTCATAAAGTCCCTGTGGTCCGAAATACGTCGACATGGATTGCCTGCAACGGTCAGAAAGCGTCCAGAAGAGAATTCTCGATCATATGCTCAGTAGACGGAGGCTAGAAGCGAGGATGGGGGTATCCCAGCACGAGTTCTCGCATGACAGCATTTTATCATAGGTTTGTGTCAACTGATGCCCCCAAGCGCTTCATCCTGGTCATGCTGTGGCGCAGACTGGGCTCCAGCCACACCACCCCAGTATGATAACGGAATCGGCACCGCCACGGCCATCGCCGTCGTGCGCAATATCCGAATACCATTGGTAGTAGGGGATTTCCCAAAGTCAAGCCTGGATACGCTCAGCTATTGAAGTACCGGCTGCTTCGTACCGTGGGAGGAAGATCGGAATCGCCGGTATCCGTGTCTCTGTCTGCTGGAGGCCGGTGACTTAGTCAAGGACAAAGATGTTATATTCGGAGATGATCATCATTTGGTCTGAGAGCTTGTATTGCCCATCTACCCATAAAGAAATGTGATTCGGAAGTATCCCCTAGGCACTTGCACAGAAACGACGAGGGCTCGTCTAGCACCGGCTGGATGTGACTGAGTGACCTAGCATTTGGAATGGAGCACAAGATTTCATTAGATTGCAGATAGATATTTCATGGATCAACTCGAGGCCTTGCATGAACCAAGGGCACAGAACATATTGTGCGGCACCAAAACCGTCGCATGAATTTGAGGAGAGGGTCACCTTGACCTCAATGGGTCTTTTCGGATAATGGGGTTCGCGGTGACAGTTCCTTGTGGTATCTTCCCATATGACTGGCTGCTAAACCAAGTTAAAAAAATTTTGAGGAGAGTACGACGAACGACTCGCGGAGAAATAGATAGTAACGTGGTGGCTGTGCCGCTGTTTCTGCGGCAGAAATGGTGGCAGCTAGGAGGTGGATGGAAGGGATTGTGAGACCGTTCAGGAGGGTTGAGCCTGTGGGGATTCCTAATTGAACAAAGAAAGCTGAGACAGGATGTCGACTGGCTTGGAAGTGGCTTTCGAACGGCTTTGGGCATCTGCAAGCGTTTTTCCCCGAGCAAGGGATGGACGAAGAGGGGGAGAATCGAGAAGTAGGATTTGAGCGCGTCGAGGCGAGACTTGTTGTTTCACCAGTCATCCGTCAATCCATATCAAGGACAGTCATTGTGCAGTAAGCGAATGGCTACCGGATGACCAACGGATTGAGCGAACGAGGAGCCTCGGCCCCTGAGGTTGAAGCGCATTGAAGCACCAGGCCAAAAGCAGAATCAGGCGCCGTGGCAGAAACTTGAAAGTGTGTCAGGCGTGTCAGGCGTGTGTCTCGACCTGTCTTCCAATCGATAGGATGGAGGGCGGCAACTTGGCTGGGAGAATAGGGCCGCGTAGGCAGATGTGTGGAGGAGGGGTTTTACCTGCCATAACAGTCCAGATTTGATAGATTGTTCCTCTGCCAGCTGAACGAGTTATGCTGCCAGCTGCGCATTTATGGCTATGGTGATAGATCATGGCAACTCCGATGTGGCTTTTCTCTTCGTTAGCAAATTGGTACCAAGTTGTGACCTTCCTTCTCTCGCACTACTCGTATAACTCGTACCCTTTTTCAAGCACCAGCTTGTAGATAAGTAGACAGTAGGGGGAGTCTTCGCGCCTGAACGTTTTGGTCATGCTTTCAAACATTCGCCCAATCCCATCATCACCATCGTCCATCTGGTTCCTATGTAAGTGGTCAGCGGTCCGTGGTCACTGGCCACTGCCGACAGGTCATCCAGATCCAATCCCTCCCGTTGAGGCTTGCTCAGCAAGGGCGACGGAAGGGATCGTCTCCATCTCAGAAGTTGCACCTTGCAGCCGCCCAATCCGTACAAGCGCTTTGCCAACCGCCTGCTCAGGGCGAAACACCCATCTCTGTCTGGCCCTCGTTTCTGGCCGCTCTGGGCCAACAGGTCTACATATCTGGCCGCAGTCTGCATTCACTCCCATTCCCATATCCACAGCAAGCGCCCATTTCATTCAAACGAATCTTCCCTCTGTTGTGGCCATGCTAACTTGCCCTGCCCATCCGGTTCATAAAACCACCTTCTCATCTCTGCTTCAATTCTACCTTCTTCTCTCCATCGTATCCTCTCCTTCGTCTGTGTCGAAGGCTTGAGCTATCACAGCACACCCCCCCCCTGTCTCCTACAGCCCAAAACCACCTCCCTGCCATATCTGGGGCCGGCCTCCCTACCTCACTTTTCAGGCCTCTTCGAGCCACGATCCTCCTAGAACCGAATCAAGTCCCCTACTAGCCCTGCTCGGTCACAGACAAAAAGGAAGAGAGAGTACCCGACAAACCTTTCAACCCTTGGCTCCAGGTTCCAACCCCTGACAAACCGAAAACCCAGCCAGCGACCAGAAACCCTAGCGGCCTAACCTCAAGCCATCCGCCACCCTACCCGTGTTTTCCCCCAGTTTATCGATCGCCTATCAACTAGCTGCAGGTCCTAAACCTCCCTGACACTACCCATCCCCACCACTCTGCAGTTCCTACATCACTCTTGTGCACTATTCAGGAGTATCGCTTAAACACTACGCGACTCTCTCTCAAACACAGGAGCAACATCCTGGGTCGTGCCCAGAGCTTTTATTCTTGCTACCGGACCATATCGAGATATACTCAAAAGAGCTAAGACCTCAACTCCTGCAGGCCAGGGCTTTACACATCTACGCAAATAATACCAACCTCCTGCCTAGTGTCAAATTCCTGTCCCGGGATCCTGTCATTTCACACTTCACACTTCAAAGCTTAGACAAGGGTATTTGAGGAATCCATAAACTCCTGAACTGCCTCATCTCAGTTTCTACTTTGTCTTTCCCTTCTACCTACCTCTTGGCCGCCTTCTCAGCCTTGGGAAATCCCGAAGTTGAGCTGCCGTTTGCACTCGACAACGTTCACCATGGAGTCCCATTATACATTGGCCCAGAACAGGGCAGCATTGGAGGAGTTTGTTCGACAACCAGTTCGGACCTATATGGTTCAGCATCTGGCAAAGCAAGCCTCGCAAGTTATTCGATGTGACTCCGAGCCCACTCCATCAGGCAGCCTGCCCACACCTCCTTCAACACCTCCTCATTCTTCTATGGCAGAATCCGCTCTACCACCCCTGCCCACTCTTGAACAATTCATCAGTTCCCTGATTCACCGGTCTTCCGTCCAAGTACCTACGCTGATGACATCTCTGGTCTACCTCGCCCGTCTCCGGTCAAGACTACCACCTGTGGCGAAAGGAATGCGCTGCACTGTTCACCGAATTTTCCTGGCTTCTTTGATTCTTGCAGCCAAGAATCTGAACGACTCAAGCCCCAAGAACAAGCATTGGGCAAGATACACTACAGTCAAGGGGTTTGAGGGCTTTGGTTTTGGTCTGGCAGAAGTGAATTTGATGGAGAGGCAACTCTTGTATCTGCTGGAGTTCGACACCCGAGTCACGGAGCAAGACCTTTTTGATCATTTCGAGCCATTCCTGGCTCCTATTCGCTTCCAATTGGAACTTCAACAAGAAGAAGCTGAGCTTACCGGCCACCACAGGCACTGGCACTCTCATCAAACCTCATACGACTCCAGTGTCTCCCTTCCACCGTCATCTCGCAAGGAACACATTCTTCCTAGCGTGGCAACGCCACCCCCAAGAGCTGCAGGTGTCTATGATTCCCCGGCCTCCTACATCGATGAAGATCTTGCTGGTGGCCGGTATACACGACACCGAGCCAACAACAGCTCCTTGTCATTGCCCGCCCCGAGTCACAGACGTTGGCCATCTCCTTTCCGTCAGTATGGCAACAATCGATCCGTATCACCGCCTTCAATTCGAGATCTTCCTCCTCTTGTTGCGCCCAGCAGACCCGGAACTATGCATAGCCATTCTAGTTCGCGATCTTCCTCAATGGCACCATCATTGAGATCACGATCCTCATCACTGGCACCTACATCTCGAGGTACCCCCTACACTGCTTCATCGGGTATTGATGATAGCATCGTCGTGGTAGACCTTACCGAGAGTCCTGATGCCTCATACCACAGTGCATATGGCAAGGCATTGACGGCGAGCCGGCCCAGTCTCAAAGGACATCAGATAAGCTTCCAAGGCGAAAGTCAACAACCCGCAAAAAAAGTCAAATCTGATTCCAGTGTGAGTGGGGTCATGGCCCGGATCTTCAGCTCTGCTGCAAGCAATTACCGACTTGGCAGAACACCTGTACATGCAACTTAGAAGGCTCATAAACGGAGAACCCTGCGAAAGGAAGAATGAGACGCTTTCAGACGAACAGGAGTGAAGCACCAACCCAGGTGTTGATGACGTATGATTCCAATTCGACGAGCCCACCACGCATCAATCCTCCAGACTCATTTATACAACGTTTTGATTTTCACCTGTTTCTGCTTTAGTGCATGGCGACGGCGTTTCATGAGTCCAACACAACAATACATCTAGGGCAATATTGGCTAAAATCTAGCATCTCGCCCGGGAATTAAGTTGGAAGGTGAAAGAGGAGAATCTTTTTTATTTATTTGGGGCAATGTACAAATAGACCTTGGGCAATTCCAGCTCGCCGTCTGGGTGGAATGGAGAAATAAAAAGGGGAAAACGATTGGCTAAATTCATTGAACTGGTTTCAGTGGGTATGAGGTGTGGCTTCTTGGAGAAAAGAAGAGATGATGTGGTGACACTGATACGATTAGAGGAAACTTTTTGGGTTACCCACTGTAAGCCTGAGTTGCCATAACTAAGGTAGTGGATGAGTGAATAGCAACAGCAAGCAATCGCGAAAATGAAAAGATTCAATAATTCCAAGAATTGACACCGGGGACTTCAAATAAATGAGATCTTAGTGACCTTCTGATTTCTCTCCTAGATGTTCTATTCAAGAATACATTTCCTTCTCGACTGGCTGCCTTTTTCTCTTCTCAATCCAAGTAGGCCAGAGCGGTCTTTGTATTGTATCCTTGTACTCTTTCCGCATGACGAGCTGAAGTGCCACCTCAACAAATCAAACAAAAGATAATTTTGAGAGACTGTTCCTCCCAGTCTAGCACATAGATGAGACGGAGGTTGAATTCTTCATAACTCTCGTGGCTTTTTTGTTGGGGGAAGTTTCCGACAGGGCCAAAAGATCCAGTCTTGGTAGGCTGAGAATCCATACAGAGCCCCGACTAAAGGGGATGTTTTTGCAATCTGTATTGTTTCCGCGGTCATTCCATGGATTCTGGCGGACTTTGATGCATTGTGTTCCCTAAAGCGATGGGCCGGCCCTCGGGCCGTGGTAATCTGTTGTCCGGAGAATTCTCAATCGCTCTTCTTCTCATCCCGCGTCTTCCGCGTTTTTCCAATGGTTTCCTTTGGCGCAACCTCTGGCCCTGGCTCAAGCTCAGGCTCCTCCTTCTCACTGAGATTGATTCTCTTCCCGATGCCCAACCCAGCCATGTTCGTCAGAATCCTGCCCATCGCCCATCCCATGACAACGCCCCAGAGAACAGTACACGGCCATTTCTGCCACTCACGGTCCCAGTCCAGCGCGATGGGGACAGCTCCAATCCATCCTCCGACCAGGGTCCCCACTGTGCCAGCCCAGACGCCAGATTCGTCGAACGGGAGCCACGCAGCTGCGACATCGCGCCAGGCAACGGATGAGACGCCGTGCGTGTAGAAGATGGGCAGGAAGCCGAGGAGTGAGACGTGCAGAGCGAGCATCAGCGTGAGAGGGAGGAGAGATGTCGGATACAATGGTGCACCGAGAACGAGCGCGATGATTGTCAGTGGCAGAGGTGGTAGTGTGAGCGTGAGGATTAGGGAGAAGAATGTCGGCTAAATGTAGAGGAACAAAACAGTTTAGTTTCAGTAATTCGAATTCCTCAAATCCCCAAATTCTAAAGGTTCTCGCACATGAAGTAGATGGGACCAGGGGAATAAAGTGCCAAAACTCACCATAACTCTGCTCTTCCAGCTCCCACCGGCACTGTCACCACTGCCACTCCCAGACATGCTCTTCCCGATACCTTTTCCACCAGATCCAGCACCCAATTTCTTCCTCGTACTTCCAGTGCCTGAGACTTTGCCGGCCTTGGGGCTCTTCGCGGCCGACCCTTCGAGTATCTTCCCAGCTGACGTCCCGCTCACCCACGAGCCCACGCTCGGAAGACAGACTGCACAGAACACTGCCTGGGCCAGCGCAACCACGATAAGGTCGATCAGCATCGTTGAAAATGGGTCAGAGACCAACGCCAGGGTGCGCATATGGTAGTACGCTGGCACCAGGAGGGTATGAGCATAGCTGTATCGCTTTGCCAGCGCGGAGGAGAGGAGTGGGATCGGCTGGGTGGTTGGTGTGAGTAGCCGGGCAGATGCGGTGGTCTGGGGTGGCGAGGGCGGTAGGAGGTGGGTCAGGGAGGAGGACATTTCGATTTGATGCGCCGGAGGTGAAAGGCTATTGAGGAGTGCTGAGCAAGCTTCGATGCTCGAGGGCCTGAGTGGTCGTGTAAATTGAAGCTGAAGAAATAGGCGGCCTCGTTCAACCTCTCCAATTAATCCCTTGGCAGGCCTTTTTTGGGGGCCCAGCATGACCCCTGTCATACATGTACGTCAAGAGAGCTTCAATGGGACCGTATCTTGGTTTATACAGAGAAGGGTCATAATTTTTCCCTCCTCAAATCGAATAAATGCCGACCCTGAAGTCCGTGTGTGTCATACATAAATATTCTCCTCTCTTTATTATCAACCAATCGGGGTATCTCATGCAAACAGCTTTGGAATGTACATCCGTCCCAGGTCAGCATGCCTCGTTGTTAGCATCAGGCTCCAAGGCAGGCCATAAGTGATGATCCTCAAAACGCGTAGAAGGTGTAAACGGACCAAAAGCGGTATCTATATAGTCTCTGCAAAGCCAACGAGTATGTAATGTACTCAAAATTTGAAGCAAGTGAAGTCCAAAAGACCTCGGTTTATATCACGACCATGCGTGGGGATTCTCTAGCCGACTCAAATGTATCCCTCTGCTCGAGTGGGGTTTCGTAAACTTCTTGAAATCCTTCCTCGTTATCCGAGTCAGGATCCGTTCCCGAGAATCGTGAAACTTCATGAGTGTTGCTGAGCTGGAATGCTTGTGTTCGATGTAGTGTCTTTGTCCGAGGTGTACCAGGTGTATTGTGTGTAGACTCGGGGCTCGGAGTTGGGTAGGTTTCTCTGATGGTCGCATAGACAGGAGTTCTCATGGTCTCCACTTCTTTTTGTAATTCTGCAACCTGCGCCGCCAACTTTTGGCGAGCGGCTTGCTCTTCTTTGATCATGTCCATTAATGCCTCGAACTTATCGGGAGATATGTGGATCGAAGATGGTGACCCCTCCCTCGATTGGCGTGGTGATTGTCGTTTGGCGGTGAGAGGTCTGATCGTGACCGTGGTTGCTTTGCTAGCTCGTTCAGCTCGAAACATTGTGTCCGCTTCAGGAGAAGGGGGAGGAGATTCGCCCGGAGAAGACAAGAAAGTCAAGTCATGATCGGTAGCGGGAGATGAGAAAGAGCCAAGATTGTGTGATGATCCGGAAGTCAAGGTCAGATTCGTATTGTTGTCTGGAAAGATACCTGGTATCGGCCCTCGATCGAAAGGTCTTGAGTTCAACATCGGTTTCGGAATATTGTTGCCCTGCAACTTGGCAATGGCGTATTCGAAATCAAACAGCTTAATTTCCAGAGTATTTACCCTCTGTTCCAAACTGATCTCATCTGGGATTGTGCCGTCAAGACCAAAGTCGAAATTCTGCATTTGGTTCGCGACGGAAACCTCTCGTTCAGATTCGTCCACCGAACTGACCGGTCCAAGGACATGTACGGGGTCGACACTGATCGATTGTCCACTATACACAGGAACAGGATTCTGAGTGGCACTATGACGCCAGTAGGCTATTTCACCCGCTCGATCGCGAGCAGGAGATGGCTCCACTCCGCTGTGACGTAAAAGCTGATTGAGCGCGTCCGCGCTTCTCGAACGACGTTTCAATTGACCGTCAGAAACGTAATCTTCTTTAACCCAACGCTTGCTCGGAGAAGTTTCCGCGGTTTTCCAGTCATGGACCGCTGGTACAAGTCCTGATTCTCTGTCACTGAAGACTAAACTAGGGAGCGTATTTCGGCGCCCGCGCCGTGGAGGAGGTGGGATGCTTTGGTCGACAACTTCTGCTTCTCGATGCGTCGAATGCGACGCCAGCGCAGTTCCTCGTGTGACACTCCCCAAAGGAGGAGCGGAGTCCAGTCGCGTCCGGCCTTGTTGTTCTACAACAGGGATGAGGCTCCCGGGGTCGCTGTAATGATATCCACGTGTCTGATTGGGTACAGATCGTTGTCGCTTTCCTGAAAACATACGCTTCAGAGCTGCTCTTAGCCCTCCAGGTTTCTTTTGATTTAAAGATGCCTTTGAGGGTATTGACGACATAGAACTGGGGATTATCGATGGGCCAGCAGACGTACGGGTGTCGTTATGAGGAGCGACATCACTGGTGTGGCGCATATGGAAATCCTGCGCGGCCGTACTTTTGCGCGGCCAAGTGGCGTCATTTGATCGATATCCAGAAGGGTATCTGGTGGGTATGACAGAGTTTGGATTGGGATAAATTCCTCCGGAGTCATCGAATGGAATCGGATCGGATATCTTCAAATCTCCTCGGCGAAGAGCAGCTCCAGTAGCTGCGTGACCGAATGAGCCGCGCGAACGATGGTTTGGGGACGGCATGTTGAATAGATTGAAAACAAGCCACTCTGCTTGGAGTCCCGACCAACAGCATCAACAATCTGGGAAATGACACAGAATATCTCTGCATCACATCGCGGTCTTTGGTGTCTGGGCCGCGCTGGCTTAAGAAAGCAGGGCGCCGTCGTACATCTCAAAGCACACAAATAGAAATATCGGAGGTTGTCCAAGCGAGGCGTGAAGGACCTGTCAGCAGGGAAGTCAGAGACTCCACTTTGCGATTTGAAGATCTGATATCGGTATATCTACCATCAAGTCCAACAAAATTAGGGACTACAGTAGAAAGCCACCAAAAATGAGGCGAGTGGCACCAGGAAGAGAAGCAGCAGGAGGAGCGGCGAGCCTGAAGAAGGCCAATGATAACAAGATGAAGGAATGTCAAGAAGGGGATTACGGCTCCGAGAGGATCCACGACAAAGGAGGAGTAAGGCGGACTAGACTGAAGGCCGGTAAGGGGCGAAATATGAGCTTTCTTCGAGAAGCAACATGGGAAGTTGAGGACGCACACGCGAAGATGTCAAGTGAACGCGGAAGACCGGGGACGTGTCGTCGCTTCGCTGGAAAACGTAGTTAAAGCCCGAGTGGCCGTCAAAATCAAGGCAGAGAGGTTCTCATGGAGAAGAAATCATCACCGATGGATGGATGCTGGGGGGTTCTCTATTCGTACCCTTGTGAGGCCGTCAGAGGCTTCGGCATCGCTTCGACCCGCATTGCAGAAATCTCCAGCAAGTTTTACAGTAGCAGGGGAAACTGCGAACGCAAGAAGAACATCGTCAGATTGACAAGTCGTGGTGACAGCTGGCAGAGTCCCACTGTTCCGCTCTTGACTCTGGATGGCACCCCTCTCGGCGTTTCAGCAGGACTGGAGCCGGAATGGAGCATGGATGGGCGCCATGGGGGGGGAAGGATTGAAAGGTTGAGGGTGTGAAGCGAGAGTGCAAAAGGTAAGCCAGGAGGTAAGAAAAGGGAAATGTGGGCGTCAACACCGGACCAGTGAGAAACAACGGCGAGTGCAGGCAGAGGACCGACCGAGCGCACCTGAGAAATAGTTGAGTTTAGCCTTTTAGCCTTTTGATGGCCTGGGCGCAGGCTGCTGAACAGTGTCCCTTCTGGGTATAGCGATTGATACTGCAGTGCTGGGTTAGGGATTTTCCCATATCAAGGGGATCGTCTTTCTAGCCCTTTCAGTCTCGACTCTTTTGTTTTCTCTGCAACCGAGCTCCCGTTCAACTTTGTTGTTAATTAGTCTCCCCGATGACAATCTTCATGTCACCATTTCCCCTGACCAACCAGAGCGGTCGGGCTCTTCCCCCATCTCTCCTTCTAGATCCTGGATGCTGGTTGGTGCGAAGCAATATTGCCTCATCCTCAATGCTGACTGGTCAACCCGGTGGGAGTCAGTTACACGTTGGTCCCCTCACTGCCACGATGGATGCTGCGTGTCCCGACTCCTCAAACACATTCTAGGCCACCCTCCATTTTCCCAAACTCATGATCTTCAAACAGGCACGCCGGAAAAGCTGAACAACCAACAGCAAGAGGAGGGACAAAAGCGACCTCGATACAACCCCTCTGCCAATATTGTCACATCTAGCCCCCCAGTTTAGCCACTCTTCCTCCATTCGCCCGTCCGGCGTCCATCATTTCTCACTCTTACCATCCACTGGATCACCCCTGCGCCGTGCAGCCATGCAAGTCATCTTAGCGTGGGAGCATCCCCTGGGCCTTTTTTTTTTCTCTTCGGGCTTTGCTAGAGTCTCCTCGCTGTTTCGAAGCGACACAAAACAATCTTCAGAAGAGTTTTTGCACAAAGACATTTGACTGCAACATTCAAGAACGAAACAAGGCCACCAGATATCCAAACTCTTTTAGAGCCTCCCGGGTCCACCATGTACACCTCGCTTGGTTGGGGAGATCAAACGTTATAGACCAGCCCGCTCCTGGCAGGGTTTTGCCACTGCCGAGTGGCTGGCCGGGTAGGCGCCCTCGCCAAACTCAGGCTCAATCGCCCGTTTGTCTTTGAACAAGACCCTTTCGAACTTTCGTCCCAAACTTTGCTCGAACTCTTTTACGATGCGTTTGCTCTCGGAAGAGCGCTACCCTTCTTTGATTTGCCATGCTTGTGTTAGGACTTGCTCTGAGGCCAACGAACCCTCCTCTTGGCTTTGTGATCATTCTGGTAAAAAGTCGTCGCCCACGCCGACTGAAACACAGCCTTCCGGAATGATCAGCGCAATCTCTATCCTCCATATCCGAGAGTGCCGAATTCCCGACCTTCTTATGTCGAAAATGTTTGTCCAGGTGGCTGTCCAATTTTTCCATCTCAGCCCCCAGAAGACTTCGTAATAGGGAGGCGGCCTAATTCCCTCCAACAAAAGTACGGCTGGGAAAATAGGACTTGTCCGGCCCTCACACCGAACATGCAATCACTATGCTTGGTCGATTTCAAGATATCCAATTACGAGAATCAATTCTCGGCCAGATCGCGTGGTCGAATGGTCGCCAGCCGGTGGTACTGCAACTCTTTATGCAGCTGCCACCCAATCACAGACACGAATGTAGTTCATTTGATGGGAGCAATCCACGTCAGACTCTACCATTTCCTCTCGAAACAAGGTCGTTATGCAGAGTTTTTGTTGGTTTCATGTGTCGAATCGGTGAGCCAATACTAACACGAATTCCCATGACACTTAAATTTGTCGGCAATATTCGCTGTCACTAGGAATCTTTTGTTCGACTGAATAGCCGAAATCTGCAGGCACTGAACAGCAGGATGCAATGCAAGGCAGAGTCAGCCCAATTCCAGCTCTTCGAGATTTGGGTACCTGAGATCAGCATTATCCTCGAGGAATTTCATCCACCTCCTGAGAAATGGACTGCCTCTCGACACTGTTTCCGAATCGCCAACTATACATAAATGCCTTTTTGGTCGGGTCATCGCAACTGTCCAAATGGTCAGACATAATTGGCCGTGAATAATGGTGTCCACTGCAGATTCTCCGCTGCGACGCTGATACCGGGCAATGTTGTCTCTTTCGAGCAGTCAAAATGAAAGGGAAAATCAATCGCAACCGCATCGGGAGATTGAACTTACCGTTTAATCTCCTCTTCTCACCCAGGAAACCCACCTCCTTTTCGGCATTGCTTCTGACCAGACTGACAATGACAGCCTCCTTTTCTCGACCCTGAAAGCCATCCACACTACCGAGCTCGATGTTGGGATACTTTTCCTTCAACATCGAACTCAGGATGGCAAGCTGCGCGTTGTAGGGTGTGACAACTGCGATGTCTTCATCTCGGAGTCCTGCTTCCATGAGGTTTCTCACATGCATCGCGACGACAGCTGCTTCCATCTCATTGCTCTTGCTGTCCCCCAGCAGTATCGATTTCTTGACCGAACCACCTGAATCGTCCTCGGTCTTTTCGGGGAAATCTTCTCCCTGAGTGTCATAGAACACGAGAGGTTCGACAGTGTCTTCCGTTTCTTTTACCTGGTACGGCAAGTGCTTCAGCAAACGAGCCTTCACTGCATCCGCCGCAACAAGCTTCCCTTCGTACAGCTCGTCACTAGGAAAGCGCATAATCTTTTCGTGCATCCGATACTGTGTATTAAGTAGCCGTTTGATTTTCGGGCCGTGCATTCCCAGCAGTCGATCGAACATTGTTGTCTCCAAAGACCAATTCCGGGCGATTCTCATTTCTTCGTCCTTGACAGACAATTTTGCCAGGTCCTCTTCCAGTTCCTTCATCTTGGCTTTCTTGTCGTCTTTGTTGTCTTTATTATCGACGCTTTTGACCGTGGGAGGTAACTGCAGATGATCACCTGCTAATACTAGCTTCTGTACATTCCCTCCGCACAAAACCAGTGGAATCCAGCATTGTGGCTCCAAAGCCTGGCTGGCTTCATCAATCACCACAACATCAAACTTCTCGTTCCGTACTTGACGACCTCCAGCGCCGTGGAGTGTCGATAAGACGACTTGGCTGCCCTTGACAAGACCATCAATGCATTTCCCTTCCCTTTCGCGATACTCCTTTCTCAATTCCTTCAGGTCGGCGTAAATTGCACGGCGTTCCCGACCATTCCGACTTTTTCGAATCGAAGCCTGTTTCTCATCCATTTCCTTACGCACATCGCTCACGATGCTTGCAGCCTCGCTGGTGCGTGTTAAGACTTCGAGAGAGTGATTCAGAACACCGGGTAAGAGACGGGCTGGGTGGCCAAGACGGACAATAGGTGTGCCTGGGGAGGTCAGTGCGAGGCGTTCGACAATGTTGTCGACGCTGATGTTGCTCGGCCCACACACTAGAACCCGTTGGCCATCTTTCAGGAGTTGCAATATTAGCTCAATCAAGGTGTAGGTCTTTCCTGTGCCCGGTGGACCATGGATTAGGGCGATTTCCGGTGATGAGAGAGCGAAGCGAACCGCGTCTCGTTGCGATGCATTCAGAGTGGGATCAAAGAATACAATGTCCTTCACTTTGTCCATGTCAGGAGTTCCTGGGAACGAGAGTCCCAGAAGGACTCGCTGAAGCATGGTGTATGATGATTCAGAAGTTTCGAGTAGTTTTGTCAGGGTTTGGTTCATTCTGTGGACACGCTGTCAGTCATGTCGTACACAAATATAAGGACTGTTTAATATACCTTTTGTAAGTGACATCGTTTGCGAGCTTGACCCTGTTGTCAATGGAAATCTTGTCAGAATCGTCCGTGAGACATCCTGAGCGACCCAATCAAGATCCTACTTACAACCACAATTTCCCATCTGGCACACCTTCAACATCTTCACTTCCATTTCCCTCTTTCCCCAGCGCGACCCAAACAGCCCTCTCCCCAACCCTTATCACCACTCCCTCTACACCTTTGCCCTTCAGCTCACTGACTTCTTTCTTCTTCGCCGTACCCTTCGGCATCTCTGCCAGCCTCACGATATCACCCGTCCGGATGCCATGTTCTGGAAGTTCGCCCTTAGTGTCTTTGCTCACGATAGCAGAGTCGAGACCAAGTTCGACTACGGAACGACCTCCCAGTCCAGTCTTCAGGGACTGAATTGACAAATTCAGGATAGCAAGTCCGGCACGTGAAAGAGTGCTCAGTGGCGCCGAAGAAAGAAGGAGAGTCGTCTCTGCGATCTCGGAGTCTTGCTCGAGCGAGAGAAGGGTGAGGAGTGTTGTGAAAAAGGCGGAAGGAGGCAGGGCATTGGGAGGCGCCATTTTGTATAAACAAGTCTGCGTTTCCTCGGGTGTTGGGAAGAGGCACGGTTGAAAGCCGCAGCAGGCGGTGATGAATGGGACACTACCCTCTTTGCATCTAGTCTTGTGGTTTTAGATGCCTCTTTTTTTTTTTTTTTTGCTCTTTCTCTTCAAACGGCATACGGAAAGTAGAATCAAGTGGGAATTCTCACTATTGGATACGTTTTTGGGAGAATTTCAGCACCGCTTAGAGGGCTTTGATAATTGTCTGGAGTATGCTGATAATTCACGAGACATAAGAACCCGGATTTTCTGAATTTCCAGGTCCGAAGAGCGTCTAGTACACCACACGTTTCGAATTCAGAATATGCACATAGCCGGGTTGGGGATTCGTCGTGAGGGAATGACGACTGATCTGGGACGTCGACTAACGAGTTTCTCTTTGGTTCCTCCCCCAAAATGGCTGTTTGTGGCCAAGGTAAGGAAGCGAGACTCTCTTCACGTCAAAGAGAAGAATACCTGAGCGCGTCAAGACGGTCTTGCCCATCGAATTGGCAGATTTCGCATCGAGACAACTTTCTTGAAATCCTTCCTCCCCCAAAACTACATTCCTCTGTGTGAACGAGGCAGAAGGAGTTCGAATGCACCTTCTACAGCGGGCTTACGAGCTGGAGCTTGGTTCCAGTTTAGGGCTCTTAGGACAAGCTATTGATTCTCACACGGTCCAACTTTGCGAATCATGCCTCCCTCCCTCAAGAACTCCACATCCACAGCACAAGGGCATTGAGAATTCACTGATTTACTGGTCATGTTTCCTTCGAAAGGATGAATCCATTTCAGTCGTGGAGGTTGGGGAATCTAGGATCCATTCCGTCAGCACGTGTGCTTTTTTTGGGCTGCTCTTTGAAATCCTAGTGGATGTTATCATCTCTACGTACGATGGCCTAAATCAGTGAACCAGAATTTGCTGTAAGAATGCTCAAAGCACGGACCTCAAATGATCTGGTATGTGATGGGCGGGGATACAAGGATTTGATTGAACCTATCAATCACATGGCCCTAGAAGCCCAAACAGTCAGGATGTTGGTAGGGATAGAAAGCATGAGATGTTTGGATTTGAGATGGCACATGAATCAGGCTTAGGCTTTAGAGGAAGAGCAAAAAGAAAAGGGAATGCTCCAATTATCAATTAATGAATCATATGAGAAACATTGAATTTTTGTGTCCAATAATATGAAGACAAAACTTTCGATATGCTGGTCCTGAAAGAATATGCGTAGCATTCCACCTTTCGCCTTGCTATTGAGATCAACTTGACCCTTGATGCTGATTCCGGCGTTTTCGCTCAATGATCCAAACACAATCCAAGCAAATCCAATCCATCCAGCCCTTCAAGCTCAGGAAATCCATATATGGAACACCACTCACAATCATTTTTGGATCGTCTCAACTTCATCCACCTAATTTCCCACCCGTCCCAGGCCTCCTCTCAGTAATCCAACCCGCTTTCCCTTCACCCGCCCACCTCTTCTCACCAGTCCAAAACCTCACTAGTCCCTCCGCGCCAATGATATCATGCTCTCGGTAGAGATTCGCAATATCCACGTTCAACGGGCTGTCGAGCCCCGGACTACTCAGCAACTGCTGGATTGCCCCCATGGTCGTACTAACCGTGTAACTAGGTGCCCAGTGCTCGCCGCTCAATAGCGTCAGGCAAATCTCGCCGGTCTGGAAGTGTACATTTGGATGGCATATGGGAGTGATGAATTGAACTTTGGGTGGTGCGAATGGGTAGTTTGGCGGTACAATGATGGAGAGAAGCCAGAGGCCACCGTGGTAAGGGGAGGATGGGTCGCGGGGCCCTTTGAGAACAGCTTCCCATTGGAATAGGTCCTCGTCATCGGCTGGGCCGAGGTGCAGGACTGCTTCGTTGGGGGAGTTTTGGAGGTCTTGTAGTTCGTGCGTGAGACGTTTCAGGGCGCTGTTGGCGGAGTTGCTTTTGCTGCTGCGCGGGGTGGAGGACATGGTGACTGGAAGGCGGTTTGAAAAGGGAGAGAAGTACTGGTTGAGATGCAGCGGTTCGGAGGTTATAAGTTCGAAAGGAGGAGAATATCTGGAAGAATACGTATGGTGATTGGGGGAGAGAGAAGTCACTGTGATGCTAGGAACGTGTTGTCAGTATTCAGCCGAGGTGACACCCTAAATTATGGGGATTGTTGCGCTAAAATATAATTGACCAAGGGGCACCCGGCGGCCAATACGATCTGCAAGAATTATATCAAGACATTCTTTAATTGCTTTCACAAGGTTGTTGGGGGTCGCAGGTGCTCGTTATACGGAATCGCAGCAAAAATGCGAACGTCCAGGATCTCTCAAGAAACCACCAGGATATTCAACGCTCTCTCCCCCAATGCACGTGCCGGTCGAACGACGAGAAGTGCGAAACGAATCGCTTCCTTTGCCGTGGGACGCAATGAAGATGTCGAAGTGAAAGAAGAAGAGACGGAAAGATCCTCAGATGGAGAAGATACAGAGGTCAGTCAGACACCAGACATCGAGGATGTCTTGAGCACATCAATCCATCCGAATCGAAAGAGGAAGTTGGGCGCTGATTCACCTGTCGCTGCGACGGTGGTTACAACGACGGAGGAGACAACCTGGACATCACCTCGTGAGATCAAAGCAGAGAATGAGGACGAAGAGGAATCATCAACACCGCCCAGTGGTCGCACCACAGCCAAACCCAAAATTCCCGCTCGGAAAACGACTTCGCCGTCAGGAGCAGTTCACATCATTCCTCCTTCAAATTGGTCTGAGATATACGACACGATCAAAGCCATGCGGCAACGAAACCCAACGGCGCCCGTCGACACAATGGGGTGCGAAGAACTGTTCTGGCACGCGGCGCCGCCACGGGAGAAAAGATACCACACGCTGACGGCGTTGATGCTGTCGTCGCAGACCAAGGACACCGTCACGGCGGCCGCCATGCATCGACTCCATACGGAGCTGGTTCCCCAGCAACCTGCGACCGAGGGCAGAGAGCAGCAGTCGTCGCTCACGGTCGAGAACATCATCGCCTGCGACCCAAAGCACCTGGACGAATTGATTGGGAAAGTCGGTTTTCACAACAATAAAACAAAGTACATCAAGCAGGCAGCGACGATTTTGAAACAGGAATACAATTCTGACATCCCCGATACGATCGAGGGTTTGGTTCGGCTTCCTGGGGTGGGTCCTAAGATGGCGTACCTGTGCATGTCTGCGGCATGGGGTGTGGACCAAGGTATTGGAGTGGATGTGCATGTGCATCGCATCACGAATCTTTGGGGTTGGCATAAGACTAAGACGCCTGAGGAGACGAGGATGTGGCTGGAAGGCTGGCTGCCCAGGGATCGATGGCATGAGATCAACAAGATGCTCGTTGGTTTGGGGCAGACGGTGTGTTTGCCTGTTGGGAGAAGATGTGGAGAGTGTGACCTCGCTGGCACGGGGCTGTGTAAGGGGGAGATCAAGGGGTGGAAGGCGACGGAGAGGCGGGTCAGGAAGGAGAAAAGGGAGGTGGAGATTGAGGATGGGATTGAACTGGTGAAGAAGGAAGAAAAGCAGAAGATGAAGACGGCGGTAAAGGAAGAGCTGCTGGATTCGGATGCGTGAAAACGTGGGGGTGGCCTGCGCTGTCTTTGGGGGAAGACATTCCGTCTCTGATACATGGTCCGTGGTACATATTACAAGAATCTACGGCATTGGTATGTTGCAAGGCTCCGCCTTTTCCGAATCAGAATTCCTCCTATCGTGCCGTCGTGAAAGGTCATGACAGGTATGCCTGATTTCTTCCAATATGGCGGAAGCGTCTAAGCTTCAAGTGAAGGCTCGATGCGGAGTGTTGGTGTTGTCGAGAATGAGATCAGACATGGTAAGCTGGAGGAGGGCCTTGAGGGTGCCCGTCATTACCCACGACATGTGCTTTAGCAGGTGTTGTGATGTGTTGGTCTGATAATCGCGGTGCGTTCCAGCCAACGGAGTCGTTGGAGTGAAGTAGTTGCTGGGTCCATTGGTCCTCCACGTCTTGAACACTCGGCTTGGACTGGTATCGGGTTCGTGGTCGGCAGAAAATATGTCGTTGTCTGAGAATGGTAAAGTAGCTAGCTACCAAGCAGAAGAATACGACAAAGATGACGATGCTGATGATTGCTCTGCTTTGTACGGTGTTTGAGCCGAAGGATCTTTTTAGGTGGAGAATTACCATTGCTCCTAGAGCGGTGTGAAGCTGAGGTCGTGAAAAGAGAGATGTCCCATCTTTCTGCGTGCCGGTGGTGTGCCTCAGTATATAGTCTTCTCTGTAGTGGGCTATGCTGTAGGAGTCAACCCCAGCAAGGCTGAGTACTGAGCTGCATGAACTCGCGGAATGTGGATTCAGCCTTGCCTTTGTACAGAAAGGCTCCCGCGCTAACCGTAACAGCTCTAGCGCAAGAAAAGTGCATCCTGTTCACAGCCGCCCCGTGCCCAAATACCTTAGTATCAAGCTTCAATCCGCCTGGATCATATGCTACTTTGAAAGTTGCAATGACATCTAATTGATAGGACGTTGGACAGACCTACTGTGCCACTCTGCTGGGTGTTGATCATTTTGGAGACCTGCTTTGAGACCTGCTTTCCCACCTGCTTGTTCGCTACCGAGTAGGGTCAAAGGGGTAAGTGCTACGTAACAGGTACCGCAGGGTCTGCCAACAGGTTTATCACGTGATTATATCACGTGCCAGGGCTTCTTACGATTAAAATCCGGGTACGACCTCTCATAGTCAGAAATGGTCTTTCCACAACTGTTCAAATTGGCAACGCTTCACTCGAACTCAGCTAAGTCTCCCTACCTATCCTAGGGTTGTTTTATCGTCAATTTTGATCCGAAAATTTGTCGAAGACATTCCCTGAAGTCAGCTTTGTTCAAATGAAATGTTCAATTTTGGAAGACAGTCAACACGATGGGCATGAGCATTTGTGGTCCAATTGGGGTGCTTTCAAAAATGTGGTTTATGGAGCAAGTCGCCCTGCAGATGTCCCCTGTATCGTGCACCGTCCCCATAGTAGCGGCGCAAAACTCCCGTCACCCCGGGGATCAATTGCCCCCTCAGTCTTCACCTTTTCTTTTCAGCTTCATTGTCCCTGCTCATGAGGCCGATGCCTTCAAACATGCGAACTATCAACACGTAGAACATCTTCCCCCCCAGTTTCTGCAAGCGACTTGCACCAACTTTTTCTCCGCCGGCTCCAGCCTTGTAATGGCCGTCGCGCTATCCGGCTAGAACAAACTTTGGACGAATATAAAACTATCCTCACCGGTAATCGAAAGTGGGAGCTGCGATCGCACGGCCAGAAGGTACCTCTTGCCACCGATGTCGTGTGGCTGACAGCCGAAATCGACGGAAAAAATCGTGGTTGATGAGATAGTTATACTCGGTGTCGAAAGATAGGAAGACATAATAGAATCCCGCCCCGGAGCACGGGGGACAATATGACCATCAGGACACGCCAGTAAACCCCATATCGGGTCGCAGATCGATAGGACCATCTTCCAAATGGGCCGGCAAACATCATCAACGGGATGACGACGATGAGCGGGATGCTGACAATCCGGGAGGGTCGGGGGGTTGGGGGGAAATACTACTGTTTGGGCTTAGTGAGGCAATAAGATTCTCGGTCGAGGTTCGCAAGTCGGTGCTGTTTACATTTGCCAGCGTTTGGTTTTTGGAAGGTGGAAAGACTGGCCAATCCTGGTGCCGGAGATGTGTTTAGGTTCATGCCAAAGATTCCCGTTTAGGTGTTAGTCGTCGCGAACGGGAAGGACTGGGAGACACGTCCTGCAATAAGATAGAGCGGAGGAAAGACTGCAGGCAGAATTGAAAGGGTGAAATTTCTTCCAACTTGCTCCCGGACGAGACGCTCTCAGATGTGCTCACTTCGTTGGGGGATGGGGAAATGGCTTTTCTCTCGGTATACGGAGGTATCATCTCTCGGTGCTCTGAAATGAGGGATTGAACAAGCACATTTTTGCCCGCGAGGCGTGACGGAGGTCATGTTGCAGAGTGAGAGGGGATCTGACGATGGTCACTTGTCGTGACCCAAGGTGCCAGAATGTCGAGGGCTCGCTGGTATGGTTTTGAGTTCTATTGGAGTCACATGTCGACATAGGAGCTCAGCTTTTCCCAGAGCTTTATCATGGCTCACCACTCAGCTCTTTGTCGTTGAGAGTTTCTGTTTGTCGCAGTGTGGCAGCCAAAGCCTCAAATATTGGTGGTTGAAGCCCATCATGCGACAGGACATGGCTAATCAGTGACCAAATCTTGGACAAGAGGTTTCCGGTGTCAGAACTGGTCAATCAGGTCCATGTATTGTTGCTCAAAATCGTCGGACCTAATGGAAGAAGCGGGGCATAATATGGTATCCAGGCGGCGGCGTTCGTATCCTTTCATGGAGGTGTCCTACTGTGATCCACAGCTGCGATAAAGTAAAAAGAGAATCAAAGTTGGCGACAAGGAAAGAGCTGAGCAAATGACATTGCAGATTCCCGAGAAGATTCACAAAAAGAAAGTCATGTCGTTGGGATTCCATAGCGACTGAAATTGAAATTAAAAGATACCACAAGAGTGATGGGATACAAAAGAGAACACGAAGATCAAAGATGTGAGTGTATGAAGAAAAGGAAATATGGGCGAGGAAGTCGGAGAAAATAGAGAGTGCTGAGATCAAATGTCCCAGAAACTGAATGTTTCGAACCAGCTCAGCCATCGAAGGACGCCTCCAAGGTCCGAGTCCGCTGCAAGAAAATCAGGGCCCAAAACCGCTGGTGTAAGCAGTCTTGTGCACAAAACTGCAGCCTCCCTTCTATTCCAGTTCGTGATATTGATATGTTGAATCTGATGTGGATAGGCCGGCCGGTATAACCCCGTTATTCGCGGATACGCCGCTGTTCTGCAATTGACCAATCAGGATCCGCAATTGTAAGGCCGAGCTTGAAATGCATAAGAGATTCGATGTCCTTGATACCATTTCAGCAAGTAGAATTTCTTTGTTTTGTCGAATTGGATACTCATTCAAGGTATACGTCTTCGCTGCTCGAGGGGAAATGGGGAGGGTCTCAGCGAGGCTGGGGTAGAGTTATCCCAGCCATTCAGACTCGTCGCTTGCAGAAAACCAGCGGGCAGAAAATCTGACACGTCGGATTCGCAAATAATTGGCTGGCCACTGGCTGGATTTTCGGGTGGGGCTGGCAATCGAATCTGCATGCCCCCATGCCGTATCCTGTGTAATCTAGCACTTCCATAGAGAGATGCAGAAGAAGAGTGACTGCAAAGTCAACACGTAAAATCTGCAAACATATTTCAGTGCCGATGGGAAGCCGATCTCTGCCACCTCTCTTGTCCGTTGGCTGAGAAACTGGAATGGCACTTGGAGAAAACATCGAGAGGCAGGTTGTTTTGAAATGAAAATGCCTTCTCATTGAACTCAGAACTGAACACAAGTAACCAGTCTGTAATAGCTGCTTTTCACTCCGTGAATGCTGCCGCCCTGCATTTTGAGCAGCCGACAGGCGCACGAGGCAAGCAGGGAAAAAAAAAGAAAAAAGAAAAACAGAAAAAAACTCATCGCACAACTATCTCTCAACTCCACCACTGGCAGATGGGCCGTCGTAGGTACGTTGACATCGTTTCACGAAACCTAGTCGTCATTGACTGATTGAGAAACATTTTACCGATTCCTAGTTGCAAAAGTCGTTTCGTGCTGGGTGTGCCATGAAGAGGAATCTTGGACTTTGTATATGATCTCCTTTCTGTGATGGATTTTATTCACCCTGCAACCCCACCCCCTTCATGTTGCCATTTTAGCAACACTCAGCGAAACATTCGCAGCAGTCGGCGCAACATTCACATCCTTCTTCACAGACGAAGCAGCAGCAGAGGGCGGCAAGACTGTCGAAAACTATTAGCGACCGCTGCGTGTGTCACGGAAGACGAGTGCTCGTTTCCTGACCATGCACCCAAACATCCTCGATCTTTCTTCTCGCGAACAATGACCTGTTGAGGAGGAGCTTGTTGGTATCCCATAGGAGGAGGCCCTTGGTAATAGCCCTGGGGAGGTGGCCCTTGGGGTGGATATCCGCCGCCGTAGCTGCGAAGAGAGGAATGTCAGTGAATATACAAAGAATCATATGATGGTACAAGGTGTTGCAAGAATGAAGAATGGTATGTATTGAGGGCCGTCGACCTCTCGTTTCCTAAGATGAAGATAGATGATCGCAGGGCGTAAATTGGACGGAACGGGCAGTGTACCCCAGTTGCAGTGTGTCCAGAGAGTCAGCTCACCTCTGCGGAGGATATTGAGGGCCACCTTGGTAGTAACCTTGGTTGGACATGGCGATTGTAGACAGAGAGTGTCAAAGAGGGTGAAAGGAAATGTCAATGAACAAAATTACTGCTGAATGCGCAGTTGGTGGGAGGTAGGATGGTTGAAGAGTGGAAGAAATAAAAGAGGGTCGAGGGTTTGTCTGCGCCTGATACGAGGAGGTGAAAGCTTAACTGCGCTTGGCTCTGAAGGGCCTGGTGAGTTCTTTGGAAGGGGCTGGACAAGCCCCAACTGACAACCAACTGGTGATGCGGATGCCGCCTTTCCGACGCTTGGAATGATGATGATTACAATCAAGTCACAGGTTTGTTTGAGATGGAGATCGTCCGCATCTAAGTACAGAAATATGGAGGTCTGAATCCAGCGACTGACTGACTTCTATATTCTATTTCTTCGAATTGCCTAACATGCAGCAAAATACTCTCGATTCGACCTACTGAGCCACAAAACTGAGAGGCAAACCAACATCAAACTCCACCAATCATTCCCTACCATCTCTCGTCGCTTGTGTCACGGCGCCCCCAGTTGAACGAACACGCGTCGTCCGTCCATTTCTACTCGCCGTTGGTGGCCAAAACCTTTAGCCGCTTCTCTGACCGCCCAGCCCACATGGGCTGTCCTCGCCCTGCTACTGAAGGAAATACTGTTCCCGAGGCAATCGACGCAACACCAAGCTTTTTACAAAGCGAATGAAAGACTAAACTTGATAGAATCTTGGTTGGAAACTCGTAATAAGATAACTTTTAGGCCAAATCCAATCCATCCTCCGCACCCGAAAGGAGTAAGTTAAAACATCCCATTGATGGCAGTCAGTATATGTTCCATATTCCAATACAATAATTCCAACTGGTCTTGCAAAATGCCATTCTCCTGTGTCCGGCTCGAAAAAAGACTTGACCCCACAACAATAATCTGGGAAGTCTGAAATCCATGCCCAATCCTGAACGTCAAGTGTCCGAAGAAGAGACAAAAGTGCATAGCCATGGCGCCTAGACAACATCGATTCAAAACATGCAAGAACATAAATTCAAGTACAAGACTGCTTGTCCTCCATCGTCACGTGTACTCATCATCAGTCATGGCTTCGTAGATTTAGAAGAAGGGAGGGTCGTCAGGAACCACGTAGCTGTTCGGATTGTAGGCAACATTCGGTGACAGGGCGGCGTTGACATAGTTGAGATGAAGTCCATTTTCGTAGAAGAGTGGTTCCTGCATGATATCGTACATCGGCATGCCCGGTTGGGACATGTCGCCGTCGAGATTGAAGTCGCGAGCGGTCACGTTGTTCGAGCCACAATTGACGAGCTCGTTGACTGCTGCAGGGTGAAAGGTAGTGTCGGGAACAATGTCTTGAACTACGACTCGGCCATTGACGTTCATCTCCAACTCTTCATACATCCAGTTCTTGAGCACCTCCATAGGAGGATAGTTCCCACCACCCATACCGCCGCGGCCTTCACTCTTCTTGCCACGGCCACCACGTCGGTTCTTACACGGGTTGAAGTGTGCCCGACGGAGGTGGGCGGCAGCGTTATAGTTGGCGCCGTAAGTCTTGCGGGTGCGACATGCCTTACAGTTGGACAAGAAAGTCCCGTCCGCCGAGGCGTCTTTGCAGATCCAAACTCTTCGAACCTGGGCGTGGTGGCGATCAATGTGTCGGCGGAGTTCGTGGTCACCATGAAAGCCCTGCGGTTGATCGTTACAGAATCGACAGAATGTCGTCTTACGAGGTGGTTGTCGGCGAACGGTGCGGGTGATCTCTGCTTTGTGCTTTACGGTACCGTCTTCGCCTTGGACGGCAATAAGCTTTGGTTCTGGTAGCTCGGCATCCGATGAGGATGTGTTGGCGGCACGATCCATCTTCGGAGCCAAAGGTCGTGAAGGTGCGTTACTGCTACGAGGAACCGCTTCCTGTGGAAGCCCTCGAGCGGACAACGGAGACTCAGACAAAATAGAAATAGACGAAGCATTGCTCCCACAAGAGGGAGAATTCTTCATCTCACAACTAGAAGGAGACGACGATGAATGAAACTCATTATCAGGAAAAGACAACTGCGAAAGACCGTTGTAACCAGAATCGGTTACAACAGAAGAAAAAGAAAAATAAGGAGCTGAATCAACAGCATCGGAAGCTGGAGAAAACTCCGATGTAAGCATCTCGGAGGCTTTGAGACCTTTCAACATGGACACTGAATCCATGCGAAACATCCCAAACCCTTCACAGAGAACATCATTTGTGTTCGTTCGAGTCATGGGCTCCGACAACACGGTTGTCGTAGACGTCAGACTCGAATCACTAGTAGTCGTCATCCGGGTATACCCCTCCGGTGACTCTATTGCTGAAGTATACGGTGATGTGAGCTGAGAGACGTGCTTGGTAGGCAACTCACCGCGCTCCACCATTTTCGGAGGCGTCAACGAGATCGTCGGCGTCCGATACTCCTCTGGGGATTTGGCGAGATAGTCGGTCGGTGACATGTCTTGCACTTCTTTGATGAAAGTGAGGTTGGATCCGTTGAATCGATTAGGGGAGGACGCAGTGTTGGACATCCGTCGTTGTCCACCGTGGCGGCGAGGGATGGGAACGGGTCCAGTCGTCGCCGAAGTCTGAACAGGAGGCGAGGGACGCGCTGGAGGTCGACCTGGATGATTCTGTGAGGGAGATAGACCAACAGGCTCTGAGAATTGTCGCTCGAGGAAAGGAACCGCGGGAGCCGAAGATGCCAAGGACGCCTTTTGGGTCTCAATCCGTCAAACCAAGCAAAGAGAATAGACAATGGGGGTACATACATGGCCAGGACGTTTGGTAGCGGGCTCCATACCAACAGCCTCCGCACTGGACGCGGTTCGTTTCTGGGGAACAGAGGTACCATATTCTTGAGTCGACCGGGAGCCCTTTACGGCGGCGCCGATGGAATCCCAATATCGGGACCAACCTGCTTCACGCTCTTCGGGGGAGAGATGTTGATGGTCTTGGTCGTAGACTGCTCGACAAGAACGAAGAACTCCGACGAGGGTACCAGAATCCATTTTGTCCACCAGACTGACCAAAGATTACCGATTGGAGAAGAGAGAAGAAGAAGAATAGGCTGTTGGGTGAACCAATCTGGGAACGCGTCAGTCAGCGGAGGCCTCGATGTCAGTTGTTCTCCCACCCAAAATCAACTACTTACATATTTGTTAATAGCAAGGTAGTAGAATTGGTGGAACAGTGCAACGAAATTACCAAAATTTTCAAAGGCGGTTCAGCAAAGGCGGAAACGAAGCGGTGGTGAAGAGTAAAGAATGGTGAGAAAGCCTTAGGAGGAAAAGTTGGGATGACTTTGGGGGGGTGATATAGAGACTCTCGGTTGGGCTATGGGCCTTTTGGGGAGGGGGGAAGGAAAAAGGCGATCAAAGAATAGAGGCTTGGTAGAGTGGAGGGGAAGGATAACCATTTTGCGAAGAAGTTCGGACATGACGGCAAACAGCCGGTGACAGGCTTTCCAAAAACATCGGAGACTTTGTTGTTGATCGTGGAGCCCATGGCTTCTCGCTTTGATCTCTGATGGGTTGCAGAAAGTCCCATGCTAACTGCCCTTGTTGACAGTCTCGCTGTTGGCCTTCTTTCTAGCCTAGAGATACCACTTTCCGGGCGTTCCATTGCCCATCTTATCAGAGGTTGCCCGGGGGGGCCCCTGGCGCGGATCGTGCCCTGCGACACTGGTACCCTCCGGGGGAGGGGGCCAACTTGGAACATTTCATGATCTTCTCTTGGCCAATCCCCATGTCCATCAGCATCATTGGTCCGCTTATGGGAACCACCTTAGCGAAGACTTAGACGCAGGAATCGCGACATCGGCCGGACGCTTATTGGCTTTGACCCAGTGTTGCTGTGATGCTCTTGGTCGCCTCACTTTGTCCAGGAATTCGTCGCGTGCTTTGCCTAGCGACTCAGGTTCTTGTCTGACCTCGATTCATGCCCAACTGAACAAGGGGTCAAAGCACAGTATGCATGAACTCGGGTTTTCAATCACATGAGTTTGGTGAGACTCGAGATTGCAAAATGCAAAGCCCCCACGAGGTCATTCGCATGCTACTGTTTGGCTGGCTGAAATCATGTCTGACCAAAATTCAAAGCTTTCATTGCTTCGAAATCAGATGATCTGTGGTACAACAGGAATGACACACATAGTTTCGAGGGCTAGACTGTGCCATTTGAGCGTAACCAATGCGAAATTCTCCTGATAGGGGTATTGGATCAAGCGACAGGAAGTTCCTCTCGGCTGGCTCAGAGAGATGAGTCAAGAGAGAGGCTAGGTCGACATGCATTTGTCCTTTGTGCCCAACTGACGTACCTTCGTGAGAACAGGAGTTCACGGCGCCGTTATCCGACCGGTGCGGACAACCGATATCACGATATTTTTTTTTTATTGATTGGCCGCTAGCCTCGACCTCTGTGGGCATGTGCTGTGGCCGCAAACAAGATAACGGTCCAAACAGGTGTTACAGGCTTAGAGGAGCAGAGGAAACGAAAAGAATCGGTTGAATTCTAGATTGAAAAAGGGTCGGACTCGAATGGGATGCTAAGGGATGACCGCTTCAGGTGTTATGCTCAGCATGGTATTCTCGGACCCACAATGAGGCCCGGTTAGGCATATGTTGGAAGTTATGACGAGGCATGCAATCATATTTCTAAAAACATAAAGTTGATAGACAGGCCGGTGACTGGGTTGTCGACCCTAAAATGCATCATTGTCGATCGTAACGCCCAAGAAGAATAGTACTTCGGATATGCAGCAATCATCTCCCTTTGGCTCGGGTACATGTCTCCATCGCTGTTGAGAGTAGAAACGAATAGAAGTGTGTAGCCGTCGTAAGAAATGTTGACATCCCGTGGAAACGACCGACTGCAACTGGAAGTTCGATCAAGTACCTGGCGATCAACGTCGGCGAACGAGGGACTTGGGCCAGTTTGGACGAGAATGGCTCGAGTGGGCGAGAGAATCCACGTGATGTACCGGATAAACTATTTTTCCGCAGAAGGTTCATAGCAACCCAGGAAAAATTCTGATTGGCTTGGTCCTTCGTTTTTGTAAACAGAACCATGTTTACATCTGAATGACCACGACGACAACACCTACTCATCCTCTCTCGTTCCTATCTAGAGCACTTCAACAATGTCGGTTGGTGAGATATTCTCCGACGCTCAGCGCTCGTCTGCTGGCCACATCCATAAATCCCTGGCAAAGCGCCTGCGTCGTCTCGAAAACAACCCCGACTTCGATGCACACCTCCAACAATGCGTATTCCGTCTGTTAGATGTTAGCAAGTCCGAAGTTGCTGGCAATCGGGTCATCAAATTCCTCACAATCTACCTCGGTTCAGACAATGCGTCAAGCCGAACCACGTCTTCTATTCTACTTGCCTTGCTCCCGTTTCTGTGTGCGAAAGACAAAACCGTCCGATACCGAGCCACCCAGGTCATTTCCCAGATTCTGGGTGTGCTGAGCACCATTGACGATGACTTGTACAAGGTTATCAGACATGAATTGATCAAGAGACTGAGAGACAGAGTACCTGCTATCCGATTGGAGGCGGTTCTAGCACTAGGGCGGCTGGTAGAGAATGAGATGGAGGAGGAGGAGGAGGAGGAGGAGGAGGAAGAGGAGGAGCAGGATTCGCATGAAGACCTGGCACCAGGCTTGCTTGAGAAATTACTGGATGTCTTGCAAAACGACACCAATGCCGAAGTCAGACGAGCTCTCCTGCTAAATCTTCCAATCACGCCCAAGACATTACCCTATTTGCTTGAGCGGGCCAGAGATCGCGACAGTCCAACGAGAAGGGCATTGTATGAGAAACTTCTGCCATCGCTGGGTGATTTCCGACACCTGTCCTTGTCAATGCGAGAAAAACTCTTAAGATGGGGTTTGAGAGATCGCGATGAGAAGGTTCGCCGAGCTACTGCTCGCTTGTTCAGTCAGCGATGGATTGAGGATTGTGCGGGGTCCAGAGTTGAGGAATCTGATGAATCCCAAGAAGAAAAGAAGGAGCTTCATGATCCAAGCATCCCTGCATTGCTGGAGCTGTTGGAAAGAATCGATACTTTGAACACAGGAAATGAGGCCGGCATCGCCCGTGAAGCGATGAAGGAATTTTGGGCGGGCCGGCCTGACTATCGTCGCGAAGTTGTCTTCGACGACGAGTTTTGGGAGAATCTAACCCCTGAATCAGCCTTTATGGCGCGCACATTCAATGACTATTGCCAACAAGATGCCAAATGTCACTCCATACTGGAGGAAAAGATGCCGGAAGTTACGCGACTGGGATTTCATCTTCAGAAGCACATCAACGACCTCCTTGTCAAGGCCCAAAATGCAAACGAATCTGATTCCGACGAAAAGATGGCCGAACAGGCAGAGCAGGAATTCATCGTTGAGCAGCTCCTGTACATTGCTCAAACCTTGGACTATACGGATGAAATTGGAAGGAGAAAGATGTTCTCGCTTTTGCGCCATGCACTTTCAATGGCAGATCTCCCTGAAGAATGCACTCGACTTACAGTGGAGGCCCTGCGACTCGTCTGCAATGCTGACGCGGCCGGTGAAAGAGAATTCACCTCCGTCGTCCTCGAAGCAATTGCTGAAGTCCACGATAACATCGCGTCTTCCGACCTCGAGGACGAGGGAAACGACGAAGACAGCTTCGTCTCTGCTCGCAGCGAAGTTAGTGGCAATTCAGCTGATTCAACGCCCAAGAACAACAGCAACGGCCCAAGCAAGCGGAACAAGAATCTCACTGCGGAGGAACAAGAAGCCCAAGCCATCAAGGAAATCGTCATCAACATGAAATGCCTCCACATTGCTCAGTGCATGTTACAAAACGTGGCCGGCAACTTGCAATCCAACATTGACCTACGCACGATGTTCGACAATTTGGTCATCCCCGCCGTTCGTTCTCACGAGGTCCTAATCCGTGAGCGAGGCGTGCAATGTCTCGGTCTATGCTGCTTACTCGAGCCCAAACTCGCCGACGAGAATATGAAACTGTTCACACTCTTGCTCAAAAAAGGCCACGAAGCACTTCAGGTCATGGCACTCCAGATCCTGTGCGACATCCTGCTCGCTCGAGGACGGCCCTCACTGAGCCAAAATACAACGGATGGCGCTGCGTCGCCCCCTGCCATTGCTGACGGCGAAGCAGCAAACAATAACGTCAACACTAGCACGGCAACCACCAATGTCCCAGCCCTCCTCTCTCCTTTCATCAAGGCTCTTTCGCAGAATTTCCCAGACGAAGTCCGCGCTACCGCTACGACTAGTCTGTGCAAGCTCATGCTGTGCGGCTTCTACAAGGACCATGAAGAGCTGTTTGATCAGATTGTCGAGCGGGCTGTTCAGGTTGCTGCCAAGGGATGGGAGCTGTTGGAGAAAGTCAAGATGGCGGCCGCAGTCGAGAGACAGAAGGACAAGATCGGTGAAAAGGAAAGGGAAAGCAGTGGTATCGGGAGCGCCAGAGCCAGTACGGAGGGGATTGCTCACAGTGATGGGAACACGAGGGTCAGTGATGAGGGTGTCGATGCCTAAAGACAGCCCTTGAACTCGAACCGGGTACGTGACTTCAATTAATGATGGTTGTCTGGTTGTGGGTTGGGTACTTTATTTTGATTTTCAGCCATCAGAGCTCTCACTCTAGGTGAGAACCGGCTCAATCTTATACTGGAGTCTAGGGGTATCATCAATCCGTCAAGAAATCCTACCATCAGGATCCCCAGGAACTGTAATTATGTTTCCATTTCTTTTTGTCCATTTTGGTGGCCCCGGCAAGCATATCCGATGTACGCAAATGCAATAATTTACAGAATCCCCTGCTTCTGCAGATCCAAATAGATGCGCTCAGGCATGACATTACCCTCGCCGTCCTCCATCTGGACGACACTGTCTTCTTTGACCTCCTTCTCACGTTTCTCGCGCTTGATCTTCTCCCATAGGTTCAACGCGTCCTGTATGCCTGTGATCTCGCGGAACAGACTCAGTCCGCCGGTGCCAGCGCTCGTGATGCCCAGACACTTGAGGCCGTAGATGTGGCGGGCCTCGCCAAAGTGCTTGTCAAACGCTCGTCGGCCCATGTACACGAAGTTTCCGCAGATTTCGCACGGAAATTCGACGCCGAGGCCGTGCAGTTTGTACAGCCAGTAAGGGATCGGCTTGCCATCCCATGCCAGAGGCAGTTTGAGTGGGTTGTAGATCTTCTCGTCGCTGTCGGAGTCGGAGCCAGAGTCTTCACCATGAGCACCGGCGGCGCGACGTTCAGAAGCCGCTACAGCCGCGTCGTCTTCGGCGAAAAGAGCATCTAGCTCCGCTTGACGTTCGCGCTCCGTCATGCCTTGCTTGCGCTCGACGTTGACTCGGGTATTGCTTCGTTCGTTGGAGAGGAGGTCGGCGAGGGCACGGATTCGAGACTCGTGCGATGCGATCACGCGTTCTTTCAGTTGTGTGCCAGAGAGAGATGTGGATGTTGATGAAGTCGTGGACATGCCGCTTGTAGAACCGTTGGCCTGTGCCTTTTTGGCTTCAGCGTTGCGCAGATGCTTTTTACCCGTGAGATGGGCTTTGTAAACATTTTGGTTGTTAAATTCCTTTTCGCAATCGGGACACCACACCCCAGATCCTGTACCTTCGGTTTGTGGATCTGCTGTGGTCGCTGTCATAGATTGATCTTTTGTCCAACCCGGCACTGTACCTGATTCCCAAGCGGTCTCGAATTCTCGATCTAGTCGAAGGAAGAGTTTCGGCAAGTCGTCTAAGGGTCTTGTCCTTCGTACAAATCCTTCCAGGTAGCTAGCCAAATCCACGACGTACTTCAGGTACGCGTCCGTGATCTTGTTCTGCCGTTTGATGGGCATGCGCGGCGGCTCAAAGGCATCGAAGTTGTCGAGATATTGGAGATATGTCAGTCGTTTGACTCCCGGAAGATTGAGGTAGTCTTCATGCAGGGATGTGAGGTCCAGAAATCTACCGTTGGACTCTTCGCCAGTGAACATGTTGTCGATCTCAGAGGTGATGGTTTCTCCCTCCTCTGGCCGCCTGCGCTTGTACGCCCGTTCGAGGTTCTCGACAGGTTCATTAGGATAACGACGATGAAAATCCTTGACTTCCTCTAACTGTTTGTAGAATTCTTCGAAGGGGTCGCCGGTGGAAAGGCTCTGGATCTCTTGGAGGCGAAGACCCTCGGCATCTTTGTAAATATCGAGCAACCGCTTTGATTGTTCTTGTATTCGTGTGAGAAAACCATTTATTTGGTGGTCGCGATTTAACCTGTCTTTGATCTGGGAAGAAGTTAGAACATGCGATCTTACGCCAAACAGGTCCTTGACATACATTTCGGGGTTCTTCCGCCACACGATCCGTTATTCCTTGTTCAAGGCGTTCGAGGTCCTCATGGAGGAATCTTTGGTCTTCTAGGAGCATTTTGATTTCTCATGGGCCTTTGAATCTTCTGCGGCTAGAGTAAGTTTAGAAAGGCGCAAGCGGACGAAGAGCTTTCATGCCAAGACTGATGTACGGTGGGGGTTTGGCGTGGCAAATGGCAACATGCACAAAGAGCGCCTAGGCGGGTTCCAATATCAACACATACTCGCTCTGACTGCTCGGACAACGGCATTGGTGAAGATCGTCAATTGATGCTAAGGCACAGAAATGGAATATCAATATGTGTCAATGTTAGGCTTATATCCACAGCCGCTAGGATGCTCATGTCTGATACCTTCGCTCATCGTTCAGCCGCCCCAATTCTCTTTCTCGGTCATCTTTAGGGCAATAGATTGTTAGAATGGCATCACAACTTGCCCGATACCAAAAAATACATCTTGCTCACATCCATCAAGATGGCAACAAATGTCTGTCAATGCAGGATAGTGGCCTTGCCACGAATCATTCAGTTCAAAGTCCAGTCTTGACCGGCAAGCTTCAAAGAACCCTGACCAACATTCCAGATTCCTTGTGCCAAAGGGCATAAACGCTTTACGGCGGTAGCCTATTCGTGCCGGCGTCACAGTAAATTGGTCCACGATGGCCATGGCTCGGACTATCCCCCCCCCCTCAGCGATGCACAAGGTATCGAACATCCTGGGGCCGATACATTTCCGAGATTAGCAGCCACGAAGGCGTTCTATCAGGCTCCCGGATTCGCCGTTCTCGAATGCATCTGGCAAATTCTGTGAACTCCATCGCGTCTTGCCTCAATATCAAGTCGTCAACAGCAGTTCCCGTGATGAACATCATTGTTACTCTTGCAATGTCGACCTCCCAATTATCAATCGAGAATCCCACCGGGTTGATGAGATATTGATCCATATCGTTCAATACTTTTGAGAAGAGCCCGGTGACTTTGGTGTTTGACAAAGCAATCACAGTATCGACGTCGGCAATCGGCGCCTTTTCCAACCACAGGAAATATTCTTCTCGCGGTTTCCATTTCATCATCACCCACTGAATCTCCAGTCGCGTTTGATCAAGAATGGCGAGAATCCTGGATTTGTCGCGAGCATCGCTCCTCGCGACTCGTTGAATGCATGCGACAATTTGGTAGCAGCGTTGACTTTCCTCACGGCGGGTGGATCGCTTTCAGAGACAGACTCCAACAAGCTATCATAATCCAGAGGATCTTGAAGCCCTTCTATCATCCCATGAACGAAATGTAAAGCCAGAACGTCGCTAGAGAATGCCTTTGGCGACTGCTTCGCAATTTTCATTGCACTGTAGATATGCATCATGGCGCTTTTGTATTTCCCGGACAACATATCCAACTGCCAAAATGTGAAGGCTGTTAGAACAATTTCGATCATTGGTCTGTTGCTTTCTGAAAGGCTGCGAATGGACCGATTGGCATACCGCAGCATAGCTGCTGTCGATTGGGCCGATGCTGGACCAAGCTCTCTTCCGATGAGAGATTGGACTTGAGTGCCACAAACAATCATCACCTGGCGGAGGGCAGCTGAATAATGTGCCATCTAAGGAAATACCGTTGTCCACAGTTCCGGCGTGTGGCCAACAAAGGTCGATCTCGGCCCGACAATATTTGCCAGGAAGTCCACCCAACGTCCGACAGCGTCATATTCGTGTTGAGACTCATATGGAGTTTGTCGCAGTAAGTTTGCAGGAAGATTGGAATGCTTCACTTTTGGGATCGAATATCCAGGCTTTAGGAGGACTGTAAGAACACTCTAGGTTCCCAAGGGAACACCTGTTCAATGGTTCAGCTTTGGTTCCTCCAAGTATGGTGGACGACGACATACCGATGACAGCACGGTTTGGTCTCATCACACTTTACTCGACGTTTTCTGCAGAAGTTAGCACCAGCAAGCCGCCATCGACTTCGACTTACTTGCAGGTGACACAACCGGTACGCGTTTTGGGAGCGAACCTTCTGCGTCTCAACATTACATTCTCGGCCGGCATAGCCATGGTGTTGTCAGGATAGCAGTTTCACTTGCCTTTGCACGGCGACGCAATAGCGAAGGCAGATGACAAGAATACATGCGGGATTGAGAGACTAGTTGCAGCCTGAATGGATATCTGGTAAACTGTTGATGGTCCATGGTCCTAGGCAGGGGATGTTAAAGCCCAGCTCAGGTTTTATTATGTCAGATTTCAGGCTTCCCGTTCTGCCACGTTCCCATTGCGCTTAGATGTCGATCATCTGCAAACCTCCATCTACAGTGCGAAAATCGATAGATCCAGCATCGTCAGAATGAGCGACAGACACAAGAATTCTCCACTATCAACAGGGCAAAACGTGGACTTGATCCATCCTCGGATGAAAGTCGTAACGTTCTCGCGAATTGCCATATCCAAGCTCAAGAAGCTGCTTCATCGACTTCGTTCTCGCCCCCAATGACATCTATGTCGCCAGGAGACTTGTGTCTCAACCCGAGCCCAACCTCCAGCTTCCCTTGCCTATGAAGCGGCCCGATCTGTCACTTGCCGAAACTGCCATGGGAGAGCGCAACGCCTCGGAGAGCCTCCTCGGCAGGAAGGTGATGAAGTCTCTCTGGATTGCCTTGTCTCGTCCCATCTTCTGGATGTCTCGTAACGTCAACAGATACACCCCTTGAGACGAAGCCAGCAAAACTTCCTTTTTGCTAGGAAACATTCCCCATTCAAGCAGGATCACTCCCTTCCGAGCTATGGGCCCTCGGCTTTCTGAGAGCCTCAGGATTGTTCATTTCCAGCTTTTGGTCTGAACTCTTCGATGACACTCCTGGGTTTGGTGTATTTGAGGGGTGAATTGTATTCGTAGGGCAAGTTGAAGGCCCCGGGTCCACCAATCTCAAGCCCTCGCTTGGTCGTCCACAGAGGGTGTGGCGCCATGGCCATCACCGTGACTTTCAAGCCATATCTATGGTGTTGAGTCAGCTCCCGGCCAACGCCTCAATACGGCCACGACTATGCTCACCGGTACTCTTGCACTCCGATGTTCTCTCCTGTGGAGACGTCCAGCAAGAAGATCAGGTCGGGAACCGTTGCCAGCACCTTCAGTGCTACATTCAGCACCTCTGCCCAAAAACGTTCTAAGACCGGGGTTGAGAGCACTTACCGCCTCCTCGCCCTTCTCGTTCTTTCCGAGGACGGCGAGGTTTTCATTCATGAATGGAATGGCAACTTCAATCCAGTTTCCAGCTTTGTCTGCATCGCTCTCCATTTCATCTTCGCTCAGGGCCTCGACGATCACCTTTCCCACACTGTGCGCAGTGGTTGTGATGGCGCTTTCAACACTACGGATCTTCCCCTGAAAGAGGCGCTGCATAGTCTGTTCTCCTCCACATTCCTCGATTAAGGCTTCGGGAAGTGTCGACAACGACGCTGATTCTTGCGCAAGACACACGACGCGACCCATGCGCCATGCAAGAGAATGAGTGTTAGGAATTCCGGCAGTTCGCATCTCTTTGCCGCTCAACGGAACACCCGCGGCCCCACAAGCAGATCTGAGATAGGTCAATATTGATCCTCGTTTTCGCGGAATGGTCATTTTCGCAAACATACCCCATGGCAACGCATACCTCTCTTATCTCTTTCCCTGGACTCGTCTCGTCTGTCTGGCCGGCCGGGATCAGAACATTGTGACCCGTGCCACTGCAAAGGGTCACCGGTAGCAGTGCATTAACGGAGTCCGCCATGACGTGCTGGGAGACCATTTCAAAAGCCGGGTATGCTCGACCTGCGTCGCCACATCAGTCTCTGATTAGCCAATTCATGATTCTTGAGGCACATCGGTGAGTCCTTGTTCCCCAACGTACCCATCAGATCACCGTCTACGGTGGGAAGATGATAATACTTCGAGCAGCCGCAAATCAGAGGCGCAAGCCCATTCCCCCCACCAATCTCAACCGCTAACATTTGAGTAAATTTCACGTTGAGCTCCTCAGACATCATATTCAGAGCGTGGATCACGCCATCACCACCAGGTCTTTCTATGCCAACCGCTGGGGTGCCGACCCCGGCAACAGATGGCATCTGATCGTCATCTTTTAGGTCTTCACAGCTCATAATGGTGACAGTTTCTCCTCCCGATAGCAATTGACACAAGTGCAGGTAAGCTGCGTAAGGCGATCCTCCGCCTCCCGTCCCCAGAATGTAGCATCCAATGGCAAGGAATCGAATATCGATCTCTGACAAGATCCAAAGGCCTTCTTGAGTTACATGTGGACGATAGTTCCTCAGGTCGACTCCTTCGTTAACCGCCGCCTCACCATCCGTCTCCACCTCATGTTTCTTTGTTTCCTCGAACATTTCTGGATCGGCATCTGCAGCCGTGGTGTTGTTGAGCTGCAACATTTCCCGAAAGACTTTTCCATGATTCGCTGGAAGAGCGACTTCGATCTTGATCTTGGTTTGGTCTTGGGTATACGGAACCCCAACTATTTCTTCATTCAAAGTCGTGATTGAAGTGGTGTCACCACCTTTGAGAACAGCATTTTCGATCGCTTGCGCTTTGACTTTGGCGATGCCGCCCCGGATATCGGAGCCTTTGATGATCAATTCTGCAGACCCCGATATCTTGGCCATTGCTGCCCCAATCGCATTGGCGACACCAGCATGTTCAGGAAGAATAATCTTTTCGACACCGTGGAGTTCTGGTGGGCATAGAATAGACCCGCCTCCAACCAGAATGATTGTGCAAGGGTCGGGGGATAACTTCGAGCGATCGATACAAGCTTCCAGCGTTTTTCTCATTCTTGTTTTCGCTTGGGAGATGATGCTCTCTGACAGCTCGACTTTCTCGGTGCCGAGCGAGGCGTCGCCAGAAGCGACTACCACATCAGTGGCAGTTGCTTCAGTCCCCCCGAAGCACAAAGCTCTTGTCAATAGATCATGTCCAACGCTGTCTGGGCCGACAAGCACTTGTTTCCCATCATGAAGGATCGAGCCGCCCCCTAAACCGACACTTTCCACGGATGGCATTTCCAAGTTGATTTTGACTCCTGCCAAATCAGTATAACTTTTGGCAAGGCGAGGATATCCATTCTTAAGAAGATATCCGACGTCTGTTGTCGTCCCTCCGATATCAACCACGACGCAGCCGGTTTGGCCGATTTCAGATCCGACCAGAAACGCCGCTCCACGGATGGAATTGGTCGCTCCAGACGAGAATATTTGAATAGGAAACTGCATGGCCTCGGAGAAAGGCAGCAAATGACCTGAATTCGAAGTCAAATAAAGGGGACATTGCAGGCCGACCTGACTCATCGCCGTCATGAATGAGCGAATTGCTCGGCGGGCGAAATTCAAAATGGATGCATTGAGGATCGATGCATTTTCTCGAGCGAGTAGTCCACTTCCTGCAACATCTCGGGAGCACACAATGTTAGCATCTTGGAAAGATTCTCTCAAAAGGTCTCGGACCCTTTCTTCTTGGTGATAATGATCGTCTGTTGGTGAGCCAATTCCAACGATGACAATGTTCTTCAATCCCTGAGCCTTGATGATCTCGGCCTGCTCCCTGACAGAGTCTTCATCGATATCGGCGATGAGTTTACCGTCGATGTTGCATCCACCAGGAATAATGGCTGAATGCCCATGGACAATCTTTTTCAAGGCTGCCGGCCAGTCCGCGAACGGAGGCGTCCCAGCAGAGAAGTTATAAGAAGCCAGTCGCAGCACTGCAACTTTCTCGACTCGAGAAGAGTCACGCTCAATAATGGCATTGATGAAATGCGTCGTGCCTATGGCAATGGCGGAGACATTCTTTCGGTCCACAGGGGATTTTCCTAACAGGACCTTCAGAGTCTCCTTGACACTCAGCGTCACGTTTGAAGTAGTCGCAGCCTTGTGTGACGAGATGACCGCGTCTGTGCCCGTTTTCGAAATATCCAAAAGCACAGAGTCCGTGTTGGTGCCTATGCAAAATCGTCAGATTGCAGTACCGTGGACATTGGAAAAGGCCGTTCTCGACCCGTCCGTTCATACCTCCGACGTCCACACCAACCACGAGCGGCCCTACCTCGACCATTTTCAACCTCTCTCTCCTCTGAAAGTCTGGCGTGGAAGAGACGTATTTGTGGGATGCTCCTGATGCTATAATATAAATGGGGTATAGGTTCTCCGAGACCGGACAGGAGAATGCATGGCAGGCTCAGCGTACCATAGTCTCAATTTTTCTACACTCCCCCCCGGAAGCACCTGACCAGACGTGCCGGTTCGGGGAATACGTGACTCTCGAATATTGGAATTTTTCCATTGTCCTCAGGTGGCAGTGGATCTCTCTGCCGTGGCAAGGCTTGTCGTGGGTGTGGAGATGGCCCAAGGCTATGGCTCTTGACTTTAACGGATCAATTGACGCAAAGCTTTTCTCTCGCAGATCTTGAAGCCATATCCACGAAGAGATCTCCATGTATCTCATCCCGCCGAGTGTAGGTGAGTTCGAGGTACTTTATCCCGCTTCGCAGGCGATACTTGATTCTCATAACGATGGATTCGGGTTACATAAAATCCAACGCTGGTTGCAATCTAAGGCCTAGGCAAGGTCCATCCCACCAACCATCTCAGTACAACCCCCCTTACCACCAAGGCCATTAAGCCTTTTCGGGGAACGGAATATGCAGTGAGTCAGGGTTTCCCGTGGAAATTCTGGCCAAGACAGAAGTCTAACTTAGGTTCTCGGGGTCTGTCCCTTGAGACTTCGCAGCCTATCACCTACTTATCTCCTTCCCGTTTTCACACTTTCTCACACATAAGCTATCGCTGACCTTTCGACTTCCTATCATTCGATCCTTCCTACGACGGCCGTGATCCACCTCGTCTCCAACTACTCGCCACTTCCATGCTTGTTGGGCATATTCTATTCCCTTCGTTTCCAATGGCCCGGAGTGGGAGATTTCTGCCCCCTTCCCCTTTCCTGCCTTACACAAGCTATCATAGATTGTCCCATCCCGTATACTCCCTATCTCAATTGGCGGAGCAATTCGACCCACTTCGTCTCCAGCTTCCGTAGGTCGAATATCCTCTACAACCCGTACGGAATCATGCTCAACAGGGTATAAGCCCTTGACGTTTGCTATCCTCGCTATCTCTACGCTATCCCATGTTCATCAGTTCCATTCTTACGGGGAGCCCCAGCCAACGCGTATCCCGCTTTTCAATTCTGTTGATCGCACGAGCAACCATGCCTTATCGCTGTTGTTGCTGAATGACCTTGTCTCTTCTTTGGTGGGGAGAGACCTATCTCATTCTTATGAGATGAACCGAATCATCGCTTATTGCTCAATCGCAAAGCCATATTCTTCGCGAAGTCTCGCGCCTCAAAGATAGGGAAGATCCAGGCCCTCGGTAAGGATGCCACTTAGGAGACATGAAGACTTGATCCTTTGGTCTATAAAACCATCGCTACACCTCATATACACTAAAGACACCTGCGTTGTTATGCGTCCTCGGCTATTTGATTTCGAGCCCCCATTCACACATAACCAAATCCACCATGGCGAGCGTGGCCAAAGTAGTTATCCAAAAGCTCGCTTTGAGCGATGACCAGTTCAACGGCGCAGCGACAACGAGATGGATAAATCCAGACATTACGCCGTTGCCTCCGCCCAGGCGCACCTGGGGAAGAGTTGCGTATCTCGGATTCGGCTCTATCGCGAAGTAAGTTGTCTCCTCTTCGCCCTGTCCAACCTCTATGGCCATGATTCTAATCACTTGCCCTGCAGTCTTTGTATCTCAACCTGGGCGGGTGGATCATCTCTAGTCATCCTGGGCCTGAGCATTCCCCAAGTCATCGGCGTTATGATCATTGCTCGAGTTGTCATCGCCTTTCTCGTTATTGGAAACGGTTGGATGGGAGGGGAATGGCATATTGGCTTCACCGTGGCGCAGCGGTTTGTTCTTGCACGTTCAATGCCCTTGATGGATAAGGTAAACTCATGCTGCATTTCACAGACTTATTTTCGGTGTCCATGGGTCCTACATTGGCATTCTCATCAGAATTCTCTTGTCTATCATTTGGTACGGATCTCAAGCCTGGCTCGGTGGGCTCTGTGTCGCGGTCATATTGAGTAGTTGGAGCCACTCGTTCTTGACCATGGAGAATACCTTGCCCGAGAGCGCCCACGTGGTCACTCGCGATCTAATTGGCTTTACAATTTTTCATTTCCTCTCGGTGCCGCTGCTGGTAAGTCCCGGGCCCTAACCTAAACTATTGTATTCGTTCCTAATATTTCGCAGTTGGTCCGTCCAGAAAAATCGAAATGGCCGGTCGTTTTCGCCAGTGTCACCACCTTCTTCGTCATGTTGGGAATCTGCATCTGGGCCACGACACAGGCGGGAGGACCTGGACCGCTGTGGCATCAAGGATCCACTGACATAGGCTACATGTCCCACGCCTGGGCCTGGGTCTACGGCATCGTCGCCAGCGTTGGTGGCATCTCTGCCGGCATCCTCAACCAATCCGACTTCACTCGATTCGCGCGCAAACAAGGAGTTCAAGTCCCCGGCATGCTGTTTTCTCTCTTCATACCCGGCATGGCCGTGCCGATCATGGGAATCCTCACGGCGTCTGCCTCTGTGAAAATCTATGGTGGCGAGCCATATTGGAACCCGCTGACTCTGATCACGCAATGGATGCTGGACGACTATTCAGCCAAATCTCGCGCAGCCGCGTTCTTCTGCGGTCTGGGCTTCCTCATCAGCCAACTGGCCGAAAACATCCTCGGTAATGGCTACGCCGCTGGCATGGACATGGCCGGTCTTTTGCCCAAATTCATCAACATCCGACGTGGAGCCCTGATTTGCGCTGCCCTCTCATGGTCCGTCCAGCCGTGGCTCTTCTACAACACATCCTCGGTGTTTGTGGCCACAGCGGCCTCTTTCTCCGTGTTCATGGGGCCTCTCACGGGTAAGTGCCTCATCCTTCCTGGCCAGAAGTTAGGAGGCCTTTCTACAAAGACAATGTATAACTCATTCCTTCCACTCTTACAGGCGTCATGATGGCAGACTACTTCATCATCCGCAGACAACGCATTGAAGTCAGCCAGCTTTACACCGGCTCGCCCGAGGGCTCTTACTACTACTTCTACGGCTTCAATCTACGCGCCATCATTAGCTGGGTGGTCTGTTTCGTGCCTGCCATGCCGGGAATGATCGCCACTCTGAACCCGAGTATCCCAACCAGCCAGGGCGCAATTAACTATTATCGTGGAAACTATCTTTTCGGTGAGAGAGTTGCCTTCCTCATGCAGAGCCTCGCCCGAAGAAATCATATCACTGATTGAAGTGGAACAGGATACTGCGAAGCCGCCGTCCTCTACATCGCAATCTGCTATATCTGGCGGATCAAAAATGCCGGGAAACAAGACGAATACGACATTTACGGTACATTTGACGAGTCGGCGGCTGAGAGAAAAGGCATTGCGCCATTCTTGGGGAAGAAAGAGGAAGTTGCCGAAGGTCTTGAGGTACCAACTGAAGCACAGGATATTGAAAGAATGGGGATACAGCAGACGGAATCTCTCAAGGCCCCCACCGTTACGTATAACTAGGATACAGGATTGAGCGTGCATTGTACATACCTGAATGCGGCCCCCATATGACACATCCAACTTTTTTGAAATGCAGGAGACTGGGTTTTCCCCTCCCTCCCCCTAAAAAACCAAAAACTCCTCGCCCCAGCCTCGCCCACCCATTGTCGATCAGAGGCGACGAGGCTTTCTTGATCCTTGATCCTTTATACAATCAGTCACCGAACACCGCTTCATTTTTAATGTGTCGCTCGTGATTTTAATTCTGTAGACCTGCCTCATCCTCAATCGGGTTTGCAGTATGGCGTGCGATAGACTCGTTCAAATAGAGCATAAGAAATAGCATTTTTGGTTGCTGGCCATTCATTTCCTCGGCAGCAGTCTGGTCATGGCCAATCTCCGATAAAATTTCGGGCTTTCTCGGAGCAGAATCTCTTCGGATCCATAGGTTTCTGGTTTTCGACCTCATGTGTCAGCCGTATCTTTGACAGATACCTCTTCATTTACATCCACACCCTGATGTAGCGCCTTGCTTTCGGACCCGGGGGGACGAATTCTCTGTCCGCCACGCTTGTGACAGATGACACAAAACTTGACTGTGTATCACGGTGCCGTAAACCGGACGCTTATTTCCGGCCAACTCTGCCGACAGTCTCTGAATCCAGCGGTGGATCCCTGAATTCAGGACGTTGTTCGCCCTTTCCACGGGAGTCAACGGCTATACCAACGTGGCGTATGGCAGACTTGTAGCCGCTTTGATCGGTGAAGTCATGGAGATTCTGATCAAGGTGAACAAAGGCCATATGCAAGCCCAGCCCGGTCAACAGATCAAACCTCGCCTAGCGAGTCATCGCCGAGCTGATCATCAAGTCCCCACTGAAGCAGTGATGTTGGCACGGGCATGGTTTGAAAAGGATAGAAGGAACCAAATTTAACGTGCAGGCAACGGGTGAAGACTCACAGCGGCGGGTGTTGAGCAAAGGCAGGGGTACATCTGTGGGATTGAGGTCGGGTACAGGAGTAGAGTTTGAGAAGAAAGGGGGGGTAAAACTTTGAGATTGGAGGCGATATCCAGGCATCGATTTAGGCAGAATGGAATAGGTGATGCAAAGAGGGAATTTTCATGTTTCGTGCATGAAAATTCAGCCTTTCCCGAAAAGAAAAAGAAAATAGAAAAAGTACCTCTGACTCCAGGCTCTCTAAGATCATGACATCGGGGTGTTCCACCAATCAGTCACAGCAAGGCCCTGGGAACTTAATTAAGAGCTTCTTCTTGAAGACCATTCATCTCCTTTTCCAGAAATGCTCAATCCGGGTAAACGGCCCAGGAACAGATTGTCGTGGGGGCCATGAGCATGAGGCTGAATCACGTGAGGGGGATTTCCCAGGCAGCGAATTTTGGAGGCAAAGTCATTGGCTCGATGGATTCATCTTTTCCTCCCCCCGTATCCAGGCCCATCGACATGCATTCAGGCTCCATGATTTCGGCTTCAGCTGCGCAAAAAGGACATCCATCCCCCACCCAACCGAAACACACAGAATCCACGTGCCTGGCTGGCTAAACGGATCTTAGCCCCGGTCGATCCGCCCTTGTCGTTTACGAACGAGTAAAAAGATTGGCACCAAAAATGCGCCTTACCACACCTGCCAGCCAACGGGTTGAACTCTACTCCAATTCCTACAAATCCCGATCGAGCCAAGTTTTTCCAAGGCTGAATCGGGGCTGTGTCACGTATTCGTTTTTGGCTTTGATGATATCAGTGTCAAAACACAACCACGATCACGGTATATATCTCGAATAGATCTCTCCGAGGGACAAGATATTCACCCGAATACAAGGGCACCAGAGACAGCACACAAAGAACAAAACAAGACAATCCTTTTGCGACATCCAGACGCTCCTTTACTGATTGATCGACACACACACACGCAATGGGCCTCACCAAAGCTGAAAACTCTCCTGGTCTCTCCTTTGAACTCGACAAACCCCGCCAACATTATTCTCCCGGCGATCTCATCAGTGGTCGTGTCCTCCTCAACACTGCCGCTGACAGCGCCATTGGGAAAATCGCCGTCTCATTCTGGGGTCGAGCCAAATCCCGCATTATCCAACAACATGGTCAAAGCGTGACCTACCACCGCGGCCGAACTTTGCTCTTCAAACAGGAACAAATCCTGTACGAAGGCCAATACACCCATAAACCCGGCTCTTTCTTCTGGCCCTTCGAATTTGTCGTCCCAGAACAAGCAGATCCAGCATGCATCCTGAGCGGAGAGAAGTGGAAGCCCAAGGAACATTACAGGTCTACCGTGGACAATGATAGGCTGGACCTGACTCTCCCGGCATCCAACTTTCACAGAAGACACATGTTCGGTCGTCAAGCAGACTGTTTCATTGAATATGTGCTGGAAGTCAACCTCACCGAACCCGAAGGCCTTCACCACATCCGCAAAGCTCAGACCAAAACTTCCACCTACCCCATAATCTTCCACCCCCTTTCGACCCCGGAACCAATTCAGAACTACAATTTCGTAGGCAACGAACGCCTATTCACAATATCCACCTTGAAACTTCTCCCCGAACATGCTGGCACTAGCCTGGGTATCCGCGACCGCGCCCGTTCTATCTTTCAACGCGATACCATTCCCAAATTCTCATTCAGTGTGACCGTTCAAGCCCCGGGCATCATCCAACTCTTCCATCCCAAACCGATCCCATTCTTGATATCCGCCAGGCCCGACCTCTCCTCCGACAACACTACAATCGATTACTCGACGGGCCTCCCCGAAGTGATCCTCCGCTCTGCCAAAATCGAATTGAAGGCTTACGTCCGCTGCCGCGCCTCAGGAACATTCGCCGATTCCAAATCGTACGAAATCCCCATTTTATCATCAAAACCACTCAATGTCCCTCTGAAGTTCTCCCGTGGCTCCATCGCCAAAGAAGATGTGACTCTCGACCTAGGACCCTTGTGCGACCTGCGCCTGGGCAACGCCAAACTCGGCTCGCGTCTCGAAGCGCCCCTCTGCCCAAACTTCAACACCTACAACGTCGCCCGCACGTACCATCTCACCTGGGAGCTAGAGCTCGAATGTGCAGAGAAGACCGAGAAATTCGCCTCTGCACGTACAGGGCCCGAATGTACCGTCATCCTACCCCCTGCAACAGTGAGCATGGAACCGATGGATCCAAACACGCTCCTGGGCGCAGACCTAGCACAGTCGACATCCGTTGCGAGTTCAGGCTCCGGCTCCGCAGGGTTCTGGTCCCGTCGACGCTCCGGCGAAAGCAGAAGTGGAGGCGGAAGCGAAAGGGAGAAAGAGAAGGCGACTTTCGGACCTCCATCGAGCACCCTCAGTGCTGGCGTCAGCGCCCTAGGTCTCGGTGACAAAAAAGACAAGAAGCCCAAGTCCAAGGAAGAAGAAGCTGCCGAAGACCGCGCCCGAGCACGTCCGGAATTTCACTCTGGTTACGAAAATCCATTCAGCACTGCCGCTGATGCCGATTCTGACGATGACGACGGCAACGGCACGTCAACCGCAATCACTCAAGCTTCCAGACCTGGTGGTGCCGGCACAGATCAGCAACTGCCGAGATATGCCCCCTGAGGGGGCGGCATTTTCTTGCAGTACTGATCAGACTCTCTCAAATCAAGGGGCCGTAGGGCTGGGCTGGGCTGCCATGGATTTGGTTTGAGCGACAGAAAAACAAAATCCCTTCCCTCACGGCGTTTTCAATCTTCGTTCGGCGCAATGATTTTTCTCTCTCTCGAGGCGTTCAAGCACGCAAAAAGGGGTTTTCATTCGGTCAATATTTCGTTTGGTCGTTTGGGTTTGTTCACAATACTGCGGGAAAATGCGAGTCTTTGAATTCATTTCCAAAAAGGGAAAAAAGCAAACATTCAGTTATTGCTGTATGGGTCATGGTGTCATGGTGCACTGTTCTGGAGAATATGGAGCACGGAGTATGAGGGTAGCGAGTCTCGACATTTTGATTTTCGATTTTGGCATTTTAACATTTCTACATTTCAACATTCGAAGTCTGAACGTTTCGACATCTGACATCCGGTATCTGAACATTTCGAAGGTTGGCATTGCATTTGAGCAATACGCGCAAAATCACTAATCACGAGTCACGAGTCACGGGTTACGAGTTTATTGGCTTCTCACGGCACGGAAATCTCGCCATTTTGCCTTTACTTTTACATATCGATTTTTATTCTTGGTTCCCATTTCCATTCCATTTCTTTGCAACAAAGGAAACCAGCAACGACCAAAACTAGGGGGATTGTGGAGGCAAGAGGACCAATCTTGATGAGTTTCCCATTTCGTCAGGCGTTTACTATTGGTACACGGAGCCGGAGTTCGGGATCTTGGAGTTTTTGAGTTACGGCGTTTGGTTTTTGTTATTTCTTTGTTTGATTCAAGCTGGGGGTTTTGAATTTGATTTTGCTTCTTGTATTTTTTCGGGGTTTGTTGGGCTGGCCTGGTCTGGGGCGGAGTTCGGTTGCTTCTTATCAGGTACTAATCTATTAACTTACTCATGCTTTGTTTTGTTGGCTTCGCGGAGGGGTCTTATACTATTTGTCAACTTGCCATTACTGGCTGGGGGTGCTCTCTCATTATCATGGATCGACAACAGAGGAGAACGGGGCTGGGATAAAGATATGAAAAAGGGCACATGATTTGCTTAGAGAGAGCCTACCTACTATGCTATAGCACAATAGCATAAATGGATGTGAATCAGCGAAGATGATATTCTTTCCTAGTTGTGTGTGTGGCTCGAAAACCTAAGTCTTCAGGTATGGGCATACAAAATGTACATGTGCTCCATTTATGATACTTTTGTGTCAAAATCCTTCATCTTGCTGATGATGGCGTAGTAGTGCGAACGAAGTCGGCTCTGATATCATAGTAAAAGAGGTTACAATTGGATATTCCGTTCACAGCGCTCAGAAAAGATGCCATCGGGTGTGTTGTTCGTCAAATCGTAGAACGCGGCAAAGTGAGGGTACATCGATCTCGTGATTGGCCGGGTGGGTTGATGAGATATTCAATGGTCGCCGTTTGTCTTCAAGCTCATTCTTTGCCTTTCCTACCTCCTCTTCCACCACCTCCTGAAGTTTTCTTTTTCTTCGGCTCGTCTTCAGTCCCATCGCCGATATCGTCATCATCGTTCTTCTTCTTTCTCTTGCCCTTGCCCTTGGCTCCACCATTGGTGGCACTTGCGGCCTTTTTCTTTGGTATTTTGACATATTTGTCCTTCTCCAAGTCCAAATCGTCGTCATCTTCCACAGCGTCCTCCAAAACCTCCCCTGGCTCAGACTCTTCAATCGCCTCTTCAAGATCAGGTATCTCCTTTTTGGCCGTTCCTCCTTTGGCCATGCCTAAAACATGGCTTGCCTTGACAAATGGCATAGGGTGATTTTGAGAATTGTAGGTCCTGGTAAAAGCCGCCTTTGCTGATGATTCTAGCTTCACATTTTCCATGTCCATTGGTCCAACGCCCAATTCAAGCATGGCGTCGAAATCATCTTTGGTCAAATAATACGAGTCCATGAAGTCGATGACGTCCTGGACTGCGTCTCTGCCATCGTGTTGCAATACAGCGATAGTTTTGTTCCAAAGGGCTGGAAGATATTGCTGGCGAGTTTCATGACGGTCTGCAGAAGAGCGGAGTCGCATGTGGCCTTGAATTTCCTTGACAAAACGAGACATTTTCACTAAAAACCCCGTTAGCGATCTAGTCTGCAAGGAAGAAAAAAAAAGTCCGGACTTACTTTGTTTGCTGTTTTGTCCAAGCCAACTTGTAAAGCTGACTTGGGCGTTGAAATTGCCATACACATAGCTAGCAGGTCGTACAAAACTGAAAATAGCATGTGTAGGCATCAAACTCCATTGCTGTTGTGAACCATGGATCATTCTATCAACCAGGTCACCGTCACTAATACTGGACGCAGCATTATCGAAGAGTTCCAAGAGCTTCATATTTCTCTCCCTGCCGGTATAGGAGTTTGCCAAACTGGGTTGTGACTTCAAATAGTTTTCTTGAAGCATCAGGTAGCTGAACTCGTGATCGTTGAAGTACAATTCAGTCTTATCGTTCAAGGTAGCCGTTGAGCTCGCAGAGAACATTTGAGGTCGGAGGATTTTGCCGACAATATCCCAAGGTTTGAGAATGACGTGTTTCTCCCAAGCTTTGGACATGGCCTTGGTATCGTTGAAATCAAGATCTTTGTTGTCAAGCTTGATTGTCGAAATCATGTTGATAATTTGTCGAATATCACCATTGCATCCTTCAATCAACGCGTTCATGATTTGTGGCGGTAACTTCATGCCTTCCCGGAATAAGATCGTGGCAATTCGGCCACGGATCATATCTGTTGTTGGCCGTCTGAACTGGAATTCTGCCGTGACATTGTACAATGGTTTCATCTTCGGCTGATTACGTTCGTTGCATATCATGATGAGCGGTATGTTGGTCTTCCTCGCAATAGCAGCCATGGCACCCACACCGCCACGATCTCCCGCAGACATACCATCAACTTCATCCATGATCAAGAGAAGTTTCTTCTTTGAGGGGTCAACTTTCTTTCCATCACCCGCAAAATACCCGAGGATGGAGGTTGTGTCCAGAACACCGGTAAGACCAGCCTCCACCAATTTCTTGTTTCGAGTGTCGGAGGCATTACTTTCGACAACATCGTACCCCTCCAGTTTGGCCACCAAGTGAGCAGCAGTGGTTTTCCCCACACCTGGTGGGCCATACAGCAAGGCGGCACGGAAGATACCCTTCCCATCGGCACCAGCTTTCTTGAAGTGGGATCTGGCACTGTTTTGCCAATTGCGTAGCCATCGCTGCAAACCTTCAACTTGGCCTTTGTTGCCACAGACACTGTTGATTGTATCTGGAGCATACTTGTCAACCCAAAGACGGTCGTCACCTTTAGGTTTGGGCGGTTTGGGCGGAACTGGGGCGCCTGTTCTTGCCGCGGCAGCCTTTGCCACTTTCGCGGCCTCGTTTTGTTTCTGCCGTTCTCGGTCTTCCATTTCCTCTGCTTGCTTGCGGACCATTTCTTCTTCTTTGGCTTGTTTCTCAGCATAGGCTTCAGCAGCTTTTCCATCCCCGCCATTGGCAGGGAGTCGTTTGATCAGAGCAAAAAGACCCTCTTCATTGATCGTCTTGATTCCCAGTTTCTGAATAGTTTCCAGCTTCTTGGGTCCAGCATCGCTGCCAATGACGACATAGCTAGTCTTCTTGGACGGTGCGGTAGTAACCTTACCGCCATACTGCTTGACCAGGTTTTGTCCTTCTTCTCGGCCCAAAGAATTCAGTACACCTGTAAAGACAAATGTCAATCCAGCAAGGCAGTTTTCAGCACCCACGGGGATTTCTGCAGTGCCGGCTGCTGGGGGTGCCACATTGGCATTGCCGCCTCCAGGTTTAAATTTAAACTTCTTGTCCTCATCTCTCAGTGGAGGGGTGGGAGCGCGGACAGTTGGAATGCCGTCAAAGATGTCTTGGATCTCCTTGTTTTCTTCACGCTCTTCCTTCTTGGTCGAACCACGAGGTCTCTTTGATGCTGTGGATGAGTTCTTTCTCGACTTCTTTTTGGGGGTTTCGTCATCATCCTCCAAGAAGTCATCGTCGTCGTCCTCTTCTACATCTTTGGGCTTTCGCTTGCGACTGGCGATAGCTGCGGTGGTTCGCTTTCTTCTTCCGTCAGAAGGTCCACCGTAAGCAGGTAATTCGGCCATTTCGAGGTCATCCTCCTCCTCATCTGATTGTATTTTCTTCAAATTGCCATTGGCTGATTTGGTGACTTTCTTTGGTGGTCTCACATCATCGTCATCGGTGCCTTCTTCATAATCATCATCAACCTTCCTGCTCTTTAAATCATTGAAGATATCATCATTGCCTGCTTCCTCAGCCTTCAGCACTACTGCCAAAGACTCGTCATCATCTTCAGCGTTGTTGTTTGAAGCAGTTTTCCTGGCCGATCTCCGACCGTTAGATGGAGTTCCTCCGTTTATTTCCTTTGTAGAAGTCTTTCTTGCTCCAGTGGCGTTTGTGGGTTTGGATCGGATGGGTGTGGATTTTACAGGCTTTGCCTTAGAAGAAGCAAAGTAGGCTGAACTTGTTGTTTCTTCCTCTACTGCTTCCTTAACGACTTTCTTCCCTTTTGGAGTGGAAGGCTTCTTGGGTTTCGTTTCAACGACCTCGTCTTCTTCGTCATCGGATATCACTTTGCGAGGACGACCGCGCTGCTTGGTGTTATGTCTGGAACCATTCTGTAGTCTAGTTAGCTTTGGCTACTTTCCATCACCATTGGTGGAATTGTAGGCGTACAGCGTCGTTCTTGGTCGCCTCCGAGCCAGGACTCTTCGCGGCCGGCTTCGCTCCTCCACCACCCCCGCCGAAGAAACTTCTGATATCGGATGGCATGATGAACCCGAGGAAGAGCCTGGGATGTCCTTATCAAGAGTAAAAGATAATAGACATGAAGGCTTGACGAGGTAACAAAGAAACGAAATACGTTGTCCTTCTACGGTTAGACAAAAGTGGTGACTGCGTCGGCACGGAGTGACGCGCCAGATACGCGACGGCCCATTAAAAGACAGGCTCCGCTTGCCAAGGCAAGTACTTGCCCTAGATCTCTCTACACACGGACTTCCTCGGGCCAAAAAAATGCATCCATCCACCGACTGATATGAAAGGGAAAAAAAAAGAGGCATTGACCAGATTGAGGTTCGAACTCAAGACCTTCTCCGCTCACATGGAAATGTTAAGGAGATGTGATAACCAACTGAGAAGGTGTTAGTACAAGAAATCTTGTGTGAAGATTTTGGTGGTGACTTGCCTACACCATCCGGCCCGCTCGATGTAATTGATGAATTAGCTGGGTATAAAATATATGATTGTTGAATTTCAAAAATGGTAAGGTCTCATGATGCACGCCCACTGGCTCAGGTAATCCCGCCTGTAGCCACTGCTCATTTGACCGCCAAGAAGTTTCTTTCGCTGCATTTGGGCACGGAGCTTCAGCAATTAAGTTTCACTCTTATATACACATTGCATTCAAAACAAAACGCCAAAAATCCAAATTCTGACTGCTTCGACTCTTGCCGACTTGGATCGAAGTCACTGTTTTTCCTTTACAGAAGCAGGTTGCCTGTGCCGTGCGGTCAAATCGCAGTAATGGCTGGGGTATCGATCAGGCCCTCATGTGCGACCACCTACTCCATTGAACCTATATCGTAAATACTAACGAGGAAAAGTGGCCTGCTTGCGATTCCTTCGATCAGGAACAATCACATCGAAGCATTCTCTGCTACGTCCTATCAGATCGAACCTCATGCAAAGCTCCTCTTCAAATCCTCCCGTGATTCAAGCTTCATCACGATGCAACCGCTCATTTTCCACGGTGCCAGCTCGTCAAGATTGGTTGACGCCCAAGAGACCAGAAAAGAGGAAGTCCATGGTAGGACGACCCCGAATGCCCACGGGGGGATCAGTGCGCGGCACGACTGTTGTTTGGGGAGATTATGGTTTGCGGATGAAAGACCACGATCGAAGAGTATCGGCAAAACAGCTCAGAGTCGCCGAAGAAACAATTCATAGACGACTTCGAGGAGAGAATTACAAACTATACAAAAGAGTCAGCGCCAATATTGGTGTTTACACCAAAGGCAGTGACGTGCGTATGGGCAAAGGAAAGGGTAAATTCGATTATTGGGCAGCCCGAATCCCTGTTAGCAGAATCGTGTTCGAGCTCAAAGGTGATCTTCATGAACAGGTGTTCAGGGAAGCATTCAGGCTGGCTGGCAACAAGTTGCCGGGCCTATGGGAGTTTGTAAAGAAGGGGGACCCGCCTGTTGTTGGTATCACAAAATTGGGCAATGGGGTGACATTGGAAACGCTGAAGCTGGCTAGAAGAGAGGTGGAACCGAAGGACAAAGAGCCACAGCCGATTGTACCTCCTATGACAGGATCACTCCCTCGGACTGGTGCCACCAAATTGGACTAGTCACCGAACGTCGTCCGCGTTTCGCCATGATTCATCGATGTCGATATACCTCGTACGCCCTCCAGAATGCAGGGACTTATGCGCCGACTTCAGAACTCGAGTCATATCCTTGCTATGTCCATGTGTCTTTTGGGCCCGACGATTGATCGGGAGAACCACCATATTCACCTTCCTGACCTGCGGCCCTGATCCGAAGAGTTGTCTTGCCGTTCGTAACCATATTCTCACATATTCCGACCGTATCTTATATTCTCCGCGGTCTGAAGCCGTCCTTCCTGCGAAATTGAGACGGTCCCAAACGTGTTTGGACCGGCTGGAAAAGACCAGATACAAATGACAATGGAGTGGTGGAACGGCATACGTCCCAATCGGCCTCTCTCTGCTTCGAATCCGGCACAATTTTAGTCTTGATAGACTCATACCTGCACATATGTATCAACAGCTACTACTAGGGAACACAGTGAGTGGTTTCGCCTCCGGGAGCACTGTGTCCATGGCTTTACCCCACGATTTCGAGCCTTCCATATTGAATTTTGAGGACTTTATCTATGCTTGGAGTGATCGCGCGGAATGGGTCAATTTATACAAGAGCCACATAGTCGTCAAACCTTTGCGAGGACTATGTGGGATGGTGAAAGGGACCTGTGGGTGCCACCATGGTTCACATTTTGACATCAGAGTGAGAGCAGACCTTGAAACGAACGCTGCCAAGGACACTACATTAGTTGAGCGTGATGCTGCATTGCGGCTAGGGAATATTTTTGTACGTATTCAACTATCTGATTGACTATTGCAAACATTGAGGCTTGCTTCACTCTCAAAGACAAACTTGCGTGGTCCTTTTGCCATGGCACGGCGGTCAGCAACACTCGCTCCCAACATCGACACACCTCTGCGGAAACGGGATAGCCTCCCATGAGCTATTTCTCAGCGAGTGGTCTCTGCGTAATTCCGTGATGGAAAGTGTCGGGCTGAACCTGACTGATGATTTCGCCAGCATTCTGCTTGGGCGAATTGAGCCTTCGATTCGCATATCGTCTGAATCCTGGGATCTTAGTCATGCATGACAACACCTGTTTCTGAAGAGGTAGCGATCCCGTTCGTTCTTCATACAGCATACAAGCGATGGCTATCATGATGAAGATCCAATACACGTTGTATGAGATGACCGACCCATACGTCGCGGTGTTTTGCCAACCTAACAGAGCATTGAACACATCCCATCCGTTATCGATTTCCGGGTTGCAACAGTTGACATGCCACACCGTTTGGCGAATGTTATAGGATCCCGGTCCGTCTCCCTCTTCGGCGACATCCCCGCCGACCTTCTGCGCGAAACCGTAGAATTGCAAGCTCCATATAGCTTTGGAGAACATGCCTGCGGCAATAAGGTACAGGACACATGTTGAAGCAATCAGGAAAATTTGAATGGTCATGGCATTGCCTCCACGATAGATGAGGTAGCCCACCAGGAGACCAGCTAGCAGACCCGTGAATACGGGCAATGGGAATGCTGTCGCCGGTAAGCCGAGAGAAACACCACCCACAAACACAACTGCCTCGAGGCCTTCCCGGAGAGTGGTGATGAGCGGCAGGATGAACAGGGCATATCTTCGGGCCCAGTCGCCCACCCACATGGATGAATGGGACTTGCTTTTCTCCACCAGGGCCTGAGCGATCTTGACTCTCCATTTCTCTCTGGTCTTGTTGATCCGCAACAGTGCAAGACCCATGATTGTGATGATGAGGCTGGCGATGAGATAGAAGATTCCTTCCCAGAGGTCTTCAGCTTCAGACCAGTAATCATGGCCCAGGCCGTAAAAGACGCCAATGAAAGCGCCTCCGATGATCATTGCGATGACAATCCCAACTATGGACCCGACCCAAACTTGTCGTCTGAGTCGCTTGTAAATTTCCGGATCTTGTGATGGTTGACCAAGGCATTGTTTCAGAAAGGAGAGAAGGACAGAGACAATGATGACTGCCTCTAAGCATTCTCGAAAGACAATGAAGAAGACTTGAACCCCAAATACATTCGTCATGGTGGACAAATACGCGAGTTGCTATCCAGGTATTGAGACCAGTGAAAGAGATTCACAGACGAGTAAACTCGAGGGGTAGATCATGAAGACCCTACCTGACAGAACAATCCTTCAAGGATCCTGGGTCTGTTCCCCATCAGATCAAGGGCAGTGGCCGAGGCCGGAGTACTCGACGAGACAGGGCGTTTCCGTGGTGTAAGGGAATCACATCTGATAAAATTATTGATAAGATTATCGGCAGCATCGGATTCGAGATTATCACGCGTAGTTGCATCATCAGAGGCTATGATAGGCGGGCAGTCTCCTGAGCTCGAAATCAGATAACTTTATCCAGAGCTCCGGACGCCGATGTACCAGTCTCTTCGCTCCTATTTTCCTCTTCTGTTGTGACACTTGCACGGTGTGAATCCTAGTTTCAGGGTTACTTTGGTGTTTGATTGGTATTTCGGCTATGCGGAGCACGCTTGTGGGCGGGAAAGGCCAAAAAAAAAAAAAAAAAATTGGATGCTCGTGTTGAGGAACCCACTCTCAACGAACAAGAGTGGGAGCAACGACCATGGACCAGGAAAAAGAGGAGGACAGAGGGACAGGAATTGTCCGTTGTCGCTCGTGCAGACCTAGGCCGAGTCGGTCCTCCTCGACTTCGCATATAGGAGACGCTGAAACCCCATACGTGTCTTGCTGTTCGAGCGACTGAAGTGAGACGGGAGACTCGGCAAGCTGGGCTAAGCTTTGATTAAGCACCTACAAGTCTGGAGCTCGAATCATGGCAAAGCTTGTAAGCGGCGCCATTTTTTTACTGGGCCTGCTGTTGTCCGCAGGCTGGTGCGCGGCCAAAACCGTCACCTACGATTTCAATGTGACCTGGGTTACAGCAAATCCAGATGGGTTAATGGAGAGAAAGGTCGTTGGCATCAACGGCCAATGGCCTCTACCAGTGATTGAGGTCGACAAGGGCGATCAGCTGGTCGTCAACATGTACAACGGCCTCGGGGATAAAAATGCCACCATCCATTTCCATGGCATGTACCAGAATACCACCAATTCCATGGATGGCCCTTCGATGGTCACGCAATGTCCAATCCCTCCAGGCTATAGTTTTACCTACAACTTCACGGTCAATCAGAATGGGACCTATTGGTACCATTGTCACACCGATTTCTGTTATCCGGATGGATATCGGCAAGCGTTGATCATCCACGACAGCGACGCATACTTCAACGATATGTATGAGGAAGAGCTGGTCGTCACGATGAGTGACTGGTATCATGACCTGGTCGAGGATATTGCTCCCAGTTTCTTGTCCTTGTACAATCCTACCGGTGCCGAACCAGTGCCCAACTCTTTCCTCTTTAATGACACCTTGAATTCGAGCATCCCTGTTAGACCCAATACAACATATCTCATCCGATTGATCAATATCGGTGCATTTGTTGCTCAGTACTTCTACATCGAGGGCCACACGTTCAGGATTGTCGAAATTGACGGTGTCTACACGGAACCTACCGAGGCCGACGTCCTCTACATTTCGGTCGCTCAACGATATTCGATCCTCGTCACAACCAAAGGCTCGACCGATCAGAACTATCCGATTGTGACTGTCGCGGACTCAGATCTCTTGGATACCATCTTGCCCGATCTGCAACTCAACAACACCAACTGGTTGGAATACAACCCCGATGCTCCTCATCCCCACGCTGTCATGAAGGTTGACGCCTCCTCCGATCTTGTTCCATATGACGATTTCACTCTCATCCCTCATGATCGAATGGACCTACTACCTGACCCAAACTTTGAGATCGATGTTACGGTCCAAATGAACAACTTGATCAACGGCTTTGGCTACGCGTTTCTGAGCGACATCTCCTACACTCAACCTAAGGTGCCAACCCTCTACACCGTCATGTCTTCAGGTGACTTGGCCACCAACGCCGAGATTTACGGCGAGTTCACTCATTCAGTGGTTCTCCACCACAACGATGTGGTACAGTTAGTTCTCAACAACGCCGACGGTGGTTCGCACCCGTTCCACTTGCATGGTCACAACTTCCAAGTCATCAACCGCTCCCCCCCTTACGGGCCACATTTCTATGACTATGCAGATGGCGATCCGGTTCCTTGGGACTCCGCAAATCATTCGGCCTTCCCCGCCATTCCAGCCCGAAGAGATACATTTGTTCTGCCTCCTCAGGGCAATTTCGTCATCCGCTTCGTCGCCGACAACCCTGGTGTGTGGTTCTTCCACTGCCACATTGACTGGCACTTGTCGCAGGGGCTTGGTATGCTTCTAATCGAAGCTCCACTCCAGATCCAACGCACCACCACCATTCCGCAACAGCACTACGACATTTGTCGTGCGGCGGGGGTACCGTTCGAGGGCAATGCGGCTGCCAACACAGAGGATCTCCTTAATTTGGATGCGCAGAACAAACAGCCCAAATTTCTCCCTGGCGGCTTCACTGCGCGGGGAATCGTGGCGCTTGTCTTTTCCATTATCAGTGCTCTGCTGGGAATGGCATTCATTGTCGTGTATGGGCTTTCCGATCCTATCGTCCTGCAGAAGGATGGGCCAGACAACGTCGAGAGTGCACCAGCTGGCAATGGCGAGGTACTAAGAGTCGAGTCGAATCACGACTAGTGGGGATCTGCACCTGTAGAGACACGTTTAGCAGCATTATAGTAATGTGTCTTTCATGCTATTTTTTTTGGCAGGTTGTTACGTTTGCTTCACCGTACAATCCATTTGGGTTTAGATCGCGAACATGTGACGTCGCATTCTCCCGTGTTCCATCGTCAATCGTGCAACTGTCCCCAGCTCGTTCTCACCCTCCCTCGCTTGCCCCAAGATCCTTACCGTGATCTTAAACATGGTAGAATATGACATAGCTGTCACTCCGTGCCCTTGGCTCCAAATTGAGCTCGATTGCAGATCATCTATTCAGTTCTCTTCGAGGCTTGGGATGCAGCTAGGTATCCGTGGCCGATCATCAGCGAATCAAACCATCTTGGACCAGAACGAAACACGCGTCTGAAATAAAATGAGGATTCTGCACTCGAAGCGAGGCGAAGATTAATGTGGCAGCTAATTGACATTTAATATACCGTGTCCAGTGTTCGGTTTCTGCCTAACTTCCAGGTTCCTCAGTGTTCTTCGTTGGTGCAGCTTAGCCTCGTCATCGTCAGAAACACCCTGCGCCGCTACAATTCTGGCGCAATACGAACTTCTTATACCAAGCACGCGATTCAGCTACGTGACGATTGCAGGCGGCCTGTCGGCGATTTTCCAAGGCAACAGTCCAAACGGTATATTGCAATCGGATTTTGAACTGGCAATACTCACCACACCGTACCCGAAGATCGTCACGCACTACTTGATGTGCAGCGAAGAGTGCTTCCTGGCCACACCTGTCTGGGCAGATGCGATACGCCGAGGCAACGGCCTCGAGAGACCGATGGTACTGCCACTATGGATTGCGCTGGCGAAACTGCGGGCCTGCCCGGAGGCGTTAAGAATCTCTGATAATCATCTGGGCAGGCCATTCACCCCACTACTATTCCCCTCTGCTCTCCGAAGCCTATGACCTCCGCAAAGCCATTGTCGCGCACTCTAACACCGTAACACGGTGCCTATCCACGCCCAGCATACATGCCCTCTCCCCGGCGGCATACCAAGGCCTGTTACATCCCATCTACACTCGACTTCGTCGCCACCAGTGCTGCACCTTTCGGAGCTCTATGTTTGACTTTTGCAGGCTCAATGGTCTGCGGAGTCACCAGTAACCCAGATGATCGAGAAGTCTTGGTGCACAAGCTGAATCAAGTCTTCCGTGGCCTCAGTATGATCAGGTTCAATCATGCATGGATGAGGCGAGTTTTTTGAAGCCGTCACGGCCGCACCTGTGTCTGGAACGGAGAGCCTTTGGTCTGAGTGAGCAGATGCTGGGTGAGCTTTATCTAGGCTAGGGTGGTTCAAACAGGGGGATGAGTCAGCATGACAAGGCAGTTGCAGCAGCATCTAAGTAGTAGAGCGGAGCGGAGCGGAGTGGAAGCGAGAGTAGCAGAATCAGCCAGCGGAGTACCAACATCACATCACTACCAAAGCGAAATCTTCAGATATGCGTTACAGTTTAGCTTCTCACACAAATGCCGCCCGTAAGTAAGAATCCGTATCATAGTGACAGTGCTTGTGCTTGTGCTTTTTCTTCAATTCTGGCAGTGGTGGTATCCAATGACCATCCCTTTCCCAAAGTTGTTGATCGCATCACACCTCGCAGTCGGCACTCGTCGACGAAGATCAGCTGAGATTTTCCCCCTTCCCCCCCTCTCCCTTTTTTTTTTTTCCCCAACACTTCACTCACATCATAACTGATCGTGATCTTGACAACATGTCCTGATGCCGGGATGAAGTATCTCCTCCCAACGTATTCATTTGTCTTCAAGATATCTCTCCTTCCCTTCCATTCCTCTTCTGTCCGTCCCTTTTTGCGCGAAACCTGCGTTGATTCAATCCGATCCGATCGTACCATTTCGTATTCACAATTTTACACTGCGTATCGCCGCCACCACCATCTTCACTCCATCAACATTTGATTGGATTCCAATCTTAATATCATACCCAACAATGCTGCCTTCCTTTTCCCAGTCTCCAATTTTAACTTTCAATTCCCCTTTTGCAAAAACAATGAAAGAAGTGAACATGTTTTGCTTGATTCTGATTTTTAGTCCGACTGTTTCTCCCACTCGCGACACAGCCCAAAGAACGTCCTACAAAACTTGCCGAACTCTGCTTTCGGATGGAAAGAGCGCCACGACCCTTGTGCGTGATGCCAGACGCGCGCTGACGGGTGCGTTACGGGTTTCGAGCCCATGTTGCCGTAGTAGCCTCTTCCGGGACTAGCGTGGTTATATGTCAAAACAGCACAATGGAGGAGGGACGAAAGGAAAAGACTGTGAGGGAGCTTGACGGGAGGAAAGAGAGAATGAAGAGGACTGTACCTTAATCCCGTAATCGGCAGAATCAACACGTCTTCCACCACTTTACTTTTCCCTCCATCATGGAGACCCGTCAACGCATTCCAGCGGAGCCCAACTTGTTCCTCGAGCCACGTTTTGGTCGCGACAGTAACAGCGACGGGACCCGTGAGGGCCAGCGGGCCAATATGTCGCAGTTCCTCGATGGCAGAAGAGGACGCAATGTCTCCACCATTGCGGGAAGAGATGTCCTGCAGGCGCCGGGTGAGGATGTCCATGAAGCGTAATAGGACGGGGTGGCCAGGCGCAGCGGCTAGGGTCCACTGTGTCAATTGGATTGGATACGAATAGCCCATGCGCCAATAAGAGTTGGAATCAGGGTCGCAATCGGCTTCGATGCCGAGGATCAAGTTGACAGAGTCAGAAGGGCAGTCATAGATGGTTTCGGTCATGGGGTCGGTCCAGGGGAAGAGATCGGAGGAGGAGACCCAGGTCGATGGTTGTCGGAGTGGTTGGGTGTCAACGTCGGTGTACTTTCAAAAGTAAACGAAAAATAAATCAGTTCGGCGTATGAGATACGTGTGAAGACGGGTAAGGCGGTTTAGAGGCTGCGATTTGTCGAGGGACAGGAAAGATCTGACTTACAACACCGCCAAACCACTTGAGAACCAAAATACGAAAGACATCCGGCCGTTCAACGCTAGCCGGTAAGGATTTGAAACTGTCGACAAAATCGGGTTCAAACTCGGCGAGCATGCGGATGATCCCCTCGTCCTCCCAGAAGAAATAGGCCATGTCGTCGGAAATGACGTGGTACAACCATTTCTCCACGCTGTCACGGAGGAGATCCGACCACGTGTCGATGCGTCGGTTCTTCCATGTTTGATGAAGAAGTAAAGGGATGGAAGAATGGGATATCGTTCGGTGTTTATTGGCATTTGTTGCGGCTTGAGAGGCCAGGAGAGCCGCGTCGATTATGGTCTCCGGTTGGACAACGGAGGATGATAGCCAGGTTGGTGGAATGTACCAGGCTAGTGACGGCATAAATAGGTTAGTTTTGTAAATGAACCGAAAATGTTCAAGGGGATAGCCAGCCCAGAATTTATCCTGCGGATAGTGCCATTTTTCGGACCAACAAGCAAAAAGCCGACAAGAACGAATTATGACGGGAGCAGTAGAATAGACACTTATCTTACCTCCACCAGTTCCATTGGACATGTGCACGTGTCGCCAAAGTAAGGGGTATTTTCGCTCCAACTCCGCCGGCGGAATAGGGTGGGATACCTGTCTTTTGGAAGCTGGTACAAGACACCAAAGACTAAAAAGTGATAGGATCAAAGAGATCAAGATTCGCCGTTGAGACTGTCGAGAAGACAGGCAAGCCAGTCTCATATTTAGAGGCACCGGGTGTGCTCGAGTAGCTAGTTATATGAGAGAACAGCCACGAGCAAACAGCAGGACGCGACTCGAGAATGTCGAAGGTGGCAACGGCGTCGGCGAGAAGGAGTGAAAGCGCACTACAGGACTGGCAGCATGTAGCACGCATGCACAAAAACACACACAGGGTAGCACGGAATAGCTGGTAAGGTTGTGAGTGAAAGTCGGGTTCGCGCCCTAGTTACTCAGTAGAAAGCATATGCGCCGTCATACTTGCTGGCGGCAAGTCTCCACGCAAGCCGGCGGTAAAGGAGGACAGGCTGCCAATCCGGCCAGAGGGTTCAAGATCAGCCATTGTGGTGGCATGTGTTGGAAACTTGGTGTTGACGGGACGTTGATTCGGCCCTTTCCATGGGTTGGTCAACGTGTGTGCAAAGAACTGCATTGATTGGGAGTATGGCATTCCGCCAGTAATAGCATATCGTTCGCGCATCCTTGGCGTCAAGCCAACAGGAATCTGGCCCCTTGTCGCGAGTGCGGGATCACAGGCCGGGAGAATGGTGATACTCTTGGTGTCGCGAAATTGGTCTTCTGACTGGAAAAGCAACCGACAAAGCCACGGTTTATATAAGAATCCTTCTCCATCGTTCCAAAAGCAACGCTGCCAATGCAAATCACATGACCATATCACATGATAAGGCTTCTTACTCATCCCCGCCCGCGGTCCATATCAACATCAAAGGTCCTAGCCCTCTTTAACACTAAAATACCCATGGACGTAATCCTCTGCCAGCCCATAGATCGGAGGCTTGCTTCAATCCCCGTGTTTTGCCGGTCGACCCTCTCTACTAAAATTGGACGGGAGCATTCTAGACCATTTTACCCTCTTAGTGCGAATATGGACAATGTACTCAACACCCTGCCACACATTGAGGAGTCGCATGTTAGTAAGTCATTAGAAGAGTGATGCTGAGAAAAAGGTAGAAACCTAAGAAAGCTGTGGGATCAGGCTGAGGTTTCACCTTTGGCGCAAGCAAAAGGAACGATTTATTGGCCATCCAGCCAGTGTTCATAGATTTTCACTCGACAGATATATACATTGTTACGCGTGTAGATTGGCTTCGTCCTGTTCTGAAAGCTCACCAACCATCTCCAAAGACCAAATTCTTCACCTTTGCCGTTTTGTCGTTGATAGGCGCATCATAATCCACGGTGAAGATGGTGACACCACTCTGACATGCCTTGACAACGTTGCTTTCACCCGGAAGATTGCAGTTTCCATTGATGCACTGATTTGACCCATCGGGAACCAATCCAAAATAATTGTTGTCCGCGATTTGAATCAGCTTGTTCGTCGCGTTGAACTCCACCTGCGGCATGCCGGAACCTCCAGAGAATCTTGACTGCACAAACGGAGGATTCATGCAGCTAGCGTTCAACGGCGGGATATTCACATTGATGCCATAGCCCAGTGGGAGGATGGGCTCGCCGTCTTTGGCATTCTTGGCGACCGTGTCCACAAATCTGATACACTGCTCGGCCGCGTAGGTGGACGGGTTGGTTGTGTTGGTGATTTCTAGATAGCTCTGCGTTGGATTTGCCGCCGAAAATGCAATGCCGGGAACATTTCGCTCGACAGCTGTGTAAGTGGAGCCGATGGTTCCAGATCCCGTGTAGGCAAAAGTTCCCACATTGTTGCCGAAGTTGGGACCTGCAACAAATAGGTCTGGGACATCAAAATCGGCAAAGGTGGGAAGGACATAGTCAAGAGCAACGTTCGTACACGCCGCGGGCGTTCCATTGTAATACCAGATATGGCTGTCATGAGGGTCTTGCCCCAGAGAGGGTGCACCAGCGGGGATGAGATTGTATTGAGAAGGAGTGTCGAGAGTGGGGGAGGTGGTGAAAACGATTCGGCCGCCCTGACCGGAGTTTTCAAAGGCTGGAGCCACCATCCACACGTTGTGGCCTGCGGCCACGAGTAGTCGGTAGAATTCTCGTATATTAGATACGCCAAATCCGTCATCATTATTCATGAGTATATTGAGGCCAGAGACTACTTTCAAGAGCAAAAAAGCGGTGAAGAAAGACTGCATCATGCTGGTCAGTAATTTTCAGAGGAAATGTCAACCTACCGTGGTTGAAGCAGAACAAGATTGAAAAGTAGTCGTTTATATCCTGCTGTGAGGAGACGCCTCGACTGAAGGTATCACGAATACTGTGGGCCTCGAACATGAGCACATGGAGATAGATTCCTCCGTTATTGGAGAATATATCTAGGGAAAATCCAGGTACCGCGAGGCTTAGTCTTCGGAAAGTCCTGCATGACGCATCGAGATCAGAAAAGAGAAGTGTTGGAACTCAACCGCTTCGAGACTCGACATATTCCTAGAGGCTTGAAAGCGACGGACGGCCGTGAATGGCTCATCGCAAAGGCGCACTAGCCATAGCTCCCAGAAGGGCGTCCTTCTATTTGTCTGTCATTCTTTTGTTCACACACGTGCTGCATTAGGTAGTTTTGATCTTTTTATGCGTCGGCAATTCGGATGCTCTTTCGATCTGGAGGGATATATGAATCTCTGCGGGGATAGCATTGGTCCGATGAAGTCGCGCAGGGAGGCTTTGTCGGGCGCACAAGCAGTAAGCTAGTTGAAACGAGCATGCTTGGATCTCACCGACTCCTGTTTTTGTCCTTCAGCTGTTTGTCTAATGAAGGCAACAATGCGAGAGCCGAAGGACCACCTAAGGAGATTTTGAGGGGCGTCAAACTTTGCAAGCGAGAGACACGTGACCTTAAATCGAGGTCCATCACCTGAGGATTTCCCTTTTAGAGCACTGAACTGAAGCTCTCATGGGCAACCATGGTGCAAGACTTGGTCCTCGCGTCCGCAATATCAATTATGTCTTCCTCGTGCGCAGCTTCTAGGACAGGAGTCTCCCAGATATTAAGCCCGCTACGAAACTCCAGAAGACACGATGTACTCAGCCGAATCCCTCGATCGACAATGGCAGCCCGGAATATTTCGCAGTCCACCAAAAAGTCTCAACATGCCACTCCTTGGGAGGCCGCTAGAGCCGAAGCTAGGAAGAAGAATCAAACCACATTGTATGAATATTGAAGAGAGGTTGTATCAGTTCAGAGCTCATCTTGCCCGCAGATACTATGGAACAAGCGTTGGCTTAACGCTGGTAGCTCTCGCATATGGTTCGGTTCCGTTGTATAAAATGGTGAGCAATACCGACCCGGACAGCACATCTGAAATGCTCACACTCTCTCAGATATGCCAACAGACGGGCTGGGGCGGTACACCTGTCAAGGCTCACGATTCAGCAGGCGATCCAGCCGTACGATTAAAACCGGTCGAAGACCACCCTCGTTTGCGCATCACCTTCAACGGTTCCGTCTCCGACGTTCTCCCTTGGAAATTCACACCCCAACAACGCGAAGTCCGAGTATTACCTGGCGAGACTGCACTGGCATTCTACACAGCCACAAATAAGAGTGACGCCGACATTATTGGAGTAGCCACATATTCCGTGACACCAGCACAGGTAGCACCATATTTCAGCAAAATTCAGTGTTTCTGTTTCGAAGAACAACGGCTGAATGCGGGAGAAACGGTCGATATGCCGGTGTTCTTCTTCATTGATCCAGAATTCGTCAAAGATCCAACAATGAGGGGGATCGAGACGATAACTTTAAGCTATACCTTCTTCAAAGCGAAATATGACAAGAATGGGGTCTTGACGACAGTGCCGACGGCGATGGCAGGAATATAATCTGAACAAATATGGAGGAAAATATACATTCTGCACCAAACGTCGCCGAGTCGAGCACACCCCCCTCCCCCAAAACCCCCTCGGGGTGCTCCAGCTTTCGCTCACCTCCCTCTCAACCAGACCATCAAATCATCCACACCACGATCGGGTGGGAAAACAGGATACCACCATTTGATCACCCGACCATCCTGAATCGCAATCATCGACCGTCTAAGAACTTTCTTCCCTTCCCACTCGAAAGTGGGCAGGTTCAACCCCCTTTGAAATTCCAACTGTTCATCACTCAGCAATTCATACGGTAGATGCAATCGCTCATGCGCCTCAGCTTGATACGAGGGCGATTGCGTCGAGATTCCGTAAACATGGGAGACGCCGAGGGACCGCAGCTGAGGGAGGTTGTCTCGGAACGAGCAGGCTTGAGGGGTACAACCCCTGGCGCCGGGGATGGCGTTCCAGGAATCGGGGACAATTTCGTCAGGTGCACCTTATATCAGATCTCATTAGGAAACATGGTCTTGGAAACAATGGGACTATATCAGCGGCGATACAGCGAGTGACTTGAGACAGAAGGCGGACATACCTGTCCGCGGATAAGAAAATACAATGGTCAACCCCGTCAATTCGGCAAGATTGACCTTCGTCGACGGATCCCGCGCAACCGGAAGACGGATGTCGGATGGAATCATGAAGTCAGTCAGGTGATCATACAGTCCGTCATCCTTGGGGACGGGAAGGTCGGCAGGAAAAGCGGTATCTGTGGTGCATCATTGTTAGGATAGGACGACGCGAGCATGGGTGACAAGAAGGGCTCCCTTCATGATCTATCTCGCTGTCTACCTGCTTGCATATGTGACACTAAAAAGGGAGCGGGATGGGTAAGGTATGCACATACGGGCCATTTTCAACTCCATCAATAGGTCGTTATCACAACAAAATCCAACACACCGGGATTTTGAATCTATTCTTCTCGTGTGCAGTGATTCGTTCCTCGCTCGTATATTCTGAATGACGGTAAAGGGAGCTGCTAGATGAAGTTGAGCGTTGCTGTTCTTCGCTGCGGTCTCGAGGAGCTAGATGTAGATACCGATCTAATCTCGATTCCGATGATAGCACGAAAGCGCCATGGAATGTAGATGGAAGTTCTGATGAAGTATCCTGTCTAGTCTACGTGGAAGGAGAAGGAAGAAGAGAAACTTTGCTAGGCAAATCTTATTGGTTCCAGGAATATGCGGAAGGATTGTATCTTGTTGATTTACTAGGATCAATTCTTCGGTCTGGTCCCTGTCTCATATGCAAGGATCTAGCTCCGGATCTAGCTTTTCTCTCCATCCTGTCATCTTTTCTATTCGGGTCTTGAGCTCATCTGGTACGGTTGATCGATTAATTCATTGCAGCTCAAATATGATGATTCGACCCAGTCAGACTGAACCATCTCTGGTTCCATCTCATCGACCTCTTCTCATGCATTCATGGTGTTCGAGCATGATCATCAACGCTCGAAATGGTATGTCGTGGTTCATGCCGGGTATCCCCGCACGAGATCACACAGTGACTGGTGCTCAATCATCTTCCCGTAATTTAACCAATCTCGAGAACATCCAAGATCTTTTCGAAGTCCGGTGTTCCAAATCCACTTGCCACATCCCAACCCTCGGCCGCACTGAATCCAGGTCCATCACAGCCCACACAGCTTCCATTGACAACGTCTGTAAAAGCCTTGAAGCCTTTCTGGTAGAGCCAAGGATTCAACCAACCCATTACGGGCTTACCTTTGGCGACGAGGGCATCGTTGACGAGAGAAAAGATACTGGCGATTGTGGGCGCTGCACAACTTGTCCCGTCGACACTTCGGACACTTGAATTCAAGAAGACGATATATCTGTAGCTCTGAGCAGCGAGGTCGGGATAAGCGCGGCCCGAGCAATTGTACAGGCCCTTAAATTTGTCGCCGATTGCGTCAAGGTATCTCACCACGGCGGTATCCTGCCACTTGGGACGAGGGAAATAGTTGCTAAACCCTGCTCCGGAAGCATAACCGTTGCGAGAATCGTAGCCGACGACTTCGGGGTAATCCTTGGTTCCACCGACTGCGGTCACATAGGGACAGGAAGCCGGGAAAGCCGGGAGGAACGCGGGAGTGTTCTTGCCATCGTTGGAAACGCAGGTGTCGTTGGCGCCGACACCAAAGTCTCCTGAACTAAAGAAGAGAGAAATGCCTTGTGCGCCGAGCGCGGCAAACTGGTTGCAGACGGTCTTAGCATAGGATTTTGGGACGGTTTGTTCATCGTCACCATAAGAGGTGGAGATGGCGTTGGGAATAGACTGGGAATCTTGATCGCGTAGATAGAGGATCCAATCAAGGTAGGGCTCGTTCGTGTTGGAAGGAGTATGCAAGTCAGGCTCAAAGGGGGGCATGCCTCCGGTTGAGTACAACGTGACCGGAGTGGGGTAGACAAGGCCCAAGATGGTCTCAAGGTCGAGGTTTCCTTCGACTCCACCCACGGTGCCATTGTCGAGCGGACCATCATTGATGGATACTTGCTTCACAGAGAGGGGTGAGTTGACGGCTTCGGGGCGGAAATTCTGCAGATAGAGTTTGGCGTCAGCTCGGCTCGAGACTTGACCCAAATAGTTGGTGAAACCGATTTTGTTCTGATCGGGGACTTGGGCAGTGTAGTTGACGGTATTGTAAAGAGTTCGTAGACATTGTGTGGTCATGCCACCGAAGTTGCAGACTCTCCTCAAGGTGGTGGCGTTGACGTCAGCGGTAAGTTGGGACAGGTCGACGTCAGTGGGAACGGTAAGAACTGTTTCGCCTTGGGGGGTTGCTCGAAGGAATGCCGTGGTGGGCTGAATAGTGGTGATGTGGTCATGGAGAGGACGTGGAAGAGACCAACTGGTCGTTCGAACAAGCTTGGTGCCGTCTTGGTGCTGGTAGACGGAATATCTAGTATCGAGAAGACGTTCCACTTGGGCGACGGGGAGAGTGAGCGTGATCCAGTCTCGGGCGGAAGAGTATTCGCCGTGGGACGAATCAATGCCGTTCTCGGAAAGCCAATTCTGGATCTGGTTCAATGTCTCATCAGATGGCTTGATAAGGTCGTGGACTTCTTGTCGGGACAAGTGTTGACCATAGCGATGGTGGGACGGGTCAGATACTGGTCGGGTTAGTCTGATTGAAAGGGACGTCTGGATTGAAATGGAAGAGTGTCACCTTGATGGAGATGGTATTCAAGAACGTCGAAGTTACCTGGGTTGAGACCGATATGAAGCTTCAAGAGGTGGAAAGGATGAGGGTTGCCAACGTTGGACCATTTTGGAGGGACATTGTTGGATTCTTTGACGGCATAGTCCCCGCGGGGGCGGAGGGGCGAAGCAAAGACGGACTGCAGGCTGAGCGAAGCAGCGAGGAAAATTGAAAAGACAAACATAACGAGTGGTGCAAGAGGAACAAAACGAAGGAAGTAATGAGAGGAGGAGGAGACGGTGGAGGTAGAGGGTAGAGGAAAGGCTATGACGGAAGAATATAGAGGGTACAACCTTGCATTCTGATTGGCTGCCCACACAAATCGTCATAACGGAGTCAGATCGGCAGGGACAGCAAGTTTCCCGAGGCCGCCAAGCCTTCTTAGAAGGTAATTGATTTCCATCTCGATCGTCAACTTTGGCTTTTTGACTGGATACTGTTGTAGAAAATATCCACTCTTTTAGAATTTCGGAACGGGCAAATGGGACTATAGATCGGCCAACCTCTGTCGTGTATATCGTACAGATGACGGGATAACAAGGTAGCACTGGCCAATTGGTGTCTGAGGATTCCCGCCTTCATCTCCGACAGTTGAAACAAAACAGGGACTGATTGGAATGTCCTGTACGGGGTATTCGTCGATCATTTGTCTCCTGCTTCATTTCACCAAAGGAGCATGACATAAGGAATGTCTCCAAGCAACTGGCGAGGACTGCGATATTCAGGGTCTGACAGGTGGATCCCCATGTTCCTGGCTTGTCAGGCGGGTGTGATACTTGAGTAACCCAAGGTGGAGGAATTTCAATTTGTTTGCCTCTTCGTCTGTTTTGAGATGAACAGCTTCTCCGTTTCTTGTTATTCTCTTTTCGTTGATCATCATCTTTACTTCTCCGTCTCCGTTCCCTCTTGGAGGGCAGGCCTCGCCATGTAGGTCATTCACTATCGCTGTCTAAGCATATCGTTACTACATCTAGTGGATTTCAACCCTCGCCACCATGATGGAACGTTACGGTCACTGCTAACGAACACCAACTGCCCAATAACCACCGCCATGATGGGTTGACCTTCCCTTTTCCACAGGGCGCGCCTCCTGCGATTTGAATACCACGAATCCACACCGGGCATCAAGAAACGCATATCCACGGAAAAACATAAAGGAGTCACATAAAGTTCAAAAAGACATGAGCGCCAGCATCAAACCAACTTAGTATTACCCGGCCAGGGCACCGTATCCAGCTAGAGTCATTCGGAAACTTCACCGCCTAGAACCAAATATGGAATCAAAGACACCAGTAATCTAAGGATGGACAGAAGTCGACAAGCAAATCCACCCAAGGGTGCCAGCCGAGCCCTAAGCGTTTGAAACGTTGCAGGAGCACGTCAATGTCTGGACGGTCTTGGGGAAAAAAAAAAAAAAAAAAGTCAAAATGTTTGAAGACGCCATGACAGAGTCACCTCGGCGTACTCCTCAGCTCCCATATCAAATTCCTTGAAGAGCATTGGGGCCCCGGGAAGGCTAGTGAACCAAACCAAAGCCGTTCTTTCTCGCTGATAGTGAATACAGAGGCAACTACATCTGCCGCCACGGAGGGAAATGGTTGTCAAGATGACGATAGCATCACATTCAAACTCGACCGCGCACAGAACAAAACTGCTCGAAGACAGGGACAAAAGGAGAATTGAAGGAGACGAGCCGCAGAAGCCGAAGCGAACAAACAACGAATTGGCTCAGACTGTTGCCAAGGCAAAGGAGAGGGAATCCCCGGAGTCGAATGTGTGCCTACGAGGACAGCATGCTTGAGGACGATGGGCAGATGTCGCTGTCAAAGGATTGGAGAGATATATTGCGCAGGACTGGAGTACAAATATGCACGCCAGTCAAACGTGAGAAGCAATTCGTTATCATTGCTAAAGGGTGTTAGCTATTTGAGTACAATACGACAAGTTTTGGGCTTCTGGTTGTCAGGCATTAGATTGAATTTCAATCATCAAGACAAATTTAAGTTTCTTCACATGTCAGCCCCCCATGTCCGGAGCCCCTGGCTTCAGCCAAGAAGTGGCCATGTTCGATTATCGACAACTGCAAACTTGACAGATACTTCGTTCCTTCGACACCGCCACCACGCATCACCGTGGTCGATTCATCACGGTAGAGGAGTGCAAACAGTGCCACTGTTTCAACCTTGCCAGGCCAATTGATGGATGAACAGGGTCGGCGTTTGATGAATGGACGCGACAAGACGCGTTGACATCACCGCTTTCAGGCCACTTCTACGGGCGTATACCTTGGGTTATCTAACCACCACCGGCCCTAGGCTATTTGGATTCCTCAGAAGTCGTCGACGACAAGATGTCACGGTCCAAGAAAAGTTGAATTTGCTCTACACCATCCTCAAAACCTCGACCCAGCTCAATCGATTTCCCACCGCAGCTGCAGTGGCTGTTGGAGGATCCACTGCCTTACCCCGTCTTGTTCGCACCATTCTTCAATGGATCTTTGCCACTCTCGGCAGACCGATTCGACTCAGGAGCCTCCTCGTTGCGCACATACACTTTATCTGTTCCCTCTTATCGGCGTGGCTGGCATTTGACCTCCTCAATCGTGATGAAGATTGGGTGCGAAAAAGGGCGAAATCCAGGAGTGCTGCTTCCGTCAATATAAGCGACTTCAAGTCACCGAACCCAGATCATTTATCTTTACCATCTTATCACCCCCATTATGCCGGCAAAACCATTGACTTCACCCTATTTGCTTTTTGCCGAGCACTGGATGTTGCAATCATCACCACGTGGACACGAACTCGATCCATGTCGAAGCATCCCGGACGTCGAAGTCCAAGATTGGCCAATTTCATAGGCAAGATGGCTGATCCGTCCATATTTGCCACGTCTGCGGCTATCATTATGTGGTCGTGGTTTTATTCTCCCCACCGACTACCTCGGGCATACAACCACTGGATTTCCAAGGCGGCTGACGTAGATTTCCGTTTGATTCAAGCTCTCCGCTTGGCTAGACAGGGTGATTTTGTGTACGGAGAGGACACCGGGCAAGCACCACTTCTCGCTGGCCTGTGCCGAGATTTCGGTTTGCCCGAAGAATACGCCGATCCGTCCAAGACCATTCCAATCCCTTGCGAGCTATACCATTGTGGCACCGGCAAGAGCTGTGAATTTCACGCTGTCTCCAGATTTTGGCGAAGCTGGAAGTTCGCCATGGAGATCTACGTACCACTTCAACTCCTAGCGCGAATCCGATCACCCAATTTGAAGTCGATCCTGCACAGTCTGATATCTGCTGCAAGATCATCTTCCTTCCTCGCGACCTTTGTCGGCGTATTCTACTACGCCGTATGTTTGGCACGAACTCGGCTGGGTCCAAAGCTCTTTTCATACAAGACCGTTACTCCGCAAATGTGGGATTCAGGACTCTGTGTTCTGGCTGGGTGCCTTGCATGTGGATGGTCCATTCTCCTGGAGAAGCCGAGCAGAAGACGAGAGATCGCCTTCTTTGTGGCTCCCAGAGCATTGGCCACTATCCTCCCCCGAGTCTATGACAAACAATACATACGTCGAGAACAGACAGTCTTTGCCACAAGTGTTGCGCTTGTTTTGACCACGCTTCAGGCAGGAAGTCCACGTAATGTCAGAGGCGTGTTTGGTAGAATACTTGAGGGTGTTGTGAGGGACTGAAAAGATTGCGGTACTTGTCTTCAACATTGCACTGAAGCAGTGAGAAAGGTCGGCTGATCACGTACCACCCGCATCTGGTCATCGACCAAGTTGCAATCCCGCTTGAGGTGTCACTGAAGAAATTGCTGATGTAGCATCCTGCTCAAGAGCAAGTGAAAGAAATCCAGCCCGAGAAGAGTAATACGGGTTGAAGCACGTGCAAGACAGATCCTATCGACCAGACTTCCTATCTTTCCAACCTTCTCTACATGTCTACCACGTTCAACCTTCATGCTAGGTGGTTGCGACGACCTCTTACGCTCGTCGCCTTAAAGCGTTTGTCGTGCATAGAAGACTCGAAGCAACGGTGCAGTTAGCGGAGTGAATGAGGTATTCCATTCTTACGATATCGCAAAATGCTACGATACTCGCATTAACACTTCTCTGCAAGCCTGCGAGTTTATGTTCGCATCACTGAATGAACATCTCCCCCTCCCCCCCAACTCCGGGGTTCTGATCAAAGAAACCGAATGCGGAAACATTGATCACTTTATTTGGTCGAGGAATTCAAGCGTGATATGTATTTTACTGAAGGAGAAGACCGGAAAACGCCGGTCGCATATGCTGCTGCTTGATTTTCAGTCTGCCTACGAATCAAGTGTGCAAAGGACCCTCTGAAGAGGCACAGAGGCCAACTGGAGCCCGATTGCCGCTACACATAGTTCAAAGGACGAAAATGATCCCCTACCATACCAAATACATCACTAACAGCTGGATGCAAACTACATATACCGGATGTCAGTCCTTCGCCAACGTCTTGACGAACCTGGGGATACAGTGGGACATACATCGCAGAGCAGCAATCGTCCAATGAAGGAGAACGTGATTTGGGTTTGGAACCAACCAACGGTGCTACGGCCATAGGAAAATAATAGGCTCTCTTACCGGTCAAACGTCGAAAACTAGACATTCCTGGACCTTCTTTGGACTTGGCGTCTGAGCCACTCGACTCTTTGAAGGGTTTGCTGAACGCAGCCAGTGATACCAACTAGGCACGGCTCAATGAGATTGAGAAGCTCAAAGTGGGAAAGGAACGCCTCCAAAAGGATCTCAGGCCTGTCACTAACGATCCAAAGAAGATAGAGGCAGAACAGTCCGTGAGAGTTTGCTGGCCACACACTCGCCTCGGAATATGCGGGACTGCAGAAGCTCGCTTGACCAGGGAGAATGAAAATTTCGAGAAGAATGAGCGTCCGTTAACGAAGAAAAGATCAGAACGAAGATAAAAACGATCGAGGATGAACTTGCATTTCTGCGCCCACAACACCACCGTCGAAAATGCTGTGACAGATGTCAAGACTTTGAAGGACTTTGTTGGAATGTGGCTCTCTGCATCGGAGACGGGCAAGCTCTTACGAGAGGTCAGAGATGGACAAGAAATCCAGGAAGCTTTCTTCGCAGCTACCAAGAAAAAATGAGCACTTCTGCGTGCGACAAACGGAAATGGGCCGCGGGTTTGCGATGGAATAAGGTAAAGAGTTCATTGAGGCAGTGTGACACCAATTACCTCCACCCACATTTCCCTTATCCAGAACATCTTCCCTCCTCCTTCCGTCTTGACGTCCGCTGTACCTAGAGGCGGTGACTGAGGATAAGACATGGCGGGGGAGAGAGATGATGGCTTTGCAATCTTTTCGTTTTGTCGAGCATCTCATCGAGCCGATATAATTATGCTATCTAAGCAGTCATCGGCTGAGCTCGAGGCAGGAGGAGGAAGAACCGACTGCGTTGGCCAATCAACATACAAAACAGTTGTAAGAGTTACGATCTCCTCCTAGTTGTTGATATCTCCTCCAAACAGATCAGGTCTTGGACAGCATATGGCATTGCGTGCATGAACATCCTTGCTACGACCGCAACCGGAGATACTGTTTGACGAACGCTCATCTACTCGCCTCTGCCTCCAACACACTCCCAAGTCCATTGTGTTCATCTTGTCTGGTCTGCACAGTTACAGCCGCTCTTCGGAAGACCAGGACCGACCCTGTGATAGGACAGAGCGTCAGTATTTTCCGCGACTCGCGTACTTCCGAAGCAAAGCGCGAAGTGGCCAACTCTCTGAGAATTTGAACGACGATAGCGACACAACTCGCTCTTGCGAATGGTAAATGTGTTCACGTCAAAGAGCATTTCATACACGCCCGAGTGATTGAGCACCCACTGATCGACAATCTGATATATCAGATGTGGCCTTGATTTGCATGCCTTCAGTCCCGCCTGGCTAGGTGCCGTGGACTTCTCGAGATCCATTGGCATGAATCACATTTCATTTCCCGGAATGATCCTCTCATGCGTGATCTGTGTCACTGCTCGCCCTTTCCACATACTGATCTCCCGGAACAGACACATACAACTTCAATCTTGACGTCCCGGAGCCCCGGTGGGACCAGTTGGGGTTCGGAATGGTTTCTAAGTGGCTCCCTTCATTGCGGGCGGTGGGACCGAAAGGCCAGGAGGGATTGTCTCCGCGGGGAACCCAGAGATTCCGGGTATAATGTGTCGGGATTACCCCAGAATTCCCACTTTTCCCAGCTTTCATTCACGCTTCATTATCATTCAGTTCGTACGAGGAGACGTCGTCCTCGAATACGAGATTCTGACGTGGGACGAACAGAGTTACTTCCACAGCGTCCTAGTATATGGTCCCTCGGGCATGCACAAGCCACTGATAGCGTACCCTATACCTCACGCGGAGCTGGCGGCCGTACAGTCTGACGCAGGAGGACAAATCAAAGCATTTTCCGAGTGCGGACGCTCAGAATTCGATTTCGATTAGGCCCTACCAATACTTTTCTCGGAACACCCTTTACTACGAAGCGATACGATCCATTCTTGATCCGGTCTGTGGTCGATCGCTTCGAGGGATAGGGATAGATATATCACGATCCCCGTGGACCTTGGATCCTTCCACCTTCATTGAAGCGACCCCTACGGCACGGACGCAGCGAGGAACGTGTTTCATATCTGACTGTTCGGATCAGGAGAAGCTGGTCGCAACTACGTTAAACGCATTCACATTCATCCTCCACCTCAATCAAGGTAGCACGAGACCACGACCACAAGCAAGATCACAATCACGAACAGAAGACTTCGATCCACCATCAGCAGCGGGGGCAGAAACACAATAGAGAAAGTGACACCATGGCATTCCACTCAACACTGCTCCCTCTCCTCGGGGGCCTATTAAGCGCGTTTCTGCTGTATGCGTTCCTTTTCATCGGACGACGTGAGAAGGGCCTTCCACCTGGTACGTTTCTTTCTCAACCCCCTTCACTACACAATGTGTCTGCCTATCTACACACATCCTACTACATGCTTGCCTCCATGCTCGTCTTCCTGGATATCTTTCTAGCTCTATGCCCAAATGCAAGGCTATGTACAAAAGGGGGAGACCAACGCGATGAAACCAAGTAAAAACAAATCAAATCGAAACCAGTCACCGATGAACTTTGTCTAGGTCCGCCCACGGCACCGATCATAGGGAACGCCCATCAGATTCCCACCAAGGGTTCATATTTGAAGTGAGTACTAGATATTCCCCGTCTTTATTTTCCTCTCTACAGTGCAAGACTCGAGGATCTAACGAGAATGTTCATGAATACTATAGGTTCACGGAATGGTCCAAAGTATATCAATCCCTCTCATCCTCCTTTTCACCTCTCTGACATCTCCAGACCTACGGTGGGATCTTCTCGCTCAAACTTGGTCCCGGAACCGCCATCGTCCTCACCTCCCGCGCCCTCGTGAAACAACTCATCGACAAGAAATCCAATATTTACAGCGACCGTCCCCACAGCTACGTTTCTCACAACCTAATCACGGGCGGCGACCACGTCCTGATTGCGCACTACGGGAAAACCTGGCAAAAATATCGCAAAGCCATCCACCAACACTTTATGGAATCGATCGTGATGCACGACCATTTACCTTTGCAACACGCCGAAGCCGCCCAGCTCCTTCGCGACTTCCTTCTCCGGCCCGACCTGCACATGCTGCATCCCAAACGGTACACGAACAGTATCGCCTGTGGAACGATCTGGGGTGTGCGTACACCTACGGTCGACACGTCGCACATGCGTCGCTTGTACGAGTTGATGGAGAACTGGTCGGTCGTCATGGAGCCAGGCAATACGCCACCCGTCGATATCTTTCCCTTCCTACACTTCGTGCCCGAGCGTGTTTTCGGCAACTGGCGGAGCCGCGCTAGCGACGTCGGCCGCGCCATGAATGAGTTGTACAATGACATGTTAACAGGGCTCGAAAAAAGACGCGAGGCTGCGGGACCGAAGTTCTCATTCATGGACAGAGTGCTCGATCAGAAGGACAAGCTCGAGTTCAATCGGCATCAATTGTACTTTCTGGGCGGGACTATGATGGAAGGCGCCAGTGACACGAGCTCGAGCATCATCATTGCGGCAATGCAGGCATTTGCGAAGTGGCCGGAAGTGATGCACAAGGCACAGAGGGAAATTGATAGTGTCATGGGCGAGGAGAGGAGTCCCACCTGGGCGGACTACGCGAGTCTGCCATATGTGGCGGCCACGGTGAAGGAGGCGATGAGATGGAGGCCCGTTGTGCCGTTGGCGTTTCCGCATGCTGTGGATGAAGGTTCGTCAAATCAAGTCATTCATTTCCACACTCCCCGGCCCCGCCCCCCCTTTTTTCCTTTTCGTATCCTTGTTCTTGTTCTCTTTCCCCTGCGTGGATTGGGATTGGGATTTCGACATCCTGGCTAACAAGCAAGAAAAAGACGACTGGATCGACGGGTACAAAATTCCCAAAGGCTCCGTAATTTTCATCAACGCATGGGGCATGCATCACGATGAGCACCGGTTCCCGAACCCAGACACATTCGATCCAGACCATTACAAGGGCGTCACGGCGCTGGCGTCTGAGCTGGCACAGGCCTCTAACCCAGAGGATCGCGACCACTATGGCTACGGCTCTGGGAGACGATTGTGCCCTGGCATCCACCTTGCGGAACGGAATTTGTTCCTGGCAATCTCCAAGTTGCTGTGGGCGTTTGAATTTGCGCCGGGTAAGGATGAGAATGGAAAACCAATCATCCCAGACACGAACCCGACGACGGGTTATAGCGAAGGGTTCCTGGTTTGTGCCAAGGACTACGCTTTGGACGTCAAGGTGCGATCTGAGAAGATACGTGAGACCATTCTCAAGGAGTATGAACAAGCAGAGAAGGATGTGTTTTCGTCGTTTGACGGCTAGAGTCAGTGAATAAACACCGGGAACGGGCTTGTTCAACGCCTTGTGTGACGTGAGTGTGAGAAATACCTGGAAACTTGAAGAATTCGATTGATCGATGATTCTGATTGACAAATACAGATGGTTCGGAAATTGATCATTGAGCATTCTGGAAAGTGTTAGCGGGGGTTAGGATATGTGGAAATCAGTGAGACAAACTTTTTATTGATTTCGGCCCATTTCCATCCTCAGTATACCGATACTTAAAACGAAGAAAAACTTTGGGAAGTCATGGTCTGACTGCAATCTGATCGTGTCAAACACCGGGCTTGAATCTTCCGGACGGAGGAGCCCAAATCCAAATTTCTTTGTGACTTCTCATTTGATAGATGCCAAGGGCCAACCTTTGTCGAGCAAAAGGAGATATTGCATGAGCAAGCTAAACGAAGAATGGCGCCGCCATCCGTCGAGACTGTGCCTAGCTAATACCCTGAACAAGTCCATAGCAAGGCGATGACAGCAGGCTGGCGAAGGTAACGGTGGGATGTGAGCGTCGTCGTTCGATCGATACTGCCTCCAGAGCCTGAATCGATGAAGGCGATTTCTTGGACTCCGTCCAGTCCCCATCTCAAGTCAATAGATCGGCAACGTTCATTGGCATCTCGTCAATCTGTGTGGAATAGTAGAGTTCGATATCTCGGAGAATCCGGACGTCATCACTGGTGACAAAGTTGATCGCCACCCCTTTGCGACCGAATCGACCACTTCGTCCAATTCTGTGAATGTAATTCTCTCGATTGCTGGGAAGATCGTAGTTGATGACAAGGCTGACTTGTTGAACGTCGATACCGCGAGCCCAGACGTCGGTGCTGATCAAAACTCGGCTGTTGCCTTGTCTGAAATCGGACATGATACTGTCTCGTTCCTTTTGTGGCATTTCACCGTGCATGCTACTAACGGTGAAGTTTGCTTCACGCATCTTGTCCGTCAACCAATCAACCTTGCGACGAGTATTGCAGAAGATGACGGCTTGAGTGATTGTCAAGGTATCGTAGAGGTCGCAGAGAGTATCGAATTTCCATTCTTCCTTTTCAACGGCGATGAAGTACTGCTTAAGCCCTTCCAGTGTCAGTTCGTCACGCTTGACAAGAATCCTGACCGGATCGGTCATGAATTTGGTGGTCATATCGAGAACGTCATAAGGGAGTGTCGCAGACACAACCACAACCTGTGTCGCGGGTGGAAGGTATCGATAGACATCGTAGATTTGTTCACGGAACCCCCGATTAAGGAGTTCATCTGCTTCGTCTAGGACCAACATTTTGATATGTCGTGTTCGAAGGTTTCGTCGCCGAATCATGTCCGCCACACGTCCTGGCGTACCGGAAACGACATGTTGACCGTAATCAAGTTTTCGGATGTCTTCCCCGACGTTGGTTCCTCCGATACAGGCATGGCATTGTACGTTCATGTAATCGCCGAGGGCCATGATGACACTTTGAATCTGCGTCGCCAGCTCGCGCGTGGGGGAGAGAACCAATGCTGGAATTCGTCAGTCATGCCTCACAGAGTTGCTTCTCGCACAGACCTTGTGTCTCTCGAACAGATGTTTCCAGGACTTGTAGAATACTAATCGCAAAGGTGGCGGTTTTGCCGGTGCCTGACTGTGCCTGGGCAATTGTATCTCTTCCCTTGCAAATTTGGACGATGGCTCGTGATTGGACGGCAGAGGGAGACTCGTATCCGTATGCGTAGATTCCACGAAGGAGGTTTTCTTTGAGATGCATGTCTTCAAATGTTGGAGCGACCGTCACCTCTTTCGAGGTGGTGAATTCCATGCGGTCTGTAGCAAAATTAGCTGGGGAGTCACGGGTTGAGTTCAGATGAGGCTGACCATCCGCATTTCTGTCAATACCTTCGGACATCTTGGTATGATATGAATAGGGCTGATTTGAGACTGCTTCGGGGTGCGGAACTGTGGGTTTAAAGAGTTGCCTCGTTGACTTCGAGTTGAGCTGAAAGTCGAAGTTGAACCGAAACACGACAAACTCTTGGCACTGCAGACACTCTTTAGCGGCTCTGATTCAGTTGAGCTGGCTCATCATCCTGACCCTAATATCGTCACTTTCCACTCGCTTGTCCTCTGCCACCACTCCACATCTGCCTCCACGCCTGTCTTCTACGCCGGCTTCCTACACCCGCTGGTGCTCGCTTCTACCTACGTCCCGCTGTCCTATCAACCGCCATGGACTCCTTTGCCGAACATAACCCCAAGCAGGCCGGCCAGGCAGAGCCCAACAGTCGAGGAGATCAAAAAGTGGGGTAGGAACGAGCTGTTTGAGTGGATCCAACAGAACGAACCGAATCGGCTCGAAGGCGATGATCTTGAAAAGTTCAAAGCGGCACGCCTCTCGGGGAAGCATTTCTTGATGCAGGCTGGTTCTTCGAAAAGAAATGCCATCTGCCTATTGGGGCCAGCCTAGAACTCGCGGATCTGGCAACGAAGATGGCGGGGATGGAGCGAGATACCAGCATTGGTAAGTCCACCGACCGTGCACCTTCTGTTGTTCTCTTTAATCCATATTATGGCAACAGAACACACTGCACACCCGAACACGAGGAAGAGAAAGAGTCCGCCTCACATCGCCTGGCTGGAGTACTTCCGATCCGGATCAGACGGGACTTTTCCCGCTCTTCTACGGAGAGAGGGCCAGGCTTACTTCGATCGTACTCGCTATATCTTCAAGTTGCACAAACTCGACAACTCCATCCTCTTCTACCGCCCACGTCGGTTCGGCAAAACATTGACGGTGAGTACGCTGGAACATTTCCACGGTCTTCAGTTTGCAGGTGAACATCAATCACTCTACAAGATATGCAACGATGTCCTTAATTGCCTTGACGTGAGAACTTACTTGTCTTCCAATCACTCTAGAGTCTCGATGTGCAAAAAGAAATCGACAAAAGACAAGCAGAAAAAGAAGAGTATGTGAAACCGGGACAGTACTTCGTCTTGAAATTCGATTTTTCCAAAATCACCCCCGACCCCGACCTTACGAAGGCGAATGATGTACTCATCAAGATGTTGAATTCTTCCATCGAGTCGTTCCACGAAGAATATGCTGCATACTTGGGCGGAAACTATGAAGCTCTACGCCGAGGCATTGACAGTGGCGAACCCAGCGTCAGTCTCGAGAAGTGTGTCAGGTCAGTCCGACGTGCGATCAAGAACGACGAGCAACTTGCTAGCATTGAAGGGATCTACCTGCTCGTTGACGAGTACGATGCTTTTCCTAATAACTTCCTCGAACAACCCAAGACCGACAGAGGATCCAAGATCGCTTGGGAGGATACAGCAATCGGACGAAATTTCAAGTCTTTCTGGACGACAATAAAGTCATGGATCGCAGACAGGGTCATCCGAAGAGTTTTCATCACGGGCATCTCACCGCTCTCCTTATCCGTTCTCGGCAGTGGGTTCAATTTGGCGAGAAATATGTCATTCGACAGGGACCTGGCCAGACTTTGTGGTTTGACATGCTCGGACTTGGAGGACGCCCTAAAGGGAATCTCCGAAGACCCTGAAGCCCGCAACGGTTTTCTTTCAGAAATGACTCTATCTTTCAACGGATATCATTTCTGTAATGATGAAACGATCGAAACTTCTTACAACGCAGAGACGTGCTTGGCATACCTTCAGCGTCGTATCGAGGGAAAGACACCAGAAATTCGAGACCCGGAAAACTCTGAAGTATCTGAACAGTTTCTCGAGAGATTTGCTGCTTCAGCGCCAGCGATAAGCGACTTCGAAACAGCACTGGAATGTGACGAAAAGGGAGCTTCAAGCCCTTGGAATACCAGCGATTCAGACCAGAATTTACGCTTCGAGACTTGGTATGTTGATATCTTAGCCCCAGTTCCCGTTTCTGCTCACTTATATCTCTTTAGAATGAGGACCAAGATTGTTCCGCGTGGCGTTCACTACTTGTCTACTTTGGCGGCCTTACTTTTCACCCGGAAAAGCCAACAACGCACCTCAAGATACCGAATAGGATTGCGGCAGATCGTATCGCTCTCGCGGTTCTCCAAAAGTATGCTCTGCGTAACTCTCTCTCAGAAGCACTTCAGCATCTCGTCAACTACGGAGATCTTGAACAACGAGACGTCACCGTCAATGATCTTACCAAAAAGGATGAAGCAGCCCATCGGGATAGCTTCCATTTCAGCCTCATGCAAAACCATTTTCCTGTTCCACACACAGAACTCAAGGTGACCAAGGTAATCCACTACCCACTATTGGCTGGGCAATATCAAACGTCTCGTGTAGCCAAATCGAACAAACGGTCGCATCGATCTTATCTTCGAGGTTCGCGGGCGCCTGATAGTTACCGAATGGAAGTTCTATCGAATTAACTTCCTACAAGTTGGCGGCAGAAAGGGGGATCTCCCTAAAGCAGACATCCTGGGCCACTACGAGCTCCCTGAAATTCTTCAGCTTGAATTCGCCACTTGGGACAAGTTCCGTCGAGGAAAAATCGGATCATGGGTCATGGAAAATGAGAGCCAGCAGCTAAGAGGTTATATCAAGAGCACTGAAGTACAGCAAATGGTGGAGAAAGACGGTCTTGAGCTGCACGCACACCTTGTCATTGTTGTCGGGTCACGTCAAATCTTGCTGTGGGATATGGATGAGGAGGGAAACCTCGCTGCAGAACCTCGTCTCGTACAGTTGCCAGGCAGATGTAAATAGGCAGGATGATCGAGGACACCTCAAGTTGGCAGGCCTCGGCCGCACTCAACCATGGGGATGGGACATCACATTGTACAGCGAGGAGCTAGATACATCGCCAATATCGTTGTCGGCTTTCCTAATTGGTTATACCGTCGTCTACTTCCTGAGCCATGGACTGGATCCGACGGGTCGATATCGGCCGGCACAGGACACCGTGATCAACATCGTCCACACGTGATCCATAGACTGGACCCGATCAAGGGGTTCTGGCAGACAAAGGCGGCATTCTACCCATTCCTGGGTGGGCCGTGGATTGGATCCGATGGGGTCAAGCCAATTAGAGCACGTGATTGCGTGTCGGATTATAGATTTTCCGGGCTACGGCGCTCTACCCTGGGCGGGCCGTGGATTGGATCCGATGGGGCCGGCCAATCAGAGCACAGGATTACGCAATTCTCGGATTATAGATTTTCCGGATTGCCGAGAGTTGGCCAATCACGTGATACGAAGGCTCGGAGGTTGGCCCCCGGACTGGATCCGATGGGGCCAGTCAAAGGATTTAGTTAGTTTCGGATTATAGATTTTCCGGATCCCGAGTAGTTGGCAATCACGTGAATGCAACGACCGTCAGATCATTCTCTGGTCGCTTGTCTCTCCCTTGCCGCGACCATTCTGCGTCTCCTTTCGCAACGCGGAGAACACAGACCATGATCTACGGCCTCAGTCTTGATGTAACCGTGGTAGCGCCCTCGCACAGGCCATAGGTCGGGGGGGCTTCTTCCCGTGGGAGGATTTTAACACCCAAGCGCGGATACCCACTTTAAAGTGGCAATACAGCTTACTGTTTGACAGTTCTTTTGAGCAAAGGAGCAGACCCTTTAAGAGGAGACTTCTTTTGTTTCATTTCGACTTATGGCAAGAAGGACTACGTCACTCGGCCATATTTTGATGATGATCGGAATTACCTGATTTCAGAGGACTGAAGGCAAGGCCACTTCGTACGTGATTATCAACTCGTTCCTCGATAGCGCGTCTTGAAGTCATCGATCAACCAGCGTTCCTCTCGCCGATCCTGGATCCTGTTGCTAGGTCAATCAAGATGTATACAGACGGCAGTGCGGTGAATGTATTTCAATGCCCTCAAGAAATGCGCCGAGTCTTGAAAAGTCTGGCTGCCAAACGATAGCATCTCCTTCCTTTCAAAATGGCCTATCTTTCTATTGTCACGTGTCTTATCCTTCTGAGTTCTGTCTACCCAGGGTATGCGAGACCGCTTCACGTGCGGAACCCTGGTCTTACGATCCGTGAGGTGAAGGAAAGATCTCCATCTTCTCCTCAAGCTCATCTCGTGGAGGCTTATCGAAAATACAAGGCCGTCCTTCCAGACGATGTGGCCACTGCATTAACGAATTCGCTCGTGGCTGCGAGTCCTGGCGCCTACGACTCCAGATACCTTTGTCCTGTCACCATCGGAGGGCAAACCTTGAACTTGAATTTGGATACGGGTTCGGCCGATCTGTACGTCACATATACGCTCGCCTGCCTCCGAGACCAATGTTAACGTATCATCAGATGGGTTTTTTCTTCGGAACTCCCCGAATCACAATCCTCCGGTCACACTGTATACGATGCGAGCAAGTCTAGCACGGCTCGACCTCTTGAAGGATACACGTGGTCAATTACATACGCAGATGGGAGCTCCGCAAGCGGTAATGTCATGCAAGACTCCGTGACCATTGATAACATCACTGTAGGTACGCAAGCTGTCGAACTGGCGACTCAAGTCAGTCCCTCGTTCCAATCGGATACTGAATCATCTGGACTTCTCGGCCTCAGCTTTAGTACTTTGAACACAGGTTTGGTTTTGCTCCTCCTGCTGATTGTAAAATATAAACTAATGGTCTGCTCTTAGTTCAACCGATTCAGCAATTGACATGGTTCGATACAGCCATTCAGGAAGGTCTTTTGGAAGCAGAATTGTTCACCGCCAATCTAAAGAAAGGCACTACCGGTAGCTACGACTTTGGATTCATTGATCAGACGAAGTATCTCGGTGAAATAACCTATACCAAAATCGACAGCTCGCAAGGCTGGTGGAACATTACGACTACCGGTTATCAGGTTGGGAGCGATATTGTCCGCGACGTTGCCATGACAGGGATCGTTGACACGGGAACCACGCTCCTCATTGTGGACCATTCTGTCGTGGACGATTACTGGAGCAATGTCGAAGGGGCTCAATATGATACGGCTCAAGGTGGTTACGTCTTTCCATGCGCTTCGCCTTTGCCGGATTTCGCACTGCGCATTGAGAATCACTTGGCCACGGTCCCTGGCAGTTACCTCAATTTCGCCCCGATCGATGATTCAAGTGAGTTGGTGGGAGCTTTCCCCCGTCTCCAGGGCTCGAAGCTGACACATTTGCGAATATAGCTTGCTTTGGCGGCATGCAAGCCAACGATGGCATCGGGTTTTCGATCTTCGGTGACGTTTTCATCAAGTCCCAATTCGTCGTCTTTGACAAAGGAAACAGCTCCCTTGGAGTCGCCTCGAAATCCAACGTAAATGCTACTTCTTCAGCCGTGTTCTTCACCAACATCGGTACCTCGTCAAGTTCGGGTGCGATCATGTTGACGAGCAGCACAACCAAGACAACTGTAGACACCTCTTTCACCGCACGCTCGATGGCTTCTCAGGCTTCAATACCGTTGCTTTTGACTTCTCCTGCTTTGTCCTCTTCGTCCAGCTTGGTTCACAACGCTTCATCTGGATTGTCACCCTCTTCAAGCCTCACCGGTTCCGAGGCGGACACGGGAGTCGGGTCAACCTCGATCTCGATTTCGACCCCTTCATCTGCAGCAACACCGATTACAGCACCACCGTCAACCCCGAGCTCGACTACTCTTACTAGCTCCGCTCTTGGAGCCATATCAACAGTGGGGGCCGGAGCTGCCATAGGGCCGCTCATTCCGGCCGCCGCTCATTCCTCAGTGTCCACAAATTTCTCCGCGAACTGAGAATTTAGTGCCTCTCAACTCGCCGATGCCGAGGCGTGCTACTTTGCCGATCAGATCGCAAACACATACTGTTCCAAGATGGCAGCAGACGAGCTCTTCCACGCACGCAAGTAAAATGGGAGTGGGAAAAAATCCTCTTCGGCTGTTCTCTTATTGTCATAGCATCAGCATACGGACTATATTCAAAGTAAAGAACGAGTGGGGAATCATAATTTGGAAATAGAAATCGGCCAAGAAGCATATGGAGAGAAAGTCAGAGAAAGAGACGTTTCCGTGGACTTGTGACGCTTCTAATGGTGGAAACTAATGACACTTTACGGTAACTTTCCAAAACGTTTTGAATGTCATGAAAATATGGAAGGAAGCTATTGACGATGGACCGAGGTCACTTTGTTTGATTTGGAAATGGATTTGTTACTCTGCTTGGAACAGACATAAGGAGATATATGCACCGAGTATTCTTTTCACAGAACTTACAATTTCTAAGCGGTCGAAGACGGGTCAAGGGCGAGATGAAGGTAAGTGAAGATGGGGCCCGGGGGTGGAGAGACAAGGCTACAGCAAACCCACTCCCTCGGAAGGAATCTCAAATGTAACAATCTCGACACGCTCGTCAAAGTGCCTAGAGGCCAGGATATTCTGATCGTCGCTAGTCCACCGTTGTCACCGTTTAAGTCCAATCAGGCCTTCCTCCCAGTCGCGACAAAACCCACCCAGTTCCAGACAATTGGTCCAGAGCTGTACTTCAGTTTGAGATATTCCAAGATCGCTTCCCCCGCCGGCCCCTGATATTTCTCAAGTTCCTCCTTGGTCCAGAACTTCTGGATCATCATACCTAGTGTATAAGGCATCATGTCTTCCATTTCTCCTAGTTTATACTTCGTTGTACACTCCGCAACTCGGACTTCAACCTCATCGAACCCCGTCGCTTCAAAGTGACTTCTGAGGTCCTCGACACTATCCCAGCGCTCAGGCGCCTCGGAAAACGCGTGCTTTAGGCGATCATCCGACGGAAACGAGGGCAGAGAGGGATTCATTGCGATACCCGCGCGATAGTCGATGAACCATGGGACCGTCTGCCATGTAGTGAAGCCCAGAACTCCATTCGGTTGCAAGATCCGGTGGCATTCCCTGAGACCGACGAGGCCATTGGGCAGGATCATAGGTCCGAAGTTGAAAAAAATGTGCGAAAAGTGGGATGAAGGAAATTTCGTGTCCTGCACATCCATGGTCAGTGTCAAATGTAAGCTGTCGGGCTGATATTGGCGCACCATGGCATCAGCGATGACCGCTCGGGTGTTTTTCCATCCCAAGGCCTCGATGCGTCTAGTTAGGTTGGATATCATGGCATCGGAGGTGTCGGCACATGTGAGATCGAGGCGAGACTTTGCCTCAGAGGAGAGCAGAGCCATGATATGGGAGGAAACGACGCCGCTTCCGCAGGCCATGTCAAGGACAACCAGTGCAGAATTGGTGGAAGGAGGAAACTTGGCTTGCTGGAGAAGTGAGTCAGCAAAAGGGCCCGTGATGCTGTCAGCTCGACTGAATATCTTTTCGAATTGAGAAGGCTCCATGATGATTTTCACAGAACAGTTGAGAGATGCCGTTGAAAGCCGGATCAATGGAGCTGAGGCGGTGTTCAAAAGTCTAAGTCAGTCCCCAGGTACGAAGAAATCGACAAGCCGCACTACCCCCAATCTCTTGTTTTGCCAGATCCCGGCCTCTTTATAGATGCTGAGATCTCTCCGAAATAATGTTCGAACGTGCACATGTGTGTTGGAAACTGTCCGAGTCCTCTCCGAAACCAGAACATGAAAAAGAGATGCTCCAAAAGTCTCCGAGAACATCCTTGCTGATGCGGAAGTCGTGATACAGGGCGAAGAAATATGAAGAGAAGACAATATTTTGGTTTTGGGATCTTGGAGTGGGTCCATGTCGCATACCTGGTCCTTTCATCCCCATTTCATGTACTAGTGGAGCAATTCCCAGATGCGAGTTGGATATATAGCCGCAGCCTCGCAGACCGGAACCGAAAAGGACCAGCTTCTGCTTCTGGAGGAATTTCGGTTTCCTGCGACTTCGCACATCTTGAGCATAAGACTTGCTCGGAGAGAAATTCGAGTGTGAGGCCTTCCCTTCCACAAGGGCCAGATTCGAAGAGCCGAAAGAGACAAGCGAAGGCTCAAAGAGCCCCTCGGGCCGAAGGATGCGTATGTTCATGCTTCGCTCGAACAGAAAAATGTCATTCAGCTTAGAAGCTTGTTGCGAAGAGTGTCACTGTCCGTTACCCATGTCCATGCCGTTTCCTTCCTGCTTATTTCCAAGTTCTTGATGTAGTCCGGTGGGCTTGTCACCGCAAGGCAATCGTGTATCGAGGAGAGGCAGAGATACCCGATGCCATGTCATCTCAGTTTACTAGTCATAATCTCTCGACGGAATATCCCTTCTCTTGTTCTTGTTCGATGTAGTCCTTCTCTTCCTGTTTCTATTTGGTCTTTTTTTTTCCCCCTCCACTTAGTTCCTCTTTCCTTCGTGGCGGTCATTGCTCTATCCCATTAGGTTCTTTGAGGCCGTGTTGTACACATATGCTGAGGACGGAACTTCAACGGAGATAACCATCTGGCTACTGTTTTTGGTAGGATTGTGCGTCAATATTAGGGGAAACAAACCTGAGTAGCGACATCTCGAAATTGGCCCTCGGAGTCTTGCTTGCATATATGCATGAGGTGCAAGGTTGGGTAGCAGACCAAAGGACCGGCACATGTAATCTCCAGTTAGTCAAAATGATGGCTCTGCTCTTCTCTCGAACTTGACCTCGCTGTTCCCCGTTCTCGCTATCATTGTTTAGTAAATCATGATTCTAAGCATATTCTTGACTCACATTACAAACGTCCTCGTCTAAAGAGCGAAGCCTGAGGATTGTTCCCATCCTTACTCCCCCGTCATGATTCCTCCAAGAACAAGTGTCGGCCCTCATATTGAACTCGATCTGTAGCATTTGTCAATAGTGGTGACCTCGAATTCGGCATCATGCATCGCACCTGTAGTTCTTGAAGTTTGCCGGTGTTGTCTCTTCCTTTGATTCCCTTGATGTTCTTCAAATGCATAACTTACCTTGAGTCCAATGTGAGCCTATAGTGTCAGAGGTTCCCTCGACGAAGATTAGTTTGTGCACGGTGCCATCGAAGTCCTGACAATATATTTGTAGAGTCTTTCCATGAGAAGAGTGCACCTTGCCTTATTTTGAACTCTTACTTTACTTCACATCCTTTACCATATCGTTGGCTCAGTGTTCTCCGTTGTAGAATTACTTTTGACACATTGAAAAGTTTGACTTGGAATCGTCTCACATAATCAACGTCATAAAATGGGAATGCAGCGCTTTGGCCATGACGTTGCTTTGGAAAAGTCGCAGGGCCTTTTCTCATTGTTGACGACTAGATGTGTGCGAATTCCATACCACAACGGTCAGAGAGACAATGGAGAAAATGGGCAATGAAACAACACATGAAGATGTCAACCCGTAATAGGATATTTGAAGCCCCTGTAGGGCACCTAACAGAGCATAGCACAACAGAAACGGCCCCCCTCCAAAAAGAAACGCTTCTCCCAAAACAGGAAAACCACCGCCTAAAAGAAAGGGCCCCGCGGCCCAAAGCAAGACGACGACCTCCTAGATGAGCCAACACCACTTCATCACCATCCTCCGAAGAAGGATCCGAGGCGAAGTGCTTCACCCCGCCAACGATGGAGTTGCTCCCTGGCATCATCCCTCTCTGCCCGGGTAGCCCAGAGGAGGCGCTCCAAGTCTTGGAACGCGGCCAACACCTCGTTCCCCGCAACCATGAGGTTGGCACGGGCGCGAACCGCAACAGGATTGCCTCTCTGGGCGCCGTCGGGAAGAGGGCCGTCGAGGGCGTCGACATCATCGCCCGCGTGAGCGATGAACTCAAGACCAGCCCGAAGGCGGCCCTGAGCATCGAACACGGGGTCGTTGAAGTCGACGCCCATGAGCACCCTTTCGTAGGCCGGGTCGTCGTCGTCGGTGACGTCATCGCCATCATCCTCGTTGTCTTCATCATCAGTCGCGTCAGCATCGACAGCGGCGTCCTCCTCGTATTGAATTGGTGGCGTTCCTGGCCGCTCATTCGCCATGTTGTTGAGGTTTCTGTACGCCGGACTCCGGTGGAGTCGTGGCGCATTTGGGTTGACCGCCTCCTCATTATCATCACTGCCCTCAGATAGTGTAGAATTGTTTGGATCATCCAGAAGAGTGAATGCTGTCACCATACGAGAGACTTGTCGTGATGTTCTTCTCAGTTGCGGTCTGGCAGGATAGGTAGGCAAGCTGCACCGGCGACGATGGGTTGGAAATCTTGGACGAGCATTTCGAATGAGACGTGGAGAGACACTGGGACTTCTGACTGGGCTTGCACCAGTTGATTCTTGAGAGGAAGACATTTTGGTTGTTCCTTTCGCAAATGTAGAGGTAGGATTTGGTTTGGGTGAGGGTTCAGTTTCCCCCGGATAGCAGAGAAGGGTTTATTGTGCCTGGAACGACTCTTTTTGTGGTAATGTCGGCGGTGCAACCAGTTTTGAGATGTATCGCGCCACCAGTACAGCGGGCGCGGTGTAACCGGCAACGATGTTCTTATGGTATTAGTAGTTGGATTTGTTTTGAAAAAAATAATCCCGCCGCTGGCACAGAATGCCGGTGTGCTATAACGACATTCTGGTGAGAGGGTCGGCTCTGAGTGGTGTCAAGAGTTGTTTAGCTGCGCGCCGACGATGAAGAGGGTTCAGTTGTCTGCGACGACGTTCTCGAGGTCAGGGCAGTGGAAAGACGGGTTTTGAATGACGTTCGCGTCTCGTGACGACAGTCCGGAACGTTTAAGAATACTTGGAAAGACGATCGTACCGGAGCTGGGAGAGTAATGGTGGAGGTCGCAACGAGAAAGTCTTGGTGGAGTGATGGAAGAGTAGTCGATGTTTTTGATTCCGTCGCGAGGTTTCTGCGGTTCTGTGTTCACATGTGTGGAAAGGGCAGGGTGCGGCAGAATCGTGATGCCATGATGTGTGAAGGGCACCTCATGCTCCCCATCTAACTTTCCACGGAGTACAGGGTTGGAATACAATGGTAAAAGATATGGCCGATTCGAGGAGGATCAAAAGGAGTTGAAGAGGGACATAGGAAGACAATATCATCGACAAGGCTAAGTAAGGATACATATAAGGCTTACCAAAAAAGGAGACCAAACCCCCTTGTGCACCATCACATGGGAAAAACTCTTGTCGCGACGGTAACTGTCGTAGCGAAATTCATGACCAACTACTCATCACATGTTCAACAGACTCATTTGTCGCCTCATGGGACTTGCGGCATGATCGCCATCTTCGCTTGGACCAATACCGCTATCAGTACCACCAAGAGGAGCAGAGTCAATGTCGATATCCCATTTCTCCTCAGCCGGGTCACCATCTTCTTCACCTCCATCATCCCAGCCCTTTTGGACAGCGCCTCGGACATTCCATCTCAAAGCCCTTTGTACGCTTTCGACCCACTCATTGGTGCCAGTCATGACAGTGGGGAAAGGATATTGGGAGGCTTCCAAGGTTACATAATCACCTTGTTTCAGTTCGATGCGGCCCTTTCCATCAAAAGAGCAATACGCAGAAGATCGAGATTTGTTCGGCACTGCGATCCGCAGGGCAAGAGTGTCGGAAAGAACCATCGGACGGAATGAAAGAGTGTGAGGACATATGGGTGTCAACAAGATGGCCGGGATGGACGGGTGGATCAAGGAACCTCCAGCCGACAAGGAATAAGCCGTGGACCCTGTCGGGGTGGAAAAGATACACCCATCCGCTTGGACAATAGTCAAAAGCTCATCGTCACCATAGAGCTCCAGGTTCGAGACATATGCCGAAGGGCCACGGTCGATAACCAGCTCATTCAATACCTCGAATTGCTCGCCCTCGTCAACTGCACCCTTTGCAGCGCCAGGAGACCGATCGGCTCTCCACACCGTACAGGTAAAACGCATACGAAGGTTAACACGCATTCCAGCGTCTCCCATGACACGATCTAGATGTTCTTTGTACTTGTCGAATTCAAAATTGGTCAAGAAACCCAAGCTGCCCAGAGAGAAGGAGAGAACAGGTGGGACGACCCTTTGAAATAGCCAAGACGTGAACAAAACAGTGCCGTCACCGCCCAACGTAAGCACCAGATCGAACTTCTCCGGCGATGACCAGCACAAGTCGGGAGTCCAATACTTCAACATCGTTTGGAATCGCGGCTCCTTCTGCAAGAGACCGGCAGCATCAAACCGTTTGGAATGTCGGAGCTTGGCGTCAACATACACGTTTACGCCCAGCTCGTTCCCGTACCGAGGTGTCGAGAGCAGCCACTCAGCGAGATCGCGCGTTAAATAGACCAATCTGTTGTCGCGAGCCTTTGTCACAATCATGATATTGCGAACTGCCCGCTTCAGCGGTTTGCGTTGCAGTTGTTTGGACACCTCTCGCACACCGGTTGCGGTTTGCATCAACCTCGAATGCGAATAATCGTCCTCTGCAATCTCATCCAAAACCTTTTGAATGTCTACGATGCCCTCGAAACGCTGGTGGAAGAAGCACGGCGAGCGGAGGAAACTGGTCGACGTGGGGGAGTAACCGGACATATTGCTTGGTTGTAAGCTCGCGAACGTAGCCGTTAGGCAAGGTGATGGAGATGAGCTGACTTGCTCGGACTCTACATCAACCGCCACAGCCTTGAAGGGACTCGCAACTAGCGGGGCCGTGGTAGGTCCGGTGCTGAGTGGTCGCGAGGCGAGCGCCTTCATGATTGTTTGTCTGGGAATGTCGTTGGATTTGGCGCTCTTACGGTGGGTGAGGAAACTCTTTGGCAAGAGAAGAGGTTTAGGCACGGGACATGAAGGATGGTGGGCAATATATGTGGTCTTGACCGAATCGTTTGGAGGGTCGTTCGCAAGGTTGAGGACCTGGTTCAAAACCACCTCGTCGACCGTCTGAGAGGTGGGATCGGGCAGGTTGTGTACGGGATTGGTCTCATCGTCGGCGTGGAGAGGATCTAAATGTTGGGCATACTGGCGCAGGATAGACTCCCCCACCGATGGCTTCGAAGTAGAGATTGCCATGCTATGGGGGGGGAGCGGATGAGGATTATTATCAAGTGCAGGAGTTGGCGGAGAGAAGTTGCTTGCACTCGTACTAGTGGCCTCGGAGGTAGTGGGTGAGGATACGGTGGAGTGGATGTTGACGGGGCGGTTACTAGATGAGGCGGCCACGGTGGTCATCCTGTTGAAACGTAGGGAAAAATGGGGAGGCAGCAGGGTCAAAGTACCCGAACCGGCGGGTTTGCGTGGTTACTGATCTTTGAATTTGTCGTGGTACCCGAGGTGATTCGTTGCGGGCGGCAGAGGGTATGGTACTAGTGGTGAGGGTACACCCTGAAAGGCAGCCGAAAAACTTTGTGTCCTCAGTGGTGGACGAAAGCGCACCAACCCCCGGAGAAATCACAGCGCCCTGCCCGACTCGCTCTCCTAAAAATACCGGACCCCAAGGGACCAGGGACTTTGAATCTCAGATTCTCAGTGCGGCGAAAAGAACCGGGAGTCCGGAGATAAAGCCCGGTCAAAGCCAACAAGCTGATAAATGAATGGAGTGCACCAGTGCTTCCCGTGATCCCGCAGATTGGTGAATTTTCTGTTCTTGTTCCTGACTTCTTTGTCTCCCCTCTCTTTTTATCGCCGCTTATGCCAAAACAAGGAAGGACAAGTCCATTAGTTTGTCGGTGTCATGTTGCAGGCTGGTCGAAGGCAGGACAAAATTATGCAGGGGGAACTTTCAAGGTAATCGTAATTGTGTACTCGGTGCTCGTTCGAAGAGGAATGCCGTGCTGGATTGGGATTTGTAAACGCCGTGACTTGTTGATGGCCTGGCTATAAATACCCAGAGCGTTCAATGCTCAGGGACATCGTTGAAGTTGGTGAGTGGATAGCCGTGCCAGAAGACAGGAGTCAGAAACGTAGGAGAAAGTCGGTTGCGGTGTTGCAGATAGCCGGGGCGTAACATCGGTGCCCAGTGCTGTTCAGTGGAAGATGCTGAGACGGGCACGTGGGGATCGTGGAAGATCGGATATGGGCAATCATCCAGCCCAGAAGACTGGCCCATCCCACGCCCAGATCCTTGTCCGAGCATCGCCAATATTCCTTCCTTTCCGTGCGGCCCATTCCTTATCGCCCGTTGTTCCCTAAAGCCTTGTTGGCCCTCTCCAGCCTCTCCACTTCTTCACCTCACCACTGTTTGGTGCCAGTCAACCGCCCACTTTGTGACTCGTCTCAGCTTTCACACAAAACTTGTAACACCCTCAGTCCTGTCGCCAGCTTTCATCCTTAATCACCCGGGCTTCCATAGCCTTTCTCATCACGTCCAGCACACAGATAACCGAGTTGCTAGCTGTGTTCCCCTTCGTACTAGTTCCATTCATGGCAACATCGCCGTTTTGTTTGTTGACATCGCTTACATTGGTGCTGTAGTCGATGTGACCCAGAATAGCTGACCTGGCAGCCTGTTCGGCTTGTTTCCAACTTGAAATGGTGGATTTCCCTTCACTCTCCATCAACACGGTCTTGCCATTACTGGTGAATCCAAAGACATGAAGACTGGAACACTTCTTTCGTTGCAAGACCCCCGGTTCGACAATCACTTCCTCGTCTGGGCCGATTCCAATGAGAGTTGCCCCTGCTACCGCTTTCATTTGCACGCCCGCATCCAGACAACCGAGAACACTGGCATTGATTGCTGAAGCGAGAATGTCAAGATAAGTCTCAGCTTGACCACCGCTCTTGGCTCCACCAGGCAGGCTCCCGTCAGTCTCGACACTCACCACTTGAAGAGTGACTTGGAGCATGGTTCTAGGCGTCTCTTCCCCGAGGACAATAGTCTGAAGGGTTCGTTTGATGAGTTCTTCGACGTGCCGCTCTTTGACCATACCCACGCCATCGTGCGGTCTGAGATTGACCTCGATGAACGTCGACTCAGGGATCTCATCACTGCGATAAGGTACTTCTACTGGATAATTGACGCCAGCGGCGATTTGGTAGCCATGATTTGGCGCGCTGTATGTCACTGAGCCATCTGCATTGATCAAAGTATGTAAGGTCGCCTGCGGAGGCTCACTCATGAGTGGAATTGCCATGTGCTGAGAATATGGTTTACTGGTGAGGGCTGCAAAAAAGAAGAGAGTTTCATACTGGTGAGAGCTTGGCATAGTCTTGGCGGGCGAGGCTGTAGATTTTAGGAGCTCGTCATTGCTATGTGCTATCATTGTAGGTGACGCTCATGGCGTGCTCCTAGAGTATCAATTGTTCTTTTCGGTCCTTTGGAGGATGCCATTGTCATAAGGATAAAATGATCTAGGGCTAGCACCCGACTCATCCTATCTCCTGATAGCGTATTCAACGATGGAATGGAGTCCAGGAGAGGCGTCATGAACACCTGAGTATCAAACAAGCTAATCAGGCAAGGCTCTCATCACGCCTTCGAATGCCACCAGCGCCATTGCATTTGCGGGAAATGCACGCAGAAAACAGGGCACAAAGCCTCTCCAGTATCCCCTCCAACCCGACTCCCTGTATACTGTGACAGCAGCATCTTTCCAACGTCGAAACCGAGGAGTTCCATCATGAAGCCCACCACCAAGCGGATCCGTCATTATTCTCTGCTTGACGACGTCCGAGGGGTAGGAAGTGAGCCAGAAGACCTGTGCCGACAAGCCGCCAGCCCAAAAATTGATAGCAGGTGTGGAGAGTGAGGTATGCTGTTTGAAAAGCGTGCTTAAAACGTCATAGCTGCCCCACCAGCAAAAAAAGAATGCGCGGAAGAGCAAGGTCGCACAGAGACCGTGGTATAAGCCAGGAATTCCGTGAAAACGCAGGATTTTCCTGGTGCAGTCGATCGGCCCGCTATACAGCCTGTCCTTCTTTTTGGCAGCATATTGAATCTGTAATCGGGCCTTGACATGCTCGACAGGGGCAGCAATGAAGGAGACGGTTGAACCTGCCATGAGACCGGCAATCCCATGGCCAAAGGCAGGTAACTTCTCATTCGCTAATTCTGCGGCCGATTTTCCAAGGCGAAATGTTGGATTGGAGAAAACGTTCTCATGAAGTAGCCTCCTGTAAAGCGTCAAGCTTCCCAGCATGATCGAGTCCATAGCCATCCATCCCAGCAACGGTGGTGTTGCACCTTTGTAGAGTCCCGCTACCCCTTCTCTTCTTATCGTCTGCAACACGCAATCCAACGGTCCTTTAAATTTTGCTTTTTCTGAGGTCTGCAGACGAACCTTGATTGTATCAAAAGGATGCCCAACAGAGAGTTTGGCTATGCCGGAGAACACGCCCGCAACGAATCCCTTGGAGTTACTCGCGAATGATCGTTTCGTCGGTCTCTGGTTTACGTCCTCCTGCAAACGAGGCGAGGCTTCTCGCAAGGTGCCATTGGAATCGTCTGAGGACCTGCGAGTTGGTGAGCACACGAGAATACACGAATGGACGAAAATCTCAACCGAAGCGTTGAAACGTACCCGCTCAACTTGGCCGACATGTTTGATCCATGCGGCGAAGCTGCCAACTGCTACCGAAGTATGAGTACAACCAACCTCGTCGCAACCATCGGAGCGACCTCGTTCACATATATCCCAGGAAAAACGAGGCAGGATGTCGTCGCTGACTATGTCAGATCTCGAAGGGAAGAAAAAAGATTGCACTGGAATATCTCCGCGTTCGGGCTTTAACTAGACTCCCCGGCGCGGTACATGACGTCGTCAAGTAGCCGACTAAGTTTAACAAGTCTTGGGTTACTCAACCGTGTTCATGTAGAATCCCCCCCCCTTTTTTTTTTTTTTCCTCTCCCTTCCAGTGGTCAAATTCCAGACGGATCTTATCCAAGCTCATCATGCTAGCACCGCACGCGAAGAAGCACGCCGACAAGGTGCATGCGCATAGAGCGGAGGAACCAAAAAACAGCACCCCGATCACTCTCCACGATGCTCCGAAGAAAGTATGGACGACGCTCATTACGAACACCAAATATCTCTCGGGACTCCTCACCCTCGATTACTCCCTGAAGAAGGTTGGCTCGAAGTATCCCCTCGTGGCACTATACACCGACACGTTTCCTCCTGAAGGACTCCATGCCCTAGAAGCGCGAAACATCCCGATCAAACGAATCCCCTACTTACTACCCTGGGTGCCGAAGGACTATGCCAATGACCCTAGGTTCTATGATTGTTGGAGCAAGCTCACCCCTTTCAGCCTCGTAGAATACAGCCGGGTCGTGCAATTAGACAGTGACATGTTGGTGTTGAAGAACATGGATGAGCTGATGGAGTTAGAATTGGATGAGCCTGGGTTGAACGGTGAAGGGAATCGAGTATATGCAGCCGGTCATGCATGTGCATGTAATCCCTTGAAAAAACCTCATTATCCTCAGCATTGGATACCAGAAAACTGTGGGTTCACATTCCAGCATAATACTCCTGAGGACGCTCAGGTCAATGGGCCACCTCCAACTGCCGGCATAGGGTGCCCCAACGGAGGTCTGGTTGTTTGCAATCCCAGTCAAGGCATATATGATAAGATTCTCGAGACGATGAAGAACGGTGATTTGACTTCAAGCTACGACTTTGCTGATCAGAGCTTACTTGGAGAACGTTTCTATGGACGCTGGATTGGGCTGCCTTACATTTACAACGCCTTGAAAACGCTGAGATGGAAAGGCGTTCATGATGCAATATGGCGGGACGATCTGGTCAAGAACATTCATTACATATTAAGTCCAAAGCCCTGGGATGAGAAACCCGAGGAAAGTAAGGATGAAACGCATAAGTGGTGGCAGACAACGAACAACGAGAGACTGGAGTTCGAGAAAGCCAATGGTATTCGAGATGGATTTTGAGAACAGATAGAGGACGTTAGAGCTACCATTTTCAATGGAGCGGAGCAATCCATATACCCCATATCCTGACGTAGGAAATCGAAGACGTCCTTTATGCGAGTTTTTGCGACTCTCCAACAGAGCTACTTGTTGGTTTCTCTTGCCGTGCTGGTTATCAACAACAGATACTTTAACTCTGCTTATCATCTCATCAGCATTCATGTTTACACATTGCCACAAGCCTCAGAAAAGAGGCTGGAGATTGTCCTTAGACTTGCCGGCTGTGGCGTTCGTGTGTTCTTTCTTGAGCCTGTCGAAGAATGTTTGCACCGCAATGTCGGAGCCTCGATTTGTGATTTTATGGTGCGTTGCTAAGGAAGCAAGGAACACTTCAGAGGAAGAAAGTGACAGTAGGAGGATACAATAAAAAGGCTGTGTTGAGCAAGAGGAAAAACCCGCAGCAGGTTTTCTTGATGGTCTTGAGGGCCATTTCTTAGGCCGCTCATTGTCCACTAGTTTATGATTGAGCTTCTCAAAGGAACGTAGACTTTTCCGATCGTATCATTTATAGAGCAGAATATCTCACGGTCAGCTCTCCACAGAGGTTGTCTCATATTTGCTCGAGCAAGCCAAGCAAATTGAAGCTGTGAGGCATCTTCTTTGGCGAGAAAATTCTGGGCACATAGTAATGTCGGTTGACAAGAGACCTTCCTGGGCTGGAATGTCGCCTCCAAAAGACACCACAATGGCACCAGAGTCGCCTTCTTGACCGTCTTTGGCAATCCCGCCGTCTTATTGCGGTTTTTTGCTTAGTATCCAAGATTGCAAAGCTTGGTCTTTCAGGCACATTGTTGCAGAATGCCAGGCAATGCTCTCAGCCACTGGGGGTGACGGATACACTATTGTCGGACGAATATAAGCGTACGTCGAGATGATTTGAATTGGGATGGACGTTGGTATCTGTCTCGAGGGTTTTGTATGATGGTGAGACCAGTACTGCAACATCTCCAATCTATCCTCGATTGGAATTTGTTATCTAGTTCTGGGCGGCTAAGACTTCGAGCGAAAGCTGCAGATATGCAGATTGCGAGTTCAACACCCTGATACCACGAAGATGAGCGAAGACCCAGCAAATGACATAAGAAGCTCAATGTCAGGAATATTCCAATTGTATCGGCCTTGATACAAGCAAGGGCGGTAAGTGGTTTCATCCACATGGTTTTGAATGCCTGCCGTCCATCATTAGTAGCAGTGAGGGAAGGCTGCACCGAATTTGTTATCGGATTGTGTGGCAGCAACATGCCAGGGCGGGCGTTCTTCGGCCAGAGTGGGGATTGAGTAGCTTGCTTCGACGAATATGTTCAGCAGCCAGTGTGACAAACCGTGAGGAAAAAGCCAGTCGAAAATTGCCAACTCAAGCTGTGAGGGAGTTCGACCACATTAGAGAGACGATTGTCAGTAAAGACATCAACCCGGTAGGATAGAAATATCTTCCGAGACGTGACGTTCGATTTGCAGTATTCAGAGATTGCGTTTCCTTCGCAAGCGCGGAGACTCTGACGTTGTTAGATTTCTTGCGGTTTTGGGCAGGGGGCTCATTACCGGCAGTTGATTTTCGAAAGTGTTTCTTTCTTCTGATCGAAGAAATAGATTTGCATAGGGGCTGTGAGCAGTTTAGGTATTTGATCCTCCAGGTTGACCCTGTTGTTGCTATTCTTCAATGGTATTTGCAATACCATCTCAATTTCGCATCCGTACCAGGCACCTGCAAACCCCCTTTCGAAAGGTTATAGGCATGGCATGCTAGCAATTGCGCAACAATGTCACTGGTTGTCACTGGGCTCTGAGCAGATTGCAAGGTTAACACTCCCGTGGCACCAGCAAAGGGAGCTGATGTGATGGCAGTCGTCCTAACCAAATGACCATCGATGGGTTCTGTGTGAACGTAGCAGCAAAATCCCTTGACGTCCCGTAGTAAACCAACGGCAACCGCCAATTGGAAGTGCCCAAGCTCTACCAATCAACAGAAAGGTTTGGAGTAGAGCGAGTGACAGTCGAAGGTTCGGGTCTCCGGAAGCGAAGATGTAAGGCCGTAAAGACTTGGAAAGGGTTCATGCTGGTTTATTTGGTTTCCATCTTTGGCTCATGCAACGATATAATAATTCCTGCCTGTTTGAGCCACCGTGGTCGACACCGCCTCACTTTTCTTGAGGCAGATGAGGGTAGGAGAAGGCCACGGATTGGATGAAAAGGTGTCAGGAGAGTTCTGCTTCTAGTCGTGGCTTGAAACAGCGACGCCCTCGGTCTTTGAGCGGTACCACTGGGCTTGCCAAATGATGCGACTCAATCAGCACGACGCTCATCATCATGTTACTGGGAGGTCGCCATTTGGCTTTTGCCGGCTTCACAGAACAAATGTGAGTTCTCCGTAAGTTTATCATTTATTGGAGCCATGGCGGCAGAAAGAAGAAATGGAAAACTGCCATGCAGATTCTCAGGAGAATCGAACTGATGGATTCAATTCTTCTACGTGGTAAAAACGTGTTGGTGAAGTCTCGCGGTTGCCTTCCACAACCCATTTTGGCACCATACAACTTGAAGAAACCAACTCAACTTCCTCCTTCATCTGTCTCATCATGCCATTCAGCCACTTATAGTCTTGGATGAACCAGAGGGGCATTTTCCTTCTGCCGAAGAACATGAGTTCGATAGCATTGCACCACAGCACACTCAGCTGACATTGAAATCTCCCATCGATGCAACCTGCGCGTGGGTTTTACCTAACCAACAAAGTTCCTCATTAATTCCCAAGTGGTCGAAAAGGAGTTTTGGCTCCTGACAAAGCGGCCGTTGAATGTCTCTTCGAGCCTATGGCCGTCCGCTGGACCGGTTAGTTGATACCACTCTGTCTCTGTTGGCTGTCTTTGTTCCAGGCCGAGGCCTGATGATGAAGACATCTTTAATTAACTGGTTGAGTGAGGGCTCTAGCCTGGGACTCAGAGAGCAATGAAGACGATAGGCGTAGATTTTAGCTCTTCCTGTGCAGCCGAAGGTCGCTGTCGTGTCTGTCTCGGGCTTACCTCCTCCCTCTTCTCCTCTTCTCCTCCACCTTCACCGACGTCGACATCGAATTTCTGGATCGATGGGTTCGATGGCCGGCCACTTCGAGATCTCTTCCACCAACGATCGTGCCCTTAGCAACGGCACATGGTCATCAAACACCATCTGCTCGGCCAATTGCATTATCTGTCAAGTAAAGCTCTTGTCAGCATTTTACCCAACTCCCAATCCAATGGCTCTGTGCTACGTGGATTTTGCAGAGTGCGAATGATGACCGCTCAGGTTATCAAGGCGCGGCCCGCCCACGAGTTTGCCAGATCATTGTTGAAAGGACTCATTACAACTGGACTTCCCCGTCTGCAAGCGGTCCCAATTCGCAGCCCCAAGATCAGCATCACCACCCAATGTCAGTGACTACGGCAGTGGGGCGACGGACAAGAGAGAAGACGCAAAGCTGATGGAAGAGGCAAAGGAGCTGCTAGCTACAGAATACCGAGAAAGCCACCCAACAGGCAAACGACAGGAAAGATGGCGGCGCGCCACCCAACAGTGTGACACAGCCTGTGACAGAGGGGGAAATTCGCAGAGAACCTCCATCCTGGCCAGTCATCTGCGACCCCTAGCCGACCTTCTCTCACACTGGTCCCTTCCCCCTGCTTTTCGGGGGCGTTCAGGTTCCCCCCCGGTGGCAGAAGGTGCCTGCATTGGTCCATACACCAATCCAAATACGCCGAAGATGGCTGCTATTCGGCACTGTCTGATGCAGCTTGACCACCGAATTGCCAGGCTAGAACTGCGGCGATGCATTCGAGCCATGCGTTTTCCCTTCGCATCCGTGACCCTTCGCCAGTTGAAATCTGCATCCTGCATTTCGAACGGGACTCCTCTCCTCGTGTCATGGTAACCTAGTCCGCCTTTTTGGACCTGTTTCTCTTATTCTTTCTGTTCGTGATGGTCATGGGAAATATCTCAACCTCGCCATCACAGAATTTTTTTTTTCCCCCCCCCCATCACCTCTTAATCACTCCACGCGCGTCTACGACCAAAGTCACATTACCCTCTTTGTTTTTCAGTCAAGACTCCGTACCTGTCGCTCTTATGCATGTTTCTTTTGTTATCGTGAGACAGAAACTGTCCTCCATGAACTGCAAAACCCCGCTGTAGCAAACCGGCCCAGGTCTCCAATGTATCTTGACATCACATCTGAGAAACTTTGAGACCTTTTTGCGTGACCTGTTTGTGTCTTCAGTCTTGTACTCTGCGAGTTGTACATGAGTGCAGACTTCAACTTGTTCTAGACGTTGACACCACTCTACACCGCTTCGTCTTTTCCTGAACCATCTGTCCGTGCCTGTTTTTTTTGTGCCCCAGCCTTTTTGCCACCACCTTTGGTGGATGTTTGACGGGACATAAGAAATTGTCCTATTCTGCGCCACGCAACACAGACACAAAGCATCAATCCGTCAGTCAAGAGCAAAACCTTTTGGTCTCAGTCTTGCCATTCTCAACTCCGACGGAAGAGTCATGTGCGTGCGTACCAAAACATCCTATGGATGTGGACACGAGTTCAAGACCACCAATCAATGTGACTCGCCTTCCTGTCAACATTTAGAGAGATATCTATACGAAAAAGGTGGGGATTGCCGTGCCTGTAAAGAAGGTGGCGATGCAATCACCCGTGGCCGAGAAGGAAAAGGTCGCTATGCTCAAGAAATCAGTCGACGACACCAGAGGGAAGCGTGGAGTGAATCGCCAACAGATGACAACTTTCACCGTACGTCGGACGTTGGTGGTGGAATCAGTCCTTGGGCGACTCCATTGAAGCGAGAAAAGGAATGGCACAGTCCTTCCCGGAAAAAGGCAGACGACGCCTGGTTGCAAGAGCACGTGGAGAGGAGTATAGATTTGCAAACTATCCGAGAGTCTCTCTCATCATGTGCTTCTTCCGACCGAGCTTCGACCGCCGTATATTCTCCCCAGTGTCGAGAAGGGCGTGTGTACGAGTACGAGGATGATTGTCATCGTGATCATGACTACGAGTATGATCGCCATCGTCGACGAGGTACAGCGGACAGAAGTCTGCAGATCGAAATCAGGAGCATCCATGATGACTATGATCGAAGAAGCCATCGTCGCCCAACTCATCATCGGCGAAGACATGACAGCCAAGAAAGTTTCGAAAGCATGCCCAGCACACGTTCATCGACACGAAAATACAAGCCCGCTCCGACGACATACACCGCCCACGAGTATTATGAACCTCATGACTCTGGGTACGGATCGTATGGATCTCGAGCTTCCAATGGGTATGGAGGAGCAAAGACCGAACCCTACACCTACTCACCCCTACCGCGCACAGTGAACATCAAACCCCCTTCGGCGACATCTTATGGCGTTTATCAGACCGGATTTGGGGTCGGGGGAGTTGACATTGTCTCTCGGGTTCCAATGTACTCGTATCCCCCCCGAAGACATTGAAACCCGATCGACAAACTTTATTTTCACTCAGAGCCAAGGCGTTTTCCATTCAAAGCAAGGCAAGGCAAAGCCAGGACTTTGCATTTGATCCAGTCATGGAGTATGATTTCTATTTTCACTGGGTTGAAAGGCAGGCCAGATCATACGTTATGTGCTTGTTCCAGTCAAGAGATCGAGCCCAGCGTTACAATACAATGCCGGAAGGCAAAGCCAGGGAGTGTGCTAAACCGGGACTACTCTCCAAATTTTTTCACAGCGATGTTAATTTTGGTTTACTGGAGGCGGCCGCTTGTTGTCGGACACTTTGATGCCAATGCCTTTTGATGTATGATGACACAGGTAGTTTTCACCAAACTTGAATTCGAGAGATTATGACAATTGACGATGATGACTGATGGAATATCAGAGACAGGTAAAGGCCCAAGCTGGTTCATGGTCAAGCTTGCGCAAAGCAATGAAGTCAAAGTTGGAGCGGAATACGAGAGAAGATGGAGGATTGGTCGAGGGTTACCACCCCGGGGCTACAGCCAGTACGATTACCACATGCCTTTGAATTTGAGGGGAGGTACTCGTCTGTGCATCGTGTATGTATACTTGTTGAGCCTGCAATTGACACCATTCACCATATCACTCTGTGATGACAGCCCGTCTTCGAGTTTCCTATTGATGCTCATTGACTGAGAGAGGGTGAGCGGCCAATGCTCGCCATCTCATTGCCTTCTGTCCCCACCGGAGGTAGTAAGGTAGAAGTTCTTCTCTCTTTGCTCTACCACTATCTTGTCCTCTCACCCTTGCTTGTTCTTTCCCTGCGCTGTACCTGCTACCTATTTATACGCTACAGCCTTAACCTCTGATACATCCTCGCAAGACGCAAGAAACTTAGTCTCTGACGACCTGACTTTCCTCCCATACCTGCGCCTGGGAGGGTAAGTGTTGGCTCCCCGCACGGGCGAGGGGACAAGCTAGTCAGCGTATCTGCGTATCGTCATGAGTGGTGTGAATAAGATGCACAGAAACAGGGCGTGAGGCTGAAACGCATCCAACTGACGGGCCCGCAAGCCTTTCACTTCTCTCCTGCGCTTTTCAGTGTCGTGCTGGCAGAAACCGGTGAAGCCAGACTATAGACTAGACCAGATGTGATGCTTAGAAGCCTTACAGCCTCACACTCTCGCATGGTAATTGTTTACTCGGTGACCAGGCATTGAAAGGAGGTAGGTCATTCCCACATGGCATGGGAAAGAAAGAGAGTTTGGATCACGATGGGGTCGTGTCCCTCGGCCAAAAGGCAAAGGAGGCAAGGAGGATTGGAAAGACATGTTGCATCTATCGGATGGTATATTGGTACGAGTAGTGATGGTATTGATGAGATGGCTCGGCTTCGAAAAGGCTACCGAAAACTATCACTATCAACATCAATACCCGCCATGGCATTTGATCACTCGATACCCGACGATTGTGAATTTAGGTGCCAGTGAGGCTGGAATTTTCAACGTCAATATCGATGAAGATGTCGAGGTCGATACTCAAACTCCCGGTGGTCCATTCTCCATTTCTCCATCTGCCGCGAAGTTCGGAATATAAAATAACATTAGCAAAGCAACATGCCCGTCACCTTGACACCTCTCTCTCTCTCTAGGTCTGGCATGTTGTGTTGTTCGTTGGCTTGTTCGTTCACCCGCTGCAATTTGTTCGAAAGCTTACCTTCATTATCTTCGCATAGCTCTGGCAGCACCATGTAGTGGTCGATTTGATCTGTTTCAATCTAGGAAAGTACTGAAATCCGACGGACGCGCGAACACGGTCATGAAGATGTCAGATGTTACTGCCTAGCAGAACTTCTTAACTTTCTCCTCGACAGTTTCATCTCCCTGAGTCGTGCTGGCAATGCTGTCATCATCCTTCCAGACCTTCTCGCCATTCTCGTTGAAGACCTTTGTCTTGACGCTCTTCCGGGCCTTCTCGATCTTGATCATCTTCTCTTGGTTCTCTTTCTCAAAGACAGCTGACCAGTCGACTTTCTTACCATTGACGACATCAGCTTCGGGAACCCATTCGGAGCTCTTTCCAAGTCTTCCAATGTCACCGAGTTTTGCAACTCCATGCCCGACAGAACGGATTCCTACACCGACACTAGAGACCACGAAGGCGACCGTGCGGAAGGGTGCCTTTGCCACTCGGACGCGTTTGCTTTCTTTGACTTTGACCATTGGCATGCGCGGGAGGGCCTTGCGGTCACCGGGTTGTAATTTCAGGACCCAGTCCCATGTATACTGTGAAGCAGGACCGCGGTATCGGAAGTAGAAATTGGCCTGTTGATGGTAATGGGAGGTCAGCCTGATCCACATTGTTGGCCAGGGGATTCCAGGTTCGACATATCCGACGCTGAAAGGGCACCTAGTGAACGTCAAACGGATGGATGGTGAACTTACAGTGCCGGTTCTATCTGCAACAGTCCATCGCAACCGTTGTCCGGGGCCCACAACAGGTTTACTGGTGACAAGAGCGACGAACTGAATCTTTGCATCTTTTGGACGATTTCTGCTTTCATTGATGGCGCAATACTCGTAGTCTGGAAATGCCTTGTCATCGATGGCCAGCATCTCGCTCTCTGGGATTAGATGAAGAGTTTCTTGAACGGTCAAGACAGTGACTGTAACCGAGTTAGCTCCACCGTTGTCATTCAAAGAACAAAATAAGCATTTCATACAAAGCCATCGGTATACTTTCTCAGCCACCTCTTTTACAGTCAGATTGGAGACGCACAATTCAAGATGATTTGTGCCCCACTTGTCCTTATCCGCAGGCGGAGTTCCACTCTCGAGATAGAGATTCACACTTGCAAAGTTAGAGCCATGTTTGATCGCGCCTTGACGGATATGAGTTGCGGTACGAATCTTATCGTTCGCCATCGAGTCGGTGACATTATCGCTGATGATGGCGACGCTATCACCAAAGTGGCCGGCACGAAGGTCCGCAGTGAGTATTTCAGCAGCCGTAAGGGATGAATCGGTGGTGACCGGCAAGTCCTCTCCAGGGTGGAAGACAAGAACACAGAGAGGAATCATGTCCCGCAAGTAACGCGCATGAGGAACACCAGTGGTCGGGTCATTGAGATAAAGGACGGGGGCCCTTGGAAGGCCAGGATTGGTGGACTGCTTGGATTTCTTTCCCATCTTGACTCTTCAATCTGATTGATGTAGACGATATCGATTCGAGGGATGCCAAAGGGTCGAAAGCGATAATAAGGCTATAGATGGAGGGACGAAGGAAGGTCTGATCAAGGGCAGAGGTACGAAATGGGACGGTATGGATGAAATGGAATGTAGAGGTCTCACTAGCAGGTGAAGGCTTGAATCGATCATCCGCACTGGTCATTCACAGGCACGAACAAAACCATACCTGAAAGATAAAGGGTTGGATAACACGAACCAAAAGAATCAAACCCCGGTGCTTTGCGTATTTCACGTTGACTAACAATGGAGGGGTAATGCGATGGAAGTGGGCGGAACATTGGCCAGGCAAGGCTGAATTGTTCTCCATTCGCCTTTTTGCCCTATCTTTTTGTTTTGGGGCGCCTGTCTGCTCGTCTGTTAGTGGTCAAGATTCGTTTGCTACTGCACTGGACCGCATAGCTCAAGACCGTCAGGTTAGGCTGTCTCAAGGCGGAAATGCCCATGCTCATGGTCCAAGAGTTTGCCAATATGCATGATGACCTCAGGTCCATCAGCCCCCACTTGAGATTTCCTCCCCTCTCTCCACGATGCGAATCAGGGATCCCTCAGATAGTAGAGCAAAGGTAGCTTCGGAAAAAGGCGCTGGTTCTCTGGTTTCCGCCCACATCGTGCTGCAACCTCTTTGGTCTAGACTTATCTTTCCCACCGTGATGCTCGTTGATTCGTCATTTGTCCCACCACACGCGGGCCATATTCGTGGTCATGCAGGTTCAAGGCGACGACTCGCAGGGACGCCCAGCGCCGACAAATCCAGGCATCGTGGCCTTGGACTCAACCCCCCCGTTTTCCTTGCAACAACTGGTAGAGGCAAATTCGTTACAGACTCGGTAGCGTCTCGAAATGAATCCCACAACTCTCGGGGGTTGCTCCTAGTCAAAAGGTATCGGGCGTAGTGCGCCCGATGTCCCCATGCGTTTTCGCATCTCTTCTCCGGCTGCAACTGTACTTGGAACCTTGATGCCACAGCAATCGCCCCAATAGTCAGGTTCATGTCCATATTCCTTCACATGCTGCATCCTTTCAGCCTGAAGCCGAATCGTTTCGGGGTCCAGTTGACCCATGTCTTCAGCGCCGGGAATCAAGCCTCCAAATAGAAAGTGTTGCATAATCGGGAGTTTGCCTAGCACTTCCTTGACGAACATCTTTCTCATGCCATCCTCCACCTTCTGCCAATTCTTTGCACCCGAAATATCGTCCAGCATCGGGCTGTGCCAGCGGAGTCCTTTGACGGTTTTGACACTATCCACCCATCGGACTTGATTGAGGTAGATGAATTTGTCGCCTTCTTCATCCAAAATGACATTGTTGTGAATGGATTTGGGAGTAATGTAGGGATGCCCGATGAGTTGGCTTGCGCCAAACAAGAATGGTAGGAATTGATAGTCATCAAGACCCCAAACGCCGTGACTACCTGCTGGCTCCAGATAGTACGTGCTCTGAATCTTACGCATGAGATTGAGATATCGAGTGAAAGTGTGCAGGACAATCGACGGAAAATCATCTCGATGGATCTCGTTTAGTTGATGCAGGCACAGCAACCACATCAAGAAGTTCAACTCATGACCAGAGCCGTAGTCGAGTCGTTCCTCCGATCCAAATGAGTTGATTAGATATACCGAGATCTCCTGTATCGCAGCCTCATTTTGTAGACCAAGCACTTCTTTGTGAATCCGCTCAGCATCACGTACAACAGCCTTGTAGAAACTGCGGAAGACCGGGTTGCCAAATCTCGACCCCGTGTCCAGTGGAGGATATTGCTGAACGCGCTTTTCGAGGATGTCCAGGACTGCATCAAGCCTCTGGATTCCGGCCGACAAACGATGGGGATCGATTGAAGAAATGGGTTCCCCTCGGACGCAATCTGCCAGCGTGAAAATCCATGCTTGAATCAAGGTGTGGGTGGGAGAGGCAAGGAATTTCTCGTGGTCCGACGGTGACAGGATACATTTGACGGGAGTCGTGAATTTGACAGAGTCCAGCGGTGGAGGAGACGGTAATGGAGGTGTTTCGGGAGGAGGCTCTGACGACCCGGGAGGATTTGAAGGTTTTCTGTGAGATCGAGGGATCAATTTTGGGATGGCATCGGATTTGCTGCTTTTCGGCAAGGAGGGAGATAGCCTAGCAGTGACCGTATTCGCAGGAGCTTTCTCAGAAGAAGTCATGGTGGAAAACACGGGACTCGATGAGTGTACCAGGTTATCGCTTTCCGAATTTTGTCTCGAGGTGCTCGACAATATGCCCTGTGTCGCCGATAAAAGGAAATTCTATTCCGAAGGATTCCGCAGGTACATTGGCTCTAGCTGGTCTCTGGGTCTGGGAAAGTATCGAGATCTCATCTTTCCCCCATATTGTCGGGTGAAGACGCCTGATAGGCTGGGAGGTCCCCATCTAAGCAAAGAGAAAACTAGAGCACAGAGTACTCTGTATCAGAGCTCTTCCTTCCTCTCCTCGATGTATCACGCAATTCTTAGGGTTGATGAAACAATATATGCGCCTGAGCGCCTCTTTCCTATCTAGCCAGCGCCTCCTATTCCACATACCTATGACTGCCCGACTCCAAGAACTTGACCGCTGACGCCATTGCGCTCTTCCTCGACTCGAGTTCTCGCTCGGAGTGCGAATCTCCAATCACCTACCCTTGTCGATCGCCGAAACTTTCCAAAGATCTCAATGGTGATCAAGCCCACTGACTTTTGAGGATCGCCAAAACGGACCCGATCGAAAGATTGAACAAAAATCCTTCCAGGGACGACTAGAAACTCATAGCGCAAGTGGCAGCTGACCTTATCTGGCACCAGGCAGGGCAGGCTATTGTTGCCATGGCTCCCCACGATCTCGAACACGACCAGGCTCAAGATGCAGAATCCTCTTCTTCTGAATCTCAATCTGAATCTGAAACTCCCGAATCCTCACCCAAAAAGCCTCCCCGTAACTTATTCCGTCGGGAATCTAGCATTCAGTTTTCGGAAGGCACCAAAACACAATCTCAGTCCCCCATGTCTAACTTTCACCGAACCACGGGCGATTCGGATGAGATCACTCCCATTAGGAGTGCGGATAATTACACCGGTCGTCGATACAATACTGGAGAAAACTCATCCCCGTCATCGAGTCGATCTGATGCAGCTCATGAAGAGGAGGGGGGGAGGGAGCGGGAAGATGGTGGGAAGAAACAGCCTAGGTCTCCATGGTTCAAGAAAATGGTAGAGAAATACGGCGCAGTCTCGTTGGAAAACAAAGGCTCTGTGGCACGAGATCATCTCGCATTAGAGAGAACATTTCTGGCCTGGCTTCGAACCAGTCTAGCATTCGCCAGCATTGGAATTGCCATCACACAGTTGTTCCGACTGAACACTACCATTGCCAGTCAATCGGAGGTTTCGATGTCTAGGATCTCGCTGGCAGGAGATCAAATACCGTTCTCCCCGTTAATCGGACAATCTGTTCCAGCGGAACTGGTGCCATATCTACAACAACTCCTCGCATCATCCACACCACCCCCGATACCAACCTTCGGACCGACACTTCTCGATCAGCTCCTTCTCCTCCCACCGCCAAATTCCAAGAGCTTGCAACTCTCGAAGTGGGACGATCTCAGCGCGATGGCCTTTGACGAACACGCCGCGGCGAGACTGCGGCACGTGGGCAAACCCCTCGGTGCCACCTTCCTAGGCATCTCCATCATCATCCTGTTCATCGGTTTCCACCGTTACTTCGAGGCCCAGCACTGGATCATGCGAGGGAAGTTCCCAGCAAGCCGTGGTAGTATCTTTATCACGGGATTCATCGCAGGCTCGCTCATCATCGCAAGCCTGGCTGTCGTGCTGGCGATTTCCCCTACGAGTTATGAAAAGAAAAAGTGATGAGTATATGGCCATCCTGTGGGATGGACTGGTACACACACAATTGAGTTTGCGTGGTAATACGGAATCTGCAAAATTCCTCTTCGTGTCTGGCATATTGAACATAGTGTTCTTGCATTTGACCGCACATGGGGACGGACGGGATTACTTTTGATCCTTGGGCATGACACCTCGTGGTCTGAAATTGAGCCGAGTCCGTTTCAGAGAGCCAGCCTCTATCTTGATCTCGCTCCGCAGAAGTCTAGGCGATACCCTCGGTTCAAAAGGAGGCGGAATTATATTCACGTCACCAAAAGTTACATCCTGCCAATGACACTGGCAGAGGAAACCAATGGCATCGGGTCAGCTTTATCCCATTCGGCCAGGGAGCACCTGATCCCTTGTATTATATTGTGTATGCTCGAGAAGCGAACGAATCTGAAGTACATTACCACCGAGATTCATGACCGTCGAGAGATTGTTTCATTTCGTCGTTTTCGCGCCAGGTGTGCTCACTTATCTTTGCTGGGGATATGGGTTAGTTTCGCGTGCTACACCTCACCCGGCGCTTTTCCAGTATAAATGTTCCCCCAGAGACAGGACACCCGGCACCTGAGCATGCCTATAGCGTCGTATGTGTTATATTGTACCGTACTTTGACCGAAGTCTGCAGTAGTCGTGGCAGACGACTGGTCACGCTGCGTGCGATGGTGTTAGGAGTTCCTGAACTGGATCGTCCGACTGCCCACTCCCTATCGCGTTGAATGCCCGTTGGATACGCTATGACAACGGGCCAGGACCAGATGAGACCGTGCGACATGAGCATGTCGACTCAGATATTGGCATACCTAAGGAGAAACTGAAGGCCAATCCTTGGATCGCGTAAAAAATATATGAATAATTTGGAGTCCTTAGGAAGTTCTGTGGGGGAAACGGGGCCAAAAAGGATCATGCTACATGCAGTACTTCGTTATCTAAGTCAAAATCTCGACGAACCGGTGCTCCCGGAGCCTGCTCCATATTCCCTTATTATTCCTCTGGCATGGCAACTTACTCTGCAGAAGACTTCTGGCTCGCACGTGCGGACTCTCTCGACCGGTTGAAAATGGAGGAGGTGTTATGTAATACAGCATGAGCTTCGCGAGTTGTTAAATCTCGATGTTGTGGCCCGGAAGATTTGTCCATGCAGGTCACTCGACACGAGTGTGCCTTGCAGCCACCCTCCTTTTTCCTATTCAAGCATCATGGGTTGAGTCAGCTTTGCTGCAGAAAGCCGAAATGCATGCATTTTGATCAGATTGCAGGAGGTCGAAAGATGAAACTAGCCCGTGGCGACCGATTTCCCGATCCAAGGCGGTAAAGGTGGTCTTGTGTAGTGTGGTGCCAAGTCCGTCTTGTGGTTGGTGTTTAGTCGATAAACGAACAGGGGCGAAGATTCCCAAATTTAGGGGATTCACCCAATTAGGGCGATTAGTCCAAAGTTTGAGCCACTGTCCGATGTCCGCGTCGCCAGTTTTCGTGTTTGAAGGCACGCCGTCTTGTTCAGAGACCCCCAACAAGTTCCAGAATGAAAGCCACATTAACCCGTGGTGGCCTCAGAACTCGTAATTCGTTTCCATGGCTTACGGGGAATTTTCATGGCTGAAATGTTCGGTTTCTATTTCATCTGGGCAAAGGACGTAAAGCTGAGGCGTACAAAATAGAGTTGGAGGATAGAGCATCAAAGCAAAAAGGTCAGCCCGTGGTCATCACTCCCTCTGCTTGGGATTTGAGTGAAGTTGAAGGTTGTACGGTGTACTGTGATAATGCCAGGTGTGTGGTCAAAGTGGTCGCGTGGAGCGAAAGACAATCGCCCAGTTCGCAATCAATGGATGACAGTTATGATGCTATCGACAGCAGAAAAGAATGATCCGTGAGCTTTGATAAGGGATGTCTAGCCTTCGCTGATCCATTGCTGCGATGCTTGCGACAGCATATTTCGGTCTTTGCCAACATGATGCAAACTTCCAGCCAAAAAAAGAGAGGTCATGTTTTTTGTGAATGCATGCTCACGGTATGTGTGTACCCTTCACTGGATCTTGCATATCAAGAACAGCAATAATTGAAGGTCGTAACAACCAATGACCGCAGTCAATTTGAACTCAGCCCATGTTCGCATGTCACCTTCAACGTGACTGTCGGAGATCAGTTGCCTGATAGCTCCAGAGCCCAAATGCAACCGTTGTGCGGGTCAAGAGTGGTTAATAAGGAAAGATCACCGATAAAAAATTTGGATGAAGATGTTCACCATTCAAGAGAAGAACATCACCAAATCAGAGAAACCCCAAGAAAATGGGTTGTAACTACTTGCCGTCTGATTAACAATGGTACTGCTGTGAGGCGCCGCCGCCGTGTGGCCTTGGGCAGAGCGCTTCCATTTGGAAACCGAACCGCCAGAGTAGGATTGCATTGTACTTCAAGAAGCAGATCTGGTCCCGATAGCGAGTAACGAGCACTCAACCTTGTTCTTGCAATGGGAAATTGTTGTCCAGGGATCGAATTACCCTGCATTGCGATTCGGAGACGCTGGTTGCGTGGCATCTATAACAATTCCTTTCTCGTTTGGGATCTGGAGGTGTTCGTTGGCTCTTGAATTAGCTGATTAGCTGCGTGGCCACCTCCACAATCATCGAGTCCAGTGCAGGTCAATTGAGACACTCTCGCTTGTTATCGTTGGAAGAGTGAGCATCGCACATGTGGCTCATTGGCCGTTGTCGTCGGAGGAGGTCAGGGCCAATGACGGGGGCTGGGGACATTGTTTAGCTGACGATCCACGGTGGAGTGCAATTTCTTTGTTGTGAAGCGCGGACCTCTGAGGAGCAGGGGAAAGAATGGGCAGGCCCGCAGGGGCCAGCCGCAGCTTTCTAAATTCGCAGGCTTTACCTGTTCCTGATTCCTTGATACCTTTAGCTCCTTCAGAGACGAACAAAGCCACCGTCCCCCGAAGTCCACGGTGACACCGCCAAACCAAATGCCCAGGCTCCGCCCAGACTTCTCCTGCTCCCTTTCTTCACCCCCCCCATCACAATTTACCATACTCACTGTGATCTATCTCGAACTCATCGCTGTCAATTGATTCACAATCTGTCTCTCCTCCCTCCTCATTCTCAGTTGGCCGACGTTCCTTACCAGAGAGACTTGTCTCTCGTTCACTCCTTTACAGAAACAACCAAATCACCTACGCCAACTTCCTCCCTTTTCTCGCCCTCGGGCTCGAGCCTCGACACCAGCATCCCAGAACGGATCATATGAGTCTTCGGCTTTGTACGTTCATCTGACCTTGCGAACAGCCTCGATTTCCTTACTTTCCTTTCTCGTCTTCTGCGAACATTGGAAGAAAGAAAAAAACAAAGCGACTGACTTACACACGAATCATCATTCAGATTCGGAGCTTCTTGTCTCTGCCAGTCCCACATAAGCTACACTCGTTCAATACCTATCCGCCAGTCTTTGAGAGACTGTCGTGTTCAATCGTTTCTCGAAGCCAGTCGAGATGAAGATCAGTCCGATTGCCTTGACGGCAGCCTCTGCCTCCGTGGCATTGGCTCAACCACATATCCACGCCCATCGACACTTGCACGAACACAAGCAACGTGATGTCACAATGACCAGTTGGGCTCCAGGTCCTACTGCCTATGTTTACGTTCTCAATGGCAAGGAAATCAGCGCCGAGGAAGTGTGTGAAGGTCTCAAGAGCAACGAATTGAAATTTGTGGATGGACAGGATCCTGGTGTCTGTTCGACCACTTCCACCAGCATAGCTCCCGCGACCACCAGCGAACCCTCTTCAACCTGGACTCCTGAGTCGACCACGACAACCTCTTCGGCTGCAGAATCATTGTCCCAGCCGGCCGAATTCTACCAGGCCCCAGCTTCGTCCTCTTGGTCTAGCCCAAGCGAGTCTGCCAGCTCCAGCTGGGCTTCCCCTCAATCTTCTGCCTCCTCCGTCTCTTCTGGTGGCACCGGTCTCGATGCTCCTTTCCCTGATGGCGAGCTTTCTTGCAGTGAATTTCCCTCTGATTATGGTGCCATTCCACTTGATTACCTCGGAATGGCTGGTTGGTCGGGCTTGCAATCAGTCACCATTGCCGGTGGCGCCGTCACTCACATCGTGACTGGTATTTCTGGCGATTCCTGCGAGGACGGAATGATGTGTTCCTATGCTTGCCCTCCAGGTTACCAAAAATCTCAATGGCCTTCGACTCAAGGTTCCACGGGTCAATCCGTCGGCGGCTTGTCCTGCAGCGGTGGAAAACTCCATTTGACAAATCCTGACCTTTCCACTAGTCTTTGCATCCCTGGCGTTGGTGGTGTTCAAGCAAACAACAAGGCGAGCGGTGTCGTTGCCATCTGCCGTACCGACTACCCTGGTACGGAATCCGAAACTATTCCCGTTGAACTTCAACCCGGTGAGACGGAGGATTTGACTGTTCCTGACGCCGCCACATATTATACATGGCAAGGCCAATCAACATCTGCTCAATACTATCTCAACCCTGTTGGATATCCCGCTTCGAAAGCTTGCCAGTGGGGTACTCCTGGACAACCCTTGGGCAACTACGCTCCTATCAACTTCGGTGTTGGAGCCAAGGATGGTATTACATGGCTCTCAATTTTCCAAAACCAACCTACCACCTTTGCTCAATATGAAGGTACTGTCGAGCTGACTGGAAATCTGTCCGGAACTTGCAAGTACTCAAATGGACAATATTGCGGCGTCACTGGATGCAACTCGCAAGGATGCACTGTAAGTTTTCCTCCCAGACTATTGTGAATTCAAGCTAAGATCAATATAGGTCTCTGTCATCTCTGGCACGGCCACCTACGTTATCTCTGACTAGGCGTCTTGCCCGTCAAACAACTGTACATGACACGATCCCATTGCTTTCGAATTGCATATTACGCCGGCGTTGACGTCAGGTTTCCATAAATATTTTTTCCCTTATCTGTTTGCGAGCATGACCAGGCCCTTTTCGCCTTTCACCCCAGTCGACGATTTTTAGGTGGACATCTGATACACGACTGAAGATATGCGTTAAAGAAGCGGCGGATTGAATACGACTCAGGAACGGACTGAGATTCATACCCCAACTTGATTCAATCGAAACAATATGATCTTCAGTTAACCTCGACAAGATATCCTTGCCCACGAGTCAAAATTGTATGTGACATCAGTGACATCGAAGGACGTCTGATTCTGTTGGGGGGGGAGGGCGCTCTTAATGTGTGAACTTAGGAATTGAGAGATATTGATGCTCGTTGGATATGACTGGAATTGGATACCGAGAATGGCTCTTGTCATTGACACCTTTCCAACCGATTCAGCAGCTGACAATATGTGAGTATCGATATCTCCTCCCGACCATTGATCAGCCGACATCAACTCTTGCACGACATGTTTCAGGACAACAAGCTTTCCTTTCTTAACTTGTATATTATATCGGAAGTCAATGACCTTGGCTTTGGCGTGGGTCGCGGAGGGATAACGAACCAGAGATTTGGAAAACCTTGTTTTTGTTCCTCATGCAGTGACAAGAGAAAGAGCAAAAGCAAAGGGTCAAAGCTTAAAGGGGCTTTTGGCTGTCCTGGTCGATGGCGGTCGGGGGTACTGCTTTTCCTATGTTTAGCTGGCTAGTTTATTATGCTGCTCTCTTTGCTGTAGTTTCCTCATCATAACCACTGACAAAACGAAAAAAGAATCGTGCTTTTTTCTTAGTCCCTTTCTTTTTTGGTGTATGAGCATCATCAATGTCGGTTCAAAGGGGGGGGTTTGGTTGGGTATAGAACTTCATATCTCTGTTACCATCCCTGGCATACGCTACTGATTTGGAGTCGCTGCATTGTATTCAGGGGAGTATCGAGAACATCACCATTTCAATCTCCACCCCTTTACCCACTACCGTCGATCCCAGTCACGTCAAGTCCTCCTGCACTAGCCTTTGCCGTCAATCTCCACTCCCTCGCAGATAATTATAGTAGTTCAGCATGTTTCCAACACAACAGTCCACTCACGCTCACGACACTCGACCTCATGTTCCTTCTCTGTTCTCGGCCCGCACGCACCGGTGCCCACGCCCGCGACGTCCCCGTCGATCCGCCACAGCGCCCCAGCTCGAGGAGAGACCAAGTCACACGGGTGCTTTGCATTCTCGAGCATTGAGGCGTCGTAAAACTGCGTCGCAAATTGGAAATGTGGTTTGTCGGTCTCCTCGGGCCCAGGCATGTACGTGGCGCAGAGGGAGGGAATTTGTCCTCTCCTCTCGTCTGCTCTTAGTTTTCCTCCTTTATTCGTACCGTCTCCTTTACCCCCGGACGAAGAAACGCGGCACCATCGAACGTCGCATCTATTCCCGTTCTCCTGCGGCACTTCGTAGTTAGTCATCATGTCTGCGATGGACATGTCCCAGATCCCCGCGGCTTGCGAGGCGCATTTGTCGCTGTAGCTTTCGCCCGGACCTCGTCCGAACCAGGCTACGTGGTCGTAGAACGGGGATAGTTGAACGTGATGCCCTACGCGCGGGAGGGTGAGTGGATGGGCATCACCGTGAGGTAGAAGGTGGATATGGATTTGGAGGCGGAGATGAGATGATGAGGATGTTGCGGTGGAAACAGTGTATGTTGTCTCGACGTCAAGAGACCAAGCAAGGCTCGGGGGCGCGAGCGCGTGGTGGGCTTTCAACTTCACTGAGCCATTTCCGGAAGGTGTTCTGGGTCCTGAAATTTCTGACGCACCTCCTTCCTCTACGACAAAGGACCTGAGTCGACTGGTCATCATGTGCAGGCCGTACCGTTTCCACTCGCCAGTCTGCCATGCTGCATCGTTGTCCGTTGGCGCACGCCAGAAATTGAGAGCTAGCAAGGGAGAGTCGTCTTCGGCTGTGAGTAAGTCGGTGTCCTTGTATTTCCAAGAGGAAATCTGTCCACGGACGCGGTCAAATGTGATTGAGCCTGTTGAGCTGACGATCTTGTACACGAGGGCTGTTGCGGAGAGATTGACCTGTTGAGGTGCGGAAATTGTTAGCGTCGTCAACGAGGGTTCATGAAGAATGCTAGTTAATGACTTTGAGGGAGGCATGTTGAGCTGATCCTGACTCCATGCCATGACATGGCCGGCTTTTGCCCACGGCTTGTCTTCTTTCTGGCGGAATGTCACGGTCAGCCAGCATTCGTGTGAGCTATAGATGTCGAGTACATCCTTCGGCAGATGGATTTTGTCTTCTGTGCCTGCCTCAATTGGAGGGAGAGGTAGTACTCCCGAAGCGATTCTTTGAGTCCTGAGAGTCCCGTTAGTGTCGTCTTAAAGGTGAAATTACAAAAGGGCCCGCGGACGAACTCATTGCGGAAGATCTCGACTCGATACTCAGCAACAACATGCTTCAAATCAACGAAGTCATATCCATTGAACACGACCAATTTTGAACCGCTTTCATCAACCCAAGCCTTGATCGGCTCAAATGCCTTTTTCAATTCCACCAGGCCTGGCGTAGGCGTATGGTCGCTGAAGCAAAGTCCATCCATAACAAAAGTCCCGTCGTTCGGGACATCCCCAAAATCTCCTCCATAGGCGTAGTACGATTTACCATTTCCATCTTCTTTCCATATTCCATGATTAGCCCATTCCCAAATAAAGCCGCCTTGGAGTCTCCTGTGCGAGCGGAATGCAACTCGATAAGTTTCAAGTAGCCCAGGTCCATTGCCCATGGCGTGAGCGTATTCGCACAGGATAATGGGCTTGGTGAAATCGTCTCCTCCAGACTCAGCTTCTTTGATCAAATCATCAGGAGATGTGTACATGTGGGATATCATGTCGGTCGAATGAGCTTGCCAGTCTGGTTCATAGTGGACGAGACGACCGGGGTCACGTTTCTTTGCCCATTTAGACATAGCGATGTGATTCCGGCCGTAGAATGCTTCGTTTCCAAGTGACCAGATGATGACGCTGGGATGGTTCTTGTCCCGTTCTACGAGTTGTTGCATGCGGTCGACGTAAGCAGCTTCCCACGCCTCATTATCAGACGTAAAGTCAGCCGCGTCTTTGGATGTTTTCCTCACCTTCTCTTCGAATGCGGCAGCGAAGCCGTGACATTCGAGGTCCGCTTCATCGATGACCCAGAAACCAAGTTCGTCACAGAGGCCTGTCAGGGCAGGGTGTGAAGGATAGTGTGAGCAGCGTATTGCGTTGACGTTGTGGCTTTTCATGAGCAAGAGGTCATTCCGGATAAATTCTACAGGTACAGCACGGCCCCAATGCGGATGATGGTCGTGGCGATTAGCGCCTTGAAGAAATATGGCTTTTCCGTTGACACAGATGTTGCCTTGCTTCAATTCGACACAGCGGAAGCCGACGCGTTGGTGGATTCTTTGAGCGAGAGGGGTGGTGGTGGGCTGGGTTGAGAAGAGGCTGATTTCTAGATTGTAGAGATATGGGGTCTCTGCAGTCCATTTGCGGGGATTCGGAACGTGTATCGAGTGTGAGAACGTGCGGGTTGGCGGCGAGACTGCAATTAACTCGTCCGCGCAGACTGTTATGTTCATGTCATCCTTCAAGCCGACCGAGATCAAACAATCATCGTCTAATTTCAGGTCGAGCTCAAGTATTAACTCGGCATCTTTGTATTCGTTGTCAAGTTCTGTTTTGATAAAGAAATCATCGATTCGAGAACGGCCAGGAAATGCTAGGAGATGCACATCCCGAAAGATCCCTATGTGGAGTAAGATTTGTCGAAATCATTCAATTCAGAACAGGTACACACCAGAAAGCCACCACTGATCCTGGTCCTCAATATAACTTCCTGAGCACCATTGAAGAACCTGGACCGTCAGATAGTTCGGTCTGTCTCGGAGTGCACATCCTGTAATATCAAATTCTGCGGGATTTCTGCTCCCTTGAGAATAGCCGACTTGTGTTCCATTGAGCCACACATAGAAAGCACTGTCAACGCCATCGAATCGTAGTCTGATCTGGCACCATTTGTCCCAGTGGGGAGGAACATCAAAATCCCGACAGTATGTGCCGGTGGGATTTTCTGTGGGCGAGTAAGGTGGACAAACAGGGAAAGGATAGACAATATTAGTGTACTGTGGTCGGCCATAACCTTGCAGCTGCCAGTGATGTGGGACTGTGATAGATTTCCACTCGTCACCCAGTCGTCCAACTGATGACCTAGAACTGCAGGTTCTCCCGTCAGGGGCTTCTTGAGGGGACGGAGAGTAGTTAAAGATCCAAGATTCATTCAAAGACAAGGCAGTATTCGGTATATAATATGATCGAGAGCGAAGACGATCTCGCTGGAAGATCTTCTGATTGCACCAGTCTGGAAGTTCTGCCGTGCTGCCTTGAAAGGACACCTCATTCGCTCTCTCATTTGGAAACATCTCCCTAGTGTCATTTGTCAATTGCATTGTTGTGAGTGTGAACTCTCAGTAATTCCAAGAGGTTAAGTGCTGTGCTAGCAATCTTTGCTACGATACAATGCACCCGACGACGATGGAGAGAGTAAGTTTGGAAACGGGTTAATGCAACTTGATTGATTGATTGATTGATTGATTGATTATTCCTACACCCGTGCAGGCCGCTTGGCCTATTGGGACCTAAGCGCTACCATAGCATTTTCCTTGACGATATCCCCATACCCATTTCCTGTGTAACCCTTGACATTGTATCCCAGAGACATTATTCCCACGGCTTGTGGTCCCCAGCTTTGAACTGTAGTAGAATAACTGTGACCCGAACGCTTTCGGCGCTTGTCCCATGGCGACTATCTTCGTGGGCGATTCCTCGAGTGTTGGCCTTCATAATATCGGTGGACCAGCGAGCCGCAGGCCACCGCTATGCCGGTAGCCCTGCCAAACGCCCTCGTGATCACTTTGTCCATTCCACCTCTTTTGAGCTCTCTTGACTTCGTTGTGCTGTCGTGCTTGTCGTCGTGTTGGTGGTGCAGGACGCGCGCAACCCCTGAGCTGCCAGCACGTCCCCGTCCGCCGTTGGATTCGTCTTGGTTTCCCCATCGAAACAGGTACTTACACCGGACACCGCGAGAAGGTGCGAATCCATCGTCCCACTGGCTAGTAGCCAGCGCCCTGCGTGCTCGCAGAGGGCTATGCAACTTGAAGGTGCGGGGCCGGCCGACAAGGCTGAATCGGCAAACTTTCCAAAGTTGCCACGACAAGGCTGGCCCCTGAGCCCCTTGCGAGCTACGTGCTGATGGGCTCCTGTGCCTGAGGAAAGGCTAAGACCATCTCTCACCGGAATGTAAATTATAAAAGAAAACTCTGTCGACCGTCGAAAGCACGAAGCTGATTGTCTATGAACGAGGACATTGAGACGATAACTCCGTTCAGTTGATGAGTTGCACTGTCAAAACTTCGGGCACTCGCACAACCATCCCACGAAGTCGGATTAACAGACTGGAGACATGGCATTCTAAAGCTATGGCAAAAAGTCTCAGGAGTGAACTAGACACCTCTGTTGGACCATCCCCTTATTCCCAGGGTGCGTTTGTGGACTCCGCTTCCCAATTAGTTGAAAATGGAAAGCTCGGATCACATGGACAATATCGCCGCTTTCCATGACGATGAAAATGCTAAGCCTCGACGGCGAGGGTTTCTCCAGAATCCTGAAACCAAAATGCAACCAAGTTGGTTGTCATCGACGTTGATCGGGCCCCCAATTTCGCCATTGAGAAAAAGACTGTCCGTGACCTTTCCCTCCTTTGAGGGGCAGCTCGCTGTGGAAAACTTTTTCGACGCTGAGCAGCCGAGTGTTCTACGGCGTGTGTGACGGCTCATCCTACCAGCAGACTGCCAGACTGCTGCACGCCCTCCTCTTTTGAGACGCTTCTCCGCAGAGACGTCATTGATGCAGTGAAGGCCTCTTCCTAGTGGTTGGGAATCGAGACGCGTGTATCGAAATGATAATTGGTGGATGCTGAGGTATCACGGGACACTAACTCACAAGTGAAGACACGAATTCAACAAGTGGTGTCCGTACAGGACTGGTTATGCCTAGGGTGTGACGTATACGATCTACTTTGTCGATCTTGACTGCTGCCCAGTGCAGCTCGGGGTCTATTGATGCGAAGATGGAATCCAGACCTGAAGACCGATGATCGAAAGATGTGTGATTTTGGAGTTATGGTCGATCATTCGATTCCGAGTCCTGAGCATCAGCACCCCACCCCGTGAGTCGACCGTACAAGGAGACTGATGATCCGATGTCCGTGGATTCGATGCAAGAATCTGAACATTCGAGAGAGTCAAGCGTCTCGTAGCTTAAAGCTCGAGAACTCGGAATGAGGGAACCCCCTGGACCTTGAATCGCCCGCAGTTTCCTATCTCAGCGCCCGGAAGTGGATGTCAAAATGTTCCTTGGGACTATCGAACGATTTACGTTCCTTGTTACCAAGTCGCTAGGAACGGAATCACTCATCCCTTTGAATTTCATTCCGCACTGGCATGCCAGAATCATTGTCGCTTTTTCAGATCAAGTCTCCAAGCCATGGGTTTCACAGATAAAGTCGTTCCAGATTGGAGCCCCGTAGGGTACCGCCGGAATTGGAGTTGTGGCTGAATCTGATCCCCGGAATGCAGCGTATCCAGAAGCAACATCAACCCTGGTGCCCGAAAATTTGGAAACAACGAGTCCACCTTCATCAACTGATGGAGTAATGCTCGAACTGGTATCAGCTGTAACAGTGCCCCAGTATTCCTGGGAGGCCTCTTCCTTTCCAATTTGATCAATCACAGAAGTAACTGTCTTGACGAGTGCAGAAAACATAAGTTGAATTGCTGCGATCGAACTGTCCGGACCTGTGAGATTGATTGTCGTGACCACGTCGTCGTCCTACCTTAGCATTCGTGAAGTGCATCAGCTCGACCGCTCTTCTCCTCAGTTGGGGCTCTCGACACTTCAATGCGGTTAGATAAAAAGGAGGTAAGAAGCACACTTCGAAAGAGAATCCTGCTGCAGTGCCTTGAGGAGTACCTCGCAGCAGACCCCCTTGGCAACTTGCAGAATTCTCTCAAAGTCCGCAATGTAATCATTGAAGCGATCTTGAGAGAGATCGAGACCCGCTTCAAGGAAGATTTTCGTAATCAAGTATTGAGATCTTAAAACTGAAAACGCCGAATGCTTGTCGGAAGCTCCTGCTGATGATGACTGGACATCTTGGAATGTCTCGCGCTATGCATTTAGTTGCAGCCGAGTAGATTCTTGCTCAATTTCCAGAGCGGCAAGTGTATTGGTGCATCTCCGCCAGGCCGGTCTTCCCAAATCACATTTGACGTGCCTTTTTCTGCAAATGAGACAAGCAGTGCGAACTTTGAACCGGCGTCTGCCTTGGGAGGACACATTCTAGGCTATTCAGAAGCTAAAAGTGAGGAGGAAAGGATTGGGAATGGTTGGGTGAAAAAGCAATCAAAACAGTCACTTGGTGTCGGCGGTGCGTGAGGATCAGGTCGCAACCTAACTTTGAACTAGAGGTGGAAGCCAGTTTGTCAAGGCAGAGGCTGACCTGATCTGAGTCGGGCATCGTCCTCTACAAGGCTCTAGCCAGAGTGATAGGTCGAAGGCGGGTGCTGTGACCATGACGATACAAAGTTCACAATCCACCCGATACTATCTATCAAGGCAACTGAGACCAATCCCCTTAGGCCGTTTAAAAGCTCTTGGCGGGTTGCCGGGGGCCATTTTGATTTCCAACTCATGCCTCCGAAATCTCGCCGACACCAACCACGATTTTCTTAGCCACGGCAACATCTTCAAATATTTCATCCAGCCTCCAAAGCGGAGCAGCGATCTAATGCCATACTGACAGCGTCCGAATTATGAAGCAAGTCTCCTTACCGCTCGAAACCCTGCAGGCTTGGTCCCATTTCAACAACATCCAGCTTTTCGGAGCTTCAGTTGAACCTCAACTGGTCACAGGGGATGGTATCGACAAAGGAGGCGGACTGGTGGCAAACACTGATCTTGGGCCGGGAGAGCCAATCTTAGCAGTCCCATTGGAGCTTGTCTTGTCAAAAGAACGAGTTGAAGAATGTGCCAAATCAGACAAACATCTGAGAGAACTGATCGACGCAGCAGGCCCGTTATTTCAGGTGGGTCGGCGCAAAGGTGATGGCTTTTATGGCCCGCACCAGGTAGGTCGCCTTTGCATGATACTGACTATTTCAACTCGTTTCCAGAATCCTCGCGCTGCAGTCCTCCTATTCCTCGTCTATCAGATGACGATCAACAGTTCCGACAGCGAAAGTCGCCACCTTGGATTGAAAACTCCTTTCGCTGATTACCTCAAATTTCTGCCCAAGGACACCCCACTCCCTACATTTTACACATTGGAGGAAAGGGAATTACTCATCGGCACCTCCCTTTCTGAAGCCTTGGAGCAAAAACTCAGCAGCCTCGAACGGGAGTTCGACAGACTAAGGGCAGCCACCGAAACAATACCCTGGTGTCGGGACCTGTGGTGGGACGAGTTGACGGGTCACCTCGACATCGGAGATTGGAAACTTGCAGATGCCGTTTATCGATCTCGCGCCTTGGAGCTACCACGAGGGGCCACCGTTGGCATGGTCCCTGTGGTGGATATGGCAAATCATGCCTCTGATGATCGATATAATGCACGATTTGAGGTCGACGACGATGCAGGGTCTGTGTTGCTTGTTGTGCGGGACCGGAGATCCATCAGACACGGGGACGAGATAACCATCATGTACGGAGCCGGTGGAGTTTGCGAGATGGTCTTCTCTTACGGCTTTCTAGAAGAGCACGTGAGCAGCGCTAGGGAGATATTCCTCAACTTGTCCATCCCAGCCGATGATCCCTTGCGAATGGCCAAAATTCGCTTTGCCCAAGAGGCGCCTGGCGTGCGTATCTACGTGGACGACTCCGACCAGGTACACTGGGAGAGTACTTTCGTTTGGTGGACATGCGTCAATCAGGAAGATGGTCTAGATTTTCAAGTGGAGCAGACCGTCAACGGAGACACGGAGCTGAAGGCCACATGGAAGCAGAACGATCTCCACGCGGGAGCACTGCACTCTTTGCTTCTCCAGGATCGTATCCGAGATGTGTTTGTCCTTCGTGCTGTTGTCATCGTTCAACAAAAAGTTGAAAATCAGGGGATGCGACTCGCGGCTAGTGAGGATGACTTCGATAATACCGTTGTCAACGGCCAAGTTCGGCAATCCGTGTATGAAACCATCGGGAGACTTCGGAAGTTGGAGCTGGAACTGTTGACTAGGGCTTTTGAAACTCTAGAGAAAGAGGTAAGTCGATCAACGAGCGGGGGGGGGGGGGGGGAGGAAAGGTTAGACTAATATCGCACAGAAGGCACGGCTCCTTGAATCTAATATTGTCCGTGACTATCTCGAACACGGTGCAGACTCGACCGGAGAATACCCAGATGACTTTTCGTGAAAGCTGATGTGTGGCGTGGTAGAGCTTGAATCGAGCTAGAGGATCTGGTGCTTCTAAAGCCCGGATCAGGTCGGAGCCTTCTGATCTTACGTGGTGTGAGTCCTTAGAGTTCGTAATCATTACCTTGTGGTCATTTTTTGATGGGCTGATGCTGACCCCGAGGTTTCTAGTGGCCATTGAATTTTTTGCTTATTTTCCGCTTGACCCATTCAGGCTGCATAATTCGTATGCGAGATGTGCTTTATCTGGCTTCTCCCGCGAAGTTCCGCTCGTCCATCACCACTCAACATGTATTGTTCTGAACTCTATTGTACCTGACTTCGACGCTTGACCGCCATGTCCAGTTGTCCCACTCGTAATCCAGCAGAAGCAAGAAAGCAAAAAGGATGGAGGACCGAGTTGTCATGCAAAGTATATCGACCCCTTTTTTTTACTGCAGGAGGAGCTGCTACAAGGGAGCGGTTCCGCTTATGTTCAGGGTCATGCAAAGCCAGGGATCTTAAGCGAACGAGATGGACCTTTTTGATTCGAATCCAGCTTTGAGGGGTGTAGAGGACTGGCATCAAAAAGGCCTGGGGAATCTTGAGGATGGATGGGCATCGATGCACTGCGAGGAGCGGCGAGGGGTACAGGTGGACGGAGGAAGTTCGGATCGACGGAAGAGCCTGGATAGAATGGAAAGATTACGGAATGTCTTGGTGCGAGGGGATGAAGCGTTGCTGGAAGAGGCATAGCTGAGTCGAAGGAATCGATGCGTTGCAACCCCTAATTCGCTCCATATCACTGCCGATCCCGCGGCCGATTCGTGTGTGTGATGTGCGGTTTTGCGGGGAAATGGAACACAGCTTGATGAAGAAAAGCGTGTAGAACAGCTAAAATTGTACAGACTTGACGCGAACAGGGGGCTGGACAGGTAGACTGGCCGGCCAGCTTTTAGCTGTTGGGAAGAAATGGCGTCGGCACAAACTCTGCGAGATGGCAAATGACTTGGCAGACTACGGAGGGAGCATCCCTCCAGCCCCACATCGAAGATTTTCTCGTTCCAACTTCGATGCCCCGACGTGCGTCTCGCGTCCCCAGCCCGCGCCCGCAACCCTCCCACAGTTACTCCCTCCCCCAGAGCCTGTGGTTCGTACAATCCTAATCCCAGTCTCATCCGACCTCACACTCATTCACCCCCAGATCTCAGCGTTCCATCCCGCTGTCAACGAATCCTTTGTGGCGGCCTGCTCTCATCCAATCGCCACCCTCATCGCCCTGACCATCGCGGAATCATCTCCTAAGAGCCCCTCCACCACCGTCTCGAGTGGTCTGCTGTCATAATCTACGTCCTACCCCGTCGCCTCTGACATCTTCGCTCCTGATCTTACACTTTGGACTCTCTCACCAAACTTCTGTGACCTCAACGCTCATTTTGAAATCTCCCACGGTCATCCACTTCCTGTAAATGATCACGACGGCTCTGTCACCCTCCAGCCTTCCTTTATGCCTCTGCCATAACGGAACTTCCAGCCAGACTCTTCTCGACCCGCCACCATGCCGGGTATACTACCGATGAAAATGATTCGAGTGGGAAGTAGTGCGCAGAGTAGGATTGCGCAAGCTTGCGATAGGTGTCGTAGCAAGAAGATCAGGTGTGACGGCATACGACCTTGCTGCACCCAGTGCGCCAACGTCGGCTTCGAGTGCAAGACTAGCGACAAATTGAGTCGCAGAGCATTCCCAAGGGGTTACACAGAGTCTCTCGAAGACCGCGTTCGAGGCCTCGAGGCTGAAGTCCGAGAGCTGAAGGACCTATTGGATGAGAAAGACGAGAAGATCGACATGCTCTCACGCATTCACAGCTTCTCTCCTCCCTCTCGGAAATGTTCAGCATCCCTGTCGCCTGCACACGCAGCCCAGGTCAAGGCGGAAGTGGAATCAGCCAGAGAAGAAATACTACATGTTGAGATACCCGCTCCAGTACAGCCGAAAGCCACGTCGACTGGTTCCTCGACCGTGTCCTCTTTTATTGAAGCCTTTGATCAGAAGGTCCAAGAAACAGGCAGGCAAGCCGCCGGCGTCTCCTCATCCAACCTGCAGAAAGCTATTCAACCAATTCGTCAGACCATGGTTCCGGGCCCTAAGGTGCCACCCAGGATTTTGTCCGACCAGTACATCAGTATGTTCAACGTCCCTTGACTCATTTTCCGAAACAAAATCGACTAACTTCAATAGACCTCTTCTTCCAAGAATGGCAGCCTCTGCTACCAGTTCTCCATCGCCCGACGTTCCTTCGAGTTTATGAACAGTATTTGGCCAACCCTGAAAATGGCAACTGGCAGAGCAACAAGCAGGCTTTGGCCCAATTGTTCCTAATCTTCGAGATTGCCGCCCTCTCCAGCTTGACCACTCCGAAGAAGAGCACACCTTCCTTCGAGTCTCAATGGCGCAAAGCTCTATACTCCACGTCATCGAGTGCATCCCTGTCTACGCTCCAGTGTCATGTGCTTGCGCAAATTTGCTATCTATTGCGGGCTGACTACACTCATCTCACACGTCACCGCGGAATTGCTGTGACCATGTGTCACGAGCTGGGACTTCATCAAGGCCACAAGTACCATAGCCTGTCCCCACTTGAAGCCGAAACCAGGAAGAAGGTCTTCTGGTGCCAATACGTCCTCGATAAGTATGCCTCCCGAGCCCAACCGTTCTTTACACCCGCGTGAATACATCTTTTCGTCTGACTCCACTGACGTCTTTTCCAGATTTATCTCGGCTACCACGGGAAACCCGCCCCTCTTCCGAGATGATGATATTACAACGGAGTTCCCTGCCGATGTCGACGATGAAAACCTCAGCACTCAAGGCTTCTCGCCTACTCTCCCTGGCGAACTGACCAAGATCTCCAGTGCTCTTGCATTGTTCCGCGTATCTAAAATCTTGTCCAAAGCTTTGGATAACCTGTACCCTGCCAAAGCGAGCTATCAACTGTCCTTGACAAAACTCTATGCGCTCTCCGATGAGCTCGATCAATGGTCAGAAGAACTTCCCGACCATCTCCGTCTTCGCTTCTGCAACGATAAACCAGCTACACACTTGATCAGCTGCAGGTCTCCATTACTGGTATGTCGTTGATCGTTAACTTTCAGGGTCCGTTCTAACTGTTCAACAGTCTCTAGCATATTTTTATACCAGGAGCTTGATCCACCGACCACTACTTTGCCATGGCTCTGGCAGTGCTGCATCCGCAGCTGGCATTGTTCTTGCAACTGCAGGCAAGCATGTGCTACAGATTCTTGATCTTCTCTTGGAGCGTTGCATGAACTACGCCTTCCCCTTGAACAAGACCCATCTTCTATTAAGCTCTGGATTTTCAATCCTCTGGCAGTCCCTTGACTTGGAAGACGACAGCAAGCTCGTGAAGGATAATCAGAAATCATTAACTCTTCTGGCCAACATGCTACAAAACGACAACTCAATCGCCGCACTAGAATTTCAAAAGATAGCGACTTGCTTTATCGCGCTAGAAGGACGGATTGCGTCTACCCCAAAGAGTGTCGACACTGGCAATTCACCGCAGGGATCAGGTTCGGCAATGCCTGCCCCTTCAGAGGTAAAATCCAAATCTGCCAGGAAACAATTGCAAGCAATTGCCTCGAGATGGTCATCATTCAGCAACAAAGGAAAACCCGAGAACACAACCCGACGTGCAACGGTGTCTCAAACTGGAAACGCATCGTTCAGCCCTGCACACCGGGCAGCGAGCACGGTCAGCCTCACATCAACTCGATCTGCGCCAGTCAAGGCAGTGAAGTCTTCTTCGCTCAACCGAGTGAATACCGCGAGAACCATTGATAATCCGGCCATTAACTTGGACTATCTACCCCTTGATGGCGACTCACAGACGAGAACCTCGTCGAGCACGATGTTACCTCCAAAGAAGCAACAAACGCCCACACTGACGGAGCCCAGCTGGGAACGTCTTCTCAACAATTTCGACAGCAACAATCCAGGAATCTATCAGGATATGACTGCCAATGGGCACACCCTGTATCAAGCTCCCAGCAAGGAATGGACCCCTGAGGTGTGGCACCTATCTGCCATAGATCTCGCTGTGAAAGCACCTGTGCCGCAAAGCTTGTTGAGTTTCTCCGAAGAATCACTCACCAGTGGAGACGACTTTCTGTTTAGCGCTGCAGGAAGCAACAATGGTTCAACGGCCACGGGCGACAACCTGGACCTTGCAGAGACCTACCGAGGCATTACGATCCCAGTTGACGATGAATTCGAATTTCATGAGGTAGAGGCATGACCAAAGTCCTGGAGACTTGCCCTGCTCAGATCGTTGACGGCGGATTTTTACTGGTACGACGAGATTGGAATTTGAGAAGACCAAAGTGGATATCCGATGGGTGTGGATGCGCAAGGTGCAAGGTGGATCCTTTGATGCCGGACGGATTTGAGGCCAAAAGTTTGTCTTGTATGGGTTATTTGTTATGATGATACCAGAGACATGTCAGAGGGAATGCAAGGCGCGTGGAGTATTTTATGAGTGGATGAGCGATGTATGTGGTGATTATTTATGGAGAGAGTGTATGTGAGGATGACTCATGCTTGGACACGGACAGGATACTCTCTTTGATGGAGTTGCTTTTGTCGATATTCGAGATATATAAGATGCAATTTTATCATGTTAAGTAGACACGCTACCGTTCTCAGTGCAGGAAACATCTTGGGAGTCGTAGTAGTGATCCTACCCTACTCCGTAGTATTATGAGAAACACAGAAGCACCGAGCCTGCCGGCATTCCCGCCACCTGACTAGAGAGAACAACTCTTCCTTTCTTCTTTCTAACCCGGCACAAAGCCAATTTGTCCGCACAAGTCTTCTGCACTGTTGCAGGGCGTGGAGCTAGCCCTCGATATCCTGACTTGATCGATCGCTAAGAGATCCTGCCGTTGGTGGCATGCTCAAATGTTCATTTCCAGAAGTCGACCTATTGCTTATCCGAGTTGCCCGCGCGGCATAACACAGGCTAACAAGGCAGGATATTCAGGCCGGCGATGGAGACTTCGACGGGCCATTCTTTTGTTTCTTCTCGACGACCCAGACAGCACCGTCCCGCCTCCCGTACCCGATCACCCTCCCCACTTGATCAGAGATCTCGACCTTCCATCCAGCACCTTTTCCAGCTCTAATGTTTCGCAGTACACAAGGCTGCTGGACCTGTCGTCTAAGACATAAGAAATGCGACGAAACACACCCATTTTGTCAGGTTTGTACCTCGCGAGATATCCAGTGCGACGGGTACAACGAGAAACCTGCGTGGTTGGACGGCGGGCTGAGGGAGCAACAGTACCGCGCCGAGATCAAGCAGGCTGTCAAGAGGAATTTCAAGTTGAAGAAACGAGGAGTTTCAAACTTTTCTACCGTGGCTGAAGGGAATTCTGCCGCCAACTCGCGAGAGGAAGGTGGACCGGTCTCATCTTCTACTCCAGGGCCTCAGAGGCAGTCTACCGTCTCGGTATCGCGGCAGAGACCCAACCTCCCTGGGGCACCAGCTTCAACTCCGGACATCATCACGCAGCTGACTCCTTTGTCAGACACTCCCACGTCGCTTGCCAGATTTCCGAACGAGCAGGCTCAGACATCCGAGTTGGTTGGCCGCAGAGTCACGAACTACCGCGATGCTGAGCTGGTGATGCATTATTTCGATCACGTCTTCCCTCTTCAGTTCCGGTTTCACACACAGGATCTCAACGGTGGAGGTCGCGGCTGGTTGCTTTGGCTGCTGGTCAAGTCGGGTCCCTTGTATCATGCGACGCTGAGTCTTAGTGCCCTGCACCAATTCACTCTGCGGTTCCATAATCAAGGCGACAAGTACGCCGAACTGAAGGAATATCACACCACCGCCCTACGGGACCTACAGCTGTTCTTACAGCACACCCAAGAAAGTGGAGGCTTAGATGAAAGATCACGGCAGATTGAAGTTTTGGCTTGTGGCGTTTCTCTAATCAGCTTTGAGGTAAGAGATCATTGACCCCAATCCCTCCAGTTCTTCATTACTAAGTGCTTCAACAGCTGTTCCGTGGTGGTGTGAGTGATTGGCAGCCTCATCTGAATGCACTCGCATCAATTGTGGCGGCTCTCGAGAACGATCCGGCGAACTCGAGACAAATAGAAGGGGAAACATCATTTCAGCAAGCAGGAGGGTCGATGCAGATGGAAGATGCCGCTTTGCCTTTCCTCATTGCTGTCGTGTTGTGGTTCGACTTGGTTTCTTGTGCATCTACAGGTTCAGCACCTCGCCTTTCCTACACCTCTTTGATGGTAGACCACAAAATTGATCTGGCGGGAGTCATGGGGTGCCAGAACTGGGCCATGGCCGCAATTGGTGATCTCGCATGGCTCAATGCCTGGAAGAAATTTGCTCAACAATCTGGTGCATTGAATATCCGAGAACTCGTCGTTCGAGGGCGAAGGGTGGAAGAAAAACTCGGGCATGGCCTAGCCATGCTTGATTCGCAGAACCACTTCGAGTTGGCAATTGTGTCCAGGACGAGTTCTGGACGGTATCCGAACTTCTCTTGCTCTTACATTTCGATCGTCGTGACCAGGGTTTTTGCCTGTGCTGCACTTGTGCAATTGCGCACGATAGTGTCAGGATCATTTCCGGACCTACCAGAGGTATGTCATGCAGTAGACAGAACAATCTCTGCACTGCAACAAGTCAAAGATCCCCAAGACATGCGTGGTCTAATATGGCCAATTTGCATATCTGGCTGTATGGCAGGACCTTCTCGACAATCATTTTTCGAAAGCCTGATCAAGTCCGTCCTCGGAAACGGCCAACAGGATTTCGGAAATTCCGCCACAATTCTTCGAGTGATGAAGAAATGTTGGGAATCGCGACTGATGGATCCCAGTCAAGAATGGGATTGGGCAAGAGCAATGGCCGAAATGGGCATTTGTGGCCTCCTTGTCTGATATTGAGATCTGGAAAGGAGTCTTATGCGGCCACCGCCGCCGGCTCTTGGAGTTCAGAGACCGCATTCAAGAAAGTCGACTTCTCTGGCATTGGTCGGGACATCAGGTCTCGCCTCTGGATTTCGTCGGCTCGGGTCCAACTCGTCGCCATCCTCGGCCGTCTGGAGACCGAATTCTCGATCCTTTCTGCGATTTTCAGTAACTTCTCCTCTTGGAGCCTTCGACCAACAATTTGAATGCCCACTGGCGCGTCGCAATATCTTGAGGGCCCGTGTTTCTCATCATAGAGCTGGTGGTACCAATCGTCCATCTCACTCAACTTCGCTGACGAGGCTGGAGGAAATGATTCCCATGTGTCTGATTGCTTCACAATTCCCACCGGTATCACCACTGCCGGATAGTCAAGAGCGTTGAAGACACTGCTATATCCCCAATACCGGCTCTCCTCGTGGACTGAAGCTACAGAAGCATTGACAGGGCAGATAATGGCGTCCACCCTTGAATCATTCCACTGCTCTGCATATTTGGTCCGGAGTCGATCTAGCTGGGCATTGACCTGTTCTCAGCGTCAGTATTGCTTCGACCTCTACGCTTGGGGACGACATACCCTCCACGTCTCTTCAACGCTATACCGGCGGTTTGCCTTGTTTTCGAGCAGCCATCTCAAAATGGGAACGGGTGGCTCCCGTCCAGCGCTGAGGACATCGTGATATTCCTTCCCGCCGTCGAGGAAATAAGCCTCGTTGACTGTGTCAGTCAGTGCCTTGTGCAAGTCAACATTCCAGTCCACGGTCGTGTAACCTTCATTTTGCAAAGCAGTGACAACCTCTTTCAGAGCTCGGCTGACTGGTGGATGTGGCTGCACAACACCGTCGTTCCAGATCACGCCAATCTTCAATCGAGTTGGCATCTCCACATCCGTCTTCCACGGAATCCCAATCAGCGACGGTTCATGATCCCAGGGTTGGTTGGCCAATGCCACGGAACAGAAAAGTTCCAAATCCTCAATGGATCGAGCCATAGGACCAACAGCACCGATAATGTTCTGCATTCCATCATGAAGACCACTCAACCCGCCGTGCGGCAGTCTGCCCACACTTGGTTTGATTCCGTGGATTCCACAGAAGGCACTTGGGACCCGAATTGAACCTCCAATGTCGGTGCCGATACCCATCACACTTCCGCCCATGGCTATTAATGCACCTTCGCCACCGGTACTACCACCAGAGCTGAGCTCAGGATTGTGTGGATTAAGCGTTCTTCCGAAAAGGTTCGAGTCGGTTTCAATGGCCATCAAAGTTTGAGGATTCGTTGTTTTGACATGAAACACAGCGCCTTGCTCTCTGAGTGTTCGGACAATTAACGCATCTTTGGGACTCATCTGGTCGGCCCAAGCAATCAGGCCGCAGGTTGCTTTGGTGCCCTTCATGTGTATATGTTCCTTTACGGATACCGGGATGCCATGGAGAACACCCTTGGGTCTCCCGTGGATTTCCATGTACTCATCGAGTTCGGCAGCATGAGCAAATGCTTCCTCAAATAAGATTTCGGCAAGGCAATTCGTCTGTTGATTGAGTTTTGTCAGCATGACTGTCTTTTACTAGATACTCAAATGAGATCAAGGCTCACAGCTTGATGAGCAATAGCGGCTCTTTTACAAAAAGCTCGGATAACATCAACCGCTTTGGATTTTCGACTGTGAAGTGCCGAGAGGATGTCGGTTGCCCTCGATTGAGTGACACTTAACTCCCAATCACTCATAATACCGGAGAGACGTGGCAACTCCATCGGTTTTGCGGTTTTCAACAAAGCCTGGGGTAATCGCCATTTTTCGGGAATATGCGTGTGGATACTCTGTTGTCGATCCTCGGCGACGGCACGCCAGTCTTCTCGTACACTTCCCATCTCTACTATGCGGGACAGGCGCTGTGTCTAGTGAAGCAAATGCAGTAAAGGCTTCAACCTGAAGCTGTGTGAAGAATGATGACAAGACTCCGAGCATGCAAAGTTTTACAACAACCCATTTGAATTCAGCACCTGGTCCAGGCTTGAGATATGGCAATCGGAGACGATAAGATTTCTTTAAAGAAGCTGCAAGACTTACGGATTTAAGGTACAAGATTCGAGCTGAAATGTTCTCGAGCTGGGTCCTGTCGACTTAGCGAAGCAATGAGATTTGATCGATCGAAGAATATGGGCCTCGGAGAAGAGGGATGGCCAAGAGGAAGGGCGAGACGAAGGCTCATCGTCGACTCTGATTTGCTGCTGCTGCTGCTGCTGCGTAAGCATTATCCAGGGCCCGGTGACCGGGAAATTCCAGCCGAGCAGATTTCAGCCTTGCTCCATAAAAAGGGGATCTTAAGGTTTATCATGCGTCTGGCTGATAGCCTGGTGATAGGAACTCGTTCGCGCAGTGACGGTGGAGACGTTCGCTCTAGGGATGGTTTCGAGATTCCCAAGTAAAAACGAAAAGTATGCAGGCGAGAGATGGTGATAAAATCCGTCACGACCGGTCTCTCGGGTCTTGGTGTACCTCCCAAACAATACGCCCGGAAATATTTGGCGCCACAGGATACTGGCGATCTACAGAACAATGATCGGATCACCAAACGACCGTGTCGACGACCAAGTTGTTCCACGGAGAGCATATGAACAAACAACACTCAACTACATTCGAGTCTACAAACATCGAGGTACGTGTCACCTTTTCAATGGCCATCCTTCGGCCTCAGGGTTGATTTCGTTCACAATGAATCAATTACCGGGAGTGCACACACTCTCTTCTCATGATTGGAATTACGTCTGACCACTTCCCTAGCTCACTACGACTTTGAAACGGTCCATTCAATTACCGACTCTACCCTCGTCTCGCATGTATCGTTCATCATCCACGATGAAGATGGCGAGGACACGCCCATCACAATGCCTCTTACGGCGGTGCTGGGGCGCTATGATGACGATGGAGATGGATTCAGCATATCCCCAGACGCCAGTGATGCTGAGTTGGAACAGCATCAGAAGCAGGCGATGCAGGAAGGGCCAATGGAGGTGTATCTCCATGGCAATGCCGCATCCATGCTATACAAAGCGATCAAGGAAAGTAATCGCGGAGAGGTGAAGGTTTGTATTTCCTCGACCAAGGGTAAGGTTGACCTTTCCTCTATCAGTCCATTGCCTAGGACGCTGTCCTCCGTTTCATGTTCAAACTAACTCTGTCTTCCTGTGCAAGTTGATGGCCTTGTCCTCTTCCCCACACCAAACGGGCACAGTCTAAATTACCGGTCGGCGACGCTCCACGGCATCGCGGCACTGGTGCCTGACACCGACGTACGGAAAAAGCGTTATGCCATGCGCCTGCTCACCAACCACATGTTCCGCTTCCGTTGGGAAAGCACGTACCCGGTATCCCCCGCCGCGGTAGATAAAGTCAAAGTCATCCAAGTGAAAATCCGTAGTGCAGGCGCTAAGATTCGAACCGGAACTATAGGCCCCTTTGACCCTCATGTCGTGAGCGAAGAGGATAGAGCGAGGATCGATGCAAAGGGAACTGGTGTTTGGTCTGGGGTCGTACCGGTTTTTGAGGTCCTAGGCCGACCTGTTCCTAGTGGTGTGTCAGGTGTTGGTGGTGATGAGAGGGGCGTCAAGAGTATAGAGGCATGGAGGGAGCAGAGGAATCAGAGGGAGAAGGGGTACGCGAAGAGAGTTGCTGGTGCAGAGAACTGAAGCTCTCCGTGTGGATTAAACAAGGCTGTTGATTTTATGCGCCTGGCCAGGCAGCTCATCGAGCGAAGACATTTGCTTCCAGAGGCTTGAAAGGACTCTCCCTCATCCGCCTCAGAATATATCAGAGCTTAGGCCTATTCAAACAGGCTGGTAATGTTCACGAAGGTGGACATATCAGCGGATGAGAAGTAGCCGCAAATCAAACCCATTCGACCAACTCATTGAATGATACTCCAAATATTGTGGACGAGCATGTCGTCATCATGTCGGCATTTCCTCCACCAACCACCATCACAGTCAACAGGAATCGAATGCGTGAATCGATTGATCGATGCAATAACAATGGATGACAACAATCTTTCCCGGAGTGATTTCATTTGCCATGAACGATATTACTTGCTGATCTACCCGGCGTAGTGGTGGGGCACAGAGACATCTATTTTCGAGGACAATTTGAGGCCTTGAAGATATTTGCATGCTCTACAACACTGACAGCACTTCAAACTTCTAACGAATACAAGAAGCAGTAAGACGTGTGTCCGAATCCTTTGTCAGCTGCCCCGTCAACCAGACGACGGTTTTCGTCATTTTCATCTCTCTTTGCAATCCTACTACTCCTACCGTCCAAGATCACGAGAATAATAGGAACCTCTCTCGTCCCTGCGAAAAATGTCTCATCTCCTTTTCTCACAATCTCGTGCCCTTCCTTCCTCCTGCACCGCACCACGACGAGCCTTTCCTACCGTTGTCGCGCGAACATTACCCTCTTCAACCCGAAAATCCGCAACTCAGTACCGAGCAGCCAGCAAACCAGGCTGGACAGGGCACACCACGCACGACCATGCCGTGAATCGCAGCCGACACGACGCACACGACGTACAGGCTGAAGCTTCGCGACACGGAATGGCTGAGTATAATAAGCACCACACTGAAGAGGAGCGGAGTGGTAGTGATGCTATTTCGCGCAAGGATGAGAAACAGAGTAATAGGCGGGCGAAGGAGGAGAATCCCGAAGCCCCAGAGCCGGTTATTGGGATGAATGAGGAGAGAGGGACGGTGAGTTTTCTATTGCCTTGATATCGATTTTTTTTTTTTTTTTTTTTTTTTTTTTTTTTTCCTTCCCCTTCGCCTTTCTTTCATTTGCTGTTCGAGGCGCTTGAATGCTCACCAGAAAAAGAGTGGGACGATGTCTTGCTGACTTTGACGAGCTGAGGTAACAGAAAGGATATTAAATCGGCCGTACCATCAAAATGGAACTGAACAGAATAAAATCAATCCCTAAGGCAAGGCAAGGCAAGGCATGGCATGGCATGGCATGAACCAGGACAGCAAGGGGAATGTACTGTACATACCGGGATCAGAGAGAAAAATTAAAATTACAAACTTCAATTGCAGTTGGAAGAGGAATGTTTTTTCGTCTGGTTGTCCTTTTCGTATTAACCATTCATCTCATTCATATCACAGTCACCGTCCAACATGGAAAGAAAGGATATCGTTCTTGCCGACGCTGATGATCTGGTCTTCCGCGACTCTCCGCCCCCCATCACCCTCGACAAAAGCAATGGGGGCATCACCCATGACTTTTCTCGCCACGTCTGCGACCGTACTGTTCTTCTTGACGAGAACACAGTCTCGAAATACAGCTGTCGACCCGGCCGTCCCTGAGCCGTACGTGTGGATGTTTTTCACAGGGAAGACCGGGACCAGACCGAGCAGGGCTGCTGCGCGAGTTAAGACTTGTACTACCCCGGTACTGCCAAATCGGTAGAGGACCATGTCCTTGAGATTCTCAATGCGTTGTTTCAACTTATCGTCCATCTCTTTGAGGCCTCCGCCGTCCGGGTCACCTTGTTCAATTAGATCTTCTCGTGTGTCCAGATATTCTGCGCCTTCTTTGTATTTGATGTAGCCTTGCTTAGCTAGTCGACGGAGGAAGACTTCGGAGATGGCACTGCACAGAACGATACTATTGGCGGGTTGTTGTTTGGCGATTTTTGCAATGTTGCGATCAGCGTCCGGGTGGTCGATTTTGTTCAGGGCCAGGACGGTGGGGAACTTCTCATCCGTGAAGGCATTGACGACTTTGAGGATTGTTTCATCACCCCACTCTTCCAGGGATTGCTTCAGGTGTAGCCGATCGAGACAACGAGCCACTATGGCGCTGGTGCTGCCGTAACCCGAGAACTGGGCCTGGAGTGTTTCCACTGGGGAGGCTTTGACGGCGACATGTCGTCTCTTGATGCTTCCCCATTTCTCCATCAGATTCCCTTGTATCCAACGGACGATTTCCCCTCGTAGCCATTCAATGTCGACGCTCGGATCGTAGCCTCGTGTGGCTTTTCCTTCGGCGTCGGTGGTGCCACTGACATCCACCACGTGGATAAGAGCATCTGCATGGCGTAAATCGTCCAGGAACTTGTTTCCCAAGCCTTTGCCTTCATGGGCACCAGGAACTAGACCAGCAACATCAAGTAATTCTATCGGCACCGATCTCTTGCCATTCACACAGGAGCCATAATTCGGTCGACATTTCTCCGTCAGATTATGTCTTAGGCAGGCGCAATCGACCTGCAAATATCCGACGGCTCGTTGAGGGTCTATTGTTGTGAAACTATCTCACGGGTTTAGTCCAGGTATCCGTCGCGACGGAGATAGAGAGGCTTTTCTTACGGAAAGTTACCTGCGCATTCATATCAGCCTGGTCCCCCTCTTTGCCACGGTGAAGGTGTTATCGAGGGACTGACCGACTTTCGAACTAGCATCTGTCAAGCTGTGGAGGATTGTAAGTCGAAGAAGAGATTAAAAGATTGGTGTGGTTGGTATTGTCGCACCTATTCAATGTGGTGGATTTGCCAGAGGATGGTTTTCCTACCAGGCCAATGAGAGGATCTCGAGGCATTATAAGGATGTGAGAGAAGCTGGAGACCAATAGAGAGAGGAGAGACACTCAAGAACGCAATGTCCCCGGCCTGAATGGCCTTAGGAGACAGAAAATCCGCAGGCTAATCTTTGGGTCGGTGGGAGAGAAGAGGAAGCGAAGGATTGCCGCCGCCGCATTTCCAGAAGACGTGCTTCAAATGACGTGCGAATCAACTTTGGTTCACCAAGTCCCCATCTTTCTCCAGAATTATCCAATCAATAGGAGTCTTCCCTTGCCGAAGACAATATCAAGAGCATCCTGACGCGTGGCCTCTGTGTATGGCAAACTGTATTCTATAGATATTCGGCGTCCTTCGAGCTCCAAGGACCAACGAAGTGTGTGGAGATGGTCGTCGTCTGGACATTACGTGAAAGGGTGAACGACAAGATGATCTTTTTTCACATTTTCTACCGAGTTGCTTTTCTTACGACGGCGTTATTACACCTTTGTTGGAATGATCTGGTCAAAGCTGTCGTGACTATTGTTGCAACATGTCTGTCGAATCCCAGACAACCCATTATCCAAAGCATCCTGAGGCTGCATAGTCTGGTCTTGGTGTGTTTTGTCCTGGCGTTCTGCTTCCATGCTGCGTCGGCCAGCACACAGCAACTACCGTTAGAAAGCCGCCTCGACATTCTGAGTGTTAGTATCCTCTGCCCCAGGCTCAATACTTTCCACGGGAGCTGAAGAGATTGGGAGAGCAGTTCGATGACATCCAGACCCCAGATGGATTCGGAAACATAACTTCGCCATATCGCGGTCTTTCGTTCGATGGGTTCTATGCCTTCGACCCATCACATCCGAGATTGGATGGTATCATTTCAGCGAACGACTTGAATTGCGCCACCTCCAAGCCAAATGCCTTGTACGGAACCAGAGACAACTTTGGGTCCGAAATTCGGCATATGGCAGCCTCTGGGTTGGAGAAGCGGCCTTCGATTCAGTCTCGCAGCCCAACAGAAACGTTCACGGTGCATCGTCTGAAAATGAAACCGCTGGACATGCCCTTGGGATTCGTGACCATCCATCTCCAGGGCTCTCGCTCGTCAAAGACAGGAAGTTCTTTGCACTGGAGCGTCGACTTCCCGGCCGGATTTCATCTTGTTCTCGACGTGCGGCTTGAAGAATTCAGTAAGCAAATGTGGAATGGACTGGAACGGCTAGTGATGTGGGCGGACTTCCACTACAATGATGTCAAAATGGACTGGGAGTTTTGCGTCGATGATATTGGTGTTGACTTTGAAGTGCAGTGAAATCTCCACGACGGGCCTGATCTCTCTCATGTGGCCTCCTGCGTTCTCACATGGCGAGTCAGGTACGTCTTCTCGCTGATTCGTCCGGACTCGTACCCGGAAAGCATCGTTGGCAAACTAAACCCGCTGCAGACAAATGATGCATTTTTTTGCCAACATGAACTCAGCTCCCACGCCAGCTCCATAATGACGTACCTATACAGCTTGCTCTAATGTCCATCAGACCGAGCCCCCTGGGCTAACTAGGCTCTGATCTCGTGAGAAGTTGTCAAGATCAGCCCAATCAAGGACTCTGAGTGGATTGGCCTTGAGAGAGCCCCAAGTGACGTATTTTGCATGGCCTGTGAGGCACTCTTCAAATAGCTTCACGGGAGCCGTAGATGAAACAGTGCTGTGTGTATATCTTCGGTCCGTAGTTTGGGAAGATTCACTACTCAGCCTTGTATTGTGTGCTTCGCTCCAAACAGGTGTCACTAGTCCAGATATCTGGCCATACAGTCAACCCTTCTCCATCCCCATATCCAGAAACTCATACGCATCACGTCACCATGTCGGAAAAGACCTTTCACATCACCGGCGAAGAGGTACGGACGATGGAGTCCAAAGATTCCAAATTCCATGACGGCAAGACACCCAAGGACTCAGACATATCTGCCATGAAAGTACGTTTGCTTCTGGCTCCCTTTTACATTCGCTCTCGTTATGTTCTAACGTATATTTGTAGCAACTCCTTTCCGAGCAAGAACCCAAAGAAGCAGAAATCGGTCGAGTAAAGGCAAACCTCCCGCTGCCTGAACAGCCTGTCGGCGGAGCCAGCGCAGACCTACAGTCCGCCGACCAACGCACTGTCAACGTCGGAAGCGGTGGTGTCAACGTCCAGTTGGGCACCGGATCGGCGAGTGGATTGAGAGAACCAGCCACCGCAAATACCAGTGTGAGAATTAATGGAGACGAATGGAAGAAGGAAACAGAGCCATAGATGAACCATTTTGAGGAGAACAAGACAGGGTCATGGTTGATGAGAAATTGAATGCATTCGTGCATGCTCGAATCAAGCCCTTTCAATCAGAAGGGGGGAGCATTTTAGGAGTTGGAGACATACTTACTCTACCATGGAAGCTCCCCTCAACATGACTGATTGATTCCCAGCTAGATCTCTCGATTTCTCGTTATTCATGTTCCTCGTGTGGCTGACTTTGCATCTTACCTGGGCTCTGCATTCCGTCTCCCAATCGAGTCTAGTTTTGCATGGAGCTGTGAGTTTGAATGTCTCTCATCAGCGTGTTGTTCTTTGACCTTGAGACCCAGTCCATCTTTCTTGACCCATTGTACGTCAAGTCTTCGACCACATAACTGCCGAGAGTCAATTTCGACCAAGTGTTGCTCCCTGCGAATGTTGAGAGACCCAATGTTTGTAGTATGTTGTCGGTTTCGCTCACATTGAAACCGCCTTTCTCAAGTAGCCCCAGATGTTTTTGGTATCAATTCTCTGAGACTCAAATCATAGACCACATCCTCAACTTTCTTGACGCTGTATTTGATTCCATCAGCTCGTCGCCTGAGGATATCGTTTTTCAGATTCAGTAGCTGAAACCCTGCATGAACATCCTTGATAAACTTTGAGATCTGTAGAGGTCGGGAATAGTCGCCCACTGTCACCGCGTTCGGAGCGAGACGCGCAAGCTCTTCGGTCATCGATGTTAAAGCTAGGAGGTAGTCTTCGACCGTGATGTGAAAGGCATCCTCAGACTTGAGGTTTACTGGAACTGTGTAGCCATCAGTCCAAGGCGTTCTCAGGAACCGTTTGTCCTTGTTTTCTCACCATCAAGTCTTTGGCCGACTTCCTCGAGTGTCACCAGATTTCCACTCTTGAGCCAGTCACACATCTGCATACTGCTGATCACACCCTGAATATCCCGCTGCCATACTGAGTTCCATTTGTAGAACGGATATTTGGACGCCGACCGCGCCAGATTTTTCACCGTAGCTGCCTGTTCTGAGAGGGCATCGTAGCAAGGTGCTAGGACGGAGGCCTCGAGCTCTGTGGTGGGAGTGTTGTGGATTCGAGAGAGGATGGATTGGGTGAGCCGGCCTTGTTTCGAGAGTATGTCGACCAGAGCTTTCAATTCGTCGCGGATGGCACTCTCTTCGTCGATTTTGGACTGTAATGAGGTGAAGATGGCTGGATCAACATTTGGGGAAGATGGGAGCGCAGGCTTGGTCACAGTCGTGTCGGTAGACATCGTACGTATCGGACCTTGTGTTTTCTATGAAGAATCGACGTTCAAGTGGAGGTCAAGCTATGAATGTAATTTTGATCAACCCTCCTCAGGATAGATTGAGCTGGTTTACATCTCTTCGGCCACACGGCGAAATTTTGGGGACTGGCTCGCTACAATTAGCTGCAAGTTCCTTTCAATACCACGTTGTCGAGACGATCCCCAGGGCCATTTACTACTGATAGCTTGTCTCACCATACGGAGTCTACATCCGATGGAAGTCTGTCTTTTACTGTTCACACATTTACTGCAAAATTTTCCTTCCCTAATCAAGTTCTCTTCTCCAAAGCTTTGCTCAAGGCAAAGAAACAATGATGAAAAGATGGCGGGTCGCGTCACAAGGCGGTAGTGTAGGGCCTCGGACACAGTGCCAGAAACCCATTGCGCAAGCACAGAGGGGTTTGACCAGCGAAATCCAAAAATGAGAATAATCAATGTATTCATCCCGTAGGATGATTTCAGAGATTAAACTGAAAAGAACAGATACTACACTTGATCTAAGCCAAAAGGCAAACTGCCGAACATCGTTAGCAAACAGATTGCAAAGTTGTAGGAGCAGGCCGTTCGACTTACGAGTACTGGAGAAAAGGAAAAAAAGTTTGAAAAAGAAGGAAGAGAGTGGAATACTTATAGGCATCCGGATGTGCCAAGACCGATCCTCGTCACGTGAGTACGTCTGCCTGTCGCTGCGTGGCCAAGTACATCTTGGCATAGCCCGCATTCGGAAAGTATGGCGAGCCCTAAATTTCAACCACAAAAAAATTATCGCCGGATTTTCGACAGTTCGATTCGGGACCACATGATAATCTTTGGCGCCTTTCTGTCTTTCCAAACCCCCAAGGCGCAGGATATTAATCTCTTTGCGTCCGCACACCCTCTTCAGTCGCAATGGCACCCGCTCAGGTAAGACAACCGAACCGCTTTGCTGTATCCGTCCTCGAATCTACGCGTGCACCGTCAGCCGCGCAAGTGAGGACAGAAGAGAACAGTAGGCTAAGGTTTTGTTTTCTTTCTTTTATGTAGGCTAGAGGCCAGAAAGGCAAGGGATCCAAGGCAAAGGTCACCAAAAAGGTACATTGAAAGGCATCCCCGTGGCGCGCACACCACATGCTAACATGGATGGCAGTACATCATCAACTGCAGCCAACCCTACAGCGACAAGATCTTTGATTTGTCCGCCTTCGAGAAGTTCCTGCATGATCGTATCAAAGTTGACGGCCGCACTGGCAATCTGGGCGACAATGTCATGATCTCACAGGCCGGTGATGGAAAGATTGAGGTTGTGACACACATTCCTTTCTCGGGTCGCTACTTGAAATACTTGTACGTTCTTCTGCCGGCACACTGGGTTCTGGGGCGACTGACTCGATGGACAGGACCAAAAAGTTCCTCAAGAAGCAGTCTCTTCGTGACTGGCTCCGTGTTGTGTCAACCAGCAAGGGTGTCTATGAATTGCGATTCTTCAACGTGGTCAATGACGAGGGTGACGACGATGACGAGTAGATGACACATCAGGGGGGGTCTTGAAAGCTCAGGAGGACCATGTCATTCTCGGCCTTCGTTCAAGATACAGAGGCCATTTCATGACGCCTCCGACCCTATCCTCTGATACAGATGGATTTGATACCTCATGTTCTCCAATCCAATGGGGTATTTCAACGATGCGTTCAATCTGAACCACCTTGAATCATCAGAAACGTGCTTCTTCCACTTACTGTTCTCGCTCCCAGCTACCTCTAACAGCGTATGATCGAGTAGCCATTTCATTGGATATTGCTTCGTCTTTGCCTCATCTCCTTGACCCAACTTGACTTCGGAATAACTACCTGGGCTATCCACAACCAAGAGCCATGAATCCGGTTGCATGGTATCGGTAAGCGCCAGCAAGAAGGCAGTCGTCCGAGATATGGAGTGTGTGAAAAGTTCGTTCAACGTGAACATGATCGTGCATAAATCAACGTCACCAAGCATGTCACCGAACTCTCCTTCGTCGGCCGTAAATATATCGCGTTGGGAAAAGTGAAGGCTGAGTTGATCACTCGCAATCAACGGTTTACTCGCCGCCTTCGCGCTCTCACTTGCAAACGAAGATATTTGCGGTGGTGTACACAAGGCGTTCTCTAGCTTTGTCAGACAAGTTGACCAATCTGCAATATCTATGGCATGAACTTCCAGCCGGGACAAGGCGTAGGCTTTGGCGGCAGCCGAACATGCAGCCACCTCCGCTCCACCGCCGCCTCCAATACAAGCGATCCTGGAAGCGCTCGTGGAATGTGGCTCTCGTCGTGCACTTGAACTGGACGTGGTTTTGCCGAGCCATGCTTGATGCAGGTCGCCGTGTAAGAAGATATCTGTATACCCGAGAGCACGGCTGGCACTCCACCTCAACGCGTAGGCGTCGAGATATTCCTGCTTGGCAAAAGCACTGGCAAAGTCCCGCAGGAAGAGGTGGCCTTTGACTTGTTGGATGACGGTCTTTACGTCAAGTTGGTCGTCAAATGAAAATGCGCGACGGAAAACATCCAAGATCGCTTGTTGCAGTTCTACCGGAAAATCCAGGGAGTCGGGACGTTTTTGTGCACTGTTGGCGCATTTTCGAGCGATCTGACTGTGACCGGTCTTACTTGCAACCCTCTGCTGTCTCGATGGTGCCATTGCATGGAGTCGGTTGCAGATAGAGCTGCTTCTAAATGGTACTCTTCAGCTGGATCGGGAAGAGCCACAAGTATTAGCTTGATAGAAAGTTTTTGTGTTGCAGGAGTCCGGCCTGGAACACAAAGGGCAGCGGACATCGGAGAAAAATCCGATATTGAATCGACTGCTGTCCTCCCAAATATGCAAGGATACACTCCTTAATAATCGTGAAGTGTTATTGTTGAGATTTCAACGGGGGACAATCTTGCTTGTCGTAGCATCGTGGAGAAATTCAAGTTTTGTCAAAGCCAAAGATGTATCCTTGGTAGACGAACTAGATCTAAACAGGCATGATCCGAACCGGTATCAATATCGACCAAACTTTTTGTTAGGCAGAAGGTGTTATATGCAGGAGTTTTTCCTTCCCACCAAAGACCGTGTTCGGTGCCCTTGCGAGAAGGAATGTGCTTAACGCTAATCAGTGTTTTGAAGGGGCTTGTCTCTCGAGGCCCTTTTGACGTGATTCAGGTTCGGGGCCGAAATGGTGAGCTCGTATTGGGTCGCGAAAAATGAAAATTCATTTCTTGTGCCCACCTGGCTAACCCACACGTCGCCACTGGCATGGTCTGTGCAATGAACCAGCAGTATACTCTATCTCTTATCCAAACCTAACCGAGATTTAGAGCCCGAGTTGTCGAGGAGACGACAAGAAGCGAGTCTCAGGTTCACCTTTTCGGCTGTTTCATGAATCCATGTTCCTGTAGCTTTTGAAAGGGGACAACTGCTTCTCTTTCAGGGCCATCAGCCGGCCGAGACGAATTGACGGTTGTATCCGCATAAATCTGAAGTGCTCTGGAATGCCACGCTGCGTTTCCTAGCCGAAAGCCCCCTCTTCTATGGTGCGCCAGTGAAGTTGAATCAGGGACTGCAAGTTCCTGCATAAGCGCAGTTGGCTAGGTCCCGCTCTCGCAGGGGGGGCACGAGCTGGGGATTTCTTGCTGATCACGACCCGCAGGAACCTTTTTCAGAGGGGATGGAGTCGCTGCGGATGATCCTGGGGGGGTTCACGATTGACAGATTCAAGAGGATCGAAGGTCGCAAAGAAGAGGGTGAGATAAGGCCAGCAGGACAGGCTCCGGTTGCACAAAGTGAGGCAGTACGGGCCGAAAGTGGAAAAAGTGGAATCAAGAGTTGGTCTGGCAGTGGAAAAGACCAATCTTTTTACGAGATTAGGAGATGTGGCCTTTTTCTTTGCTGCCAACGCATCAGACGGTCGTCCAGAGGTCAGGCTATCAAATCGCCAGTGTCAATCAATAATGCATTCAATATGTGAATGCGCACGGGGGGGGATCAGCACATGCAGGCTGGTGTATCAGATTGACGGACGATAGGATGATGGCTGGATTTAATGCTCATGTCAGCACGATAAAAGGCCTCATCAAGTTGCGTATGGCAGTATTCGTTCATTCCGTCATCCATAAGTTCGGTATAGCCGTAAAATAAGGGGAAGAGGTATGAGATGTTGGACTTTCGTAGAACTACACAACAACATTTTGCAAATGCGTCAAAAGGTGGTTACCACCACTAAGAAATGCCACCTCTAAAGCTGCGCCGAAAAGGGATAGGAACACGCCTAAGGTAACCACCTAGGTTGCATGGCTAAGCCCTTAGCGGTGCAGAAAGCCAGGAACCGGCTAACTAGTTCAGGGCACTTGACCTTCAGTTTCCCGGTTGACCTGCCAAAGCCTCAGCAGCCAAAGTCCCCAAGCCCAGGCTAGCTACCCGTTGCTTTCCTTTCTCCTCTCATCCTCCATCTCGACCTCGTCCACCTCGCCGTCTCCATCCTCTTTTCTCCCTCAAAAAGGCCTCACTAGCCTGACCTCTGGCTCCTGGTTGAGGAAGGATCGTAATCGATCTTTCTTCCAGGTTGCCGTCCGCTCCTTCTTCGCAACGCACAACCGATTTCAATCCAGCTCCACCAAACTGCGACCGGCAATTGATTGCGCCAGAGACTCGTTCTCAGATACCACCAACCATACGAGAGCAACGCACGAATCCTGATCCTCCCTCATATCATTTGTACAAGTCCATTCTTTACGGATATATTGCAGCCAAAAAATCAATCGCCTCTTGAATCTTGTAATGGTGGCAGCCGTTCCTTTGCAAAAGCGGCCGTTTACACAATTCCAACAAGGTGCCGGAACACCTCAGCAACATTCTTCATTGCACCTCGCCTGCTGGCCAGAATATCAAGCACCAATACTGCTAGTAGTAGCATCTTGACTTTTGGGTGGCTGCTCTATTGAACTATGACTTCAATTTCATTGCCTGCCACTCTCTTGTCCCAATTCGATTCCACTCCCAATACTCCGCCTCGATCTCCTCATGCTCACCGACAACGACCTTCTCGTAATTCAAACCCGGTGCCTCCGCCGATCTTCAGCTTCAACCCCGGTTCAGATGAGAATGCTTTCGGAACAGGAGGATCGGAGTCCACAAGTCAACCTTGCCATACCGTGGCTGCTGAACCTCCTCGTCGATCTACTCGGCCTCTTCCACTACCTGACTTCAAGTTCAACCCGGGCGCGGATTTGCCACCAGAAAGCAGCCCAAGTCCCACTCATCCCGTGCTTCAGGAAATGGCACTGAATCAACAGCGCGCTATCCGGTCCGCACGACCTGCTCCTTTGCCTGCTTTCGCCTTTACTCCGAACCCGTCATCTACCCAGGCTTCACCGAGTCCGACAAAATCGTCATTCGCTGGCGATGCGCAGCATTCTGCTCGTACGGGTCATCGACGACATGGAAGTGAATTTGTGGGTGGTGGCAACGATGGGCCTCAGATGGTCAGTACGAGCCCTGAGAAACCAGAATATCGACCACACCCGCCGATTACTGGAGCTTCCAGGGGACACGCACACCGTCGCTCGCAAGCTGTTTCTATCTCTGACATTGACACTTCTGAGCTGATCAAAGCGAACGCTTTAGCCAGAGCACGGGCCGGCTCAACACCAACCACCCCGTCAGATGGTGCACAGGCGATCTCGTTCCCTCGTGCCAGCCCTCGGATGCAGCAGTCAATGTCAAACATCGTTAGGACCCCACCGTCGTCTCCTCGACGTAGGGGAAGTGTCCCAGGAATTCGTCCTCGTGTTGGGTTTTCTGATCAAGTCGACGTCATTCCACGGCCATTGTCGTTGATCTCATCCGAAACGGAAGGCAGTAATTCAACTATCCGGGGAGGTCATTCCTTGAATGGGAGCATTAACTCGACGGCAAGTCCGACGCCACGCCCTTCATTGGCAGTCAGCTACTCTAGCGACGCCTCGACTTCTCCAGAACGACCACAGACAGCAGGGAGCCTGTCCACTCTCCCGTCTAACATGGTTTCTAAGGATGGTTCTGTTTCAATGATCAGCCTTCCGAAACGCCCATTATCTGCCTCTGGGACGCCAGGGAGTTTGAGCTCAGGCAGTCCCCCCAACAAGAAGAAATACTTCTGGTTCAATCATTCCAATAGTGGATCACCATCAGTCGCTCCCAGATCGGAACAGGCTGACCCCGCGGACGTGTTTGCGTCCACATCTTCTCAAGATCGTTCCTTGAAAGTGTTCGGTGAGCAATCGCGACCCAAGACCTCAGCCGGTGAATCGAGTTCCACGTCAAAGAAGCGAAAATATCACACGTGGACGTCGGGGATTTTCTCAAGAAAATCAGAAAAGCGATTGGGTAAGACAAAGCAAGAAGAAATCCCAGCTCTGCCACCTTTGACTCGATTGCCGAGCGACAAGTTGAACGAAATCTTTGATGCTGATGACACCATTGTGATTCGCAACCCGTCGCCTGTATCAACTCGAGTTCGAGCTCCAGTCCAGAATGTTGCTCCAGCACCCACTTGGACCACTGGCCATCTTGAGGAGCAGATTACAAGCCCGGTTCTTGATTTGGATGCCGCCTTGGGGCCTTTTGGGAGTGAGGAGAAGTTGGGGCATGACGGGACAGTCGGAACGGGGCCATCCTCGAGATTGGCCAAGCTTCACAGTAGTGAACGACGAGGCAATGTGGATGCTTTTGGTACGGTTCATAGGAGAACTGAATCGGCTCCAATCATGCCTGCTGTCAATCGATCGGCCTTCAGCGTCCATCGTATTGGCAGCAATGCCTCCCTCGCCGAGGATGTCTTTGACGAAGAAGAGGAAGATAATTTTCTTGCTGAGGAAAACGCGAATACCGCAGGTCAGGGCGCTTCTATGGATGACCACAGCAACTTATCGTCGAAGAATTCTGGCGATGCAACAAACTCAGCTACTCAGGTAGGCCTTTCAACTCCAGATTCCAAAACGGCAGAGGGACTCGGTTTGCCCATCGGAAACGAGTCTGGTGATGGGGTCATCATTGTCGATGCAGAAGAAGATATCACTCGAGTCGACGCTAGATCTTCCAATTCAACCATCGAAGCTCCCGTGTTCCCAGACCTCGAAGGTGAAAAGCGCCCAATGTCTTCTCCGATGGCCTTCGCATATCCTACACCACAATCACATTACGCTTCTTCTACAGAAGGACGTACAACTTCAGCTTCGATGATGTCATCACCCGACGCGGACCACGTCTCATTTGACACGCTCTCCCGCCCCAACCGATTCCTGGGTGAACCAAGTCCAGAATTTGTGCTTCGTGCCTCCAATGACGATCTTCCTTCCCTCAGTGACAGCATTTCGAGTGGTGCGCTCCCCAGATTTTCCAGCAGCGCTGGTACAAGGTCCTCAGTTGAACAACGTTCTGCGTCAATGATTGTACCTTCAACCTCGAGGTCGAATAATCAACAAGCATGGAAACGAGCAAGCTTAGCCAGTCTGAATCGCTTGATTCCGGGTTCCTCTAATGGTAGCAAGCTCAAATTTGAGACTGTTCCCGATACGGCTGTGATAGATGAAAAGAGCAGGAGGAAGACGAATCGAATCAGCAAACTCGTGCATTTCTGGCGATCAAAGGAGAAGGCAGAGAACACATGCAATTAAGGTAACATCAACGAAGATGAAACCCACTCGACGGCTTTATGAACAGAGCTTTGGCGTTTGGAGCTCTGACGACGAATTACGGGATTGGTCTTTTTGGTATTCTTTTCCCCCCGGGGGATGGACAAACTTACGACATTTACACGAAAGGGAAGGTTGTCACCCTACAATGAACAAATAACTTGGTTTTCTTACTCAGCGTCAATCGTTAAAACAAGTTCCTTATTTATCGCAACAAGCAGGTTACGAATTGCTGTATTTTTTGGGTTGGGCCTTGACAATATCACACTGGCACTCGCAGCCTCTACTCCATCACTTTCAATTGCTAAACATGGGATCTTTCTACATTGCAAAAGACAAAAGATGAAACAAAGCGTGAACATTTTTGCAACACAAGAGCATATTTGATGTCTGACACAGTCTCTCTTCGTTCCTGAACATGAAGACTAGATTAAATTCATATGGATGGCAGAGACTTGGACGAAGTTTTGAATGTATTGAGCTGGAATCGATGGAATGAGCTCTGGAGGGCTGAGGGAAATGGAACGGGATGGAGAGGAAGAGATGAGGTATTCATGGGACTTCAGTGCATCGATGGATTTGATGCTGGTCAGCGACGTCTGATCAACCTGGACAAGTAGATTATCTTAGCCTAGAATAATCCTCTTGACACTTCTGTTTTTGATTGAAGCATTATCGAACGAGGTGTTCTTTGAGGAGAATGAATGAAAGTGATTCATTACACCTATCTCATTTACAATGACTCCTTTGTAAATTGTTGTCGAACCGGAAATTTGAATCAGCTGTTGGCCTGCCACAGGCTCAAGAAAAAAGAGGTCAAAAGAATCTGCAACGGATGTTGATGGGGTTCCTAAACGATACCGATACCATATTTTGTTTATCAATACTCGATGCTCAAATTCAACAACTCCATATGGAACGATCAATCAAATAACCCCATTCCAATTGATCCCGATCAAACGTTGACCAATCTCAAGCCTTTCAAACATCATCACCGCCATCGTATGCGCCTCGCCATGTCATGCCGTACCATATCGTAAAAAGTCATGCTTTACAAATAAGAAAAGCCCAAAGGCAAAATCATCTTCGATCAGCACAGGAAGATAACCACCACCTTCCTTGCAGAGGATTCCATGTACAAAGCTTGCCCCATGTCCATGACTCCAAGACTTGCCAATGCTTTTTCCATTGCCGTTGCCGTTGTCGTAGCAACGTACGTCGTCCCTGGTAGAGAGAAGGGAATGCAGTTGTTCGATTCATTGCCACAAAATCTTGCTTGTAACATGAGTGAAGGAAGCCAAATATCCGTGCTTAGGTTTGTTCCAAAGGTCATGAGAATTATACATCCATAACCATCAACCTCATCGCTTGACGCCAACAGGACCATGACTGGCCCCTCCAACTCGTCCACTGGTCTTTCGGACTTTCATCTTATCCTCACCACCACTACGACGAGGTGACTCTCTGAGTGTTCTGGTCTTCGATACGCTTATGGCGCCCATCCCACTTGCGGATCGAGGAGTCCTAGGCCGATTTGACCCGTTTAGTTGACCCTTCTCACTCATGGTGCTGAGTTTCAAATTCTCCTGCTCTTGAGCGAGTTCGTCCCAGACGGTACTTGTGTCTTCCATTTGGAAACTAACATCACCATCGTCCTCATAGATGCCCACAGTGTCGCCAACATCGAATGTCTTGGTCATAGTCGTGGTGGTCATGGTGTATGACAGGCTTCGGGCCTTTCCTCTATTACTAGGGCTTCGACTCTGGCTTCGGCGAGCTGCTGCCTTCTGGAGAATAAGTTCCTCTTCGCTCTCTGCTCCATGGGCGCTATGATGGTGTGATTCGACTGTGACCATTTCACCTTCGGCTTTGTTACCACTGACACGCATGGTACCAGAGGTGGATCGGGCATAAGGATGATTCCGCGGATCCATACGAGCATACTTTCTCGGCTGACCTGGTGTCGGTGCTGGGAGGTTTTCGTCTTGGTAGGAACCGGAGTTTGAAACATCATTGCCGTCAATTTCACCCAAGGCAGATCTTCGTACACTGGATCGATCTGGTGTCGCAGTTTGGGTGCCACTGGGAATGCGCATGGGAGTCTTGGTGGACATTCCACGGGGTGTAGAAGGTTTCGTGTGCTCCATTTTTGCTTTCCATTGATCTTCCACGTACCATTCCCTGAACTGGCCTTGATTCAGGTGCAACCAATGCTGTTGTGGACCCACTACCATCCCCGGACGCATGAAGCGCATGAAAGCGATGACTTCGTTGGCCGTGAAGCCATGACGATATATCAAGTAAGCTCCAATTAAGCAGCCAGTTCTACCAAGGCCAGCCTTGCAATGAACGGCAATACATTTATTTTTAGCGATCATGTCGTGGGCCAGCTTGATGAATTTGCGAACCACAGGAAGCGTCGGACAGGTACCATCCTCGAAGATCATATCAATGTGTTGGATACCGAGGGCCGTGAAGTATGTTGGACAATAAAGTTCCGAGTTGAGTCGAACCACCAGACCGACGTCCCGCTGAACGAAATGAGTGAGGACATTCTTGAATGGCTGGGATATCCTGGCATTTTCAATTTCTGGTACGCATGAGGGCAATGTGGAATAGGCCGGAGATGAGATGGGAATTGGTGCCGTGGGTTCCGATTGAGGTGATGCAAAAGCAACGAATTGAGGCGAAATCCAATTGAAATCTCCCATATCAACTCTCTCGTAACGTTCGTATCTGAAGAATGTTAGGACTGCCTTGCTGGTCATGGCAAGGATAAACATACTCTTCCAGATTGAACTCCTTAAGCTGGCATAGGCTTTCTTCTTTAGCCTTCCACACACCATAGACGACATCTTGAATATTGAGGATAAAATCCGCCTGACTATACCCTGCATCTCTGAAAGGCATGTAAGGAGGATCGGCCTGAGCAATAGGTGCAAGCGCAAGATGTGGTGGCCATGCCTGAATCAAGACCATGTAGCACGCGACAAGACATGCGGCATTGGCCCGACTTCTTGAGTCCGCTCTGCTCCAAAATACCACAGCTTTGTCGTTGTTGGCTGGATCACCCAAGATCTCGTGGAATTGTACGGCGAATCGGTAGAGGTGTCCAATATGCAACGGCCCGAAGTCTGCATGGAAAGCATTGTACAGCAGTGTGTCGTCAATTGTAAAGTAGACTGGAGGCGGTCGCAAAGTTGCGGGAGAAGGGCCAGATTGTGCCTTAGAGGACTTCTTGTGAGGCGATCTCTTCGCTTGGGAAGGATATGGGAAAGGAGTATGCTCGTTTGGTATTTGAGTGTATGATGCTAGATATAATCGATCTGAGCCGTGAATTTGTTAGTCCTGCACCACTGGGGGGGGGGAGAGGGAAGGGGAATGTTTGGTTTCATGTCGCACCTTGAATATACTCAATAACCTGACCATAGCTGACAGGATGGGCCATAGCGGGCGCCATCGCTGTTCAGAGTCAGGCGAATAGCTGCTGAGGGTTCTAGGAGGAGCAGGATGCTTGAACACCGAGAGGCAGTCTCAAAAGAAGGCGGTGATTTGCGAGAAATTCGGACGTTGGGCCCTGGAGGGGGGGATCGGTGGTCAATAACAATAACAACTGATGACAACTAGGGCTGTAGCATGTCGCGGTGTAGCGGAAGAGCGATAACAGCTAGATAGGATCGAAGTAGCATGGACGGACGGATAGATGAATGGAACGGATAGTAGAGAGCAGTTGTAAAGATGTGGGCAGGCGAAATGGTCGGGTGGGAGAGTATTTGAGTCGGCGTGCAGCCAGTTGGAACTTGAGTCTGTTATTTGGGTAGCCAAAAGCTGTTAGCCTCGTGGTTCCCCGGCAACCTCCAAACCACTACCTGCTCGACCTTTCGTTTATCTCGTACTGTATCCACTGCCATCAGCCACGATTCGAGGCATACGACCTTTTTCCACCGATCAACATCACATCATTGGTGCCGCATCCGTCGGGTTTTTATCCCGAATCACTTGCACAGCTTCATCTCTCAGAACCATCCTTCACCTTCCAGACAAAAGGCATCCCACTCAACATGACCACCTCAGATTCCGAATTTCCTTGCTCATTGTGCGTCCTTCTCACTCTCATTTAATTCTCTCTGTGGGAACATTTACTGATTCTACGTCGCAGAGTCATTGATGTACCCCTTCTGAACCATCGCCTAGCCTCCTCGGCCATGCGCGCCCTCCAAGTCGACGCCGAACTTTCTCCTCTGGTCCGCCGGAAATTTTCCTTGGTGGATGCTAATACAGCCTCGTCCTCTATCAATGGAGGTCAGACAGACCATGGTGGGCTGGAGAATAACCACAATACCATTCTGCGCACTGAATATTCCGCAACTACCAATCGAATGCTTCGAGTCGCTGTCAACGGCTTCATGGAATCTCTCGGCGTTGTCCTGCAGGTCATGGAAGAACTGGATGTGGATGTACTTGAATCCAAATCATGATTCATCACTATTTGGAATGCGCGTCTTTCTCCTACAACAGTTACTATGGGGTAATTTTTCTTCGAGGCGTCTCTCGTCTCTTCAAATCCTCCGATTCCTTCCGTGGAGCCAAACAATCACAGTGTCTTCGTGATTGAACACAGCTGACGAGAAGGGGTGTGCCTGGTCTACGTCTCTTATTTTTTATTGAGAAGATACCGTGATTCGGTGTCGTCCTCACACTCGTCCCTCAGTTTCACGGAGTAGTCACCTGACTGCTTCGTACCGTCCTTCAGATAGGTGCGAAGGATGAAAGATGAATTTGGAACGTCTAATCGAGTTCGGGACATTGTCAAAGGTACACCTCGGAAGGAAACAACTTGTTCTTTTGAAGCGGGAGTCTCATCAGATCCCAAAGCGGCGCCTCCGTAGGAAATCATGCCGAAATGGTCTGGCAGGACCATAACATTGGGGATTTTATTGTTTTGAAGGACTCCTGGCTGGTGTGGCATTTCTAAGCTCGCGAGGTTGGAAGCTGTACCAAGTATGAAGGTTTGCGCAGTACGCCTTGATTTGGAAGATCGTTGACGCCCCGCGCCTGTCCATGGACTTTGTGGAGCTTTACCTGCTGGTGATATCAAGAATTCGACAGTGCTGTTTTGCCGCGACATGCCTTGGGGCCGCCTTTCCAGGGGGAGGACCTCCATCGTATCCAAATCAGGGAATCCCACCGTTCCATCATGGGTTTCAAAATCGACGGCTGTTTCCAGGGAAAGCAGACCTTGTCTTTTCCCCCATCCTCCACCACCTCCGGTCACTTTGAACAGTCTTGCGTCCTGCCATAGCGTTTGTAGAGGTGTAGACTTTCCGGTGCTACTTCCTGGAGCATCTCCTTCCTCCACATCTGACTCCGTGGGTGAGCGAATCAGGGCATATATGAGGAGAGGACTGTGTGATCCAGGAGTGGAATCGCCGCTGATATGGTCTGAAACGGCCTTTTCGAGTTCTTGAGAGGCAGGTACAGCCTTTCCTTCAATTTCTATTTGCGACAGGACGTTTCCCATCGATTTGATCACCTTCCGGGGTGGCGTTAATCTTTGAAGAGGAACAGAGCATCCGTCTAAAAATGCATCTGCTTGGCAACCGACGTTGACTTGTAAGTGTTTCAGGGACCGTCCTCGGTAGTGGTCAATCGTTACTCCGGAATCAGATGCCGTAACTTTCCATTCATCTTCCAGCAAAGTAGTGTGTCTTCCGTTGACGAAGAGAGTATTTGCAACAGGGAGAGTCACATGGCGAACGACATGTCTCGAAGAATTCAGACAAGTCGCCGTGCTGTCAGATGAAAATCGTATCGTGACAGGAGTACTTCCATCTTCCGGAGCAACGGTGGTACACATGCCATGGTGATCTGCGGAACTGAACAGGACCGCCAGACCTTCAGAAGCGAGCAGTCGACCCTCTCGCGTAAGAATCGGAGAAGCAGGAAGCGCATCAACCACTGCCGCAATGGATTTGACATGAACTTCATTGACTTGACGATCTTCGGCCCATTTAGCATTGCCATATAGGCGAGTCAGAGCAGGTAACAAAAAGGCTTTGCGATCAAGAAGGTTGGCCAGAGAAGGCGTTGCTAACAGTAACATGGTTCGAACTCGTGAAGTCTGTTGGTCCGCATATCTCGATAGCTGGTGCAATAATTCCTCCGGTGTCTGCATTCAATCTCGTCGTCAAAAGATGTTCTCCCGGATAACAAAGCGTCTTCGTACTTACCAACAGGGCACGATCATTGACCAGCCACGTCATGCCCACTTGACATGTGCGCTGGTCGTTGAGCTTTGCAGTCACATATGGTCGAGTCCGGATCTTCTTAAAAACTGATTGTTTCGAGGCTGAAACGACAGATCTAGCTGCTCCATGTTGCAATTGGGGTCTTCTGATAGAAAAACGCCGAGCTGCTTGCTCACCACGTTGCTGTCTCAGACACAATGCTGCGATTGGGCTGTTGCTAGAAAGACTTCTTTGCTGATTGATATGCCCATTGATTGTTTTGCTTAGCATCACGGGGAGGAACAAAACGTCGGTAGTGACTCTCCCGCCCTTTCACCTACGGTTGATGGGAAGGAAAAGTAGATGCTCCTGGATACGAAGGGTGATGTAGTGGGTGAGTTTGGGTACCCGGGGAAAACGCTAGGCATTGACTTGGCCAAAGTACATATTGATGCATACATTTTCGGTGACGGCCATGAACGGGATGTAAATATATCGCGCATCAGGTGTCCAATCCATATATATTTTACAAAAGCTCAAAGTTTTGGTCATCAATGAAATCTGAATCATCGTTTATTTTCTGTGGTCTAAGCAGTCTTTCGCGTCAGTCCAATCAATGCTGGATCTTGTTCTCTTTATCATAATGTACACATCAGATATCGTGAGCTCTTTTGCACTACAAATACATATGCTCGAATCCCAAACTGCGGAATAGATGGATGCTTCTCAGGAGATCGTTATATCTCGACCGTTAAATAGAGATCGCCGCTGCTCGATTTGTTCGGTGTTAATCGCGCTTTAGAAGATGGCGATCGTTGAGGCGCTGATACCATTACCGTTTTGGTTTCCGGGGTCAACAATTCATTCAAAGATGGGCTGAAGAATTGAGCAGGTGCTCTCCGGTTTCCACTAGCAGGATTATTGCGAAGCTTGGCCATGTTTGATTTGAGGCTGCTTTGTCCCATAATTGTTCCCTTCCTTGAACTAGTGTCAGACAACGGAGGAACCGGCCATTCAATAGTCTCGTCAGACATGTATCCATCAGATGACGTCGTATCTGTCTGCATGAAACTCGCACCGGCTCGTGCAAGCTGATCCCTCGTAGGTCGAAGTTTAGAGGACGGGGCACGGAGAAAGCTTGTCCGTAGCTGTGCTGGCTTTTCCGCTTGTCGGGAAACGGCTGCGGAACGAGGAATTTGAGGATACCTCAAATCTCTGATCGGACTCTCTTGTCCATCAAAGGCTCTCCGAGCCTCAACTGAGATAATGGAGGGTGTCGGCGGATTTGCTCTCAGTCCTAGCTGTTTATTGATCTCTTCTGGAGTTGTATCCTCTTCAATTTCAGTATATACTGATGTGACTGAATTTTGTCTTTCGAGACTTGGAGCCATGGCAGCTGCCGGAGGAGCCGGTGGATCCCGTGGCTGCGTCAAAGGCTCGACAGGTTGACGGTCTCCTGCTCGAAGGGGGAGTCTCGGAGGAGGCTTCTTTCGCAAAACATTTCGATTCGCATATATGGAGGATGGTGCCAATCGATGTTCAGGTATTGCGAATGGAGCCTGCCGTCCCACCTGTTGAGTCTCGCCTTTGGATGGAACGGTGGACGGGGGAGAACCGAAGCTTCGCGGCGGTGAAACGAGGTCGATATTTCCATTATCATAAGTGGGTGTCAGGGGAATCCGTGCTGCTCGAGACGAGGTTCTCGGCGGATTTTCAGGTACAACTGGTAATGTCAACGGTGGTGGCAAGCCTCGTCTTTTTGCTCGCGGCGGCTTTTCCAGGACAAATGGCTGGTTGTTGACGTAGATCGGTTCTGAATCCGGGACCCTGGTTTCAGGCTCCTCGTCGAACATCGTGGCATCACTCAACGGTCTGAGTGTGTGTCTTTTTCGCTCTCTAGTGGTTTCCAAGTCAAGAGGAGCAGGCCATAAAGTTTGGCTGGGCGCGGTAGGCAGCAGTCGCGATATGCTGTGTTGGGATGAAATGCTTACTGGAGAGCTTTCACCCGGTGCCTTTGGAGAAACAGCTATACCTATTTCTTCAGGTCTGATGCTCCTCCGCCAAAAGCTTCGTCGTTTTTCTTCCGTTGACTGTTGTGGAGCATAGAAGCGGTCGTAGGTGTTTGGTACAGTCATTGAAGAACCCATATCTCCAAAAGTGGGCGAGATTGTCTCTTGTGGGCTTTGATAAGTCGGAGGGGGAGTCGGCTCCACCAAGCGCGAGCGCTTCTGGCCGCGGCGGCGCTCTCGACGTCGTTTGCATAACCGGAGCATCAGCATCAGCAAAGCCAATACAATCAGGGCAGTCACCGCACCGCCAATCGCAATTCCGACAATTTGGGCAGTGGTGAGACCTCTTTTTGAGGAAGCCTCGTTTGGTGAAGCAATAGCCCCCAAAGTCCCTTGAGGGCCGATGGACGTACTGCTGCTTGATCGAGAACTTGCTGTAGATGAGGGCAGAGAAAGGGAAGGGGTCGTGACGGGCGTCCCTGACGGAACCTCCGTAGCCATGACAATGGTGCTGACCTGCTGCGTGGAGGTAGGATTCCCTACCGTGGTGGGTAGATTCTCCATCGTCGAAGACGTACTGGTAGATGTCCCGATTATGGTCGCCGTTATGGTTCGAGCGGTTTCTGGTTGAGCTCCTGGTATACCATTGCAGATGCTGTAAACTCCTAGGTCCTGCTGATCCTGTCCGGTACAGAACGAGACGATGCATTGCAGAGACCCCTCTCCAATTGTAAGGCTAGATGTGTTTTCAACCGTACACAAATAATTGAGATCTGAGGTGTTTGCGCATGTACTTCCCGGATAGTTGGCACTCGCAAAGGATTGTATGCAGGTCACTGCACAATCGGGGACGATGGAGATGAGGGACTGAGGAAGGCAGGTATTTGTCGCATCTTGCCGGGACCATAGCCGGCCGCCGTGTTCGAAGACAGGCGCCGGACTCGATGAGGTCCATGTTCGATAGCGCATGTCGAGTCGTCCTTTCTTGTCATGGTTGATGGTTCATGTCTCCGAAGGTTCGACCGTTTGCGGAAATATGCCTATGAACGGATATATTGTAGAAGAAGGAGAACAGTGAGGGTAAAGGGTTTCTCAGTTCTGAGAACATGGGGGAATTGGATCAGATATACGGCGCGAAGGGGGGATTCAGGATCTCAAAAGCTGGCGTTGCGTAGACTGGGCCTACCTTGACCCCTCGACGAGGGTGGAAGCAATTTTTTTCCCCCCTGAAAGGACATTCCGGTAAAGAATAACGATGGCGGCTGGGGCGTTGACATGACATCGGCCATATAGTCTGAAACTCGTAGAGCGTCATAGTGGCCGTAGTCGAATGTGAAGCATTTGGTGGTAGGTTTCGCGCCCATCGCAGCGGTTACAGGTTTTACAGGGCGCGTCCGCTCCACGTGACGGTTGCTCCGTCTACCACCAACTCCGCCCGAGCTGGCCATTCATCATTCCTCGGATATGAGCGGCGGCTCCCGGGGCGCTTCCATGAGGTGAATGATGACGATGATTGCATATCCTCCTGCAAGGTGATATGCCGACGCAAAAAGCAGTTGGTGAAGTCTTCTTTTCAGGTGATGACCTCTCTCCCTTTCCTAAGTTCGGGAGCACCTCGTCAGTTGTGTTGTTCGTCCACACTCGACGTGACAGGTCGTCGCATGATCCTCAGGCACCACACATATCCGCCCACTTTCTGACGACAGGTTTTGTCATACCTGCCTCAGGTTCACATTGGCAAGCATCTCTCAAATTGTCAGTTTCGAGATCCCACGTACAAAGCATATATTATCGGGAATGACGCAAAAGAGCTGTTGAGATTGAAAATGGGGATCTAGGGGTTTCGGATCCAGAAATTCCGAAGCTCTGCTTCGGTTTCAGCTAGTGGTTGATGCGGCTCACCCCATAAGGCTACCAAGGATGTTCCAAAGGAGCTACGAGAGACAGAGGAATGGAGATCGCTTAGAGTGTTAGGAAATAAAGCTTGTCTCATTATGCTGAATTTAAGGTGTTTACATCCAAGCCCAACGTGCACCAGCCGCGCCCTTGTGCGCCGAAGTTGGACGGAAATGTGCCCATCCGTCCAGCAAGCGAGTTATGGATTGCCCTTGTCACACCATCCGTCCAATCTGAATGCCGATATTCATGGTCAGATGAATGAATCATTTCGTCTTTCCGGGATCGATCGACCTGGTGTTGAGTCTCTGTTCCGTTTCGTTGCGGGCGTTGTAGGGAATTTAATGTACCATGCTTCGAGAATGTAAGGTGTGGTGGTAAAGGGGGGGATATCAAGTGTTTTTGTCGAGGTTAGGCCGATCCTCGGCAGTAGGGATCTGGATTTCGGGAAATTTGAGAGGGATGTGCAGTGGCACCTGCTCAGTACTTTAGAATAATGTAGCTATTTGTCATATTAGCTTGTCGTTCGGTACCGAGGGGTTGAGTAGTGCGTATATACGTACAGAGCGTGGATGATCCCCGGAATGTAACCGAGGATTGTGAGCAAGATGTTGATGAAGAAATCAGCATTGCAGCCTCGCTCAAGAAAGACACCGAGAGGAGGGAGGATGATGGCAAGAATGATCTTGCAGATGTCGCTGAAGTTCGCCCTGTCAGCTTTGCGCGCGGAAGAGACGGAAGTAGACTTACGATGCGGTGAAAGGCATTTTGACGTGTGAGATGGGATGGAAGAAGCCTGGATAAGCTTGATGGGTGAATTAGTAGAAGCTGAGAGAGGTGTCGAGTACGACAGGCCGAGAGTGAGTCGAGGGAATTGAAGAGAAGAGGGAGGAAATGAAAATTGCGCAACGGGGAGATACAAGTAGTCTACAGCGGCTGGCAGTCAGTTGGTAGGATGAGTCTCCGTGGCTGGGGGCGGGATGCGGGATGCAATCAGTCTTGTCACCGGCAAGCAAAGTCACCTACGGAGTTATTGCTACGGATTTCTGGGCCTAGCAGGCAAGGTTAACAAGGCACAGACAGGGCAATGAGCCACGGAAGCCTGCGCTATAAAGTCTGTGCGGGCCCTCTGAGGCTAACCAGCAGCTGCGAGTGATTTCACTCTTCAGGTTTCTGGCATCATCGCTTCTCTGCACCTCTCTTCCATATTCGCCACCAACGGACTCGGTTGATCATTTTCGATGATTTTTCTCTTACATTTTTGCTTGTCCACATGACGTCGGCTGCCTTTGTTTCTTGGCCAGTCAGTCAGTGCTTGACTGCTAGTGCCTGGTATTGCTGTCAATAAATCTCCCTTTCCGCAATCACCCATCTCTCCTGTTTCAAGTTTGCTATCAATGTGGTCCAACCGCCACAAAGATCATCCCGCCAACGAATCACTTTCTTTCCTTTCAGATTCAAGTACTCCAGCGTCGTCATCAGCACCTCCACAATTTGCAGAGCTCTGTGGCTTGAGTGAGACCTTTGGTCACTATTATTCGTCATCCTAGCCGAAATATCCAGCCTTTGACGTATCCGGTGTGGCGGGTGTGGCAAGTGTGGCTCGTGGAAGAAGGCAATGATACTTATCTATAACATCTGCGGTCAAGGGTCGTGGATGCTTTTTGTGCTCAAAAATTGGCTTTTGCATTCCACCATGATTCTGTACCAACATTCAATATCGGTAGGTCCTTGTAGTTCTCAACGAGGGCTATCAGTCCACATTAGTATTATATGTAACTACGTGGAATTTCTTGAATGGATCGCCAATTTCGAACGCAAAAGTTCACACACTGACTACCATTGACCAATTGGCGAACGGGTGTCGGGTTCGTCGTTTGAAAGACTGAAGAATCACGTGACCATGTACCGAGTAGGTGTGTGCTGAGGTCAAGTCAGTGGTAACGAGCATCAGCAACCAAGGGACATAGACGATGTCATTCGATAAGATCATGCTCACCACCGATCCGTTCCGCGACCTTCCACATGGTAGATCGCGACCAGAGTACCACAGGGGGGAGGGGGGAGAGGAACACCAGGAAGGCGGCGGGCATCTTGCGTCATGATGAAAATTGAAAAGGCCTGTGGACTGGTTCCAGACAGCATCACTGTTGTATAATAAAAATTCGTCCAGAAAGCGCCCACCATCGTCTGCAGATGTTCAAGATCGAGAAGAGAGTCACAGGTGCCGACTTCGGGGATCAGGGTCATTGTTAAATCCTTGGGAAAGATGAGTGGCCTGGTGGTGACCCAGAGATTTGACTTATATTCGTACTGAGACACGCTCGAGGGTGAATGCCCCGAAACTCCAGCGCGGAGACGATGCGGATCCGGGGTGTGTAGTGGGGCTGGCACTGTCAGTTGATTGCTTGGAATCGGCAGTTCGGTGGATTTGAAAGGGCGCACTCATCCCTCATTCCTTTAAATGTTGTGATAGGCTCTTCATTGCGTTATTGACCACCACAAGATCAGGGTATATAACACGACCACAGCCCACGCCGGGGAGAAGTTGGTGGTGGTGGTCAAAGGTCCCCGAATCATAGGGTGTGGTATCTCATGTTTTCGAGGTAGCTTCGGCTTACCCTCGTCAAAACGAAAAGTCCTTGAATAAAACTCCTAGTCAATACTGTTCTAGGCAAACCAGTCATCCTCGGGCACTTATCGACTTGAAAGTCGGCTTACTTGCTAGGCGTGGCCCTCTTGTCGTGAAGTGTTAGCAATATCCCGAAAGAGGCTTCAGTAGACAGAGAATTGAAAGAGTAGAAATAGGAGACTGAGAAGCCAAGTATGATCCTTCTTTTCAATCCACGTATTTAAAAGGTCATAACTCACTGATAGCATCCAAGCGAGGATCATCTTCTTTTCCCATTCCAGAAACAATGGATCCAACATTCTACCGCACTGCAGCAGATGCCATCGCCGCCCCGCCGGAGAAGTTGGCATATGTAGTCGCGTTTGATCGAAAGGGCCAGAAGCATGATGCAATGACGGTTGTTGACGTGAATCCTGCCTCCGACAACTATGGCCGAGTTGTTAGCTGGACTGAGGTTCCAAACTTGGGCGATGAACTCCACCACTTCGGTTGGAATGCGTGCTCATCTGCTTTCAAGCACGAAGGACATTCTATGGATGGCTTGCAACGACGTTATCTTCTGGTTCCTGGCTTGCGATCCTCAAACATTTATATTTTTGACACCGCACCCAATCCATATGAACCCGAATTGGTCAAGACCATCGATGGACCATCATTGTCAGAGAAGGCTGGATATTCACGTCCCCATACTTTACATTGCGGTCCTGATGGAGTGTTTCTGACCTGCCTTGGAGGCCCAGATGGAAATGCTGATGGTCCGGGAGGAATCGCTCTGCTTGATCATACAAGTTTCGACGTCCTCCGTGCTTGGGAGACCGACCGAGGACCTCAGCACTTCCACTATGACGCCTGGTGGCATCTGAATCGCAATGTGCTCATTTCCAGTGAGTGGGGGAGCCCGTCAATGATAGAGGACGGCATTGTCCCGGAATTGTTGCTGGGAAACAAGTATGGTCATGCCATCCACTTTTGGGACCTTGGTGCTGGGAGACATCAGCAACGGGTCGATCTGGGCGAGGAACACCAGATGGCGCTTGAAGTCCGCCCGTCACACAACCCAGAGGCGACCTGGGGATTTGTGGGAGTGGTCATCTCAACCAAGGATTTGTTTGGCTCTATCTTCCGCTGGTATCTGGATGGAGACACTTGGAAAGCAGAAAAGGTCATCAGCATCCCTGCTGAGCCGGCCGACGAGGGCTCCCTGCCTCCAGCGCTCAAGCCATTCAAGGCGGTGCCTCCTCTCATCACCGACATCGACCTATCCGTAGATGACAAGTTCCTCTATGTTGCTTGTTGGGGAACCGGCGAGATGAAGCAATTCGATGTTTCTGATCCGGCTCATCCCGTTCAGGTCGGCTCTGTTAGATTGGGAGGCATTGTTGACCACAAATCGCACCCAGCAAAACCAGACTTGCCTCTCTCAGGGGGCCCGCAGATGGTTGAAGTTAGTCGCGATGGCCGCCGCGTATATTTCACCAACAGTCTTTATGGCTCCTGGGATGACCAGTTCTATCCCGACGGCGTGGGTGCTTGGATGGTCAAGCTTGACGCCCATCCTGAAGGGGGTATCAGCATCGACGAGAAATTCTTCCCTCACGCTGATGAATTTAGGGGCCTAAGAGTCCACCAGATCCGCCTGCAGGGAGGAGACGCTTCAACCGATTCGTATTGCTACACAAGCCGAGATGTCGAAGGAAGCAAATTGTGACAGCGGATGGGTAATGGCACTCATCGGACCGTGGTGATTGACCACGCCAGGTGACCAAACTCTAGACATCGATGGCATCGTTTCTTCTTCATCTGGAAAAGTTCAACGTTCCCAATGTATCTCTGTCCAAAGAGTAGTTCCATTGTTGGCCACCATTCCGCCGCTCCGGCCGCGCCGAGCCATATTCCCAACGGCGCCGACCTGCCAAGCGGCTTATTCTTGTTCTTAAGCCATGCAGTGCAAAGTCGTTCTCTCCCGTGATCTTGTTGATACACTCGATCTTGTTCCCAGGTAGCGAGATGTTCTGTATGGGGGTGCGACGAACCACCACTCCAATCGTGATTCGACCAGCTTGGTGCCCATTCCCTAATTCTTCTAGCCATTTCATGTTCACCCTGGCGAGCTCCGTCGATTGGTCATCTCTGAACCTGATCACGTGTCCGAGTTTAGTGGTTCCTGCTCCAATCACCTGCACATCCTTAGTTGTGCTTGTGCTCAGAAGTGCCTTTCGAATGTGTTTATTGGCCGCGTCGGTCGGTAGATATCTTGTAAAGGCGTCGACGTTGGAGTCGGTCTCTTCAGGTCGTGTCTCCGTGCAGATCCGCAGACAATTGAGTTCTCCCTTCGCATTGCTGCTATTCGTTGCGAGAGAGACACTGGTGCCAGCATGCGTTGCGCTTCCCCTGGCCGCTATCGACGCCTACGAGCGGGTGGTTGGAAGCGACACAGAACACGAATCGAGTCGCGTGCGGGAGGGAACGGACTTCCTCCAGAAGCTCGAAATTTTGACGCTTGATAGTGTGTTGTTCTGCTTTGGATCTCGACCAATTCAGCTCGAACATCTTCGATGACCTTTATGTTGGCAGTCCACATTGGGACTAGCCTAGTCACGTGCACCGCAACCTTCGTGGCCTTTTTCTAGCTTGCGCCTCGCTCAGATAGATTCAATCAATCAATCTTCTCTCGGCCCAACACTTTACACTGACTTTCGGATTCTCTTTAGGGCAGGCGGTTGTTGCCTGAGTGGTGACGCGGTGAGTCTATGTCCTGGTGTTGTGGTGGCATCGGCATTCGGGAGCCGCCGACGCTAATGCGCGTCGACTGCGTCGGGTTTGTTGATCTTCTTGTGCGCGTCACGCTCGATATGCTTTCAGTCGGTCGCTCCAGTTGATACCGGCAAATACAGTCACGTCCGAGGGCCCCTGTGTGATATGTAGCGACGCCAAGGCTTGTAAAGACCTTCGGAGGCGTTGTACGCTTCGTACACGCTTGGAAACTATATAGTCTGACGGTCCCCCTCGACCCCTTCGAAATAGGACAAGTCCTCCGTAAATATCACAACACTCTTCGAACATTTAGAGCCTCGTCGCTAGGGTTTTAAGTAGGCGGTCTAAGTGAACTGGATCACCTAGGCTGCCTACTTAATTTGAGACCGGCCGGAGAATTGGAACCGTCTGAATTTTGTGATGGGTTACATGAACTCTGGTCCACACATACACAAACAAAAAAATATTAAAAAAAGCCCCCCTCCTATAGTCCATCTCTATCGGTTCGACTGCAACTCGAGTGTTTTACCACTCGGTTACGTCCTTGATAGGTCAACCATGATTTGGTGCCAATTTGGAGGGAAATTCTGCGGAATAAAACATAGAACTTAATTTAATTTTTGAATCACGTGATTTTAACTTAATGTGCGTGAGATGCCAAGACTGTCGTGTTGGCCAATCACATGTGGATGTTGGCACTCCCCCTTGCCGCACCGCCATCGGATCCAATCCATGGACCATGTGGCCGGGTGTGACCGGGGACAGTATATGGCGCCAGCCTCGATATCTAGATGGTCCTTGGATCGGATCCCATGATATACTACCGCCATCGGATCCAATCCGTGGACCATGTGACCGGTGGGACCGGGGACAGTGGTGTCAAACTTCTTGAATTTAAGGAGTGCTCTGGCTCTCCAAATGAGCGTAGGATAGAGCACATCCATATATATCTAAGCAGCATTTGTCTGCGTTGTTGTCTGCGTTGTAGCCTGTCGATGGTGTTGTAGCCTGGCAAGCAACCAGATCAACCTAATTCTACACAAACCTCAACAGTAATGGTGTTACAGCGCCGTACAAAATCGATTTCCCTCATAAGCACTTCTGAAAATTCTCCGTCCCACAACGGCGTCGGATCAATATATATTTCAGTACGGTCTATACATTACATGATCGGAACATTTAAGAGCAGTGGGAAAGCTCAACACCCATAAACCAAATGCGGACATTAAAACCATATAAGTTACAACTTAGGGTATTGAGATTCATTTCGAGGAGAAGATAACAGCGTCCCCCCAGTTAACAGCACCAGCATCTATCAGCATCTTCACCACCTTCTCATGGCCACGTTCTGATGCAGCCTGCAGGGAATTGCCATAGAATCCTCCTTGAGCATTGACATCCGCCCCGGCATCCATCAGCATCTTCACCACCTTCTCATGGCCAGGTGCTGATGCAGCCTGCAGGGAGTTGGCATAGGCTCCTCCTTGGGCATTGACATCCGCTCCGGCATCTATCAGCATCTTCACCACCTTCTCATGGCCACGTACTGATGCGGCCTGCAGCGCATTGCTATATGCTCCTCCTTGAGTATGGACATCGGCTCCGGCATCCATCAGCATCTTCACCACCTTCTCGTCGCCATGGACTGATGCGGCCTGCAGTGCATTGCCATAGTATCCCCCTTGAGTATGGACATCGGCTCCGGCATCCATCAGAATCTTCACCACCTTCTCATGGCCATGTACTGACGCGGCCTGCAGGGAATTGCCATAGAATCCTCCTTGAGCATTGACATCCGCCCCGACATCTATCAGCATCTTCACCACCTTCTCATGGCCACATACTGATGCGGCCTGCAGTGCATTGCCATACTCCCCTCCTTGAGCATTGACATCCGCTCCGGCATCTATCAGCATCTTCACCACCTTCTCATGGCCAC